GGCTTGTTCGGTGTTAACCAACCGCAAAATCCAGCCGAAAAAACCGAACCCGACCGAATCCCAACTCAAGAACCACCCGCAACTTCGCTTTAGTTGAGTGCAATTATTTTAATCTGTTGCCGACATTGTCGGCATAATTTTTCATCAATTTTAAAGATTCAGGGAACAGGGCGGAACAAAAATAAAAGAATTCCTTGGGCCGCAATGAATTTTTAAGTAAATGTAAAGAGTGCCCGGGCCCAAGTAGAGATTCGGTTGTCCCCTTTCCCCAGAATCTGATTCGGCTTCATCCATATCCTTGTCCGTGTCCTCATCCTCATCCACATCCACATCCACCTTACCAAGGTGGAAAGTCGGTCTTGAAGGAAACCCAAAGCGGCGCTCGCGTGGAAATTCCCAGGAGGATGTTATCCTGTCGGTTGTTGTGGGCAATGCTTTTAGCCTCCGCAAGTTAAATGCTCCGCCCCGGATCTCCTCACCTTTTTGGCCCACCTTTCCCTTCCGTTCGCCTTTTCCACCTCATTGTCTTTATGTGTGCGGTTGTAAATGTAGCTAAGGAGGTCCTTTGGCTCCCCGCCCTCCTTGTTGGGTCAACAATTTTTACATTGTTTTCGGCATCCGAGAAATGCTCGGTTATCCACAACAGGCGCATCGAGGTTGTCTCTGCTTCGTGTCCCTCAAACGAAGAAAACTTTGCCCCGAACTTTCCCTCCCACGGGGAACTGGCGAAAGTTTTCTTTGAGTTTTTTTAATGGTACATAACCATTATAGGTTATACAATTATAATTACTAGTGGCTTCTGACGTGACCTTTTAGCCGAATGTGTGCGGGGGATAAGTCGTAAAAAGATCGCATCACTTACTGTCATAAACCCTGGGATCATAATTTTAGGTAAATTTCAATTTTTTACAAATTTTGAATGTAATATTAATATTCTTTTTATAATCATTCAACTTTTTATAAACGTTTAAAAAGATGGAAATACGTCAACAGAATTTTATTATTAAACTAAAGGAATTTTGATATATGTTTTCCCTTGCATAATTAAATGTTGTCATATATATTCCAATTAAAAAAATTAGTAATAAAATAATCTTGTTTTGTTATCAGGCTTAATCACATTTTGTTGACTTAATTACTTAAAACACGAACATATTGAAATTTTATTGCACAGTGATTATTAAGATTTTATTGCAGCTATCGCTTAGAATAAAAAGTTAATAAATTAGATTGTTGCTATTTTCGTATGGTATTGCTTTCAGTAGTGCAATAAAAACGTAATTAAATAAATTACAATGATTATCAAGATTTTATTGCTGATGTCGCGTGGTACGAAAAGCTAATAAGTGGCCCCGTAAACAGCATAACTATTTTCGATCGGTCATTACCAATCTAATCGGTTGTAGATTATTTCCCTGATAGATGCCTAAATATATTTGACACTTAAAGTCGTCTGGCAGCTGCTTTTCTGATTCAGACTTGCCCCAGACTCTTAAAGTCATGTGAGGTGTTAAGTTCATATGTACTTTTTCCTTATCTCGCACCTCCTTCAAGTTCGCAACTTAAGTTTGTACCAAGTAGAACTACTACAGAACTACTTTCCTTTGGTTAGTTAAGTGCAAACTTATTAGCCGCTTCCATTAGCCGGGGCGAGAAATGGTGGCCAAAGGGGACTCACCTGTTTTCCGGACATCTAGCCGCCTTATGTCCAGTGGCTTTGCGAAGTAATCAGTTAAGATGGCATCGCCATGGCACACAAAGCGAACCGCAAGGACGCAGGACACGCTCACCGGAATCAGGGCAAATCAAACGTCTGCCAACACAAATCCAAATCAATCTTCTGTCTCCGGCTGTGTGGGTCTTGTTTGCTTAATTTGACAAACGGAATAATTTGATGAATATCTAAAATGGCAGCCGGGGACCCAGCGGGGCTGCCCTTCCAGCTCCGGCAGAAACCACCACCTCCGTGGGATCCCAGGAGCACGGACACCGCAGAATCCACCGCCCAATCCGTCGACTTTGTCACTAATTCAATAAGCATCCAATTACAACGCGGCGGGAGAGCTTCTCCTCCTCCGCCTCCCCCAAATGCCACCCCCTTTCATGCGTATACGCAATTTTCATTTGGTATATGAAAATTTAATGCAACTAAAAGTGCCTGTCGTGGCTATAATTCCCCCTAATTATTTTGCTTTCTCGTACCTGGCTTTGCTAAATTACGTACAATTTATTCAGTTTCAAGCGTCAACGGCAGAGGAAATAATGCTGCGCTAATTAAATAATGGTAAAGGCTGCGTTTCAAGGGGGAAACTAGCCAATGGGCTTGACATTTGATAAAAACAGATTTCGTAATCATTATTATTTTTGCTAAGACCCTTTTGATGTTAGTTTGGGATTGACAAAAATATGTTGGTATTGATATTTGAAAATTTAATTATAATAACATTGACAGTTAACGGTTCCTACTTTAAAAAACTGGTAATAATTTTAATTTAAAATAATTATTGTGTTATTAAAAGCATAAAGGCATTACATAAATTCTGTATGGACAACTTTGAATAATTATGGATTTATTCTTTTTTTGTTTTGGTCAAGATGATTCGTTTTTATTTACAAATTGAATATATACGATATACATAAGCTCTGACGTCAAATACACCCCGCAGAAGTCAATGACTGCAGGGTGTAGGGATTAAAGCACGTGGAAACGTTTCTGATTGTTGATGCTTAGGAAGTGGGCTAAGATCCTTAGCCCTGGCATTGGGATTGAATGACCCAAATTCAATTTGCCGAGTCGTGTGCCTAGATCCCAGGTCCGCACCACCCACAGCCACACCACACACACCATCCACACCGCTTCCTTTGCCCCGCCCGCCAATCATAAGTACGTTTTCAGTTACCAACGCAGCGGGCCACCGGGCGACCCACAAAAGCCGGGGGCGAACAGGGTGTGAGTGCGGCTTGTTGTTGGCCATAATCAACGCAATGCAATTTCAATGTCTGGCTCTCGTGTTACACTCTTGTGACGGCTGCACACCCCCACACCGCCACATCGCCACACCTTTTCGCAATCCCGGTTGGCCTGTTGGCTTAGAGACTGGCCGCGTTTGCCACTTGGCCAAGGTAAGAGTGTTTCGCAGGTGGGACAGCGGGCCAAGGATCTCGTTAGACAAACGCCAGTGCTGACTGGGCAACACTTGATTTGGGTTAACCGAGCTTTGGCCAGGCTGCCCCGAGTCTGTTTGCCCAGTTCCAGTTGATGGGATTTGAATGCTGCGGCCGTGGAATTCCCACTTCGGTTCGACTGGATTTCTGTTGTCAGATTAAGCAGTCAAATTCTGATTGCCGAACATCCCTTTGAAGTTCGGGATCCTAGCTGGTTAACAGATAGCATCTTGATTGTTGAGTAGTTCGCTGAATGGTTTTATTCTGACGTTTAAGGAAGTGAGTCTCTGGATAGCTTAAGTTTAGAATTAAGAAGTGTGTTAAGTGGCGAAAAGTGGATAACAAGGAACTTGGTTTGTTTGTTGCTCTCAAATATTGGTTTGAGTTAACCAAAAGAAAAGCAAGTGATTGAATTAAGCCAACTTAAATACATAGTTTACAAATCCTTTTATATTTCCTTACTGTCACATTATCATAAACTTATTATATTTATCGCAAATTTGTTGAAGTTATGCAAACACGACTTAGTCTCTCTTTTATTTGTTTAAATAAGCAATTTTAATATATAAATATATATGGGTATTCATTAACATTTACAATTCATCAATTCACCCAGCCGTACTTTTGGATAAAGACTTTAACAAAATAAAAATGCAATTTATGTGCGAATATTTGTTCAAGGCAATTTAACCAGTTTTTATTAAAATTGTTCATATATCCGCTTATTGAGTTTTACTGACATCACGGGTCGGTTCCTTGTTAAACGGTCATAGATCAAAGTTCGCGGCCAAGTGTTGATTTCAGAACTTCAGTATCTTAGTCGATTAATCGCCTGGCACTTGAGTGACTCCGAGGCTCATAAAGTGCGAGTGGGTGCATCGTCGATCTGGCAGCTGCGAAAATGCAATCGGCGGAAAGAAGTCGATGGAGGATTGGCAGTGGCTGGTGATACCGTGGGTGGTGATACCGTGGGTGGTGATACCGTGGGTGGTGATGCAGTGGATGGTGATGCGTGATGGAACCACCCAGCCATTGTCAATGTAGGCTGGTGACCCGAAGGCAAATGCTCACTGACCGAAACAGATACTTTTCGTAATGCCAGTTCGTTTTTTTCCATTTCCTCCTTTAGCACGTCATCAAATATTTACCAATTGTGTTTATATTTACGATTATTTTTGGTTAAATACTATTTGCATCTCGGACTAAGCCTTTAAGCTATGTCCCAGGGCAAATAAAAAATAAATCGAAATTCATGCGTGCTTTCACTCCGCTGGCTTCGGTTCGGTTCGGTTAGTTGGCCAGTCACCCAGGGCGTATACTTTATTTATGTATTTACCGACTACAATCAACTCCACTTCAATCCACTTGCGCGGGCCCATAAATCAAAAATGATTGATAAACGGCCAACCAGGACAAGCCAACGTGAGCATCGCATACGTACATATGGCATTTGGCTTGCCTAATAATTGCACATGAAATGTCACCACACAAAACAAGAGAAAAAAGGAATAGTCGGTAATCATACGCCCCGTGTGCCCGGAGTGCCAGAATGCTAACCGAAATTGGCCGACGGTGCGTGAAATCCGTTGATTACTTTATTTGGGCCGAAAGTGCGCAACGCACTCGCCCGTGGACTTCCCTTCTCCGCACGGCTGTTACTTGCCCCCGGCGATAAGCGGATGCCCTGCACCACAATTAACCTGTGGCTGACCACACACACACAAAGCTCCAGTAGCACCGCACCACAGAACCACCGCACCACAGCACCACACATTACTACCCCACACGAGCAAACAATTCTTGCGCAGGCAGTAAAACGCAATCGAACACATGAATCTTCTTTGTCCTCCTCGGCCAATTGAAGTGGCATTTTATTTGATTTTAAATCTGATTTCAATAAGGACTTAAGCTTAATAAAAAGAAGAAGCCATGGCCGGAAGATGAGACTGCCGGACCTGCATTTGCTTTTATCTGCCAAAACGAAATTTATACTTTTTTATACGACCGAGCAAATCGGATGGGGAAAAGCTCAAGTGTTACCATTTGATTGGAAGGGAATTTCTCGTGGCCAGTTGAGACGAAATGAAAGTGTTTCCTCTTGGCTAAAAGCGATTAAGCTTCCACGTTTCTCTAAATTAACCAATTGAAAAGCAATTCGCTTTGCCGATCAGCACATAAGAGGTTTTTACGGGGCTTTAAAGATTTTAACTTGTTCTAAATGACAAAAATTAATTGCATTTGTTATGATTTAACAAACTTTAAAGTTTAATTAAGTGGTTTTAAACCATTTAAAATGTATAATGTGTATTGGCCGTATCAAAAAGTTGGGGCTTTTCCCGTGGCGTTCAATGATTTTCCCAATTTTTGGTTATACCCTGAAACAAAACCCGCTTATCGTGGTCTCTATTTTATTGGCTTATCTGTGGGCTTAGCTCGCCAGTGATATTACTAATTATTATTGACAGTCACTTCTGATTATCACTTTTATTATCACATTATCATAGTCGCATGCCGAATCAAAACAGACTCAGCTGCGTAGGATTCACTTCTTGAGAACAGGCTATCAAGAAGATAGCCATAAAAATAGATTATACTTATCGCCTGATAAAGCCCTATGAAGTTATACTACTCACAAGTCAAGTGGTCGCCTGGCATCGTCACAAATATTATCATTCTTCAAATTGGGCTGTGATTGATGGCAAGTGCTATAAATTAGAGGCATCGTCCGATCGACAGTTAGTCGAACTCGAGTAGGCAATAAACCAAGACAATGTTTAAGATCGTTTGTGCAGTAGTGCTCCTGGTGGCCTTGGCCTCCGCCGAGCTCCATCGCGTTCCGATCCTCAAGGAGGAGAACTTCGTGAAGACCCGGCAGAATGTCCTGGCCGAGAAGGCCTACCTGCGCACCAAGTACCAGCTGCCCTCCCTTCGCAGCACCAACGAGGAGGAGCTGTCCAACTCGCTGAACATGGCCTACTACGGAGCGATTTCCATCGGAACTCCCGCCCAGAGCTTCAAGGTGCTGTTCGATTCGGGCTCCTCCAACCTGTGGGTGCCCTCGAACACCTGCCAGAGCACCGCCTGCACAACCCACAACCAGTACGACTCCAGTGCCAGCTCCACCTACGTGGCCAACGGCGAGAGCTTCTCCATCCAGTACGGAACTGGCAGTCTCACCGGCTACCTCTCCACCGACACCGTTGACGTCAATGGATTGAAAATCACGGGTCAGACCTTCGCCGAGTCCACCAGCGAACCAGGAACCAATTTCAACAATGCCAACTTCGATGGTATCTTGGGCATGGCCTACGAGGCTCTGGCCGTCGACGGAGTGGCTCCTCCGTTCTACAACATGGTTTCCCAGGGTCTGGTCGACAGCTCCGTCTTCTCGTTCTACCTGGCCCGCGCTGGAACCTCCAGCCAGGGTGGAGAGCTGATCTTCGGTGGATCCGATTCGTCGCTCTACTCCGGATCCTTGACCTACGTGCCCATCTCGGAGCAGGGCTACTGGCAGTTTGCTGTGGCCGGAGCCTCCGTCGATGGTTATACCCTGTGTGAGGGCTGCCAGGCGATCGCCGATACCGGCACTTCCCTGATCGTGGCTCCCTACGATGCGTACTACACTCTGTCGGAGATTCTGAACGTGGATGAGGATGGTTATGTGGACTGCTCTTCGGTGAGCTCCTTGCCTGTGGTCACCTTCAACATCGGTGGCACTGACTTCACCCTTGAGCCCTCGGCTTACATCATCCAGTCCGATGGCAACTGCATGTCTGGCTTCGAGTACATGGGCACCGACTTCTGGATTCTGGGCGATATCTTCATTGGCCAGTACTACACCGAGTTCGATTTGGGCAACAACCGCATTGGCTTCGCCCCAGTTGCCTAAGTTAATATGAATACATTAATAAAACAATATATAATAATTAATACATTATTATATTAATTAGTTCAATAAAACATCGAGTACCTTGAATATGTTTTCAAAATGTCTGGGAACCCTTGAAGAGGGTCACCTTCTCTCGGTTTTAATTTGTAACAATCTTATCGGTTTACGACTTTGGTAATGAGGGTTTCTGTCAGCAAATTTCAATAGGGGTTGATTTTTTTGACGATGTTTATTACAGTCGTCTGGCCTATTGATTTCCCAAAAATAACTCTAATCATTTTGGTTTCTAAGAGGGGGCCTTTGGTTGTATTTTTAGAGACCATAAAGATTTGTTCCCTGACTCATAATTTTAATCTAAGCGCCACATAAATCAACCTTTTTAGTTGAAGAAATAAACAAATTTCAATAAGAAATGTCACAGCTTATCGCCTTCCTACAAACCTTTCTTAACCCCGATAGGCGATTCATCTACCAGTTTTGATTCATTGACACTTAACGAGGCGGTTATCCAACCGTGTTATCCGGCAGTCCGCAAATTCTCATCTGGCGCAGGCCTATAGATTTGCAACAGATTGATAAAGCCCTATGGAGTAATTCTGCTCATAACTCAAGTGGTCGCCTGGCATAGTCACAAATCTAATCGTTCGGCAAATTGGGCTGTGATTGATGGCAAGTGCTATAAATTCGAGCCGTTGCTCCGATCGTTAGTTAGTCGAACTCGAGTAGGCAACAAACCAAGACGATGTTCAAGATCGCTGCTGCAGTAGTGCTCCTGGTGGCCTTGGCCTCCGCCGAGCTTCACCGTGTGCCGATCCTCAGGGAGGAGAACTTCGTGAAGACCCGGCAGAATGTCCTGGCCGAGAAGGCCTACCTGCGCACCAAGTACCAGCTGCCCTCCCTTCGCTTGAACGAGGAGGAGCTGTCCAACACGCTGAACTTGGAATACTACGCCGGAATCACCATCGGCACTCCCGCCCAGAGCTTCAAGGTGCTGTTCGACACCGGCTCCTCCAACCTGTGGGTGCCTTCGAACACCTGCAAGAGCACCGCCTGCACGACCCACAACCAGTACGACTCCAGTGCCAGCTCCACCTATGTGGCCAACGGCGAGAGCTTCTCCATCCAGTACGGATCGGGCAGTCTCTCCGGCTACCTGTCCACCGATACCGTTGACGTCAATGGACTGAAAATCACGGGTCAGACCTTCGCCGAGTCCACCAGCGAACCAGGAACCAATTTCAACGATGCCAACTTCGATGGTATTCTGGGTATGGGTTACGAGGCTCTGGCTGTCGATGGAGTGGCTCCGCCGTTCTACAACATGGTGTCCCAGGGTCTGGTCGACAGCTCCGTATTCTCATTCTACCTGGCCCGCGCTGGCACCTCCAGCCAGGGTGGTGAGCTGATCTTCGGTGGATCCGATTCGTCGCTCTACTCCGGATCCTTGACCTACGTTCCCATCTCGGAGCAAGCCTACTGGCAGTTCGCAGTGGCCAGCGCCTCCGTCGATGGTAACTCCCTGTGCAGCAACTGCCAGGCCATCGCCGATACCGGCACTTCCCTGATCGTTGCTCCCTACGATGCGTACAATACGCTGTCAGAGATTCTGAACGTGGATGAGGATGGTTATGTGGACTGCTCTTCGGTGAGTTCCTTGCCTGTGGTCACCTTCAACATTGGAGGCACTGACTTCACCCTCGAGCCATCGGCCTACATCATCGAGTCGGATGGCTACTGCCTGTCTGGCTTCGAGTACTCGGGCACCGACTTCTGGATTCTGGGCGATATCTTCATTGGCCAGTACTACACCGAGTTCGATTTGGGCAACAACCGCATTGGCTTCGCCCCAGTTGCCTAAGTTAATAAGAATATATTAATATAACAACAAATATTAATGTACATATTAATATGTATATTGATATATTAATATATTAATTAGTGTTCAATAAAGCATAGAGTACCTTGAATATGTTTTCGAAATGTCTGGCAACCTTTGAAGGGGGTCGCCTTCTCATGGCTTTAATCATTTTACTACACTGAGCTCGATTTGGGCAACAACCGCATTGGCTTCCCCCCAGTTGCCAAAGTTAAAATATTCAATTGGTGTTCAGTAAAACAACGAGTACCTTAAATACCCTCATTTGGTAATGAGGGTGTTTTCTGTCAGAAATTTCAAAAGCGGTTGACTTTTTTGAAGGTTCTTATTACAGTCTGGCCTATTGATTTGCTAAAAATAACTCTAATCATTTTCGTTTCTAAGAGCGTGCCTTTGGTTGTATTTTTTAGAGACCATAAAGATTTGCTTCTTGACTCATAATTTTAATTTAAGCGCCATATAAATGAACCATTTTAGTTAAAGAAATAAACAAATTTCAAAAAGAAATGTCCCAGCTTATCGCCTTCCTACAAACGTTTCTTAACCCCGATAGGCGATCCATCTACCAGTTTTGATTCATTGACACTTAACGAGGCGGTTATCCAACCGTGTTATCCGGCAGTCCGCAAATTCTCATCTGCCATTGGGGCAAATATTTACGCTGGCCAATGGAAGTGGACCAAAGTGGGAGGTGTGTTATGAAGGCAGTGACAGAAACCATCAGCTCGGATGGCCAATTCATTTGTCCAGCCTGTTGCCCGGGCAATGATGTGTGTCGCCGGGTGTCGAGAGGTCCCCGGAGTGCCTGGCAGTCCGTCTCCCCAGATGTCATATATCCTGGAAAGTGGAAGGTACCGTGTGTCAAAAGGAAAGCCAGTGATGTCAGTGAATGGCGCAGGACTATAGTTTTGCAACAGTAAACACACGGCGGTGACAACGCCATTTGGAAGTAACTGGGGTATCCGTCTACGATGACAGGAAGTGGAAGTGCAGTTGAGCAATGCAAAAAGTCGAGGTCCTTCCGCTACAGAACCCCCCGCAAAAAGGGGACAACAGGTCATATTGCCGCTGGTAGTCAGTTTCATACGCAAATGAGTTGTTGGCCTTCGGGTGGGGAAAAACAGGAAGACAGGAAGGGTAAACCAGAAGGGGGAAAATGGGGTTTAGGGACCGCTTCGTTGGGCAGTTAATGAATCACTTAATGGAAAACCTGGTCGCCAACGCCAACCGACTTCCGTTCTCAGTGTAAACTCAGTCCTCGCAATCGATTTTTAATTGTGTCTGATTGATGTTGACTCAAGAATACTAAACCGCTTGTCTTTACGAAAATTTATGCAAGCACTCGGAAAAATTGTATACATGACAAAGAAATAAATATAAAAATATGTACAAAGATAAAATAAAATCTCCAACAGATATATTATTTTATATCTTTTTGCTTACACATATTGAATACAACTGTAATATTTTATATTATTTATTTCCAATTTCGTCAGCAAGCAAGAAATTTTTTTTATGTAAATTATATTTTATCATTGGATAACACATATCAAAAACATTCAATCAATTAAAACAAATTCATCAATCATGATGTGTTCAAGTTTACTTTATTAATGTTTTGAGTGTTCAAGTGGCTATCTATCTATATACTAAATATTTGAAACTGTTTCAGGAGACAGCCGCACAATGATGATGACAAACCGATGTGCTTGCTTCGCCTTGGCTTTGCTGCTCTTCTGCTTTTTGGCCATCTCGAGCATTGAGGCAGCTCCGATGCCCAGGTAGTTGTACCCTATTCCCCCTCAAACCTGCTCCACATCCAGCCATATCCTTTCCAATTTGGCTGAAAGGACATAACCTAATTAAATTCTGGCACTTAAGCTGCGAAAACCAAAAAATGTGGTATACAAATATTTGCCCAAAAGCAATTACCCCACTGAGCGCCAGTCAATGTTGGCTCACAGAGAGTTTCTGGCCATGTGGGAGATGTAAATGTACCCATACTGCCGGGTATAATGTTCACATGAGTTTTCACACTTTCGAGTGTCAGCGTCTTTTTCGTTAACATTCAAAGTCGTCGCTTCTGGCGAAGAAAATTTTTAATTAATAAAATGTAAATGTTGACAGAAAAGTGGGCCAAAAATTGGGCATACACTTGAGCAGTAGATTGCATATCCTACGCTAAGGAAAGATAACGATTTGGGGAATTTAAAACTCAATTTACCCCTGGTCGAAGCAACTATTAAAAATTCATTGGCCCAGGCCAACTAATTAGCAATTGCTCGAATGGAAAATGCCCAAAACATTGGGGCTTTAACAAATAATTGGGTTCCCATGCAAATGAAGATTGTAAGCCAGTCAAATGTCAAATTTAACAGAGCCAAAGTAATTAGATATCCTGTTGAGCCGCGTTGTTCTCAAATGTATAAGTACGGCAAGCTAAACTCTAATTTTCCATTTCGCTGATTCCAAAATAGCCAATCCAACGGCGGAGGATATGGCGACAACTATAACGAACTGGAGGAGGTTCCCGACGACCTTCTGATGGCGCTGATGACTCGCTTTGGACGCACCATAATACGGGCTCGAAACGATCTGGAGAAGTAAGTATTTATCTACTAAGTGTGTGGGTTACTATTTGTTGGTTGAAAATATAGTACATATATGAATAAATAATTTTTAAAGTTTTTAAATGTTTCTTAATTAATTTCTTACATATAGGTTGGTAAAAATAGATTGTTCATTGGCATCACAGTTTAAAAGTGTTTGTGTATCCTTTAAGTTTTAAGTTTTGTTTGATTAAAAACAAAGACAAATTGATATAACTTAAAAACTTAAGTATAACAATTTATTTTGACTTTGTTTATTGTAGAGTTTACTATCCTCATCCTTTAAAAAAAAATACGGTTCCACTTTGTAATTTACCCATTTAGATTATATTTATACAGATTTGTAGAGATAATTTATACTCTTATACCTTATTTACAACTAAATGTACTCGTTTTGCAGCTCGAAGCGAACCGTGGACTTTGGCTTGGCCCGGGGATACTCGGGAACCCAGGAGGCGAAACACCGCATGGGTCTGGCTGCGGCCAACTTTGCCGGAGGACCCGGGCGAAGGCGGCGATCGGAGACCGATGTCTAAGTCGAACCCTGTGGACGTTAAGGACGAGTGTCAACTTCTCAACTTAAACTTGACCCATTCTTAATCTCTTTCTACTCAATCTTCATTTGGATTATGTTAGATTGTTTGTTATTCATTGTACATATATATTTATTATGATCTGCTCTCATGTATTCATTCCTTGCAAGTGTTTTGAAGTATTATGGAAAAGAAAATATTCGACAGATATCGAGATTATATATACCAAAGGCAAGCACCCAAATAAAAACGTTAAACTGTTGCTCCGAAAGGATATGTTGAACACTGTTTATGAACATTTTTATCTCAGATTTAACTCAGTTTGAATTGCTCGTCGTAACCCACAAAAAAAGAATCAACAAAAAAAGAAGAAAAGAAGGGAGAAATTTAAATAAATATCTTAAATATATATTCAAGTGTATGCAAAATCGCGCAAAAAATCTTTAACTAGGTATGTCCTAACGAAACATAAAAGCTACACGAAAACACATTTATGCAACACATTTTGGCCCCCAAAAGAAGCCACTAAATGCCCCAACGAAACTGAAAGTTTATTTCACCCAGAGCCGAATAATCTCTCGCGACTTTTAAGTATTGTAAATATAAACTATTTAAACACACACGTACAACTGAAACGATACAAATATATACATATATATACATACGGAATTCTACTTGCATATATTTAACAATTATTGTGTCTATGAAAAATGCTGCAAAAATATAAATTACCGTGAGTCGGGACAAGATCAAATAAAAGTCTACATTTTGAGAAACTTCACATTGGTGTGCGATTTTGTTTGGATGTTTGGGCTTAACTCATGGCTTACTCCTTAAATTTTCCCCCCATCCAAGCACAATCGACTCAGGTGGTTGAGCTTCATGTATATTACTTCCAGAGCTCATAAAATGTATCCAATTGGGAGCTGCAAATGCATTAGCAATCGCTTACACAAACAAGCAAGCCAATAAAGGAGCGACCCAGCGGCAAATGCAATTGATTTTATTTATTTACAAGCGAATTAGATTCGGCTGATTTATGCATGGAGCTTGAATGTGTTTCTAGGCAGATAAGTGGACTTCGAGGTACCATAAATGCCACCATATTTAATTCAGTGCAGGAAATGTGGTAATAAATACAATACGAGGCAATTAATAATCCAAACCAATATCCTGTGCAAATATAAAGGTGCCAAAAGTGATTTTTGATTATTGAAAGCTTGCTTGGTGCAAAGATAATTTGAAAGCTAATTAATCAAGTGGAAAACTATAGACGATACTTAGGTAATAAAATACAACTGCTTATATTTTGAATTTGATTCATTCCGAAAACATGTATACATATATACAACAAGTTTGGATTAATCTTTAAAAACGGACAATACGAGACCAAAAAATACGTTGGGACGGCAGTACTTTAATCAATGTAAATGTGTGAGGTAGAAGTAAATGCCTTTTAGCAAGTGGTACACAACTATTTCAACTCAGGATTGAATTCGATTTCCATAAATCTTGAGCTCCAAACATTCAAATGGATAGGCTCGAATGAGATTTTTAAATTGTCATGTTCCAAGGCCGGTATAACCTTTTGCGGATCGAAGCCTGTGTTGTGAAGATGCAGAGTCAGTGGAAATGTGCGATTAAGTAAAACCTTTGGAAGGTGCGACTTGCTGAGATCCATCCAATTACCCAACTTGGTGGACGAGAGGTTGAGGAGCCTGAGCGAGGGGCAGGTGCCTATAGTATTCCACAGTCTGGTGGACGTTGGCAATTCACGCATCTGCAACAGATGAAGCTCCTCCAGATGCGGCAGCTTTTGGCAGATGTCATGCAGCTGCTGCGTATCGATGTCATCTTCCTGCAGGACAAGCCGTTGAAGATTGGTCATCTTCAGGATATCATCCGTCACCCGTTCGCTGCTCCAGAAGGAGTCGTTGAAAAGCAGCGAACGCACTTTAAGGGGCTTGTGCTTGGCCACCGAATTCGCCAGGAACTCGTTGTAGTCCCGCGTGTAGAAGGACAGTCGGCGGAAGTGAGGCAGATCTATCAGACGTTGTAGAGCACCGCCCAGCAAGTGGTGATCGTCGATGGTCAGTTCCTCTAACGTGGTGCACCGGGTGATGGCCATCACCTTGTCGCCCAAAATCACATTGTAGCCGTAATACAGCAGTGTCAACTTGGTAAGCTTCAGCCTGTCGAAGATCTCCTCAAAATAGTCCGTGTCCAGGTACTCGCACCAGATGAGATTCAGTTCCTTTAGCTGCTTCCAGCGCCACAAATGTCGGCCTGATGTGCTGCTATTCAAGGTAAGAGTGGTCAGATGCGGGAATAGTACGGTGAGAAGCAGGGTTTCCTCGTCGGCCTCCTCGAGATTGTACTCCATGTGGCAGTCGAGCGATCGGAGGTGGGGAAAGCTGAACTGGGTCCACTTTTTCAGCAAATCCATGCTGCACCTGTTCAAAGTGAGCCACTGCACCGTTCTCGACCAACTGCCCAGAAATTCCTGCATTAGTTCTTTGAAAATCTTTTAAATAACATGGAATATAGAGCCCAACTTCAAAACTTACCCTCATTCTTGTCCAGCAATTCAAGGTCGCCGGTGCTCAGCGTTACCGACTTTAGGTGCCCCCAATGGTATTTCACGTAGGATTTGACATTTTCATTGAGCTGGATCAGTGAGAACTGATCGCGCATGGGACAGAACTTCAGAATTTCTACCCATATGTCTTCGTTAATTTTCTCCATTGGATTGGGACGAAAAAGTATTTCAGATTTTAAAAAGCAAACTAAAAACAAACAACCAAAACCGGCCCTGTCAGTCAGCTGATTGAACTGCTTGGCGATCGGCTGTGTAGTGAACCTCTTGCCATGCTTCGTCCGTGTGAATGGCAAAGAAACGTTCATAAGCTTTTAAAATTGGGAACAACACCTAATGTTTCAAATTAATAAAAAAAAAGTCTATTAATCGTTAGAGCAGCAAAATCGATCGCTTTCCCCACGTATCCCAACCTTACTAAGCTTACTCGTAATATTTTTTATTATTGCAATGCATGCTTTGTTTATTTGAATGAAGTAATGAAACTTATTCTAAGAAAAAACACATTTCTTAAATGTATGCAAATAAAAGTTTGATTGGATGCGTTGAAAACTAAGTAAATTACTTGGAGCATTGTCGTTTAACCGGCGAATAAAGTAATCTCAGTAACATATAGAATACTTATTAAACATATGGAAGAACTTATATGATTGGCACTTGTGGGTATTTGAAGCTACAACCTATCGATTGGCGTTTATTGATAAACACGACAAATAATAATACTACGTAAGTCCGGGGCCAATTGGAGCACCTCAGTTTGCATGCGCGTCCTACAACTAATGGTTGCTTCTTAATCTACCAATTGAAATATGTACAGTCTTGGAGCAGTCGGAATGTAGATTTTCAGGCGGTGCAATGTTCCCTCCTCAAATTTTTACACCAGTGGTCGGAACAGTCGGAATGGCACCTGGATTGGCTCCGCCAGCCGGCTCCGTGTACTGGAAGGGCACGTGGAAGCTCTGGCCCTTGTGCTCCACCAGCAGGTGACCCCGACCGGTGGAGGCTCCCACCACGGTCACTAGTTCGCCCTTCTTCAGCTGCAGCACCTCCGACTGGCCCTCCTCGGGGAAGTTCATCTTCATCACCCGGCTCTGCGGATAGCCCAACTTCGAGTTGCCGCTGATCGTGTAGGATCGGGATGGCGGCACTGGCGGCGGCCGTTCCTGGTAAATATATAACAAAGTAATATTTTAATTTAAAATATGGCAAAGAATATATTTTAAAAGTCTTTAAAAATAAATTAATATGTTTTCTCCGATTTGTCAAAAAAGTACAGTTTATTTTTCTGCATTTTAAGCCGATTCATTTTTGTGAAAAAAAATCTACAAATTAACTTTAAAAAAAAAAATGAAAATACATATTTGACATTTCTCAGTCTTCCATGGGTACAATTTACAAGTGAAACTAATTTTTTATTCTTATTTTAGAAAATACCCACCAAATCCAGGCCAAACAGGCTGCAGGTCTGCTGGATGATCTTCTGGTCGCACTTCTCGTGCGGATCCGGCGGAGGAGTCCCTGCGATGGGTTGTGGCCTGGGCCTGGCCACTGTGCCGCCGGTGGCAAGGTTCGTCGACTTGGCCGACAGGCGTGGCACTGCAGGGATATTAAAGATTTTAGTTTGAAGATGGGTAATCCCTGCGAGAGAGGCTCACCTGAACTGGGCGCAGCAGCTGCCACTGCGGCCAAGGCGGCCATTGTGGAGGAGGCCGCCTTGTTCTGCGCGGTGGCATTGTTGTGGTTCGTCTTGGTCACCGGAAGCGGAGCCACCGCCGTCTGGCCGGGATGATGGCCAGTGGCCCCCCTGGAGCGCTTCACCCCGCCGTTGCCCACCTTCTTGCGCCACCACCAACCCCGCCAGGTGGCCTGCATCAGGGTGGCGCTCTTGTGCCGGATCTCCGTGCGCAGGTGCTCCAGATGCTGGCGGATGCCCTCGCTGAGGAAAACGTGCCGCTTGCCAGGCGCCCAGGCCAGAGTCACCGAGCCGTCCAGCACCGGCGGCTGTTCCATGGCGTACTGCAGGATCAGCTGGCAGTCCTCCAGAGCCTTGTCCTCGCTGCGGCGCAGCAGGCGGAAGGGGGCCAACATCCTGTAGCGGGCGTTGAACTGCTTGAAGCGCATGCGGTGCGGAAACCCACTGGCCATCAGGTTGACCGTCTCCAGGACCTGCAGCGACCGTATTTGCCGCACCACGGTGGCCCGATCGAAGCTGCCCGCCGCCTCGTTTCCGTTGCTCCGGATGCAGCGCACAAAATGCGGCCTTGCATGAACCAAAGTCCTCAGCAGATTATCCAGTCGGGTGTGGAAGTCCTGGGTCAAGGTGGACACCGGCTCATCCCCATTCAGTAGGTCCGAGTGGGAGGTGGGTGAGATGCGGAAGCTGAGACCTCGAGGCGCCTGCTGCTGGGCATAAAGAGCCTTCAGTTCGGAGCCAAAGAGATGGGTGGCGAAGCCGAAGTTGCAGGTGTGCTTGTAGAACACCGCCACCAGGTCGTCGGGCACCACATCCCGATTGGTGTCCAGGAAGTCGGTGGTGTCGTACTCCACCCGCCCGGCAAAGTGACGGATGAGAAACATGCGCGGATCGTGCGGTTCTGCAGTGGGTTTGGTCTCCAAGCGGGTGGAGCACCGATGCTGCACCTTCAGCTTGGCCACATAGCTCTCGGCGGTGCCACGAACGGAGCACTCCGCATCCAGCATGCTGAGCAGACCGGTTCGCAGCGAGGATATGAGGTCGATGCAGGGCACGTTATCCACGTAGTCCACCTCGGTGTCGCAAACGATGCCCTCGTCGCGACAAGACTCAACGGAGGACTTGAAGATGTGCGTGTTGTAGAAGTGCTGCATGGTCTCCGCGCACAGATTGATGCACAGGTGCTCCAGGTGAGCGTGTGGCGAGGGCTCCTCGAAGCCGAACATGTCCAGGATGCCAATGAACCCATCGGTGGCATGGCGAACTGCGTTATTTAGAGCCGCCATCGATTTGGAGCCCGCATTGCCACCTCCAATCGTGGAGGCGTGCTGGGAGGCGGCGTCCGCCTGGTTGTGGACCGATTCATTGGAGTCCGAGCTCAGGGTGCCCAGAGTGGATCCCAGGCGCTTCAGACTGTTGGCCCTCCGCACGATGGTGGCCACTGTGCGGCAGTAGAGGGCCTTCGCCAGGCAGTCCCTCGTCATGTTGGCATCGCCATCGCCGCAAACGGACTTCACCAGCTGGCCACGCACGTTGTGGGTCCGGGTGGTCAGTCCGCGGAAGAGGGCCGCCGGCGGAACGCCCAGCAAACTGGCCACCGAGTTTAGTTCCGTCTCTCCCTTTACGTCCACTTCGAGACCCTGCGGGGAAAAATAAATGACAATAAGTTAAACAGGACTATTACAAATTAATTATTATTACAGATATATTATAACAGATAAAAAGTTATACAAAGGATTAAAAACATTTGTTAACAAAGCTCTGTTACATTTAAAATTATAATAAAATATAAATCTTATATAACAAGTCAAAGATCTTTTAATACAAAACATAGAAATTTTAGAGGTATGCCAGTTTGAAATCTGATTAAAATTAGAAAAGTTCTGGACTTGGAATGAGTGAGTTGTTGTCCATAACAAAATCAAGGATTATCAAAAAAAATTTCTCGCTCAGAACATGTTGTCAAACACGGGTTTCTTCAGTCGTAAATTACCACTTATTGTATTTTCATACAAAACATCAGTGCAAGAAATTTTATGAGCAGCGTTGAGGTCCGAGCGGGATTCGAACTCGCGCGAGCGGACTCGAAAGCCAGCGCTCTGACCAGAACACCATGCCGCATCACCCAGCGCAGTGGCTAAAAATAAGTTTGGTCTTAATTTGAAATGCCCGCTAGATGGCGGCATTGCTTGAAATGAGCTAAAGGTGGCTCCTTTCTTTGATTACTAGCTATTCTTCCAGCAATATTTATAGATTTTTATGTTTAAAAGTTATAAATAAATGATTTCACAGTGATCATTATTAAATTGAAACATAAATAAAGAAATATAAGAATTAATTGAATCAACATATTAGAAGTAAATACTCACCCCACCGTCGATGAACTGAACATTTCCCAGCAGCAAAACGGCGGCCAGGACACGAACAACATCCAGAAATGGTATTCCGAGGATTCCAAGGCAGGTCTTCCACGCCTGGAACCTCGTCGCGTCCTCCTGCTCATTTTGGCCGATGTCTCCCCGCAAGTAGCGCAGGTTGGCCGGCGAATAGCCATCCAGATGGAGCTTCTGCCGCTCCTCCCGGCTGAGTCCGGCCAAAAGTTGGTAGAATATGTGGTAGTTCTTCTCCTTCGGCAACGGACGGATGACCCGCGTTTGGTCGAGGAAGTAGCAGTGGATCTTGGTGCGATAGAGAGCCCCATCCGTCACCTGCACCTCGATGAACTGGCCAATGCGACTCGATTCCGAATTCGTTGTGGTCTTTGCCGATCCCAGGGATCTGAGGACTGTGAAGGCGGCGGCCAGGTGCTTAAAGGCATCCGTTTCGGGTCCTCCGCCGGCGATGGCAAACAGTTGACGCAGCATCAGCATCGCATTGGCCGTCTTTCCAGCACCCGACGTTCCCGAAAGGATAATGGCCTGCGGATAGCCCGTTTCGCTTTGCTGACGCACTGCCTCCTGGACGATCTTCTGCAGCTGCGGGGCCAATGGCAGCGCTCTCGTGGAGGTGAGGGTCAGCGGGTTGCCCACATCCAGGTACGGATTGATGGAGAGCAAGATCGGACCAACATTAGTCTGAAACAGCGCGCAAGATAAATGACAGTACATTAATTAGCAAGATGAGTCAAGAGATTTGGAGTTCATTTATAATTTCGCGGAAAAATTAAATTAGCAATTCTTCAAATTACGAGGTCAGCTAAAAATGTATAAGGATATTTCACACTGTTCTTGAAACTTGTAATAAATACTATCTAAATAATGCATTATTTCCTAAGCTGGAAATTCGAGGAGTAACTAAGAAGTTACACTTATAAGTATTTCTACTGCTATATAGGAAAGCATCTTCTTTAATTTAAATTGTTAAAACAATTTTAAACAATATATCCCTTAAACTTGGCGAATAGATTTCAAAAAGCAACTGTTTAATTTAAAGAAATCAGTTTTTCTTACTGAATGGAAGACTTACAAATAATAAATTACTATCATAACTGAAATTAACTCGTAACTGAATGAGCAACAAAAGCAATTTTCTAATTTCATATATTCTTTAGATAGGTTAAAGTCTACAAAACACATCTCTTGCGAACACTATGTTATTTGGTGGGCAAATACTGATAAGCAAATGTGCAAAAACCAGATTGCAGTTCCCCTGGCTTATGCTCACACCTCATCCGCAGCTCCGGTAACCGATCTGTTTTTCCCCTTCAAAGAGACTAGACCAGATCGACTTCCTTTGCCTGCCGACGAGTAATTGTCGAAATTAGCAGTTAATCTGCGGCTGAGAGCAAACGCAGTTGGCTTTAATGACAAACTATCACAATAATTGCTCAAGGCCCGTCTGTGGAACCTGTTCGTGGAGTCTTCTGATCTTTGGCGGTTATAGAAATGATTTTGAAGAGGCGGATCCCGCTAATACTCACAAAGTACCGCTGCTCGTTGAAGCGGGCCTGCAGCGTTCGCATTACGGCGTGTTCGGTTAGTGGGCCAGACAGGTGGATCAGATCCTGCATGTCCTTGGGCAGGGAGTTCACCTGCGGGTGGAGCTTCTGCTGACCCCCAGCGAACCCGAATCCAAAGGGCAGCGTCTTGACGCTCTGGCAGGGATTCGCGTGCTTCGGCTGCGGGATAAATGGCAATGGTTGGCTGTGGCCATGGCTAAGATGGTGTCCTCCGCCTGCTCCACTCGGGATTAGGTTTCCAGTGTTCGAGGATCGCATGGGCAGCGTGTTGGAGTTGCTGGCCGGGAAATGGGACTGGGAACTGTGCCCCAGAATGTTTCCCATGCTGCCCATGTGCGGCAGGGTCCCGGTGGACTGGCCATGTCCGCTGCCACTCTGGTGGTGCAACAGACCCGGCTTCTCCGCCAGCTGGTGCGGAAGTGGGTGGGGAATCGAGGTGTTCCTCGCCGACACCACAGCTCCTCCCCCGGCCCCACCTGCTCCACCAGAGCCCGAATTCGCTGGCAGCGTCTGGCTGAAGTTGAGACTCTGTTTGGGAAAGTGAAAATAAGTAAACCAGTTTGAAAAGTGAAGATGTTTTAAGACTTGGTAAGCAGTTACGGTTTCTACTACTTTTGGGAATATGTAAGATATATTTTAAAGAAGATAAATTGGTAAAAGTAAACGTATTTCACAAATTACATATTTAATTTTTCTTCTTTGATAACTCACCTTCGATGCCGTGTGATGACCATTGGTGTGCTGTTGCACGGCACTGGCAGAGAGTCCTCCTCCGCTGGAACTCAGATTGAGATTCGGACTGGAGGCATTCAGGTCAAAGCTGTTGGCTTTGGGGCCAGAGTTGGCCCCTCCCGGGGAACCATTTCCCTGACCCTGGCTCTGATTCTGATTCTGACCCTGTCCTTGGCCCACATGCAGACGATTCCGCAGAGTAACCAACTCGGTGCTCAGACTTTTGAGACGCTGCTGCAGATGCACTGCCTCATTGGATGAAGATGCATCTGAAAAAGACAGCACAAGCAATTAAAGAACAGCAAAAGAACACCCAAAGCAAACAAAATACAAAGAAATATTTATTTTTCTTTAAAAGTTTCATCTTACAATGGTTAATCTGAAACTAATCATTTAATTGCCCAAAAAGAAACTACAAAGTGATTTATACGTATATTTTTGTGGAAGGAATCTACACAATAATTTATTTGACCATTTAAATTTGGTAATGCGTTGGCAGAGGAGCTCAGGTACTCTGCGAACGCTTTTTGGGGTCACCAGACGAATTCAAAGTCCTCGCAAAGGACCTCAGCTCGCCTGCGAACACATCGATGCAGCTCAATCTAGCGAACGTAGGAGACGGAGGAGGATTTGCTGTAGCGCCCGCTGATCATGGGCACAATCGGACTGCCCAGGTTCATGGAAGTATCCCTCGGAAAAGGATAAACCACTGGTCGCCGTTCCTCAACCCATCGAATGGGCTGAGTCAAGTGCTGAACACTTTGGTCCACTTTGATGCCGCACTTCCTTCGGTGCGGCTGGAAGCCCGTGGGCTTGTGCAGTTTGTTGTGGGGATCCCTGTAGTAATCCCGCAGTTTCTGGCACTGCAGGTAGATGCTGTCGATCCTGTCCAGATCGTCGTAATCCACAATTACCAATCCGATCCGCGGCGCAAAGCCCAAGATGGCTCGGCGCTGAACCTCTGCGTTTTTGGCCACCTGCCACATGTCCACCTCGGGAATGGGTTCCTTATTCATTTGCATCATGTTTGTGTAATAACGAATTAAGATTGACCTTGTTTAACTTGTAACTTAAAGTTTGATTGATGACTAAAAAACTTATGCTACGTTTTGGAATGCAATATCCAAGCATTCTAGGCGCCCTTAAAATTCCAATTTCCTTTATCTATACTAATCTATACTAATCTATACTAATATTATAAAGAGGTAAAATTTGTTTGTTTGTTTGTTTGTTTGTTTGTTTGTTTGTTTGTTTGCAGGGAATAGGCTCCGGAACTACTGGTCCGATTTAAAAAATTCTTTCACCGATAGAAAGCTATATTATCGTGGAGTTAAATAGGCTATAATTTATTTTGAAAAAAATTAGGGATCCGTAAGAAAATTGCAATATTGTCGCATATAAAGTGAGTTGCTACCTCATCACACTGACAAACACGCTCCCATAGCATTTTAACTCAATTTTTGTGTTCACTGTGAAATTGTGAAAAAAAAGAATTTTTATTCAATTTAAGTTGAACTGTGAAAATTATGTGGATCGTGCATTTGAGGATAAATTCACCACTCTGTCCATAGTCCACAATGCTTAGATGACGACGTGCAAACATTGGCCGCAGACATCCAAGCCAGCAGCCAGTATATTCACAAAACTTAAGCGAAGAAAGACAAATGAGCACATGGAGATCATTGGCATCATTCAATCGCTTGGCATTCCAATATGACCCCACTGCGAACTACAGTGATAATGAAAATTTAGATATTGGACCAATGGCGACTATACTACCTTGATCAAAAAGTTCCCGACGTTTCCACCGTGTGGCGCTCCCAGTCAAACGATTTCAACAAATTTTTTCCCAGATTGGTAGAACTGTTCTTTATATTCCCACCAATTTTCAGCGTCATCGATTGACAGTTGTCAAAGTTACGTTGTGTTGTTTACATTAAGCTTTGGACGTATCTTCGATTTTTTTTATTTTAAAAAATGGATAGAAAACAAGAGCAACGAATTTGCATTAAATTTTGTGTTAAAAATGAAATTAGTGTTCCGACCTCTTTGGAAATGTTTGAGAAGTGTTTCGGTGACAATGTTTTGAAACTAACAACAGTTCGCGAGTGGCATGGACGGTTCAAAAGTGGCCGTAATTCCATCAACGATGATGACCGTTCTGGCAGGCCATCCACTTCGAAAACGGACGAAAACATCGGCAAAATCAAAGACTGGATGGCCATAAGCCGCAAATTGACTATTAGAGAGATGGCAGAGGAGTTGGACATTGCTTTTGGAACCGTTCAAGATATTTTGGCTAATGATTTGGGTTTCAGACGCGTCGCTGCAAAGTTGGTGCCAAAAGAACTGAGTTTCATACAAAAAATGGATCGCGTTGAGGTCGCCAAAGACATGATTTCCAAGGCTGAATCCGACCCAACAACCACCGAATTCACCGGATTTGGGTCCTGCGACTCTTACCTGTTCAGACTTAAAAAACCGCTCCGCGGAACGCGTTACAGCAGCCGATATGAGATCATGGAAAAATCGAAGATGGCTCAAAGGTTAATGTTAACAACACAGCGTAACTTTGACAACTGTCAATCGATGACGCTGAAAATTGGTGGGAATATAAAGAACAGTTATACCAATCTGGGAAAAAAATTTATTGAAATCGTTTGACTGGGAGCGCCACACGGTGGAAAAGTTGGGAACTTTTTGATCAAGGTAGTATACCGATATTGCAGTGCGTTATTGTTTAAAAGAGAAACGGCTGGATTGTGCTGCGCAAGTGGAAAAGTCAAACTGGAAAAGTGTTAAATCACCATCTTTCTATACTTCCATATATTTAAAAAATGTTGCAACATTGACTTTTATGTTGTTAAATTGTGTTGACCAGCGAAGCGGACACAGGCCCTCTAGTTTTGTATAAACTTATTATTATAATTTTCTTTTCCTTCTTTTACCTCTAAGATCTCTCTTATTTTGTTTAAAAATGCACTTAATGGTGCTGGGGGACGAAGCATAAACTCTCCGTTAAAAATGCCAAATCTCCGATATGAAAATCGTTATTATGGCGAAAAGGAATTTGTTTGGTTCTAATTAACAACTCAATACAACGAAAATCAATTCACACCGATTAATTTCGCCTAGGCCAACACACTTTTATGCACGCGAATCGGGCAGCCAAAGTCAGTTTAATAGATATGGATGGCGAGCATTAACATAAAATGTTAATGAACCAATTTCGCCGGAGCTGGAGAAAAATAGAGACGCTGAAAGCGCAAAGATGAAACACAATATTGGCGGCAGGTGGAGGCAAAATTTCAAAGATTTGTGTACAACATAGAACAGAAGATCAATGGGAAGACTCGGCGAGCAGCTATTAATGCTCACTGATTTATGAAGACTTTCAGAACAGGGCCGAGAGGTCATCGTTACAATCCAACACCCCAAAAAAGCTAACGAACTAACGAGATTTTATTGAGCCGATGCCTCGAGAAACCTGTCTACTAATTTTAACAGTTCAAGCCAGAAATCAAACCAATTAGCTAATGAAAAACGAGGAAAACTTCGAGAAAGAGTACTTCCAACCAAGTTTAACCATTGACCGATGTATCTTTGAACCAAAACAGAGAGGCAGAGCGGAGCTTACAACAAAATCAGAGTCGACAAAATACAGAAAACAATATCATTGATGACTTTTGCTCAGACGGAGGAAACCAGTTTGGTTGTTGGGTTTATATTTTATTTATTTTTTTTTTTCTGTTTTTTCTGTTGCCCAAAGCTGCACTCAAGAAATGTAAGACAAAAGGCAGAGAAAAAGGTACAGAAAAGCCTTCCATCGAAGTCATGCAAACAGTTTTGGGTCTTTTTACGGCTCGTACGATGATTAGACCTTTTCCATTTTAGTGACCGACAAACCAGGCTTTTATTAGATTTCGGATGGCAACCAATTAACTGGTGATAATTTCACAATATATCGGAATATTTTTGAGTGATTAGTAATTAGCTCTGGTGGTTTTTCCTCGATGTCGAGGGTTTCGAATCTCTCCCTCGATTTTGCATGTCCAAAAAGTTGGAGATGGCGAGAAAATTTCTTGGAAGCTGAACAGCAAGCTGAACCCAAACTGGTCGGCAAGCACAAGTTGTCTGTTTTTGGTGGGGAAGGGGGTTAAGGAGAGAAGACTGGAGTGGAGGAACAGTCGCGTCGCACAAATGAAATGTTGCAAGTCGAGAGGCAAGCGGCACCCATATAACCTGGTATCCATATAAGCGGATTCGGCTTGTAGTTATTGCCAATGATTATGAATATGAATTCGATCGACGGCGAATGTTCACGGAGGTTGATTGAAAAAAAAAAAACGTAAACTACCGTCCCAAGATGGTAATGACAAGTAAATCGAGAACCAATCAACTGACACCTTAGACAGATAGTTCAGAAAAGAAATCAGGCAATTGACTTGACCATCAAACTCAGTGTGATGTTTACAGAGCGAAAGCAAGATTATAATTAAAATGGGAATATTTATTTTACTGAAAAATATTCTGATAAATTATTCAGAGCAGAAAATTTGTTATCGCTTACAGAGAGGAGGAATAAATGGTTTGCAAAGATGTCTAAGCAACAATTAGTATAACACAAAACAAAAGACTTAAGCAACAAACTTCACAATCCTGTGTATGCTCAAAAATTATCTGTTGGCTTCAATAATCATTCTCAAAAAAATGTGACTGCTACAAGTAAGAATACATTCAGTGTATTTTAAACCACCAATTATTGTTTTATATTAGGTGAAACGGTTTAAAAGACTTATGCAACGAACCTTGGTAGTTCAAGAAAACCTCTATAAGATTAACTATATTATACCATTAAGTAATTAACCCACAAAAGCATCCTACTAGGATTAGAATTCGTACTTTTGAAAGATTGACAGTTTTTTTAACATTTTCCATAATAATAATATCCCATTATATTAATTGTCCTTTTACCTACAAGATTTGAACGCCGGTGACTAATCCTTGTGCTATTCAAAGGGACAATCTCTAACTCACCCTGCAGCTTCTTCTCCGTCTCCCAAAATTTTTGCAATTCGGTGAAGTATTTATCCAGTATGAAGACTTTTGACAGGCCCAATGTGGCCATCGTTGTTGAACATTTGTGTGGCCACGACGACGAAGACGAAGACGACGATTTTCTTATTTGAATAATTCCGTATACAGGCTCTCACCAACACCGATACACTCGAAAATGGCCCGGAGGAACAGGTTTTCGTATTCCTATTCGTACTCGTACTCGGTATCGTACTCGTATTCGTATTCGTATTCGTTTTTCTTTTTTCCGCACAGGCTCTGTGGCGGCGGCAGGCACCGTATCTATGGCATACAAAACGAACCCGAATCCGCGTCCGAATATCCGAGTGGCCACATATAAGCGTACGTATATATTCTCAGAGGGAGATATATATGTTTGGGCGGACGTGCACAAGTATGTGCAGCTGCAACAAGTGAAGCAAGCAGCACAAAACAGCGCAGCACACGAAAATAAGTAAACAGGCGAAAAGAATGCAGAAGGGCGAGCGGTGGCCAAAAACCAAACCAAATCTCGGGGAGCCTGGCCGTCAGGTTTTGGCTTTGGTTCTGGATCTGCTTTTGCTTTTCTTATATTATTGTGCTTTATTTTTTCTCTCTCCCCTTCTTTTGTTGTTGGCTTTGGCTGCTGCTGCTGCTACTGTTGTTGTTGTTGTTTTCTTCGCGACCGCGCTTATTTTCTCGTTTTGTGCAGACTTTTTTTATTCGTTCGTTTTTGAAAAACGAGTTTCCAACTTTAACTCCAGGTCGGTCGAAACGGGCAGTCAGACCCAGTGTAGATGTGCGCTTAGATACCTCAAAGGTACACCACACCAACACCAACACACACCGATACACACACACACACAAACAGAGGCGGAGTTTTTCAGTCGTTTTCCAGATTGATTCGCTGCCACGGATTTGCTGGTGGCACTTTCAACTCGCAGCCACCGCGTGACCTCTTCGCCGATTAATTATAAACTTTAATTGGGTTTTATGCGAGCTCGTTTCACTCGAGATCGCCGAGATCTTTTAGCTTTGAAAGTAGAGAGAGAGACTAATGCGAGCACCCGATGCGAACGGTTCAAACTCAAGCGGCAGACTGATCGCCTCTTTTCTGGGATGGCGTAGCTCCCAAAGATGTCGGGTCTCTCGAGTCTCTTGGCCGGAAAGAAGTAAACGCTCTCCCGCTCTGCAGGTAACTTTTCTAACAGGTAAAAGGCTCTGCCTTTGAGATGCGTGCAGTTGTTCAAATATGAGGTCAAGTGTTTGGACCTCCGCCCGCCGTCCCTTTCGTTTTGCTGGTCGCGCGTTAATTAGTGCCGATTGTTCATTGTTTCTTGTTTGCTGCAATTCGCAACTCCCACAGCCCAGTGCCAAACTCATTGCAGTGGAAATGCAAATTAATTTACGTCAGTGTTTACATGGTTGCTTTTTGTTTCGGAAAAACCCTGCAATGTGCTTATAGGTCATTAAGTGTTTGGTGCTACAAATCTGTTTCTAACAAATGTATATAGTTGACCAGTTTATCGTAAATAAATATTTTGAAGTACCCGCTTGATTCTTAACGGCTAAACTGTCTACGGACTGTTAACTGCTTTACGCGTTCGTCAGCCCTGGAAGCAAGCAGTTATTACTGCTTACAGAAATAATTGTCTCAGGCGTACTGCTTGTTATACGAATTTTTATATACTTACTGCTTGCATTACAAATATGTTCCTTTTAACAATTTTGTAACTCATAAATTATTTACTTTCGTCTTTTTCCAAAATTCATTTTAAGCGCTCATTTTACATCATTCTATAAGCATTTTAGAAAATTTTTTTGTTTGTGATTTATTATTTATTATAAATTTGTTTTTATTTAATAAATCATGATATCTGATTCCCAACACTCCTATTCCTCTTCAATATCAATGACAAACTGAAAACCACCATAACTTTTGCCATTTCGTACATAAGAAACATTGAATTGGCTTAAGCCTCGAGGTAAAATTGGAGGCCAATTCCGCGGATCAATAACCACGTTCTTCAAATAATATTCACCCTTTCGAAAAGGGCACAACTCATTGGCAGGTGGAACATTTGAGTCCTTCACCAGCGGCAAGAAATATTTACCAAAGAAGTTTGTGAACCAATCGCAAGCCGTGGTTTTCACATTAATATTTCCTTGTATCCATCTTCCATTCTTAAATTTCTGAATATTAAGCCAAATTTCGAAGGAGTCGTCAAGGTCGACCAAGTGAACAAAAGTTCCATTTAACAACCGATCTCTACCCAAAAGTCGGAAGTTAAAGATGAATAGCGTTTCTTCTAATCCCTCTAACGTATTAAACGACTCCACTCGGCTTTCTAAATTAACTCCCCAGCTCTGCAAATCCAAAATTTTGATTAGACTTCTATTTCCGCGTTAAGTTTTACAATATATAATGTTACCACTGAGAAAGTCCACAGGAACAAAAATGCGTTAAGCCTCCGGAAACACATTTTCCTAATCCAGCTGATATGAATTAGTAATACAAAATTTGGTATGATTTTTGTTCTTATATACTAATATCAGGAAGCAAAAGTTAGCATGCCTAACGTCGCTTAAATTGATCAATTACTACCCCTATTAGGTGATCAACGTATGATAGTAAAGGGGGAGTGGTTTATTCTAATGTTATAAAAAATGTAAAAAACCAATTACTTCCCCTTTTAAGTGATCAACGTATGATAGTAAAGGGGGAGTGGTTTATTCTAACGATTGTAATATTAGTTAGATACCACTTCTTTTGTAAATTTACATATCATTTAAATATATTTGGATATTTTAATATTACCTGTTATGTTTCCAGTTGTTTTGTTACACGCCTTCTTTCTTTTAGGAACCGGCAGTGTGTAAATGGCCGAGAACTTGGTAAACCTCTCCACCACTGCGGCGTTCGTCCTTATTGACTTCAGATCCTTAACCTCCGCTTTGGAGTTTTCTGGTGGGGATTTGCACTGATTGGGAATTGAGGTTTTTCTTTGCTTTGGTGAGGGCGTTGTAGAACTTTAATTTTAAGAACAGAAAAATATGTGAAAAATTTAGAAAGCTTACAGCAAACAACAGATTGTCTTAATTTCCTTTAGGGGTGGTTAAAGGTGGTGTATTTAAACATTTAACATATGAAAGGAATATTCAATAATTCTATAAATGTATCTATGCATGATAAAAATTTTGAAAGTACATAAAATACTTTTAGAGAACAAAAAAAAAGTAAGCTCACCTGACTGCCTTGTGATATTGACAGAAGAAATCAGGTCGCATGCGATGGCGACAAAGGAAGTCCTCGCACAAGCGAAGGACATCATGGTCCTCGCAGTTCTCGCTCTGACTGGTGCTCTCACTCTCCTGATCCTCCGACGGAAGATCCTCATTTTCCTGATCTTCCTGCCCCGCCTTCCCCTTGGGTTTCCCATCGTTCTGCTGCTCCTGCGGACTGTATAAAAATGCTGGAAGGGAATCCCCGAGAAAGTCGGGAATATTTTCAAAGAAGTCCGCCGTTCGCTCGTAACTGCTGCTGCTGGCATCGGAGCTCTTGGATCGCTGAAGCTCGGACTTAAGACCCCGACTTCGACTTTTGTGGTAGGTCAGCAGCTTGTGGCTACCCACGTCATAGTCGGCATAAGTTTGGTCCGGCAGCAACATAGCAGCCTCATCCTGATTGACCTACTCACAAGTCAATATCTTAAACGAAAAAAACATTGTCCATGAATATAGCAAAGCTTATTAAAAACAAATGTTTATTTTTGAATCCTAAAAAAAAAAAATTAAAAGGCATTTCATTGAAATTAACAAAATACAGTAACAGAGGATTTCTTTTTTGTTTAAGAAAAATTTAAAGATATACGAAAGAAACCTTTTTAACTACCAGTTTTTCCTTTTTTTTTTAAGGTAATAAAAAAATACTATAGAAAACTCCATTTAAGGAGTTCCCTACTATTAAAATGCTATTACTTTTAAAGTTAAAGTGAAATCCCGAAAGCAGTAAAAGCACTTTGCCTAGCAATTTAGGAATGGCTCCCTTGGAGTAACTAAATTGGGGTCACCCATAAAACGTAAAAACGATTTAAAAGCCATTGCAAATAAGCACATTGCGAATTAGGCCTCTTTTATGTTTGGTGCCTTTGGGAGTGGTGGAGCTTAGCAGCATGGCGAAAGTGGATTAGAGCTTGGGGACTCGACCTGCTTTTAAGCATGTGCTATCTATTCTATCAACCAGTCTTGTGGCGCAGACGAAAAATCAATCGCGACATCAATTCGCATTTTAATTGCTTTTAAATCAAGTGCGCATGCGTCTGGTCGCAGGCGGCCGGCTTCCGCGTCTGCAGGTCCATAAACCTGTCGGTTTATTGGCCCAGCCGATTACCACGATTAGCGTGACCATGACGAAGGTGACAGACACGGACGCTAATGCCTTTTACTGCCCAGCTCAGTGCTCGGATGGGGCTGGGAATGGATCTGCGCACGCGGAGAAGATGAGCCACGACTCGGAGATGGCTCGGTCCATGCAACATGTTGCAAGCGGGGCTAAACAGATGAGTTGGCTGGCCAAATGAGACGCACAATTTACGCCGCACGCGGCCACTTCGCCGTGTGGTCTGCCGAGGACTCTTCCCGTTGGCAATTAACTCAAATGATTGTCATAAAGTGTTGGACGTGTTTGGAGGAACATGTGGCCGCCATCAGCAGCAGAAATCGGAGACCGAGCCCCCGGCGTCGGCATTTTTCAATGTCAACTCAGCGGGCGGCGGCGTTTGACCACAAGAATCACACAGGAAGAATGGCATCGAAATTGACCAATTTGTTAAATAAATAAGAAGTTCTGTTACTCTTGGAAACAATTTTTCAACTTCGTAATTTCAGTTTCCAAAATCTCAACGATTATTCAAAGGCAATACAATTTTTTTTAATTCTCATTCAATACCACATAAAACAAATCAGTTTTTTCAAGTGCATAGAGTGTTCCTTTTTATTTCGCTTTGTGTAAAAGTCACTCTGAGATCACAGATATCTGATGATTACGCAACATATGGGAAGAAGCTTTTTCAAATGGAAGGAGAAGGGCAATTCCCACCGGACTGGCAGTCTAGTACTTTGATTTTGTCAATTTATTGCTGCTGATTGGCCCCGCCTTCCCCTCGCCCCATGAAGAGCATCTCGCGACTGACAGATTACACGGCATGGGAAATGTTTGGCCATAAATCGGCTTAACCAGCGGCGGAAGCGAAACGGCAGCCATCCCATCCGGAACAATTTGGCTATCTAAACATGGCTAATCGGCTGGTAGCGTCCTTTTCAGAATGAATAAAATATGTCATCTAATAAATGCGCACGGGGAGCTGCAACTGCAGCTATAGCTTTAGCTTTAGCTGGAGCATCGGTATCAGGTAGCGACATCGCATAAAATAAAATAAATCTCATAAATATGCAGGCCGTGGAAGTCGGGGGGAGAGATGCAGATGGAGGACCCGTTCGCTGAGAATACCTGGGCTACCTGGGCTACCTGGGCAACAGACTGACTACTGCTGACTGTCGGGCTTCCAGCGGAAATTTATTTATTCTAACTACGAGTACGATATACAGTTTCCACTCCAATCTGTAAAGTGGAAGACAAACGCTGCTGTGGGTCGCCCCAAGCTGGCCGGCTCCTCCCTTTTGGCCCTTTGGATCGCCTTCTCGTGTGGGGGGCCGTTGGCAATTTGCATTCGCTGCCAGTCCAACAAATCAGCATTCGTACAGCTCAAGTATGAATTAATAAGTAAGCCAAGAGCCCAGACAGATAGAAATGCTTTTAATAGCTGCATTTATTTAGAGTGAAAAGTTGAAACTATTAAGGGGCACAACTAGTGTGACGGCCTAAAAAAATGGTGATTTTTGGGAATTTTTATAAAAAAAACTACTTGATCAATTCTTTTCAAATTTTCAGAATATATTTATACATGTTTTAAGAATGTATAGTAAAATTTTTAAAGAAAAAGTTAAATATTTTTTAAGTTATAGTCGATCTCCAACGGCGCTAAAAAAAAAAGTGCCTCAACTGCTGCAGTGATTCCGGCCCTCTCCGTAGACGAAATCAAAAAATGAAAAATTCTCGTTAAACTAGATAATATTTTCCATACCATGAACTACGATAAAAAAAATATCAAAAAATGACAAAATGGCAGCGTTTTTAAAAAAAAATAAAATTTTAACCAAAATTTTGGTCGTTTTTGGTCTGCCAAAATTCGATTTTTAATCGGATCAAAAAACCGATAGTTCATGGTACGTAGAACTATATAAAGAACATGTAAAAAAATTTGGTAGTGATCGGATCACTAGTTTTTGAGTTATCACTGCAGCAAATTTGGAAAATGCTGTTTCGAGAAAAACGCGTTTAAAGATAAAATGATCGTTTGCACTGTTATGAGAGCGGCTGCTCTTTAAATTGTTATAACTCAAAAACTATTTGAGATATCGATTTTAAATTTTAATATGTTATTTTTAAAGGTGTAATCTACCGAAAAATTAAAAAAAATTTTTGGATTTTTTAAAACTTCACACTAGTTGTGCCCCTTAAGATGGGGATCTGGTAACCAGAGATATTTGTTACGTTAATTGGCATAAAATATGTAACATAGTACATTAATTAGTGAGTTAATATATTTATATATTAAGTTTTAAAGCTTAATACCTCGTTATGTTTGGAACAATTTAAAATAAAAAGTTAAACATTCAATAATGAAATACTTATAAGTTCTTAGAAATACACTTAAAGCTCGCCTGGGCAAACATTTACAATCAATTTGAAGGCATCGACTAAGCAATTTCCCAGGCCTGCAGATGATTACAGGCTAGGATTGAGCCCTTCTCTCGGTTCTAGAACTCCTCCCCCAATAAGAAGTGCACTTTTGACTCGCTACATGGAAATTACATGATTTAACTTAATTTAATAAAGAGCCAAGGGCACCAACTCCCTCCCATCTGTGGGGCTATTTGGAGCCCCAGCAACAACAGCTGGTATCGCATCGTGGTATCGTGGCTCGCTTTTGTGATTTACCGCATGTTGCCTCCTCGATCCCTGAAGTCCCTGCTAAGGGTCGAACACCGCCCCCGCCAAACTCCTCCAACAATTAAACTAATCTGCAGGGTTTCACCAAATAAGAAAGAAACTCAGCTAATGAGTAAACAACTCTTTGAAATTATGCCAAATAATATTAAGGGTCATATTTAAAATTTTTTTAGGTTTTGTGGCAAGCTCTGATATATAATATTTGATTTCAAAGTATGAAATTTAAAGGGTTTTTTTTACCATGGAATACAAAGTACATTTTTAAAAATTTTTATTCCATTTTAATTAATTAATTTTAATAGACCACAAACAAAGTATACACAATTAAAAAAAACTATCGAAACTCTTAAATATTTGTGTCTTTGTTTTTATACCAAGCAAGTACTCAGTTTCTTTTTAAGTTAAAAAATCTTTATAAATTCATTTACAGTTTGGTTTCCCAGAGTAAACCCAAACTTTGTGGATCTGTGTAGCCAGCAATAAAGTTGGCTTGGCGAGGCGAAGTCGGGGCCTGGCGTCTTGGTCGTCCATCAACGTGGTGGGGCTGCTGTCCACGAACCTGGCCACACTCCGAGAAAGCCTCTTGCCGCCCAATTAGGGAGGCGCTCTTGGCCACACTGCGACTGCCTTGCGGTTTCTTGCAGTGTACGGATTTGTGTAGATCAGGAGATTTTGATTAATAGGTGGTGGCTGCCAGGGTCTGGACGGTCTGGTCTCTACCTCTCGGAGACGGCCTCTTTCGGAGCTCCTTGGCCATGGCCTCGGGTTAGACATTGAGAAATATTTTTGCGAATCGAGTCGACAGACGAAGGCAGTCGAAACTCAATGAATTTTCGCTTGCTGGCTGGCTGTGTGGTTGTTGCTCTTGTTGATTTGGTAATCGCGTTTGTTCTGCCCGTTGTTCTACCCCCAATTGTCTGCGTCCTTGTATTGTACTGCAGAATCCAACCATCGCTCACTGAGCGCAAAGCGGATTTCGAACATAAATAATAATTTTCCAAGAAATTTCTTATCTGTGTGCATGTGTGCTTCCCCAAGTATAATTATCTATTACTGTTCAATTATTTGTTGGTTTTTTTTTGTTATTTTTCAAACAATTCAAATGATCTTAAAGAAAAAAAAAATTAGTTTGGATTACAAAAACTATGCATAATTAGAGATAAATCTAAAAAGTTTGTAAAATTTCTAAGTTTTTTTTTAAATTTATTTTACCCGGAAATATTTAAGGTCTGTTTGATATAAAATGAACAGAAACTCGATATAGAAATTCTAAAAAATTTTTCATAGTCGATCCCATAAAGCAACTCTATAGCAACTGCTTAGGGCTACAATTAAAACCTTCCCAGCTGTCAGTAAAAACAGAAAAAAAGAGACGTTTATCCAGCGAATCAGCCAACAATGTATGCGAATTTCGATTCCGCTTTGAGTTCGCATTCGGCATTAATATTCGCATTCCTGCCGAACATTTTCAACGGAACTTAAATGCATGAAAATTGCAAATATCGTCACGTTTCTGACTTTAAGGATAATTACGTGTGCATAGCTCAAGCTGCGAGAGATGCTGTAAGATTGGAGGGTGAAAGGGGGAAAAAGGGGCAGTCGGTTGCCTTCAACCTGTGCAAGATTCAATTTACGAATTTCACAGCCATAAACAAAGAACCAGCAGCGACCAAAAAAGAGGTTTTCAGTCACGAATGAGCCCAGGAGCCGAGGGCGGGGACTGAGGATCTGTTTTTTTTTTTTGCGAGAGGGGGAATGGGGATCTCAGAAGAATCCCAGTTGGGAAAATGGAAAGTAAACCAGCTTGTCAGAAACCCAGAAGCGGAAACGGAAGAGGAAACGGAAAGCAGCAGAGAACTCAGCAACACGTAGCGTGCTAATTTATGTGGGAGTCCCGCTCCGTTCTCCGTCCCACTCGCACACCTGCCCAACCACCTCCCACCTCCCACCTCCCACCTCCTCCCGCCTTAAAGAAAGGTGTGTGAAAACTTTTAATCGAATCTTAATTGCATTAGGCCCCAACAAGGCGCATCGCTCCAGCTTTAGATTCAGATCCAACTCCAACAATGCCAATTTGAAGCACGACGAGATCGCTCCATAATCTATCGATCTAAGTCCCAGTACACCAGTGAACAGAAAAATAGTTACTGCTTTTAGGTTTGTTTCTCTCCATTTTATAATGTGTTTACTTTATCTATAAACATTTGTTCAAAAGCAGGTTTTCGAAGTCTGAAGAATTTACATTAAATAAAACAAAAGTAAGCTAAGTAAGTAAAAGTAAGATAATACAATTTTTTTATTTACCTCAAATTAAATTAAAAGTATTTCTCAAAAATCTATTGCTTTAACCCCAAGTGTTGGGCCATCCATCTAGCCCCTTTGCGTTAAGTTTCTTGTCGCGTGCAGGTTACGCAATATCGAATCGTATCATGATGCAAGTGGATGTGGATGCCAGCACGTGTAGCCCGCTAAGGACCTGGCCAAGATCAAGATCGTGGTTGGCCCACAAAAACTTGTCCTCGCCATTCCGACGGCGCTGCACGTTGACATTGGAGCGATCGTCAATAAAAGGTAGCAAACAATTAGACGACTGCCGTGCCGAGATTTTTCTGCTTTTTAAAGCTGCCAGAGCCCAGCACTCCGGCTGTTAATATTTATGAATTGCAAAACTCGGTGTTGCATAAGCCATCATCAGTCAGTTGCGTCTTAAAAAAAATACAAGATCGATCATCTGCAGACGGCTTCAACTTGACCTTTTGACTTTTACCTGATCTTGGATCCTAGCTGTAAACAAACCAATCAGCGGAATCCCAATGATCAATCGTTCTTACTTGTTCCTTTATTCTGATTTATATATATTGTTCTTTACATTTGTTAAGGAATATATTATATATAATATTTTTTAAAACATAGAAACTTTACAAAAATATTCTTTAAGTTAAAATAACTTTTTCATTTTATCCCAATTTTTTTCCCAGCCCAGATTCTCATTATTAGGTCATGCTCTAAAAAAACACGCCCCCACATCATCAAAGTTTAACTAATCTCGACCCAATTTGAATTAACCTGTTTGTTGGCAATTACTTTAACTAACTGGCTTACTCCAAATTTTTTTATGGACACAAGTGCGTGCAAAAAACGAGTTGAACAAGGGGCTAGTAAAGATTTCTGCGTAGTAAAAAATCTTTCAAAAATACTATAAATCAATACAATCCAATCTCGTACGAAATGCCTCCAAGAAAAACAAATTATAAGCTTAGAAGTTGGATTCTATAGAGCAGAGATCACAGCAAAATAAATAACCATGAACTTGCCGCCAAGCCTTCGAGTCAGTAAGTAACCTGCTATGGGCAAACCCTCTATTGGAAATATTTATCTATCTCTCCCACGCGGCGAGTCAAAGAGCACGAGGATCGGCATGGTGGAAGGGGCACCACCCATTCCTCAATGGCTCTTTGTGGGCAAACAAATGTGGACACGTCCGATGGGCAAGTGACCCACGAAGGCCCCGCACAGAATCACATGCATAAGTTGGCCAAACCAAAACACAAAACCGAACCGAACCCCGCGGAACGTGAAATATTTTTGTAATTTGTGCAGGATGCGATAAAGCAAATGCAATCGCAATTGCCATGGCCGAGGAGCTATGGCAATGGCCAAAGCAATTGCACACCCTTGGCAACTATTTCCGCATGGGCAGAGCGGAATGGCAGTATGGATCAGAGGATGGTTGACAGCACACGGCTGCACACCCACAACCTGATTGGGGCGGGTTGGGGATCCGGGGGAACCTACGAGGATGGCGATTACTGGGCAGGAATCGCCGCCGCTTCGGGGTTCAATCCCAAGATTGGACCTCCCCTCGCATCACCTGCACCACCTTCTCGCCGTCGATCGGTGAGCCTGGGTCAAAATTGCTTGTTGGAATTTATTCGCAAGGGTTCTGCGATTGGGCGCTGGATATCCACTAATTTGTGACTGTTCCTCACAGACAACAGGAATTTCTCAAAAGTGGAAATGCTGATTCGACACACCGAAGCCACAGCCCGAGCAATTTACACAATTATGGAAATCACCTGGCCGGAGAGGCGGTTAAAAATATCCGATCCAAATACTGCGAAAGGCTATCAGATTGGACATTTTTCATGGGAAGATAGAAGGAAAAAAGATATGGAAGCCAATCCTTTTGGTAGAAAAGCATTTCGTTTCGATCGAATCTCACAAAAAAATCATCAAATATTTATTAACAGTAGGTCAATTTAAAAAAATCAATAATATTTAACTTTTTTATTATGGTGAATTTATGAACACATTATAAACAAAGCCTTTGTTTTGTTCTTCAAGTTTGATCTAACTTTCTTGGTATTTACTGTCCAAAACCCACAGCACCGTAAGTTAACAAATCTACAATTTTCAAACCCATTTGCTACTGTGTAAGAAATATTGTTCTTATCTTGGATAGATTAATAATCAGCTGGCTGGGCACCAAGCAGGAGCACTCACGATTGGCATTGGAGTTCCCAAGGCGCTCGTTAAGTATATATCCTCGCTGGCCAGGCGGAGACACTAACAACTAATTAACACTTCCAGCTACTTCCACGCCCACCGAACCGGCTAACCGTTTGCCGTCTGAATTAATGAACGAATTAAAGTTTGCGTGACGACATGAAGTGACTTTGGGAACGCAGGGAGCGTATTGGGGGAATGTACAGAAGGACACGGCGAAGACGACGTCATAGCCATCGTCACCAGCATCGCCACCATGGAAAACTCGAAGGCGGGCGGCTGCCATTCAGACGGGACAGCAAACACAACATCGGGCCAAGAAGCAAATGTCGTGCCAAACAAATACCTCAAGTGATCTGGCCGAGGAACTGGTTTTTGGCGGCAACCACAACGCGACAGCCAGCAAAAAAGGGAAAGAAAACTCAAGGATTCAACTCGAAGCTGGGGGCACCTTAGAAATGATCATATTAAGGGCTTTAATGGGAGCATTTAAAGTAAATTTGATTAAATATGTCACTTTGGTGTTGATTTATACACAAATTTCTCAGAAAATTTAGCGAGAAAACAGTTAAAGATAATGGTCATATAAAGGTATATATAGAGTATATGGATTCGAATTCGAAAGTTGAAAGTTAATTATTCGTAAGGTTAAGAAATAAGATTAAATGAAAAGTTGTGGGGACTCAATTATATAAAAAAAAAACAATAGCTTGCTAATCAGAGAAAAAGGCAAACAGTGCGCCAAGTTAAAACACCCTTTGTGGGGATATCAAAAGACAAAAAAATTGGCATAAATGTTTATGATACAGTAAACGGATGACGACAAAGAAACGGTTGAAGATGATGAAAAACCGGAGGTCTAACACCGCCTGACAGCCAAGTGGAACGTTATACTCGTACATGTATTATTTGCTGGCATTGTCTGCGAAGAAAGTGAATTGTAAATTGAATTGCATCTGATCAAAATGAAGCGAAACGGATGTGAAGCGAAAACGTGTGTCTCCCCATCAGCGAAATACTTTTAGGAGAAACTGTAAAAAATACTTATGAGAGATTAGCTGGGGAGCAAAGAGGGGCGAGGGCATACGAGACAAGGTGGATGCATTCCGCCTGAGTGACAGATGTAAAAGTGTCGTCCGACTGGCTGACATTGATGCATTCGTATTCCCATCACTCCATCGGCAGGCGGTGATTTGCAATACACGATGCACAATGTTTGGGATGGGTGAAATGCGTTGCCCCACCGCAGAATCTGCGATAACGTCTTTTCTGGGAGCCAAAGGGCCTAAACCTGGCTGCCTGACAGCCTGGGAATGGTATAAAAGAAGGGAGTCGGCCCTACGATATAATGCAAAATGATCTAGCTTAGCTCTTTTGGGAAGTGTCGGTGAAATCTTAGATTTGGTTGAGTGATTTTGAAAAGCATTCCAAAAATGCAATAAGTTTAAAAATCTTGATCTGAAAAACAAAACAGTAGTCTCGTTTATTATTGTTGTTTAATTTATTTAAATAAAATAAATACCCGAAAATGATATACGGAAGTTTAAACCAGAGTGTGTTAATTATGCCCTGCGCTCTATATGTCAGCAATTATTTTTTAAGCCTGCCTTTTCATTAAAGCAACATCTAGATCTTGTAAGTTATGTTTTCAGGGGGCTGTGCTTAGTGCGTGTAAATAGCCGTAATTAAGTTGTTGCTGTACAATGTCTAGCTGGCTAAGGAATTCTTGCCCTAAGGCTTAAATTTCATTATTCCTGAGGAAAATTCTAAATCAGTTTAAGGTGCGTGTTAGAAAAAGTTTTTCATCAAACTTGAACCCATTAATCTTCTCAGGAAGAAAAAAATAACCGATAAAACTTAACCCTTTACATCCGCAGAAATTAAATTGTTTTCGCAACTGTTCGCGGATCCACAAACCCGGTACTTTCGCACCACAGGTGGTTCCATTGAATCTCGTGCAACCCAGACACGCAATCCACTAAAGGAAACTAACGAGTAAATTTCACCGCGGTAGCTTATTTATCGAAGGCTTTCAAAAGGTTCTAATAAAAGCTGTCAATAACTAAGATATTTTATTGGTTTATTGGTTTATGGGTAGGTAAGGTTCAAATTGGGAGCAAGAATAATAACATTATTAGTATTCTGTTGCGGCATGACCTAAAAATCGGACTTATAAGTACAGTTGTATTATTTAGACTGTATATTCGAATTTTTGAGATTTTTATAATTTTTTAAAATATCGAAATCTTTGGATTAACATTTTTAATGAATTTTTTTAACAAGAACTTTTAGCAGCACAGCAATAATCTTCGCATTTCTCAGACTTAAAGTGGACAAAAAGCGACGACACGAAAGAATCGCGATGCCTGGCAACTGGGAGCTGCCTTTTAAGTACGGGCACGTCTCGTGCCCCTTATCTTTTGGGAATGACAAAAGTCGCTACTCAAATCATGCAAGCTGCCGAGGTTCCCCCATCTTCTTCGGCTCCAGCCTTGTGGATATTTCAATTCAATCAAAGGACCGCGGAATCATGCCCCAGCAACATGTTCATTTGTCATGGCTGGGGGATGAGAGCAATCCGAACGGCTCTGGGAGAATGGTAACCGGGGGCTCCCAGCGGGAACGCCAACACCTAAACACCTATAGGTCTTACAAGACCCCAGGCCACAGTCGACATACACATAAATCGCCAGCGAAGTGACCCTTCTCGGTGCCGAGGTAATTGCGTACTTACCGCTCTCAGCGGAACCGAATCTATCCAAACCTAACCGAACCGAACCAAACCGTAAGGTGAATTCGAATTCCCTCGATTGCGTGCCCGTTTCGGGAATAGATTTATCGTCTCGTTTGAAATCCGCACTTTATTTATGGCAGCTGGGGCCACATTTCTTTGTGGATCTCCCCCTCTTATTCTTATTATTTATTATTCTATCAAGCGTTACACTGTCAGCACCAGCACAATTCACTGCGCGCACTTTGTGGAGATTACGAGATCTCCAGGCGATCGAGTTCCGAACGCAGATCGGGGGACTACCGTACGAGACGACCTCAAGAAGCAATCTGCAGTGGCGCAGCAATTCTGAAGCTTTCCGAGGAGGCTACCTTCAGATCAGACCACTTGCAACTTGTTGCTTGCAACATGTTGGCCTGGGGAGTCTACATTTTAGTAGTTAAAAACATTATCAAAAAAAACAATGAAAATATTAAACAAAAACCATCTGTCCAAAATTTATTTTCTCTTGTGAATAATTATTCGTTTTATATTGAATGTTGTAATCCGCATAATAATGTACAATGCCGTTACTAATAAATTAAGATATATCTGGACAATTAAACAAGTATTTCAATTAAATTAAAATCGTTCTTGTATGTCGAAGCTTTTTATCTTCTTTAAACTAATAAGTTCATCCATATTGAACATTTGAAACCGCGTATTATTTTACAGAAGCGTTTACAAATTATAATAAAATATCTTTAGCCAACTAAAAGGTATTAAAATTTAACTTTAATATTTTTTCTTTACAAAAATCAGTCAATCCATTTAAAGACATTTGTGAAATTAAATCAATTAAATATGTAAATTTCCAGTTACCCTTACAGTTTGGCCATTTATGAATAAATTGCTAGGCTACGTTTTGGCATCCATTTGGCTGTGCACTTCAAGATACTGAGCCTATGATATCTTACCTGAACCTAAAACAGCCTTGACCTTATAATCTTTTCAACCTACTTACTAACCTTAGTGTATGTAATCTTACTCCTCGGGACGAGTCTCGCTGTAGAAGCCCAAATTCATGGTGGGAATCATGTTGCTGTAGAATGAGAGTTCTGAAGCCGAGGGACGCATTGGCGGAGGTTCTTGCACGACCGGAGCAGTCATGGCCGCGGGTGTCTGGTCGGCCATTCTGTGGGGCAAAATAGAAGCCTCCTGGGCACGCTGGGCCATCTTGTGTTGCAGCTGATGGACCTTAAGGTGATTCTCCAGCTCAATTTGATAATGGAAGCTAATGCAGCAAATCGAGCAAGTATAGCTCGGGCCATGGGCCTCCACTTCATGGCGCTGCAGTTGCTCGCGACGATTGAATCCCTGGTTGCAGATTTTGCAGGCAAACAGCGAGTCCATATGAAGAGCACGATGGCGTTGCAGGTCCCGCTCCCGTTGGAAACCGCGGTCGCAGACATCGCATCGGTAATTACGCGAGGTTTTCGTTGGTGCTGAAGTCTTTTGTTTTGCCTGGAACGCCTGCTGCTGTAGAAGCGCCGAATCGCTCTCCACTGGCGGAAGAAGTCCCATTTGCTGCTGTTGCTGCTGCTCTACGTCCCGTCTGGTGTGGACCTGCTGGTGTGCTAGCAACTTGTCCTTTCGCGAGAACGAGTAGGGGCATCGTCCACACTGAAAAGCCTTCACTTCGCCATGAGACCGCGTATGCCGCATCATTTCGACAGCCGTCTGGAAGGATCGTGGACACTGCTGGCAGACAAAAGGCTTGACGCCGCTGTGGATGCGCATGTGCTTGGTCAGATTCGTATTTCTCGAGAAGCTCTTGGAACACACGTTGCAGGTGTAGGGTCTCACGCCTGTGTGCACAATTGTGTGTTTCTTCAGATCAGACCGGCGCACAAATCCCTTTCTACAGTGGGCACACACATACGGACGCTCCGGATCGTGCAGGGTCTTAATGTGTGAAATCAAAGCAGGCCGCGTAACCACTTTCAGATTGCAGTAGGTGCAACAATACGGTGCACTGGGGTCGTGGGCATTCCGCTCGTGCTCCTGGCAGTCAGACGGAAGGGTGAAGCCGAGATCGCAGTACTGGCAGAGGAAGGCTCGTTTGGGCCTAGCCGTTGATGAGTTTGCATCGATCTTGGTGGACTTTTGAGCCGCCATCTGGGCGGCATCCATGCCCAACGGCATATCTACATCTTCGCCATTCTGTCCATCTTCTTCATCCTCTTCATCATAGTCCTCTTCATCCTCCTCGTCTTCGTCATCTTCGAATTCTCCATCTGAACAGAGTGCGAATTCATCCTCACTGGATTCCGCCAGTTTTTCCGGGTCAACGTCTATTATGATGCAGCCATCCTCGGGCACAAATTCCCCGGGATTGCCATTCAGGCCGGGCCGGTACTTAGCGTCATTCTTAATGAGGTCCTTCAACTGCTCCTGAAGCGACTGTTCTCGCTCCTGCATGCCCTTCCTCTGCTCAAAAGCATCCTCCAAGATCTCTAGGCAACTAGGGCAAATGAGATCCGACAGGCACTCATGACGATCGTACTAGACAAAATAAATTACTAAACGACCTTTTCTTGGTTTGGTCGCTTACCTGAACACCCCAAAGAATCTGGGAAATCTCCGCGATGGACACATCCTTGCAGCACTCTACGGAGCTCTCGAAAATGTTTGGTGAATTGGCATCCGTTTCGTGGTGGCAAAGTCGGCAAGTGCTTACCTCCCGCTCCGGGTTGGCATCAGGCTCCGATATAAACATCCCACGGCTTTAAGATATTCCGAAGCTCTCGGAATTTATATATTATGGCAAATATTGCAAACAAAGCCGTGCCGGCAAGAAAAAACGCGTTTAGCATTAGAGATGAGTACACACCTCACGCTAAAATCGATACTTCACTGTATTTCGCAACATGTGGCAATCGATTATCATGGGGTAATCGATTACTTTGGCACGGTGGGTGTATTTTAAAAAGAAACGCCGTTTTTATTAATTTAAATTTACTCATCAATTTTACTGAATCATATAAAATGTTCAGATTATAATATATATTTCGATTTCCGAGCATCAACAAAACGTCATTCACATCTGAAACGCAATAAGACTCTTGCGCTAAAACGCAATTAACTCTAAATTGAATATTGGGGTTGAAAATTGTATCAAGTAACAAGAAATTAACAAAACAAGAAAATTTATATTAGAAAATAAAAGTGTGTGAGGAAAAGTCACTATTTGTTTATCAATTGCCCACAGGTTTGTTCGGGTTCAGTCCACAATCATCGTGTGGCTCTCTCGGGTTTCTCAATTGCCCACGGACTTTTGGTTAAAACGGACGTCTCTTTTTGAGTGCCGGCACTCAGTCGGCGGAACGCAAAATAGCTCGAAAGCCTGTGCGAACGCGGGAAAATTCCTTTTTGTGATTAAGGATCAAGTGCTTAGTGGGTTAATATACTACAGTGCGGTTCTTGTTTGTTTTCAATTATATACAAGACGTTTAGTGCAATTTATTGCACTGCAGATGCTGCAAATTAAACTAAACACACACACACACATCGGTAAAACAACTGTTACGCCCACGCAGCACTAAAAACAAAAGTAACGGGGAGAGAACTAAAGCCGGAGCAACAATTTTCCACCCACAAGTGGGCAAAAAACTGTTTCGTGAGTTTGTACTATTTAAGTTGTTGTTGTTTCCCCACGTTCTGTCTTTATTATGCTCCTTTTCTTTGTCCTCATCCCCTCTTGTTCCTCTACCTCTTCTCTCTTGTCTCGTAAGGTGTGTGTGTTATTCCAGCAGGAATAAAAACAACAGCAACCCCATGTACATTTATTACTCTCTTTCCCAATGCACAGGAAACACATTTTTTTTATTTAATTTAATTTAAGGTTTATTGTGTCTATATAGAACTAATCAAGCATCAACCAGTGAAAGATAAATGTGTTTGCCATTATATTTTTGTTTAACAAACCTCATTTCAATTTTACCAACAAAGAAATATTCGTATTTCAAAATAGGTGTCTAAATAATCTAATTAGATTAAAAAGATTGAACTATTAAAGAAAATGTATAATATCCAAATACTTTTCGAAATGTATTTCTTTCTGTGTCCGGCCCATCATCCTGTTGACGCCGTTTTCTTTTAGTCCCGAGCTTTGCCCTTGCGCTCTTTAAGTCCCCAGAGTTTTATTTTTTTTGGTCGCCTGGGCCTGTTGATTTTAGGTTATTGGGACTTCGTACCTTCCATCGTTGCCATGCCGGGTGAAATAATGGTTTTGTGTTTAATAATTTAAAGCCTTAATAAGAAAAAAGGGAATTTTTAATATTATGTGTTGCGGCAAAACCAATGCTTCTATAAAACTTTGTACTCACTTAAGATTTTTAAACGTACAGGTCTTTTTAAAGGGATGATATCACCGTACTTAATCAATAATAGGCACCACATGCGATGCTACTCGATATTGTGTATAGCTTACGGGACTCTGGTTAATTTAATATTTTCACTCGAATACAAATACTATAAACATAGCTTATATGCCAAACGCCAGACACATAAATGGTGTCAACTTTTGTGTACCTTTCAAAAACAACAGAAGATTTAAGTTCTAATCATTTCACACGTTAATTACGCGTGAGACAATGATCATTCGATGAAGTCCGACCGCCAGATCAAAACAGTGCAATGAGTCAGGTTTGGTTTCTATTTTGTAGATTTCCTCTCATCAGACTATGCACTCGTTGACTTTGAACTTGACTCAAAGCGCTGACGCTAAATTGGCTGGCAAATTGAAGCTACCGGGAGATCCAGAGGCCGGTCGGATGTTAGTTGTTCTCCACGCCCGTCACATGCGTACAATCGCTGTAATAATAATAATGCCTATCGTTTTTAAGCGTGGAATCATGCCACAATCTTATCAGCAAAATAAGCTTATGCTAGCTGAATGAATCAATGTTCAGTTGTCACGCACACAGAAAGCTCAGCTGCGATGTCGAAAAGATAATGAAAGCCGCCAAATCGTTCAGTTTTACCCCCTTCGCAATATGGAAACGGACAACTGTAAACACAAAGTGAAACATTTTTCGTTTGCAAAATGTTTTCAGCACATTAACAGTAATGCTTGAATTAATACAATACATAGTTCACTCCACAGCAGTTTGCACATAACTTTTGATTTGTTGCTGGTGAGATCTCTAAAGCCGACAAACACAACTCCCTCACATTGATACTAAGGCCTATTTACTTACCAAAATAATCAAAATGTTTTCAAAACCTTTTTTGCTTTACACTTGCTTAAACATTTCAATCAAACAAAAATTGAAATCATTTCTTCCAAGGTTTTGTTGATTTAAAATTTATTAAGCCAAAAATCCCGTTACATAACTATAAACATGGAAAGGTATAAATGTCGATAAATACCTGGAAATTTTATGGCAAACCGTTGGTTTTCTGTAGAACTATAAACATTAGCCCTTGCAAATAATATTCAAAGTTAGCCGTCACAATATGGAGACGGAAAAATACAAAGAAACACTCATTAGTATTTTCGTACCTGTCCAAACAAAAATCAATAAAAATCCAAGGCAGCGGTAACCATCTGATCTGGACGCTTGATTAAACGTATTCAACATTCATCACGTAATTACTCCCCAAAAGGTCACACCAATATCAACAGTTCAACATTAATCTAAAGCTCTAATGGCCGAAAATTGTATCTGTAACGATAATTATAATTGCCATAATTGTTATTGCCAACATTAGAAGTTGTTTCGTAAATAATTTACAAGTTAAGTTTATTATGAGTGACTTCCAGTTCAAATAAACAATTGATTAGAGCTCTACTGTTGCCGGGTAAATTTAATATTAAGAAGATGTAGCCATAAAGATAAAAGGACCATGTGATGAATTTTGGGACAAAAAGTATAGTAATCTCAAGTAGCCTTCTAATTTGTTAAGTACACTTAACAACAATTCCTATGTCGTTACTAGTAATTTGCGTCAAATGTTGAATAATATTCGCAGCTTTCTAGGCTTTATTGCTTGAGTAATGGGTTGTAGAGTGAATATGTCCATAAAGATGAGCTTCGACCTCTATGTCACACTCTGGTCTGTGGGTAATTAGCTCATTTCCTAATTGTTTCACCAAAAGTTACCCTCTCTGAAAAAAAATTAAAGTTGCCATAAACAGTTCCCGTGTACCTCCATTATTGTAGTTTTTTCCCAATTTATAGATAAACCCAACATAAGTATTTTATTATAACTTCCAATCTTTTAATCAAGTTGATTATTGACTTTCATAAATAATAAAAAAACGGTTCTTGTGGGTGCTAGGTGTTGTAGCTATAAAAAGATTACCATACCCCAAACAACAGTAATCTATAAAAAAAAATACATACCCCTTTGTGCGCCACTTTAGCCATATCGCCAACACTTGATTACTATTCTGATCTTTCAAATCTTTGTACCCCTACTCGTCATTGCTTTACCAAAGTTCAGTGCCTTAATCCAAACAATAGCAACTGGTAAAATTCTGATAAGCTATTCGCAACTGCCAATATTAACGGGCCCACCAACAAATTATGGGACTCTTCAGTTTTATTTGCCCGATTGGCCGAAGCGGACGTGTGCCGACCTTGTTAAGGCATTAAAGAGGTTTGTTTGTAGAGGGATAATCATGAATTTATAATCAATCTTGACCTATCTAAAGTAGTTGGCAATAATCATGAATTTATAATCATTCTTCAGCTATCTAAAGTAGCTGGCAATAAAGCATTGAATCTAACAAAAATTGTTCAGTTTTGAATCAGCATTAATGTAAAGAGTTAAGAAACGCATCACATGAACATTTATTGACCAATCAAAGCAGTAAACAAATTATAGTGAATTGAAAATAATTTTCATAGTACCTGCTATCAAACAATCCCAAGTCAGTTGACAAGCTCTATTACTAGAGTTTAAGTCAATAATAAAAATAATTGCAATCAGCTGAGTCACTTGTGATTTTCCCTGTTATAATAGTAAGTTGCCAATCCAGAAAAGATCGATATGACCATAATTTTAATAAACTAAAAGTGAAATGAATATGTACACAACAATGCTTAGTTTTAGAGAGCGTAGCATTATGTGTCCGGAACTAAACCCGAAATTTTCATAACTCAGTTTCATAAAATTCTTGCCAACCAAAAATAGGTTTAGTGCCCCAAGTTTACAAAACACGAACCATTATTTTAATTAAACTAATTCTTATTAATTGTTTTTTTTAGTAAAAATACCTTTGGGATTGAACACCGTCCCAAAATGGCTTGCACATGCGAAGTAATTGGCCTTGCCTGCGTGGTCGCTCTCATACTAAGTGCTTCTGCCAAAGCTCCTTATCAGATGCGCATGGTCCTAATATTCTTTGGAGCGGGTGCAGTAGTCCTTATTTGTGTTCCATTTATGATTCTGCGACCGAGAGACTATCGAAATGCGCTGTAAGTATTAATCGCATTGCTTATTATGATTATTTTATCGTTTTTACCTGAGTAAAGAAGAAAAATACCCAAATTTTTATAAACAACTCAAAAATGTACTTTTAATTTTATTTTTGCAGCATCCCATCTTGGTTCTTCCGGCAGCTGTGTAGTCTGATGGGCATAACCATGGAGGTTCGTGGCTTGGAGAATGTGCGTAAGGACCACGGAGCTGTGGTGATCATGAACCACCAGAGTGCGGTGGATCTGTTGGTTTTGGCATACCTGTGGCCGGTAATCGGTCGGGCGACGGTCGTATCTAAAAAGGAGGTCCTCTACATTCCGTTCTTCGGCATCGGAGCGTGGCTCTGGGGAACTCTGTACATTAACAGGTCCCGCAAGACCGACAGCATCCACTCACTGCAAAAGGAGGCAAAAGCGATACAGGAACGCAATTGCAAATTGCTACTCTTCCCGGAGGGCACACGCAACACCAAAGACTCGCTGCTTCCCTTTAAGAAGGGCTCCTTCCACATCGCACTTCAGGGCAAAAGTCCTATCCAGCCGGTGGTCATATCGAAGTACTCATTTATGGACGACGAGAAGAAGACCTTCCGGCCGGGCCACGCCATTATCCACATCCTTCCCGAGGTGCCCACCGATAACTATGAAAAGGAAAACGTCCAGCAGCTGATTGACGAGTGCTACTCCATCATGCAAACCGAATACACAAAGCTGAGCAAAGAAGGCCTGGCCTTGAGCGCTAAGAAACAGGCATAGAACTGTATAGGATACGATTTAACTCAGGTTACATGGAAATAACACCCAGATATACACAAGTTCCTGCTTGGGAGATTTAAATTATATTTGATCTACAAGATTTGTCTAAACCTGAATGAGAGGAATCAAAAGCAACGGAATCCGGATTTGGGAGGGACGTGGAACCAATTGCCTAGTATTAAGTTACACAATATCATTCTATGGGTGTGTTTTCGATTAATATTAACTGTTTTACCTCCAGTACATGCATGTGTATGCCTAGAGCTTTTTATGACAAAACCAAAATCAAAACCAACTTTTACAAAAGGAAAAACACATTTGCTAATAATATAATGGCTTATATGGCTTATATGGCTTACATGGCTTATATGTGAATAATGAAATGAGACCTATTTAATAAAAAGTTCCCAATGAACAATAAAACAGAACACATTTTCAAAGGAATAGTTTAAATTCCCGTTTCGACTTATATACTGCTTGCAATAACTACACAACTTTTGGTAGTTTCAGCAAGATAGCTTTAAAACTGAGAAACTAGCTTGCGACACATAACAAATGCGTATTAATGTGTGGAGAAGGGGGGTGAGAGGGGGAAGTCTAGTGTACCCCCAAAGGGGGGGGCTAATTGCAATGACTTCAGCAAGGGAAGGCCCCACTTCGATTTCCATTTTTCATTTCCAAGAAATTCGCTTAGTTTGTGGGTGGTCAGCGATCGTAGATCGTTCAAAGCCCTCCGGGGGCATTTGCTTGCATTTTTAATTCGTTTTTAATCAACTATATACATATATACTTTATGGGGTCTGAGGTGTCTCCTTCACTGCATTACAAACTTCTGACTGAAATTATAATACCCTTTGCTCTGCAGGGGTATAAAAAAATGTAAAAAAAATCTACTTCGCCCAACTACTTGCTAGAAGCAGAAATTCTCACATGTTCAAATGTTGTGAGCAACGGTAGCCAACAGGTGAATTAGTAAGATTAACTGGAATAATTTAAAAAACAGGTTTGGTATGATGCAATTTAAGTAAGCAATCTTTTCAAACGTCAGTTTTCAGCTCGCAATTAAATAGGTTTCATTTAAATTTTCTTTTGTATTGGCGCGCTTTATAGGCTGCCTATCAATTTATCGATTTACGTTTTCACTTACGTTTTCTTGTTTTCATCACGTATCGTAGACGCAATGGGTGTCGCTTTTCGATGTTATAGTCAACAAGTGTGCGATGCAATGGAAGCCCCCGAAATAAAATTAGAAATTGTGGATGATGTACCGCCAGAAGACAACCAGTCTAGTCAGAAATTGGAACCAAAAGAAACTTTTGCAAAACACCAGGAGAAACTGTACGAAATCAACAGAATACAAGCATTTAAAGATGTTCCCTTTCTGCTAAAGCGCATGGAGCCGGAAGACATGACCGTGACTTATGGAGAAGCGGTGGAAAAAGTGCAGACAATGCTGAATTTTTTAAAAAGCAATCAAGTTCCTGAAGGAGCAGGAATTGCCCTCCGCATCACGGAACACACGCCAACCTCATGTCTTCTAATTCTTACGTATGAAACGTTAATTGTTTATTATAGTACTTCTTAATCATTATTAACTTACAGAATACTAAACCATAAATGCTACTTTTTCCCGACGGACAAGATGATGCTGTCACAGGCGCTCTACGAACAGATGTCCTTGGCGGGAGTGGAATATCTGCTGGTCAACAAGCATTTGGCTGTTGGAACTTTAAACTTTATACGTCTGGGCTGCATCACGGCTTTTAACGAAGAGTGCAAGCTGTACAAGGTTAAGCACAAGCCCACCGATGCTGTCGTCCTGGCCAAGCGAACCCTTCCCCCCAATATGTGCTACACTATTACCACAACAGGAAGTACCGGTTGCCCCAAGCTCATATACGTTCCCTACGAATGCATCGCCCCAAATATAGTGGCGCTTAGGTAACAAATCGAATTATATAATAATGTCCAGCTAATCAATGTCATGCCTTCCAAGCCAGAAGCTAAACGTCTCCATGGCCGACATAATTTATCTGGGAACACCTTGCACATTCGATCCATTTGTGGTCGAGTTCTTTTTGGCCCTGCAAAATGGAGCTACTTTACTGATCAGTCGTCACTCGATGAGAGACTCTCCCAGCAAGGTGCTAAGTGATCTATTTCCCGACAACCTTTCCAAGCCGGGAATCAGCATACTGCAGATGACCCCGTCGCTGTTCCGGCAATTTGGAGCCACTTCTATCAGAGACCGAATATTGGTTAACTCTAGTTCACTGAGGTGCGATATGATTAGGGTTATCATAAGATAGGGTTAGTTGCCAAACGAAATTAAGTAAATACTAGTTAATCTAATCGTTCTTATCCATAACATAACTGTGTCCTAATTGTATACATTATTTCAGAGTTCTGCTCCTGGGCGGCGAGACATTTCCCTCCAACGCTGAGCTAATTACTTGGATGAATCCATGTGTTCTGTTGCAAAAACATATTTGCAATATCTATGGAATCACTGAGTTATCCTGCTGGAGCCTCCTTCACATCGTTCAGTCCCTACAAACTCAAGTACCCTTGGGCAAGCCCATTGAAGACGATACGGTCCTTAGAATTCAATGGCAGGACGATGGGGATTCCCCAAACGGCGAGCTCTTTTTAGGCAGTGCCTCACGGCGTTGCTATATACCAGAAATAGATGATGCAGTGGAAACTGCAAGAGAGAATTCCGGAGTTTGCTTCAGAGCTACTGGGGACCTGGTGACAAGGCTTAAAGATGGAACCCTGTTCTACGAGGAGAGAGCAAACGATGTGGTGAAGCGAGCCGGTAACCGTATCAGCTTGGGTGAGAACTTATCCAGTATATAACAAGTCCAGAAATGTTATCACAAAAAATTGCAGGTTCAATGACTCGCAAAATTCAAAAATGTCTGCTTAGCAGCGAGCTGGTCACTTGCATATGGCTGGAGGACCTGCAAAAGGTCATCTGCTGCATTCGAACACCGCTCTCGAAGTCCAGAGTTCAACAGAGGGCTCAAACTTTTGATATCCTCTCCAAGGTGTCCATTGCGGAGCAACCAGATAGGTTTATCTATCTGCAAAACTTTCCCTGCAATGTCCATGGCAAATTGGATAAACAACAGCTGCTCAAGGAATGCATTCCCCTCGCTCAACCCGCTCAGGAAATATTGAAGAGCTATCTGCACGATAGACTAGAATGTGTGGAGGAAACGGAAGCGAAGAGGCAACGACTTGAGGGCAGCAATCCCAGCGGTTACGACTTGAGCTTTCGCCAGGCGGGTGGAACATCGTTTCATGCCATCACTATTTGCCGAGAGATCGGCCAGCAGATGTGCATCGATGACGAGCAGAGGCACTTGTTTGAGATGCTACTGGACGAGAACGTTCCGCTGCGAACAGTTATACGGTTCTTGGATACGGCCAAGTTGGTCGCCACTAACTTCAAAAGGAAACCTGTTGAACAGGCGGTTGTTAGTTCCTGCCCTGCCGGACTGGTAATCAAACGGATTGAACAGCCGGTCCCAAAACTTCTGTTCCACTGGAAGGCGAACTTTGAGAAGTGCGTGGACTCGCCAGTGACCGAATATGAAGGACGATACATTTGCGTGGGCGCACATTCCAAAATTCTGCGAACTTTTGATCCCCGAACGGGCATAGAGCAAAGTATAGTCAGGCTACCCGACCGTATCGAGTGCAAAGTGACGTTTCTTAGTGAGCAGCTTGCAATGGTCGGCTGCTACGATGGTTGCCTCTATGGCTTTAATCCCCAAAACGGCGACATTGTGTTTCGTGTGGGTATTGGTGGCATGATTAAATCCCAGCCCTTGCTCACCGCCGACGGCCGTCGGATAATAGTATGCAGCTATGCAGAAGACTATAATGTCTATTGCTTATCTGCGGAACGGCAGGAGGTGCTGTGGTGTCTAAAAATTGGTGAGAAACCGATCTTCGCCAGCCCTCTTGAGTTGGCCGGCGAACAGTCACTTATTATTTGCACCTTGGACGGAAGTTATTCGCGAGTCGCCATCACAGATGGCTCCGTTGAGTGGACGCAGAAGCTTAGGGAGCCGATCTTTTCCACTCCCGTCCTAATGGAACCCAAGTCCAACATCTTTCTGAGCGCCGAAGTTGCTGGGCGTGTGCACGCCTGTCATGTGGGCAACGGAAAAATTGTAAGTAATCTTTGTTTATTTCTAGTTTCAAATCTATAAAAATCAATTTCGATTTTAAGTTGGGAACCTACAACACAGAGGGCAACATTTTCTCATCGCTGGTGGTCAAGACCCCACCCACCTTGATGGGACACGCCTTTGTCGTTTTCGGCTGTATCGATCAGCATGTTTATTGCCTGCGTTGCAAAACTGGATACGGACGGACCTCAGTTGACTTTGAACTTCTGTGGAGGATAAAAGTGGGAGCACCCATTTATGCAACGCCTAGTTTGCTCACTGTGCAACCGTACGGGGTTTTGGTTTGGTGCGCAGCCACAGATGGACGCGTTGTACTGATTGACTTCGGAAAAGGCGAGATACAGTGGTCGGATAAACTTCCCGGCGAAGTGTTTTCCAGTGCGTGCTATATTGAAAGCCTGCGACGAGTGTATGTGGGATGCCGTGACAATTTTCTATACTGTCTTGGCATATAGAAGAACACACAAAAGAATTCCATTTAAAAACTGTAAATAATTTGAAACGTGCCTTAAAATAGCTAACACTAATTGGAAATAATTAGTTCAATATACAAAATAATTTAATATTAAGAATTAAAATTCGAATTTTAAGTTCAGATAAATGTTAATTTTTGTTGTTTTACAAACCTTTTTTATATTTTTTACCAAAACAAATGAAAAAGTAAACGTATACCAAAACAAATTAATAAATATTCATATGTCCTTTAAAATTTTTTATGAATTTGAAGAGCAAGTTTCGCTCGAAACATAGTGAATCATAATAGAGATTTTTAGTACCAGCGTACGCTTAAGTAACCAAATCATAAAAAGTCATGAATATTTATTTGCTTATATTTTTATTTTAAGATGACATTTACAATATGATTATTTTGAAGATGGTACAATGCGTATTGATTTTTGTTTTTAAGCTGGACAGATATGATCCACTGTTCCTTCGGTGGATTCGTCGGAGCAGTTATCAATCCAAATCAATCCGCACTTGCTGCACCGATGGCAACACATTGATGTAGCCGAAGACTTTGGACTCCTGCCCTCCTCCTGCTCCTCTTGGATGTCCTGGAGAGCCTGTCGTTCACGGTGCGTTTGTCTTGGAGCCCTGAATAGCGCACTTAGCGATCTCCTCCTTTTTGGAGCCTTGCGATTTTGATCTTTCCGCTGCGCTCGTTCTTCCGCTTTTTTGGCAAGCTGATCTTTTTTTTTCTGCTTACGGATTTTTGCCAGGAGTATTTCAGTCGGCGTCTTTTCCAGTTTGGCAATGTAGGCTGCCAAAATCTCCCGCCTTTTCGCAACAAAGTCTGCGGTAAAGTCCGTACGTTCAGTATAACAGCTTTCAAATGAAGTTTTTGATAGTACCTCGGCTTCTGCTAGTCGGGTCTCGTTTTTAGCCTTCATTTTTCGTATCCTTCTTTGTCTCGATTGCAATACCAATTGATTGCTTATGTACTGAAAATTTCGCTCTAAAACCGGAAGCATTTCCTCAAATTTTTCATCCGAGATGGGTTTCCCTTGAGATAATATCAGCACGTTGAAGTGCTGAGGATCATACTTATATCTTTTAAAGATTTCGAGATCACCTGGTTTTGTAGGCACTTCCCTGTGCATAATCATGTTTCCCATTCGCTCCAGGTCCTTGTCAAATTTCCTTGATCTTAAGGCCTCCATTTGCAACCGTACAAAGGTTTCGTGGATAGGTTTTGTCGAGGAAGTGTCTAAATGGGATAACCTTTTAGGAATTCCCAAAGAGCCCAAGTTAGTAGAAGAAACAAAGTTATTGCGAATTTGTGACCTTCTGCTTCCTATTGAGGAACTGTCGTCGTCAATGTCGTTTTTATGATACTTAATATGATTGTACAGGACCTTTTGGACATTGTGAAGATAACGCCACTTGAGAATTCGCTTCAGTTTCTGGATATCCTCGGGGCTATGCGCATAACTAAACCACTCTTTGTAATTATCCACCAAATCGTGCCACACTGCATTAATTCGATCACCATATTTAATCTTGGATATTGTTCCCAAAAATGTGTTCAAAGACATTCTAGCGAGATCGATTTTTTTGTTCAATCTTTTTCGCTCATTTAAATGTACTCCCTTATCTTCGAACAATCTGTTAATAATGTTATCAGCTACTAACGACATTGGCGGTAGGGTATCATGTAAAAAACTTTCCGTCGATTTTACTGGAGATTTTTCTAATAATGATTCCACACTTTTCCGCTTAACGGATTCTCGAGATATCTTAGACTTAATTTTAAAAACATTAATCCTTGATGAAAACCCTAGATTTTTAGGTTCATTAAGTTCGTCTTTAGAATTTGTTACCTTCTTCTCATTAACCGAATTATTTTCAGTGGGCTTAAAACCGATGACCTGGCGAGCGGCTTTTAATTTTTCGTAAGTAAACGAATTAAAATTGCCTACTTTTAAAATGTTCTTGGTAGTCTCATTGTTGTTGCTTTTATCCACATTGGGTAATTTTGAAGGATCGTTTCTTAAGGGTTTCTCCTGAGTCTCACCGAGTAATTGTGAAAGTTCGTTTTTTAAGGCTTTCAACTTAGCCACATCGAGTAATTCTGAAGATTCGTTTTTTAAGGATTTCACCTTAGCCCCATCCAGTAATTCTGAAGGTTCGTTTCTTAAGGGTTTCTTCTTAGTCACACCGAGTAATTGTGAAGGTTCGTTTTTTAAGGTTTTTTTTGCCACATCGAGTAATTCTGAAGGTTCGTTTTTCATGGTTTTCACCTTTCCCACATCCAGTAATTCTGAAGGTTCGTTTCTTAAGGGTTTCTCCTTAGTCGCACCAAGTAATTGTGAAGGTTCGTTTTTTAAGGTTTTCTCCTTATCCATATTGAGTAATTTTGAAGGCTTGTTTCTTAAGGGTTTCTTCTTAATCATACCGAGTAATTGTGAAGGTTCGTATTTCAAGGTTCTCTCCTTAGCCACATCGAGTAATTCTGAAGGTTCGTTTTTTAAGGTTTTCTCCTTAGCCACATCGAGTAATTCTGAAGGTTCGTTTTTTAAGGTTTTCTCCTTAGCCACATCGAGTAATTCTGAAGATAAGTTTTTTAAGGTTTTCTTCTTAGGCACATCGAGTAATACTGAAGATAGATTTTTTAAGGTTTCCTCCTTAGTCGCTATAAATTTTCTTGGAATTTTTTTGTGACTCCGATGCCACATTTTCATTTTTGGAAATTTACTTTTGAAACTCTCAAATGACCTTATTTCTTTTTTCGATTTTCCTGCTCTAGCCGATTTTTTAGTTTTGGTAATTTTATTTTGAAGTTCTGTGGACCTGATGTAAGGAATCTTTTTCCTACTACCTTGCAAATTTTCCTTTTCGTCGATTGAGAAATGACTTTGTGTTTCCGTACCTCGAAAGTCTTGCATATTTGTATATGAATCTATTGCCATTATTCGTTTTTCTTTATTTTTTTGTTTTTTTGTCTTTATTCTCGTAAATTTATGAGCATCCTGCAGATTTTCTTTAACCTCGTCCTTTTCATTACTCTTACCTTCGGCTTTAAGTTCCGTTGCTTTATAATTGCCTTTTTTGTCGGCCAACAATATTTTTTGTTCATTCTTCACTTTAATTTTTTGTTGTATTTTTGGGTTAAGATAAGGAAAGTATTTTTGATAACTTTGCAAATTTTCTTTTCTTCCAACTGTTATGTTGTTTTCGGATTTTTGGGGAGCTAACTTTCGGGGGTCCACAGTAGTATTCACCTTTGATTTTGGTAGATTTTGGTAGACCCTTGTTGTGTGATTTATTGGGTATTCGCTGGATTTTTTGGAAAGCTTACCTAATTTATAACACCCTTCTGTTCTTCTATAAAATACTTCTCTTGATCCTGATCCCAAATTTGTAGTCCTTCCACCACGAATTTTGCTTTTATCTATAATTTTTTTGTTTTTTTCTGTGTCTTTTGCTTCTCTTTTATGGTGAACCAATGGTGTTAGATTGCTCCTTTGAACCTGAATAGGCATTGGCAATTTCTTATTGTCACTGAAACCTTTTTTTTTGACTTCAGTGCCAATAAAAAACTGACAAAAGTCTTTCTCGAAAGGTATTTTTAAAGCAATCCTTTTAATTCTTTTTATTCTTCTAACATACCGCAAATAATTTTTTATCATAAACCTTGTCACTTGAATACATTTATCAGCTTGTTTTAAATTTCTCCTAAGAAACTTTCTGATCATTTTAGTTTTAAAGTCTAATAAGGCTTCCCTTTGTTCTATTGAAAGCTCCATAGATTTGTACTCATTGATTGCCTTGTTAAAATATTTCTTAAGGAATAAACTGCTCGATCTATGATGGGACAACTTTCGTAAAAGTTTCCTTAATGTTTTGCCATTCCCTTTATCCTGCAGATCATTTTTTTCGATCTGTCGATTTTGTCGCCTTAACAAATGAATGCACTCAGCTAGAAGGGATCGACTCTGATGCAATGGAATCCTCTTGATCCTGGAAGATAGTCTGCCGCCTTCCTTCAAAAGATTGTTGAGCAGCTTTTGCATTCGTCGCGCTTTTTTTAATCGCCTTTTAAAGCCCTTCATGTGGGGAGACTTGCGGTTGATATTATAAGAAAGAGGTCGACCATAATTTAGTTTTAAAACCGTCTTAATGCTCCTGTTATACATTTGATATCCTCAGAGTGTAATAAAAAACTGGCACAAGAATAAAATGAAAATAAAACAGAAGTTATTCTCAAAGTTGCTGCGAAATCTACAAATAAATAGTACATTTCTTTTATTTTCAAAGTGTATTTAAAGTAAAATCTAGAAGATGATTTTCATCGCACTGTAAATAGTTTTCACATTCGTATTAAAAATAAAAATTGTTCAATTTTTTGTTATTTTAATCTAATCTTTTTCTATCATATCCACTTTTTTTCCAGTTATATTTTACATTTTCAGTTCAGTTTAGTTTTATATAATTTTTAACTTTACTTTTTACTAGCTTTCGCAGACTTTTTTAGAATCTCTGCTGCCTTCGCTTTGTTTAGTCGCATCTGCTCCAGATCCTTTTCCCTTTGAGGAATGACTTCAACGCTGTTTGGTATCCGTGGACACTTTTCTGGCTTCGGAGCCGACTGCGATGAAGACGGTAGTTCTTCTAAATAAGTTCCAGTTGGAGCCTTTCTTTTACCACGTTTGGCTCGGGTTGTTTTAGCTTCACCTTCTACGTTGGCATCCTTATCATTGGACGCCTGAGCTGTTTTTGCCCGTTTTACGCGTGTCTTCTTTGGCTTTTCTGGCGTTTCATCTATTTTTCCTGACATCTTGTCAATGGCCAGTTGAACACGTTTGCTGACCTGCGGCTGCTGAACTCGCAAAGCGCTTTTCGCAGTAAAATAGTTGCGAATCGAGCCCTGGATCTTTTTCTCGTTGATCTTCTTCATAACGGGCATAAGAATGTCATCTGTTTTCGTAGTAGTCCAGCCAAAAGATTTTCGCGCAAACTCCCTGATCGATTCTACATCTGGTGTGCCCCAGCTAAATGCCTCCCGATTGTCGTCGATTGTGGGTGCCAAATAAGCCTCCACCACTGCTCCGTTAGGGAATCCCTCGTGGAGTTCGATGTTCTTTAACTTTTTGCGAAGGGAAAGGCGAGCTGAGTTCCCTGGAGGAAGATTGCTGCTCTTGTGAGCCTGCCACCAGTCGCGGAACTTGATTAACGTTTGCAGCACCGATTGGTTGCAGACACCAGCTGCATTCGCATCCTGTCCGGAAAACGAGGCTAATATCTCCAGAGCCGTCACGGCACCAATGCCATGAATTCCGGTAGTGTAGTCACTGCCCACCAAACAAGCCAGCTGAATAAGTTTTCCCCTGTTGCAGTTGAACGTCTGCTCGATCTGTTCGGCTCGGAATTCCAACACATGCTTGTTCTGGGCAAAAAGTTCTTGTACACAGTTCGACCGCCAAACAACCAGATATCGCTGTCATCCGTGATTGTGCCGTGGGTGAGATCGGTGGCGTTGAGAAAGGCACACTGCGCCTCCGCCTCCATGGGCGCAACAATGTACGGAATGCCGAAAAGGCGCAGCAGCTCCTGGCAATCGATGCTCATGCGTTGGCTGATGGACATGCCCATGCGATCCTGCCGATTGCGTTCGATCTCCAGCTCCTTGCGTTCCTTGGCAAGGTTGGTGGCCATCTCTTGCAGCTCCTCGGAGGTGTTTTGAGACTTTAAGGCCTCCGCTGCATCTTTTATAAGCTCCTGTTAAGATCAAGTGAATAATCTTTATTTAATAATGAGTCTTCTATCCAATTATCTTTTTAACAACATACCTCAGGGTCTACAGTCTTTTCCTTCTCCACCTCCTCTGACTCGAAAAGTGATTTTGAAGCCTTGCTGGATCTTTTTGTTGGTGAAATTTCATCATCGCTGTCCTCATCTCCATCGTTAGCTCTTTTACGTCCGGACTTTGGTGTTCGCTTCCTGAAGAAGGGCTTCGGAGTTTTCGGTGTGGTCGGAGCCTGTTCATCCGTCGCTGGCGATTTATCGGGCGTTCGCTTTACCACATAACTGGTTTCAAAGAAGTCCTTAATAGACTTGTTTTTGCTAGGTGTTTTGTTAGGCGAAATGCGGTTCTTATTGTTATCGTCGCTGTCGCACAACTCAATTACTTCCTCCTTTAAAACGGGTTTTTCTGCTTTTGTGGCTCCTTCATCGTCGGATGACAAAACGATGGAGACACTATTGCTTAGTTTGACCTGATCCAAACTTATGTTTTTAACCTCGGCCATTTTCATTTTAAGATCTTCCAAAATAGAACCGAGTTCAACCTTTGGTTTTGGTTCTGCTTCCTCAGTTACATCTAGTTGAATATTTTTTACTGCAGCAGTTTCCTTTTTTAAGTCGCTTAATATGGAGTCTAGATCAGGCTTGGGTTTGACTTCTGCAGGAATATTTTCCTGGCTGTCTTTCACTTCGATAATTTCATCCAACCGTTTTTTATCTTGGTTAGTTTTTTTAAGAATTATACTCTTGTTTGGCTTAATTTCCTCTTGAGAATCTAATATAATTTCCTCACTATCTGGAACCTCTATAAAGTCATCATCATCGCTCTCAATATTCTTCTTTTCTTTGGTGTTCTGCTGCTGAAATATATCCGCAAACATATCGTTGGAGTCCTTTAGTTCTTCAGTAATGTCAACACAAATTTCAAGACTCTTTTTACTTTTATTGGGCTCCGAACCTTCCACAACTTCCTCCAGGTCGGAGTCAGTATCAGTATCTACAATCTCCACCTTATCCTCAACTAAACTTTTTTTGCTTTCTTCAATCGCTTTGGCCATTTGCTTGCTTTCCTCAATAGCTTGTGAAAGCAGTTTGGCCTCCTCTAACGAATCGTTTGCCGCATCAGTTTGGACCGTTGAGATCTCGAGCAACTTTTCCAGACTTTGTGTGTCATTTAGTTGAGTGGCCTCCATGATGTTACCAACCTCCTCGTCATTCATCCCGCCGTATTCGATCATATATGCCCTAGCTGGTCCCTTGGCTGCATGACGCAATTGCTTGCTTTGAGCGCGGTTTAGGCGCAATTCTTGGTCCGAATCGTAATCATAGTCCTTCTCATCGTACACTTTGGTCTCCTCCATAGACATTGACAAGGCTTTGGCCAAATCCTCATCGAACTCAGTACCGAGATCAGTACTTTCCCCAGATTCTTTTTTGGCGGAAGTGCTTGGTTTCTCATCTTCTTCCTCTGCAGGCTCTTCTTCAATCATCTCCATTTTCACCTCCTGCTTTGTGCTCTCCATGGCCTTCTTTTTGAGATCCCTGACCAGCAGAAATCGTGTGTGCTCATCGGAGCTAAGCTGTCGTGTGCTCTGTTCAATGGCCGTTGGCGTGACAATGCCCTCTTCACTGAAGAACTCGCACAGCTCCGAATAGGTTAGCGTATGTCCGCCCATCTCCTGTTCCGCCTGCTCCAAGCTCTCCTGAACAGCACGGCGTTTGAGTAGTCGCTTCATCTGAAAGGAGCAGAAATCATCGCTGCGGGCAGGCAGCTCATGCAGACGACCCCACGATGACTGCTTGCGCGTCTCCTTTATGTCCGTGAGGATCTCGTGACGCACATCGGCGGGTAGATTACGAAAGTGCTGACTCTTGACATCAATGGCTTGCAAACTGGAGTTGTAAGAATGTCGAGCGTTTGACTCGTCAAATGAACTGTCTGACGCACTGGCACTGGTGTCTTGCTCGCTTTCGGATGGGTTTTCTTGCCCCAAAGACGAAGCCGGAAGTTCTGGCAGCTTGAACAAGTCATCCTCGTCGTTCTTCTTCGCTGGAGGTAGTCGCTTAACTGGTGACTTGAGAAGGAGCTCAGCATTTTTGCCCAGTGCCTGCTGCACCACCTTTTCTTTGGCCAATGATTGCAGGAGCAAGGCCTGTATCCGATCGGCTTCGTTGCTGAGTTTGTTTCTCTGCTGCTGACGGCGGGCCTGGAATGGTAAACCAAATAGAACAAATTAAAATAGTTTATCCTTTTAGAATGAATTAAAATAACCCACAATGGTTTCCTTTTTGAGCTGCGGTACGCATCCGTCGAAAATGAAAACCGGGCGCACACGATAATAAAGCAATTTGCAGAGGCGGTGGAACAAACCGAGTAAGTGGGCATTACTCAGAGCTGATCCCTTGCTGTCCTGAAACCCCTTCACAACCTGATGCAACCATATAGATATATCTGCAGGATATGTACAATTCCGATTAGGAGGATTTCACAATGCGTCGAAATTAATGCTTACCCACTGCCAGGATTTTACCCTCCAAAGTCTCCACGGGCACTGGTTTTCCGCACGGTTCGATTAGCTTCCACAAACCCGTAACACCCATTTTTCAAATAAATAAATTTGACAGAAAACATGCAATACAAAAATTGTTTTATCTTTCGTGGACGCGGTTTGTGATTATCAGCTGATAAGTGTTGAAAAACGCACGAGCTAAAATAGCAGTGATATCCAAAGTCGTGACTTTTGAAAAGAGATTTTTTAATCTGACAATTCTTGTGCATAAATTTTTTTTTTTTATTTTTGTTTTTGTACATTTTTGTCATTAACATGATATTTTTATTTACTTGTTCCTCTAAAGTCAATTCAATTCATCATATATAAATAACAGGTAAACAAAAAAATGCAAAATTCTTTAAAATGTCTTTACAGTTTGCGGCAGAAGGTATTTACTTACACAAAGAATAAGGATTTCTTTTTTCAAAGATTGCAATTTTTTTACAAAATCCACAAAAGCAAATACACAACCGGCGGCCAACTGTGTATGGTTTTATAATAAAGGGTGGCATGCTCAGATACTGATTATATTTAATGTACTTCACTTATGCTATATACTAGCTTTATGCTTAAGGACTAAAATTGGTAATAGTTCCGGGTAATAAAGACTTTGGGCGATTACTCGTTGGTCGCTTCCTCGGTGGGTGCGGTAGTGCTGGCGTTCGCGTTTTCGGTGGTGCTCGTGTCCTTCTTGCTGGCCTTGATTTCCTTTTTTTCCTTAACCATTTTGCGATAGACTTCAAGGTCTTGTGTGAGCGATGGTACGAAGCTCTCAAAGTCCAGCTCGCCGAGAGTCTGTAGGATATCCTTGGCTGTAATCGTCTTGTGGTTTTGCTTGTGTGCTAGGGCCGTCGATGAGGAGGTCACAAAAATTGCGAATACGGATGCTGCACGAGCAATCGCAGCTCTAGCCTCCTTGCTGACGCTGGCCGACTCCGGCAGCGACTCCTTGATAAGCCGGGCAATCACGGCGTTTGGCAAATTAAGATCCTCGATCCGCTCGACCATTTTTCAGTTCGTATCTGCTTTTAATAGATAAGTAATTCAGACTTTCCGGTGGACGCGTCGTTGCTTCCCGCGTAATGAGAAAACAGCTGGACTACTAGTGTTCGGTAACGACGGAGTACACGAGCTGCGGAGGTCCGGCAACGCCCCCAACTTACTTCTGTTTGCGCCGCCTCGTTCGCATCAATTGTTTACAAATTTTTATAAATAACAGCCAATTACCCCGGCTTAAATGTGCAAGGAGCGGTTCGGGCATAACTTGAAGCTGTTCCCGACCGAACTCACGTGATAAGAGTCCTGTGCGTGCGCCCGCGACCACGCACATGGAGCAGCAACAGGCGACGCCGCCAAAAAAGAGAAGGCACAGGGAATATCACGATCCAGATTATCACCAAACGGAAGTTCCGGATCAAGATCAAGATGATCCTAGTACAACAGAGGCTTCTCCCCTACAATCGAAACGACTCAAAAAGGAGCAGACGGCGGAGGAGACACCGACACCATCCGCTGATCAATTCGGACGCATCCGGGACCTCCTGCGCCAGGAGTTCCAGCGGGAAATCGCTCAAAAGGTGGAACAGCTGGCCGAGATCGATAGGAGACTGCTCAAGGGACGTCAGCTGCTGGACAAGCTGCGCTATCAAGTGGTCAGCGAGTACTACCGAAAGCAACAGGTCCCCCTTACCGCAGCCGACGTGGCCAAGGTGCGCGGCGACAGCCTGTTCGGGGACGAGATATCTGCTCCTCAATTGCCTCTGCATCCAGCCATTAAGAAAATAGTTGGCAAGCGGCCGGTGCCCATCCAGAATCATCTGCCGGAGCGCACAGCGGCTACCTTAGCTAAGCAAACAATCAGGCTGAAGAATCCGGCTCATCGAAGAGCGGAAAGAAGGCGACAGCAAAAGATCAAGGAGCAGGGCATTGTCACCGATCACTCCAAGGACAGGCAGAAGCAGGAGCCTCCCGTATCCATTAAACTAGAGGATGATCAACCCTGCACCAGCCGTCAGGCCCAAGAAAGGCAACTGGAGCTGAATGCCTCGCGGCTGAACAACAAGAATAAGTTCAATTTTGTAGTGGGTAACACCTCCAAGTACATTGGCAAAGGTGTTCAAGAGAAGTCCAATGGCGAACCAGCTTTGATCTACAAGTGGTTGGTCTATGTTCAAGGCAAAGAGCTACCCCAACCAGTGGGGTATTACATTAAAAAGGTTTGTTTTTCTTTAAAAGCCTAAAATGTTATTTTTAAAAACTCCTTTTTTAGGTTCGCTTTCAACTGCATCGGTCCTACCGACCCAACGACATTGTGGACGTTCACAGCCCTCCGTTTCAGCTGACTCGTCGGGGTTGGGGCGAGTTTCCCATGCGCATCCAGCTGTTCTTTCAAGATCACTTGCAGCAAAAGCCCGTTCAGTTGATGCACACGGTGGTGCTAGACAAAACTATGTGTGGTTTGCACACGATGGGCGCAGAGACCACTGTGGAAATTTGGCTAAAAGCGGAACAGGCATTGACGCAACCTAACGATAAACCTGCTCCTGCTCCTGCTTCCAATCTTCCACCTGAAAAACCACCTGCTTCTCCAGAGCCGATTGTTCCGGTTTTAGAACCCTCGCTGCTTGAATTCCCCGTGGAGTCGTGCAAGCCTCGCACCATTTCCATCACTCAAAATAAGGAGGAACTGGATGACAATCTGTTTGCTGGCCTAAACAAAATTGAACTAAGCAGTGACATCGAGCAAATCGAACCCACGGTGCTGGTCTCGGAGCCTCTGAAGTTGAGCTACAGTCCCATAAAACAGCCGCCGGCTCCGACGACGCCACCCAGGCCTCAGGTTCGGTTAAATGCGGCTCCAGTCAGCGCCTCTCGACCTTCGGTGGTCTATCTGCCGGTAAACGGTAGAAGTCCCAGACAGGATTCTTTACCAGAAAGGCAGAGGCAGGAGTTCTCACCCGTAAAGTCGCAATTTTCGCCATTGAGGCAGCGATCTGAATCTTTGCCACCTATACAGCCTGTACCCAACGGACATAACAAAAAAAATGTGGTGTTCCAGCGAGAAGGAAAGCTGTACATCATCGATCCTTTGCAGCGGAAGTTGAAGCAGGTTGCGAAGCAGCAATCGCTACTGAAGCCACAATTGAGTCTCCTCAAACCGCCGACAGTTAAGCGGTGGCATTTACTCCAGTGCATACAGCATGATCACGGCTATGCAAACATGAGCGGCGAGGTGGAAGCAAAGCCTTTACTATCCTATAATCCGGCCTCAGTTGTGGACACTCCTCTGATGACACGGCCCCTTAGGCTGGAGCATATATTCGGCAGTGTCCAGTTCCAAAACATGCGCAGTGCCGTAGAGTTCCTGTTGCGTCGGTTACCGCTAGCAGCGACAGATCAAAATAAGGAGTATCCTTTCACATGTACAACCCTCCAGGAATTCAAGGAGCAAACTGCTCTGAAGCAACGCTGCTTTGAGTACTTACGAGCACGCCTTCTGCGCCGCTGTCTGATGCAGCACCACAAGCTGCAGCAACTTAATTTGAGTGGGAAGGAACACTATTGGAGCCTAAGAGAAATCGTGGGATTCGCTAGGGTCCATGGCTACACTCCGCCTCTCAAAGTTATTTTGTCCAGTGGTGATAAGAAACGTAAACGGAAAATGGTGTCCGAGGAGCAACTGGCACAGCGGGTGCAGGAACAGCTGAAAGGCGCGCCACAACCACAACTTTCAGCCTACAGCAGTCTTAGCTCAGTGAATAGGCTGGAAGCTTGGATAGCTAAGCAAACGTTACGGTTGCGTGGTCACGACCAAAAGATGCGCGATAAGGAGTTTATAGATGTGTTAGGCGTGGACAAGCCACATTCGAAAGCTTTCGAGGAAATCCAGTTGACAAACAAAAACCAACAATCGGTGAACCATCGTCAACTGCTTTACCTGCCCCCACCAAAGCATCTGGATTCGGCCTTGCAGTTGGTCCAGGAAATGTGCAAGGACATCAATATCACTCTGGAACCGGAGGAATCTCCCCCAGGCGTTTCGCAGCCCGTGGCCCTTACCTTACTCGGTTCCGTGCTGTGTACCTTTGTCGAAAGATTGGTACGCCGTTCCTTGGCCACCAAGATGCAACAGGAGACCTCGGAACAACTACCTCTGGCAGCGGCAAATGCTTCTTTCTGCCTGCAGCCGCAGGACATCGGAAGGGTTATTTGCCAGAGCTCCGAGCTGGACTTCTTGGGAAACAGCCTCCTAGGTGTTTCGCCACTGGAGCCCCAACCTGATGGGTCGTTGCCATAGTTCTGAATTTATTTTTTATCAAGTGCTCGTAATAGTTCAATTTCTGCTGGGATATTAGTCGATATCTAATTAGTTTTTTGTACTCGTTATTAGGCATACGGTTAAGCAATAAATTAACTAAATTTATTTTTATACAAAAATGAAAGATAGCTTCGTCGTAAGGAAGTTATGATGATTTTTGTCTTAATTTTCATTAATTTTTATAATCGTTTTTATGGGGGCGTATTACCAATCAGACGGCAATAAGTCATGTCTGGTTTTTTTACATTTTGAATTTTTCAGGCAATAAAACGCTTATTTAATCAATGTTAAATATAATCAGAAAATTATTATTGGAGTCATTACATCAGCCTGTTTTCTTGCTTAAGAAAATAGTTGGTAGTTTTCTCAATTTTTTAATAACACAAATTCGAAATATACATAATGCAATTTTCCATGGACCTAAGAATTTGGTAACGTTTTTAAAATTTTTTAAACGAAGTTGTCCTAAAGAATACCTAAAAGTATGCCGCAAAACGTGTTGAGGGCAGAGTTACACTTTTTTATAACTGTTAATTTCAATCATTAGAACTCTGCGTATTCATCAATTCCTTGACGACATCACTCGCAATTGCATCTCTTTTTTTGGGGCCGTTCTCTTCGTTCCCCCGCTCTCCGTTCGATTTCATTCATGGCGCATGTCGATGGGATCCATCTGTTTCTCTGGTTCTGTTTTCCTCAGTCTCTTTCTCGACGTGCGCGCAACAAGACCAACAATTAAGGCAGAGCAGAAAAGAGCCCGCTTCCCGCGCTTGCTGCTCATTTAGTTAATAAATATATTTTTTCCGATTTTGTAAAATGATTCACGGTCCATTATAATCATCATAATTTCAAAGCCTTTCCCAGGCGACACTGCTGCTCCAGTACGTTGATCTATAATAAGCTTTTGGATCACCAATTTTAGTGCTATTTTTTTCGTGTGTGCGTGGTGTCCGTTCGCGACAGAAAATGTGGAGGCGCTAAAATGTTCTATTTTTATTTTGCAGTAAAATCCACAAGGAGATGCAAATGTGTAGTATGTTTCTGCTTCAGTTGCGACGCCAAATTGCATTTGCGGCCAGCACGCCGCTCGATCCATAGATCGTTTTGCCCTCATCTCATCAGTTGACTCAGTTTTCCTAGTGGTGGACAATCGGTCCACCAAAAAGTCTTTCGGAACGCCATCGAGCGCTTTCCAATGATGCAATTCCCATTTACTCGGATTTTCAAAGTAATTTTCGTGCTCTCAACAATTGTCGCCGTTACAGGTAAGCCCTTCTAAAATACTCCTGAACAGAGATCTGTACTAAACATATGCAAAACAGGAGAGCAGTATTGCCAGGTTTTCAAATTAAAAACTATATTTTTAGCGAAAAAACAGCCAAAACATTAGGTACACATTTTCAAATCCAGATGTTTAAATATGTTCAGTTGAAACCTCAATTTTAAAAAACATTGAACATATTTTCCCAAGAAAACAAAGACACTGCACGGGGTTTTCATATCCTAACAATAACAGATTTTTAAAATGTAGATACAATGTACAGTAGAATCCTGTTATAACGACTCCGCTTATAGTGTCCGTCCGGGTTGTGCGTCGAAAACTCGATGGTTTGGTTGGTCCCCATACAAAGTTATATGAAAGAGCCTCCGCTTAGAGCGTTTCCGCTTTTAGCGACAAACCGCTTATAAGAATGAAATTTTTCAAGAAAATTGAAAAATTTAACCGGATATTGCGTCGTGCCGGAAAAAATACAGTGCCATAGTTCCAAATTTAAGCATCAAAACACGCTGTTAGAAATTTACATATGTATGTATTTGTCAGCGATCAGCATCCTTGCTTGTGTGCGTAGCAGCGACACGAAGGATCTTGCACTGGCACAACTCTCTGTTAGTTTTAGCTGTCGCCTTAACAACGCTGCTGCGAGAGAGAGAGCGTCGAAGTGCAATGCCGACGTCACACTGTGTGTGCAGACCTCATAGTCTATTCCATGAGATGTGCCGTTATATTTCTAATTTTTTCTGCTTTTTTCCGAGTAAAACTGAATGTTTTAATTTGCCAAATGCAATATGTGCAATAATAAGCTCATTTAGTTTTCAGTATTTAGAAAAACCTATGTTTTTGAATTTAATTTATTAAATTTTTCGTTTTAATGAAAAAATTAATTTGATTTAGTTTAAAAACCTATTACAAACACAGCAACCATAAAATAATCAAAAAAATTTTTTTTCCTCCTTTTGCTTAGTGCGTCTTCCGGTTATAACGACGAAAAATGGTCGGTCCCTTGAAAGTCGTTATAACCGGATTCTACTGTATAACTTTTATCCTTTATCCTTTTCATTCCATAGATTGTTGTTCGAGCCGGATCTTACTGCTCCGAGAGCATACGCTTAAGATTGTGCAGCATCAGCACAGCCACATGCACGAGCATGCTCACGAGCTGCAGCAGCAGATCCAGGAGACAGCGGTTGAGCTGCTCAATCGCCTGGAGCTGGAGCGCAAGCAGCTGGAGGCCTCGGCCCAGGAGGCGGCAGAGCAGCTGCATTCCGAGACGGATTCCGATCCGGACAGGGATCCACCGGACGCACAAACAATTGTGGAGAACCCTGTGGCCTTGGATCCTGATCCTCCAGAAAAATCGGAAAGTCTCGGATCGAGTACTGCCACCTGGTTGACCAGCACTCCAATCACCCCCTCCGAAACAGTAACTACATCCGCAACCGTTACGCACACCGGAGAACCGCCACCTGACCAGAGCTCAACCAGTCCGCCGGATTCCAGCACACCAACAGTAGCGGACAAGGAATCGAACCAAAGCAAGGAGCCCGAGATTCAGATGCTGCCCTGCAGCGAAGCCTACAACAATAGCTTCTGTCTGAACGGCGGCCACTGCTTTCAGCATCCGATGGTCAACAATACGGTCTTTCACTCCTGCCTCTGCGTCAACGACTACGATGGAGAAAGGTGCGCCTACAAGAGCTGGAATGGTGAGGGATCTTATTTTTCTACAACTATAATCGCTATTTTAAGTAATTGATAACCTAATAACAAAGAATCAGACTTAGAAGTTATAACCAAAAAAATTGTTTTAAACACGGACTAGTTTAAAAGAAGAACAAGAAATTAAATTTAAAAAAAAACGCAAAAAAATGTTTTCAGATAAAAAGGGCACCTACGTTTAAAATGGTTGATTGAATCCTTAGGCAATCTATTGTACAAAATATTTAAAAACCAATTTTATTTTAGAAAGCTCGACTTGATATTTTTAATAAATATAAGACAATAAGTTTTATATTTAAATCGAAAGTACGAACTTCGACATTTCGGCAGTTGCTTTTAAAATGCTTTTTAAATAATAAAACTAATTCAAGCATTATAAAAAGGTTTTGAGACCAATGCTAATGATGCTAAGGATACGTTTAAACTTTTATTAAAACCATTGCGGGGTTTCACATTTTTTTGCAAAACAATCATATCGTGCTCAGCAAGAAATTCCTTTTTCAAAATTCGATTTTTTTTCATGCCTAACAAGACACCCCAGAAAATAGTTAAAACTTCACACTCTCGTTGATCGTTACAGGTGACTACCTATACACGCCGACAGCGCAGCGAAAGGTCCGGATGGCGCACATCGTCTTCTCCTTCCCGGTTCTCATCATGCTGTCATCGCTCTACGTGCTCTTCGCAGCCGTCTTCATGCTCCGCAATGTGCCGGACTATCGCCGGAAACAGCAGCAACTACACCTGCACAAGCAGCGTTTTTTTGTCAGATGCTGAGGCACCTTCAGAACCAGAAAAGGTCCTCCTCTGAATTTCGATTTGATTTGGAAACAATTTTGGTTTCGCCTATATTCGCCTCATTGTTGGATGGCAAATTCTTTTTGACCATATTTTTTTTTCTTTACGTTGCGCAGCGCAAAGTAACGCTTTAATTTATTGAATACATTTAGTGTACTTAGTAGGATTTTCTATTTAGTTGCAAAAGACGCACAATTAGTATTTGCTTTTCTTTATCATTTCTTAGTTTCGTTTGTTTCGCTTTTGAAGCTTTCGTTGGAGCTTTTGTAGTTTGTTTGTAGTAACATTTTGTTACGTTAAATTAACCATTACGAAATATTAAGAATGTACTTAGAACATAATCTTAGCGCTTACTCCAGTTTACCAGGACAAGTGATTATTTTTTTTGTAACACTCAGTTACATCGTGTATATTGTAAAGAAAAACTTTTTTTGTAGTGTATTAAAGAAGAGGAATGGGACTCGACTCAAAACATAACTAAAACGTTCAAAACAGTGTTTCCTTTCTCTGCGGTTCTGTTCTTGGTATCGCTCTTTTTCTTTCAGCCGGTTGATATGAGTGAAGCACGCTTTTGGGTTTTATATTTTATAATATATATTTTATCCAATATTTCGTCCAAAAATTCTTTACAAATTTCTTCGAACTTACAGTTAAATGTATAGTAGAAATTATTCAAAAAATTCTCCTCACTTTCATCATTTCATCGTATATGATTTGTTGAATCTTTTTCTTCTATCAAGATCATCAATATGAGAATGGTATGTATGCGCTTGTGTGGTGGATGTGTGTGTGCTTAATGGGTGGTGGTGGTGATGGATGTGTTTTTGGGGACAGCCCCGATCTGGAATTCAGAGGCACCAATACAAAACTATCGATGCCTGCGCGTGGGTGGAGAGGTGGAGTTTGAGTGGTGTGTGGTTGCATTGGTGGCGTGGATGGTGGTGGTGTCACGTGTAACTCTGACTTTTGCTTGCGTATATCTTGGATTAGGGATATGAAGTTCGTACAAAAATTATTTAAAATATGTAAATGTTAAAAAATGTATTTTTACTTGGTTTTTTTGTTTTTTGTTTTGTTTTTATCTCGTTTATCTTGTAATTGTTGGTTGTTTTACGTTGCGTTCTTTTGTTGTTGCTTGTATCGTTTGTTGTTGTTTTGTTTTTAATAATATGTAATATTATATATAATAATTATGAGTAGGATTATTCGCATGTAACAGGCAGTTGTTCCTGTGTTGTAACGTCTGCCGCGGCGTTCTTCTCCTTCAGATCCTTGGCGAGATCCACCTGCGAAAAACAAGGTAAAATTATAAATTATTTATCTCGTATTAACTGGTACTTTTTGTGTGGTATGCAAAAAAAAAAAAAGATTAAAAACTGAAAGCACAACAACAACAATTACGGAGAAAGAAAAGACGCGACAATCACAAAGGCAATTGCCGGCGCAAAAACAAAACAAAATGGTATACAAAATAATGTATTTAATAATAAGCGATTTGTGTGTGTGTTTTCAACATTTAGGTACAGTTGTGTGTGTATATATATGGTCTTTGGTTTTAGTGAGAGCGCAAGAGTTACGACAGCCAAACAGATTTTTGGGTTATTAAGACAGAGCGGTAGGTGGGATTGGGAGAGTATTTTTCGGTATGTTTTTTTTTTGTGTGCATGTGTGGATTAGGATGAATGCGGTTTAAGTTGTGTTTATGGGCTTGGTTTGTTGCGGTTAATACACCAAAATGCAGTCGCTTATCCTCAGTTTAGTAGTACGTACTTCATTCGCTTTACATCACCCAAAAAATCATGCAATCCCCGAGCAGTTCAATATTCAATCAAGATCAATCAATTAATGTACCAAACACTAACGAACTACGTATTAACTACGGCAACAAGCGCGCTACCAGCAGCAGACTAACTGATGCCAATCGAGTGAGACACACACACACACACACACACAGAGTGGAGAAAGCAGGAGAAGCACGCCCAGGACAAAACTCCATGCCCACCAAATGGAGCGTCAGATGCAAGAATGGTAAAATGGTGTGTTGTAGTCGAGGTGTTTTTGAAGAATGGAGATTGCAGTTCTTTGACTCACTGCCAGTTGCTATTCACCTTGTTGTTGCTCTCGCCCTCCTGTTCCGCAGGTCTCACATCCAATTCAGCCAGGAGATCGCCACCCGCTTTGACGATCGGCTCATCCAGATCGCTAATGATGTTTCGGACCAGGTCGGTTTCGTTTTCCTTATCGTTATCGCTATGCGCATCCTCGGATGTGACTTCACATGTATCTTGTTGGGAGGATTCCTCAACAGGTTCTGGCAAAGTCTCTTCGACACTTTCCTTTTGCGTATTCTCAACAGGGATTTCTTCCTCATCGGAGCTGATGCTATTGGTTTCCTGTGCGACAATTTCCTGCTTTTCGGTGTGTTCTACAGTGGGAGAAAGTGCCACAACTTCTTGTTCTACAACAGCCGAAACGACAATTTCCTCGGTCTCCGCTGGCTCAATAGGAGCTGGAACGGGCAAAGATTCCTCTTGATCTTCAACAAATTCCTCGTCAACTTCAGTTCTTGTAAAGGTTAAATCCGCTACTGGAGAGGGAGCTTTTACTTCCTCCTTTTGAACTGAAGAGTCCTCCTCAACTTCAACGGTGGAAATAGTCTTCTCAACTTCAACGGCGGAATGAGTCTCCTCAGCTTCTGCTGGAACTGGAGCTGGATCTTCCTTCTTGGCAACCTCCTCTTGCTTCTCTTTTTCGGTAACAATTTCCACTGCCTGTTCGGTGATCTCAGCCACAATGCTGATGGCCTGCTGCTCGATTTCATCGCGCTTTACTTCGGGAACGCTAGGAGTGACCTGCTCCTCGATAACTTCGTCAGACAGAACAAAGGCGGAGACTCGGGATGGAGGAGGGGACTTGGGCAATGGGGGTGGCGGACTGCTGCTCCTTGTTTCCACAACGGATTCCGATTCAACTTCGGGAACTTCAACAACAGGTTCGCTTTCAACTTGAGGAACTTTAGCCACAGATTCAGTTTGAACTTCGGGAACTACGGCAACAGATTCAGTTTCTACTTCCGGGACTTCGATTACTTTTTCGATTTCGGCGGCTGCAACAGGAGAAGGCAAAACGGGAACTTCGACTTCGGCGGACACGGCAGTCACAACCACGAATCCCTCGGCCTCCGTCTCAGTCTCCGTTTCGGCTTCCAGTTCACTGCTAACCGCCTTGATGATCGCCGCCACAACTTCCTCCTCGGCTTGGCTGCTGCTGCTGGTGGTGATGCTGGTCACTGCTTCAATCACTTCGCTGCTGGCCTGCGTGTGGGAGGTGGAAGGGATCGTGTTGGTTGTTTTGGTTAGGATTGTTTGGGTCTGAACTAACTCTGCGGCTTCTACAACGGTCTCGGTCACAGTGCTAGTGCAAGTTCTTTCGGTTTCTGTACTTATTGTTTTTAGTGCTGTGTTCTCTGTGAATTCGGTTGTTGCTTTAGTTTTTGTTGTTGTTGTACTTGTATTTACAGTGAAGTTTTTGCTGTTATTGTGTGTGTTGGTGCTGTCTGTTCTTGTGTGGTTGTTTACCTCAATTTGCTGTCCCTTCTCGGTCTCAACGGCCACGGGTGTGGGCGGGGGCGTGGTGGTGCCATTGGTGCCATTCTGATGCGGCTGTTCGTCATCAACGTTGCTTGGAATGTTGTCAGCTGCCGGTGCTGTCTCGGCCACTGGGGACTCGGCCAGTCCGTTGCTGGATCCGTTGGTCAACGCCTCTCCGGCTCCGTGTCCATTGGTGACCACTTCTGGCTCTGGCTGGCTCTCTTTCACGGTAACTTCTTCGGTGGCAGTGACGGTGGTGCTCGATTCGGTGGCAGTTGCAGTGGCAGTGGCAGTGACAGTGGCTGGTTCCTCGGCGGGCTTGGGCTGTGCCGCTTCCTCAACTGTGGCTGGTGCTGGCGCCGCTTTCTCTGCTTCTCCGTTGGACTTTTTCTCTTGTTCGCTCGCTGATCCGTTTTCGGCGGGCTTCACCTCATCCTTGGACGCCGGCTCGCTCGTGGCCTCTGCGTTCTGTAATAAATAAAACCAATTATTTTGTACATCTCATTGGATTGACAGTCAACTTACCTCGGCTGGCTTTTCAGCTTCACCGTTTGTGGCCGCCGCTGGCTCAGCTGGGGCTGCATCAGCAGCTGGTGCTGCTTCAGCCTCAGCCGTCGTGGGCGACGTTGTCCCCGAGGTGGGGGAGGTGGCCTCCTCCGACTTGGCCGGCTTCTGTTTGTCCTTCTTGCCAAAGGAGATGCTGCGGAAGGACCACTTCTTTTTGACCTTGTCCTTCTTCGACTTGGACTTGATACTTTCGTCGGCCAGCGGGGTGATGTCCTCGCCAGCGGCAGCTGCTCCCTCCTTGGGCGAACCCTCCTCGCTCTTCGGCGTTTCAGCGGCCGCATCGCCACCTTCAGCGGCAGCGGCATTCTTTTCGGTGGTCAAATCTTTGTCGTTCTCAGAGTGCTCCTCCGATTCCTTTTTCTGTGGGGGAAAACAAAAGGTTATTTTCAAATCTTAACAATTCCTAAATTTCTTTTTCTTACGTCTCCTGACGCCGCTTCATCGCCACCTTCTTTGGGCGTGGCAGCGTCTCCGTTCACCGCTGGAGCGTCCGTCTTCTGGTCCACATCAATCTTCTCCACCTTGCCGGCCACCTCATCGCCTTCGCCGACCTTCTTGGGATCGGTGGTGATGTCGATTGAACGCTTGCTCTGAGCTTTACCCATTTTTTGCTGTTGATCCTCCTTTAGTCGCTAGTGTAAACTGAAAGTAAATGAAGCGAGTAATTAGTTTAAATGTGAAGCAGCATTGTTGAGTAGAAAATGGCACAAGTACGGCGGCACTCTTTATTTTTAGATTGTATTTTCCCTATTTTTGCGATTGACATTTTCACTGAGACGTACTCGAGATCTTTCAATGCAATGCGATGACCTCATTAAGGATTTCCGATTGCATCAACCATAGAGAGCTTATCAAATTGGCAAGACCATGAAGAAGCGAGGAACGATAAAGTGAAACGCCTTCAGTAGTCATTTGTAAACAGTTTGCTCTAAGTTATCGGCTCATAAAAACCATTAGGAAATGTGTATAAATAGGAACTGCAGTTTTTAAAAAATACTAACTGGCGTCTTCTATTACCGAGGTGGTACTGTTACGGCCAAACCAGACGGCAGTAATCGTAAACAGTTCGAGCGCCTCCCATGATTCATCGACACTTGAATGTTTCTTTTTTTTTCGTTTTACCGAGAAGTTTATATGAAACAACGAAACAGACACCACAGAAAAGAAAAGAGAAATGGGGGAGGAGAGTAGGGGCTGTTTTAGGCATGCAATGCGTCATTCTCAACCTAAAATCGAATTACACACAAATTTTTGCCAGAGTGAATGAAACAGAAACCGTAGCAAAGAACGAAATTTTTGGGCGGTGAGGTGGGACAACAAGAAGTTTGCATTTTTTAGGGGTTGTAAGTGGGAATGAAACACAGGGAAGGTGTGGAGTACCGTACGTGCAGCTAAAAAATAGCGGCAACGCACACTGGCATACAGACAACAAAGGCTAAAAGAGCAGCTGTTTCGACTGCTTTTTCTAGACCCAGTGAATCAACAGCCTCCCACATCCGACCCATCTGCACACCCCACACTCCAACATATACATATCAACCTTAAACACAAGCACACACGCACCACCGGCACGTGGTGGGCCTTATGCAAATTAAGAATTCTCCGGGAATCCATCAGTGACTCATTAGCGTCAATTTATTATTGCCTAGTTAGTGTGAATGAGTCAAAGTCTCAACAGGAAGCGAAACATTGAAGCAATGAAATCTTAACTGATATGACGGATATTGAAACGTTTTGATATTGGTGTTTCTCAGAACAACATTAAATCACCGTGTTTGTCTTAGTTGTGAAATACTCCAGGGCGTGACCAATTTATTGTTTATACGAAAGTCTTATCTCCGAAACTTTAAAAAATTGAATTATATTGATTCATTTGCTACTAAACTTTATTGGGTTGCCCCAAAAAGATACGATTTCCAAATAGAAATAAAATCAAAATCATTAAATTTGCACTGAAATCGTACGTATTTGTGCACTCGGCACAAATACATCATATCAATTTAAATACGTAACAAGACAAGAACTCGAGTTTCAAGACTCTGGGGGTTCAACGAACCCGACAGCAATTAATACGAGACAACACAATACCGTACCATACATATACCACACAATACCGGGCCAACTGAAGCTCCTCGGTTATGTATTTCGATCGGAGTGATAACACGGAGCAAGAAACACAGAGACACATTCGATGGCGATGCCTGGCCGTTGGGGATAGAAAGAGGCTATTAATTTCGGCCTATGTCTATCTAAACTGGATGAGTAATGGCCGAAATGTGCCGCCACTACACCATTTATCCCCTTTAAAGGTAATAACATAAAAGCGCAAGTAAACTGGCGCGCATGACGCATCAAGGGAAAAGGACATTCAGAGAGAGTGAGAGAGCGGAAGGATTTAAGAGAGAGCGAGGGTTGCCGGCATTCGGCAGGGAACTACTACAACAATAATAACATTAAAGGGTCTGGTCACTGCACGTTGCCATGCCGACCTAGCAACAACTGTTGTTCCTCCCCCTTTCACTTCCTCATCCTTAATACCCAACCCCAACGTGTGAAAATAATTGAGTGCGGTCCAAACGGTATTAAGGTTGCCGGATCAATCTGTCGTATAAAGCCTTTACAAATTACTCAAACATGTAAACTGTTTTTGTTACAAAGCACATTTATTTGAAAATCATTTCCAAAAAACAAAATAAAAAAGAACCCTTGCAGTTTTCTAAATGGAAACAAGAGGCGGGGAGATCAAAAATTGAGAGGCGCTGCCACTCAAGGGTGAATAGGCCGCTAAATTTGTAATCTATGAAAATTACTTAATGGGGGACAAGCAGCGACAGTTTTCGGGGCCTTTGTGTCTTCGTTTTTTATTAGTTTAATTCAATTAAGACAAGACTTTTGACATGTGCGCCCGCTTTCACACGACCTCCCCGCTTCGACTTTCGAGCCGATGGACGACAAAGGAAAACGCAGCGCAGAGCTCGCAGCCCACAAAACAGCAGCTCCAGTCTATAAATAAAAGCGCATTTATCAACAATGGAGTGTGTTCGGAAAAAAGAAGCAACAGCACAAAGAGGCGCTGCCTGCATGGGCGTGAGTGTGAGCTTCAATTCATTCCCTCCCCTTTTCGTCCGCAGCCGCCTATCAATTTTGACACTTCAAGCTGTTGTGTATCACTTTGCAGCTCCTGCATGCTTCAGCGACCAGTGCTGGCTGTAAAAATAACAGCTATACGAAACGTTAATTCAGTGGGCCAGATGTCACACTGTTATTCCAAGAGCTCGTTATTTCAGTTTGACTGTTTATTTTCCTTAACAAATTGATCTGTATCGTGTTACTTGTGTACAAAATCAAAGAATTTTAAGTTAAGTCTTACGAAACTTAACTTGATATAACTCCAAAATAATACCCAGGTTAAAATTATTACCCGTTTTATTAAAAACTTTTCTTTGACCGTTAGAAGCAGCTAAAAATAGCCAAGTTAACAGCTCTGGCACCTCCTTCCAACTCTATTTCTCTATCTATCCATCTCGCTGTCTCATTCTCGCCACCCGGCGATGGAGATGAGACGTTTTGATACGTAAATTAAATTGATTGTGCTGGAATGTGCCGGCTGAATGACCGTCTGAATGTCTAGCCAGCCGGCCGGTCAAACATTAATTTGTGTGTGCGAGATGGATATGCTGTGCCAGCCGTTGTTGTTTTGCTTGTTAAAGCGCAGGCGCAGAGCCACCACATTCCCATTCCAATGAGCCCAATTCCCATTTGCACTCCCTCCAAGATCAGTGGCAGTGTGGCATCATGAAATGTACATTGTTGTGCAATTAAAATTGAAAAGTTTCACCATTTGTGGTAGGGGCTGGTGAAGAGAGTGCGAGTGCATGCGCACCAGCGCAATTGAACTTTTATAAACTAATCAAGAGAGATCGTTAATGGGCATCGCTCACACACATCACATCAAACATCCATCCGTCCGTCCGTCCGTCCATCCATCCGTCCATCCATCCGTCCATCCATCAGTGCATCCAGCCATCCTCCTCTCAATTGAGTGGAAAGTTTCCCTCAATCAGGCTCAAGTAGTCCCAAGTTTTGAGTGGGAGAAGAACACAATAAGACGACGAAGGAGGAGTAGCAGAAGAAAGCAGAGTGCACTTTCATTGCATTGTTGCCGTTGCTGCCGCTGATAAGCCACGCCTAAGCCGCAATCAGACTTTATTGAGCGTATATTCTGTGCCGTCGCAGTCCACTTTAATTGTCATCAAGAAACATTCTTCTTGTGGGCCCCCCACGCAAAAAAAAATGCACACTCCCATACAAAACCACACAATGCGGATGCAATCTTATTGGCAGGCTAAAAAAAAGATAAAGATGATTCCCAAAAAGCGTGCGAAAAAGAACCCAGGAAATTGAAGATAATATAGCTTCAGAAAGCTGAACACTAAATACTCTGAATTTTAAAAAAGAGTTTTTGTATATATGTCAAAGCTTTTTGTCTAGACAGAACTTAGTCACTTAAGGTTTGTTTACTTCCATTATCAAACTAATCAGTTTTATAGAACGTATTTTAACATTATAAAGCTATTTTTGCTTATCAAATATTTTATTAATAGGCGTAGTATTGAAATCTAAAATCTATTGAATTCAAAACTTTCATAACTGCATGCTAATCAATTTCAACAATCTGAAAGGCCATAAAATGCAAAAAATAGCTGTCTGGGATACTATTTTTGCATGTAGAGCCCTCATGTTAGGCTGCTCGCAGTGCTTTAGTGCTTTGGAAACCTAAATCGGACTTGCAAAGTTTTAAGCCAAAGTTGCCAAAACCGCTAAGGCAGAATATGCAAGAAAAGGGAGAAAAGACAAGAACCGAGAAGAGCAAAAAGGCCACTATATCAAAAACATTGACAAGTCGAGTGTCTCAAGTAACCACCGGATATAATTGTTGTTGCTGTGTGATGGCTGTACTGGAGTTGTGGCAAAATGAAAATGATACGATACGTAAAATGAATGCATTCCATAATTAGTAGCAAGTACACACACACGCTCGCTTACACACATATTACACGCACAAGTTGACAAGACCCAAAGAAAAGAGAAAATATTTTTTTCAATTATCATTTCCGGTCAATTCGGAATGTTCTGACTGGACTACAGACAACCTCCCTCCTCTTTTGATTTCGTGTGCCTTTACAATCACATTTGATATGGATACATTCACATGGCCAAAAATAAAAAAGAGATTCATTGTTAACGGTACCAAGAACCCTATTCTTCTACACAGTGTTAATCATGACGATAATATTAGAGGAAGTTGTGTTTCTGTAAGGGAAAGAGGAATTTTGGTGTACAGGAACCCGTCTGTTCAATTGTTACGAATGCATTATACGAGTACATATGCACGGGAAAACAAAGAAAAATCCATATCAGCAAGTGATTCAGAGTTGGAGGTAATTTTTCACACACAGTCGCAGAGTGTGGGTGATCGTATTACGTGATTAATGTGGTTCCACCCATGTTTTAGCGAAATATTTTAACCGAAATTAAGCATGTTTGGTGAAATCTCGGTGATCTTGGCAAACATTACCTGCCCCACAAAATAAGCACTCGCAGCAAGTACACATTGTAGAGACGTGCTCCAGTCAAGTTTTCCACTACTTGACAGCAGATACAGATATGACCGGCTTATCTAGCCGGTTTTATCATATCTTCAAGATATTCCCGTACACCGCCACACACAAGCAAACACCAAAAGGAAAGAAAAAGAATTGTGGTATGGGGCATCGATCGTAAAATTAGACGCACTTGAAAATATCTTTTCCTTTTGGCCTGCCATTCAAAAACTATCAAATCCGCCACACACTCGTAGGAATCACACACATGTACGAAATATAATGAGGCCCAAAACGCATAAAATCATCAGCAAGAACCGTAAAATTTTATGAGCTCGTTGAGAACGTCCGATATGTCTTTGTACGTACGCTTCTCTATTTACATATGAGATAGCTACGGCTACGTATGCCAACTTCTTTTTGCAAGGCGCAAAACCCGAAATGGCAGACGAAATAAGTTGCCGTGGGGCTGGCTGAGTGTGTATGATACTTGAAAATATTTCAACCATGTGTAATCTGAAAGACAAGTAGCAATGATGGAACCCCAGATTTCATAGTGAAGAACATTTTTTGGTAGCTTTTTAGAAAAAGATAAGACTTTTGTTCTTATTTCGACTTTCTAATTCTGTCTGCAAGAGTTATCTATTTGTGATAACTTTTGAGGAACAAATAAGCATACAAAAAGTGAATGTCGCAACAAAAAATTATTGTTGCTGTCTGTGATTTAAAATCAAATTATTTGGGTTCGAATAAAACTAAGTGTTTTTAAGGTGTCACATTGAAAATTATTCCTAATAGTCCTTGCAGCTCTTATATTTTCTCTGCACGATACGTCTATCATCCAAACAATATAACTTACACGAAATTTTAGTTTTGGTATTTAGAGAATTTTTTAACTGATATTGATTTTTCAGCTGACATTTCAGTCTTTAATGATACAGAAAGTAAACATACTCTTTACCCTTAGAAACTACAGGGTATCAAATGAGCGCGCACTTAAATCAACTACGCTGTGGGCCGGTGTTGAAAATAATTACAATAAATATTTGAATATTCAATGCTTGGGGGGCTTCCTTTTTTTATAGACAAGAAAGGGTAGAGCGGGAATAAGCGAATAAGTGCCAATAAATTTGTCGTCTGCCCACGCACAATCCCATCTTTGCCTTCTTTTCTGCTTTTTGGCTCAGTGGAAAAAGGATAAGACGAACACAAAGTAAATCGGAGGAAAGCAGCAACAAAAAGAACCAGAGCGCCCACTAAACCGGTTCGCTTTCCTTCTCTTCTCCTGCAGCTCCAACTCTCTTTGCTGATTCCCTCGCTCCCCTTTTTTCTCTCCCTCTCTATCGTTGCGGTTAATTAAAACTCCGAGAGGCGTGCGACAGTTGTAAGTTGTGTATTAAAAAGTGGTAACAACAAAAACAAGTTAGGTAGCGTGGCCAATTAGCATTCATTTTCCGCAAAGAGCGGCACAGCTTTTCTGATTTGAAATTCACAGTGGGCACTCAAAGTGTGTCTGTTTGTAAACGGATCTTTTTTTTTTATACATAATTCATTAGACCCCTTGCTGCCTCTTTCTTCGATTTCCGGTACTTACTATTTCTGCCAAACGCGCGGGTGGTCTCTTTCTATCACTTTATTCTCTTTTAACTGGGTGAAAATTAACTGTGTTAACTGTGCAATCAACTAGTGAGAGTAATAGTTTAACCGTTTAGCACTCCGCTTCTTTTACTTTTAACTTGTTTAGTTATATGCTGGAATTGAAATCCCCACGAGAACCGTTAAAGTCGAGCGAAAAACGTTGACTGAGAGAGCGAGTCGCGATCAATGGCAGCAGAAACTTCTCTTGTAGCTGGCAGAGGCAGTGACGCCGGCAGAGGCTAAGGCAGCGACGCCAGCCGGAAGCAGAGGAGTCAGTAAGAAATAGCAGAGAAATGCGGGCGCACTCACTCACACACACAGAGATGTATTTACTGACCGTCAGCTGCCGATAAAGATAAAGGCGTGCTCCTGTTCGCCCCTCCACCATCTCCCCATCATTTCTTCCTCTTCTCATTCCTTGGTCAATAACAAACTAATGAGCCTTGGCGGCGTCGACGCGTATGCTTTATTGCTTTATTTTGCTGCCATTCACACAATGACCCCACATGCAACACAAGCAACGGCAACAAAAACTACAGAAGCGAAAAGCAAAAGCAGCGGGAATAAACAATACACACATGTGTAAAGAGAATGGGGATCAACACACACCCAGAAAGAAAGAAAGAGAAGGCGTGAAGAATCACCGAAAAATATGTGGTGTAACATTCAACGGGACTCTTGTATTGTTATTTAATTATCGCACTCGGATGGGAAAGTAATTGTGTATCGGGGAAATTCATTTTGTGGGGGTACTCCACACTCCACTTCAATTTAAGATAAATCGCTGCTGTGGTCGCGGGGGTTAATGGAAAAAGGCTCCTGTTAATGTAGTTCTCATAAACTAGTGATAAAATCCAATAAATGTAAATCTAATGGGTTTCCTTTTTGAATAAAAGGAAAGTAACTATAGGGAAAACAATTTTTATTTAGTTTTCTATTTTGAGTTTATGTTTTAAACAGTCTTTTAAAGATAATTCAGATAAAGACGCCCCAAAATAAGTACAATCGCAGTAACTAAAACCAATCATCACTCAAAAATAGCTGCTCTTGGCCTTAGATCCAATGAGAACGCTCAGCTTATGAAAAAAGTCACAAAATATATATCTTAAAATTCACCAAAAACTAGTTATTTTCTAAAGCTGTTGCATGTAAAGTAGTTTTATTTAAAGTGATCACTGTACCTTTAGATGACTGAGAACAAACAGCGGCTTTGATAAGCAACGCAACAAAAGCAAATCAGAAAACCGCAACAACGAAATCAAACGCCAAGAGCTAGAATTTAAATAAAGTTCCTCGATCCGGAGAGGTGGGGATCGTATGGTAGAGATCGGATCGTATTGGATCGACCAGGGCCGCTTATCTTTGCCTTCGTCGATTTGTTTATTTTTTCTTTCTGGGGCTACTGCGATTGATTTTTAGTGCGGACTACAAATATTTTCATATTTTCCACATTTCTGTTGATTTGGCATTAACACAATGCCCATTCGGCACGCCAAATGCCTGCTAAAACAACAACACAAATAATAATGTGCACCCCAGCAATTATGTTTGTGTGCCTGAACCGAATTCCTGGGGAATTAGTGGCTTCAAGTGGTCGAATGGAGGGGGATATCTCCGAAAGAAAACGTAAAATGAAAATCTGCTCAATTTGCGTACATTTTCCACTCACAGCAGAGCGCAGCCCTTGGAACATCTTTCACACAGATGTTTGCATATTAAATGAGAAATTCGCTCGTTCTCTGTGTACATATATGTACATTCGCATATCGGTGACAAGGGACCTCTCAACACTTTGGCTTACTTACACCCATGCTCCCCAATTGAGCTTCGGACTTTGAGCGGCATATGTTTCGCGAAAATGGGCTGGCAAACCTTCATTCTTCGACTGAAACTCGCGATTCTGTTTTGATCGTACAAGTTCCATTATAGATTTGACTTTCATTCCGGGAGAATTCCGTATTTTATAATATTATTATTGATCTAATATCCTTAAATGCTAAACATATAAAAAAGCTGTTGACTAAAATTTAAAAATAAAATTATATTTTTTCTAAAATTCCGGATGCTAGATGGTAGAACATTACGACAAATTAAAGGCCAATTGTGGGATCGAGCTTTGCCAGGTTAACCGCGACTCGCACTTGACGAAACGGTATGTTTGCCGTCAGCCCGTCCCCATCACAATAATGCAATGTTTACTTGCGTTTAAGCAAACGTTGACAAATTCACCAATAAAGGCATGAGCAGAAGCAACAACAAGTAAAGCATTATATTCGTCCTCACTGAATGAGTGGCAAATATGTACACGTAATACGATCCGACTTCAAGGGAAACCCGCCACAAATTCTGTGGGTGCCCCTCTCGGCATTAAAAAATTTCACAGATACGAAGATACCACAACCTGAAATCGAAGTCAAGTCCCTTAAAATAAATTAATTCTAAGCGCTTCAATTCAAATTAGAAAACCGATCGAAATTTATATTGTTTTTATGAATTCCCCCAAATGGATATTTTTAATTTATGTAAAAAGGGATTGGTTTACCCTCTTTTGAAAACACTTCAGGATTTTTAGCACATTTTAGTTACAAAATACAATGACAAACCAAACGAATTGTATATTTACAAACCCCCACCATGAAAACGTCAGATTTGTTCTTCTTTAAAACATTTAGTCAGTTCCAAAATTTTACTACATCCTTATACTAAAAGCATTGTTTTGATGTTTTACTGCTTTAAAATCGGTTTGCTGATGTTTTTTAAGAACCGCTTGAGGTCGTATAACCCTGAGTACTTCCCTAACATAAATTTTGTTACTACTTTTCAAAAGACTCCCTAAAGTACAACTTATCTAAAGGTTAATATTAATTGCCTTAATCGCATTAACAATCCGCATTGCAAATCGCATCCAACTACATACATATTTAAATTTTAGTTGACAATCGAAAATCTAGTGATTGAGCTTCTTCTTTTTATTTCTGGCCTCCACCCACCCACTCCATTCGTGAAGGACTCATACACGTAGCACGGCACGCACACAACCACAATTTGCCAGGCACGCAAGTACATACAAACACATATACCCATACAAAGGCATGTAGGCGACGCCAGTTAGGGCGGTGGCTGTCTGCCCGTCTGCGATTGAACGACTGAGGTACTGATTGACTGACGGTCGGACCAACTGACGCTGCAAAAAGTGCGACGCAATTTTTCGTAACAAAAGTGTAGGAAAAACAAAAAGACGATCCTCGGGTATTGATAATCTGTGTAAACTGAGACGCAAAAGGGAATACAAAGATCAAATGGCTACAGTAAGCCTTGGCTGCAGATGCACCTTGCACAAGGATGTTTGGCGGAGAAACATGTTGGCAAGTGTAATCAAGCGTACAAAGCAAACAAAGAGGAGACAACGACAATGAACCAGAAGTCAAGGCGAAGTGATGGCACAAAGGACAAGCGAAGAGCGCGAGGAAGGAGGTAGGCAAAAAGGAGAGAGCGCGAGCCTGAGCCGGAGAGAGAGCGAAACAAAGCCAGCCACACCGGCATGGTGTTTTAGCTTCTCTGCCAGCGTCGATGCCAGCGCCGCTGCTGCGGACGCCGACGTGGTGGCAACGCCGACGCATTGAAGGCGGCACACCCAAAAATTGTAAAAAGGCAACTCCAAAGTGGCGAAATTCAAAATTAAGGATTTTGCGGGGGTGGAAGTATACTACAAAGAAAAGTATTTTTAAATTAACAAAACTCAATTGGAGATCATTCCGCACTCTTTCTTTCTGCCACCGCTCACGCACACTAAGCCGCCTTCCATGGCGTCCTTTTTCCTGCCTGTGTATGCGTGTGCGTCGGCGGGCGTCTGTTTTACGAACACTTGTGCCTCAAATACAGTTAACGTTTTCTTAAACCAGTTATTAACTTTTAATTTAAACGCTTTTTTCTCCTTTTGAGTCACAACTTCTTCCTTCGAGTTAGACGCGAAGTACAGAGCGGGTATAGAGAATTTCAAAAGTAGCACCACTCACGCACACACACACAAAAGCCGTCTGCCTGCTTGGCTTTAGGTTTTCCTTTTTGTTTAAATTTTCGACTGCATTGTTTAATGACTTCTTATGACTTAAAGTGGAATTTACCTGGCTCGATTTTCGGTTTCGGCTTAAAAACACACGCACTTGCTTCTTTCTTTGCTTTGCGATTCTACTCTGGCAGCAGCTCTTTTTGCCTGCTTTCCGTTTCGGTTTCTTTACTCGTTCTCTCTCCACAAATAAAAAATGGTCCCACAAACGGCAGTATCGATGTTTTGAAATTCGATTTTTTTTAGCATCGAAATCATGTCTGTACGTCGATGTTTTTCCACCGACCCGGGTGGGTGTCCCCGCTCGCCGTGTTTTTCCACCAAGGGTTTGTGCATCGTTTTTCTAAGAGAAAATGTTCAAGCCAAAATTTTCTAACAGAAATTCAAGTATCTAGATCCTTTTTCTTTTTGTGGTTTTTAAGCGCTCTCAAATTTAAAATGTTCGCATAGGACTTTTGGAATTGGGATTTTTAACGGGTTATTGTGTTTCGGCGGTCCTTAGGCGTTAGGACGTCGACCAAATGCGGCTGTGATGAGCGGTTTAGCGATTTCCAGGAAATTCGTTATTTAACAGTATTACAATGTTTGTGAAGTAAAAAAAATGTTGAAATAAAAAATGTTATTGAATTAAATAAAATCAGGATTTCTTGATATTTAAACATGTAATTTAAGAAAATTCCGGTACATAATTTATTTAATTTATGGTTATTGACGGTGTAAAACCGTTATTTTGCCCACTGAACAAACCATATTTTGCCCACTAACAAAACATGATCAAATAAACAGTATAAAGCGAAACAACTGAATAATATTGTGTCCCTTTTTAGAACATTTTTGCTTATTTTCTTTTATTTATTTAACATCGGGATTTTTTTCCAGTCCTTTTTGCAAAACAAGTTGTCATCGCCATACTCACAATTGCGTTTGGTCGGACAAGGGGAAAAGTCGTAAAAGAAATTTTATCCACACAAACTAAATTTCCCTGACCGAATAACAACAATCAGCATATGTACAGGGGCGCAGGAGCTGACAAGAACTAGTGGATATAGCAAAGATCAAGGAAGGATAAGTCAACTACCCCGTATAGCCTCCAGTGGGCGGTAAATTGAAGGCGCAGCTGCTGGTGGGTGGTGCTCTTATCGGCCTGCGAATTTTCCCATGCCCCCTGCGATAAGAACCAGGTGGATCTGCCCATCCAGGTAAGCATAACCACTATACGTAACTAGCGTGAAATAGCCTTAAATACTTTGTATTTTTCTTTAAGTTGGTCAACATGGGCTGCATTACGAGCACCAGCAAGCTGAACGAGCTGCGCGGCCATGAGAATGTGTTCCGGGTGCGAGTGGCCCATCTGCAGCCAACGCCGGGCACGCCCATTATCCGCAGTGGCTACCTGGAGCTAACGCCACGGGAATTGATCTTTCAGACGCCCGGATGTGAACCAATCGTATGGGCCCTGCAACATCTGCGGCGATATGGCCTAAATGCCGATCTCTTCTCCTTCGAGGCTGGACGCCGGTGCATGTCCGGACCGGGCATCTACACGTTCCGGGTGCACAACGCCGAGCAACTGTATCCGATGTTCCAGCGCTATATCAATGCGGTCAATACGGATGCTTTTGCGCAGGGTGAACGGGAAAGGGTGAATTCTGCCCACTCGGTTTCAGTGAACACGGGCAGAACTGAGGGCAATAACTACCTGGAACCAGCTCCGTTGATGAGCCGCCAGCTTGGCAACTTTCAGTGTGAGCCATCGAGCGCCAATGCTTTGCATTCACTGCAGTCCAATGACTCGCAGGTCGAAGACTGTCCGCCCAACTTGCAATCACCTCTTCTGATACCCAGTGCCTATTTGGATCAGCCATTGCGGGCTCTGCAGGATTGCTGTGTTGACGGCAACTCTACGGATCTGCTGGCCACTCCTCCTTCTGGCAATCGGTTAAGCACGCGGAGGCGCACTTTGGACTTGCCCCCTCTGGAATCTGCCCCAGCTCCAACTCCGGTTTTGAGTCCTAACGATGCAGTACACATGTACGCCAATGTGGAGGCGCTGATCTTCGATCTGAGCAATGAGCGGTGCTACGAGAACGTTAATCGGTTGGATCTGCTGCCGAGAGAACCTATTGTCAGCCAGGAACCGGCCACACCCACAAGCCTAGCAGGCAGTAGCGGCGTTAACTATATAGTTCTGGATCTAGATCAGCCACGAAGTCCGGTCGGTGCAGCGGGATCGCCCAAAACGGTGAATGGTTTCGGTAGCGGTTTGTCCCTGGTCTCCACCCCAGCACATTTAACCGCTCCAGTTACTCCAGAAACAGGAACAGCGCTGGATGTTCCCCCACCAACCATTCAGAACCAAAGCCTAAACAGTGTTACTGCTGAAGCGGGAGAAACGCCCGCCAACAAGGCATCGGAGTGTTCCGGAACCCAGGGCTATTCCACAATCGATTTCATTCGCACCTATGCGCTGAACAAGTCTTCGACAGAACTGCCGGAACAGGTCACACATCGCCAGCATCCGGCGCACGATGCCGAGGAGCTGAGGATCACGCGGCACAGCAAATGTATACGGAAAGCCTATTCGATAAGTGAGTGAGAAGGCGGAGGTGGAATTCAAATAAGTGGAAACCCAGTGCACAACGAATTTATAGAGAGCGCCAGGAAAGCAGTTCGCTGGCGAAAAAGCCAAGTTGAGGAGGCAAGCCAAAAAGGAAGATACCTGGTAATTGAAAAGGAATCCAAATCATCATAGGTCCCTATTAAACCTAGCAATACAGCAGGTATTAGAACGGAAAATTCAAGTAACTCAAGCGGATTGTACTTAAATGATTGTTGGTCACTTAAGAGGTATATTTACCACAACTGGGATCAAAAAGGATTTTATTGAAGGAATTGTTGATACCATACATCTCGGAAATTCAATCTACCTTTTAATTGTTGGATCCGACATTTTGGCTTTATTTCATGCCAAACAAGTTCTCAATTTTTTTTAATTGCTGGCATCACAGAAAAATGTACGAGAAGCTGGTTCTTCTGTTTTAAAAAATTACTTTTTAATTAATTCTGAGAACAGTTTAAACTTTTAAGAAAAGGAAAATTAGTGAGAATGCGGCATTGGTTAAATGAAATTAAATAGCTCTCTCGGCTTAATGAACTTTTAAATCATTAAGGAGGTTCTGGAATAAGATGATGCACAACGAATTTACTGCAATCGATGACTAGGAAGGATGTGGCAGGTGATTGTGGTAAAGTGGAAATTGAAGAGTGATTTGTCCAAAGATTTGTTTGCTTCTCCATGGGCCAAAACATTGATGCAAACAAATAACAATATTATAGCCAGGTTGTTTTAGTAGTCAGTACAGTAAACTTACACAGCCAAAAACACATAGACATGAATTGCATACGTACTTAACTGTATTTAAGGATAGTGGCATAGCGTTACTTAGTGATTAGATGATTTGTGTACTTGCCAGCGGCTGTTTAGAGCTAGTCATTTTTGATTTTGTGCATACATACTTACATAGCGAGCAACACGAAAGGCTTTTAACATATAAATTGTATATGGTAGATGTTAAGCGTAGATCCTAAGCACCAATATATACATCACCGACGTACATGTACGTTAGTTGTTGGCCAAGGCTTTAAAAACGTATTTTGTTGCAAAAAAAAAAAAAAAGAAAAAAACAATGGTAGAAAACATCGCGTTGCATTGTCCGCTGTGAGTTTATAATTTTTTTATATATATATCGCTAAATTGTTATTCAATTTGTTAAGAACTATATACACCGATTGTCACAAGGAGTATTCATAATTTGACACGCAAGTGATGACTTGAAGGTTTTTGCAGTTGCATAAATTTACATACATACTTACGATCGCTGCTCAGTCGGCGGCATAAACTATATTATTGTTAGTGTCTAAGACGAAATATGTGCAATAAAGCTCAAACGACCTTGTAATTACATCTTTTAATAACTGAACAACAAGCAACATCTCTCTGGGGATCAAAACGGAATTATGGTTTTGGATTAGAGCTGCCAATCCAGAATAGTCTTTACAGTTACACCAATGACTATCTCAGTTTTGGATATTGAACCGAGACTTAAACCCTATTTAAATTAGCAATCAAATAAAATAAAAATATATTTTATTCTGGCTTACTAAGCTACTACTATTCCGAATTCTTGGATTTTATAAACTACATATTTATTTTACATACATACCCTAGTGGGCACTTGTAGCAGTCTCATTTTTGAAATTTGGAAAGGAGTTGTTTTATAAAAAAAATAAAATAACTAATGATATAGTTCGTTAGAGAATTAAAGTACAAAATTATAGAGGTATCCCACTTCAAAATCAGATTAATATTAGAACAGTTATGGACTTAGAATTAATGAATTTTGTTCAATTTTCAGCAAACCCATTTGTGTGTTACAAACTTCATATTAAAGTCGGAATGCTTTAAGACGGTGTATAAAATCCCCTCGACGAAGATCTCTAGTGCGTCATTGTTTAATGTGGCGATAAGAAGAAAGTGATCGAATCCAGCTGCTCTTCTTTTCCATTGTCCGCTCATCACACTCACTTAGCGCTCTTTATTCTGATCCCGCATTCTTTGCGAGAGCTTGATCTTGAATTGCGAGAGGAGGAGCTGTCACTCGGCCAGTCAGTTACTGAGGTTCCGTTGACATTCACACATGGAAGTGACGCTCGGCAGAAATGCATCTGAAATGGAATCTGGCCTTGGCCTTGCTAGCGGTTCTTTGTCTGGACCTGGGATTCGGATCGGAGCTCCACTTTGATGGTGTTTCGGGGCCAGACATGGGTATCCAGTTGGCTGGCCACATGGCGCCCAATACTCCCCTTAAGATTCAGGAGGAAGCTGCTCTGGCGGTTATCAGTAGAGTGGTCGGCAAACGCTCCTCTCAATTGTTTCAGGTGCAAGTCAATAAGCGAATGGAATTACGGAGCTTTAAGGTGAGCTATAATTTTTTATGATAATAGTTTGGCGATCGCTATAAATGTGGAGATTCTATATGTACATATAAATATTAAAAACATATTTTTGGTTGTTATTTTAGCAGCTTTACATTGATAAATAATTGGTACAATAACGAATACAATACAATTAAAAAGAAAATGAAAATAGTAATATAAAATTCATAGTTTTAAGACATTTTCCTGATAGCTAGAATAAAGGCAAAATGAGTTACAAAGTGACACCTTTAATATTATTTAATCCACTTTATCTTGTAGATTAGCATGTTGGACGATGGTCGAATTTTGCTGGAGGGTTGGGATGGCGTGTCCGTGTGCAAGGCCTTCCATCACTACCTGAAGTACGTGCTCAGCAAGGACGTGGACTGGTTCAAGATGCGCATCGAGTTGCCCGACAACATTCAGCTGCAAAATGTGTCTATCGAATCCAAATCGGCCAGTCCGATCATCTATCACCAGAACGTGTGCACCTGGAGCTACAGCTTCGCCTGGTGGAGCTTCGAGCAGTGGCGCCGGCATCTGGATTGGATGGTCCTGATGGGCATCAGTTTGACCATCGCCCCGATTCAGGAAGCCATCTGGGTGGAGGTCTACACGGAGATGGGTCTCAGTCGGCAGGAGATCGATGAACATTTGGCAGGTCCGGCTTTTCAAGCCTGGCAGCGAATGGGTAACATTCGTGGCTGGGCGGGACCTATGACGCCGCAGTGGCGACGACAGCAACTGCTCCTGCAGCAGGAGATCCTGGCTGCCCAGCGAAACTTGGGCATGAGTGTGGCCCTGCCCGCCTTTGCTGGTCATGTGCCCCGAGCTCTGAAGCGCCTGCATCCGAACTCCACTTTCATGGAGGTTCAGCGGTGGAATCAGTTCCCCGATCGCTATTGCTGCGGATTGTTTGTGGAACCCACGGAGCCACTTTTCAGCCAGATAGCCGAGAACTTCCTCAGTCGAGTGGTGTCCACGTACGGATCCAACCACATCTTCTTCTGCGATCCCTTCAATGAACTGGAGCCACCGGTGGCGACACCCGATTACATGAGATCCACGGCGGCAGCGATTTATGAATCCATGAGAGCTATTGATCCCCAGGCCATTTGGCTGCTGCAAGGTTGGATGTTCGTGAAGAATCCCTTCTGGACCGAGGACATGGCAAAGGCTTTCCTTACGGCGGTTTCCCGAGGAAGGATACTGGTGCTCGATCTCCAGAGCGAACAGTTTCCGCAGTACGAGCTGACCCACTCCTATTTTGGACAGCCTTTTGTGTGGTGCATGCTGCACAATTTCGGTGGAACTCTCGGCATGTTTGGATCCGCCAAGCTGATCAATTCTGGAATCGAAGCGGCTCGTCGAATGCCCAACAGCAGTTTGGTGGGCACTGGAGTAACTCCCGAAGGCATTGGCCAGAACTATGTGATGTACTCCTTGACTTTGGAGCGCGGTTGGAGTGATTCACCCTTGGATTTGGAAGATTGGTTCAGGCATTTCGCCTATACGCGTTATGGCGTCAAGGATGACCGATTGGAGAAAGCTTGGTTACTGCTGAAGAACAGTGTATACTCCTTTCATGGGCTACAAAAAATGCGGGGTCAATATGTGGTGACGCGAAGGCCATCATTCAACCAGGATCCCTTCACTTGGTACAATGCCAGCGACACTCTAGATGCCTGGCATCTTTTGCTCTCCTCCAGAGCCATTATCCCACTGGAGGATGATAGATACGACATTTATGAGCACGATTTGGTGGACATAACCAGACAGTTTCTGCAAATCACTGCCGATCAACTGTACATCAATTTAAGGTCGGCCTACAGGAAGCGGCAGGTTCCCCGATTTGAATTCCTCAGCTCCAAGTTGTTAAAGCTATTTGAGGATATGGAGATGATCCTGGGCAGCAGCAGGAACTTCCTGCTTGGCAATTGGCTAGAGCAGGCAAAGCGAGCGGCACCAAATGCTGAGGACCAAAGGAACTTTGAATTTAATGCCAGGAATCAAATTACCGCTTGGGGCCCTGACGGTCAAATCTTGGATTATGCCTGTAAACAATGGTCAGGATTGGTGAGGGATTACTACACTCCTCGGTGGAACCTGTTTTTGGAAGATGTCAATGTGGCTCTACACTCGCAGCGACCCTTCAATGGCACCGCTTTCAAACAAAAAGTGTCGCAGAGAATTGAATTACCTTTTAGCAACAGGACCGACATTTATCCTGTGGAGCCAATTGGCAATACTTGGTTGATTTCACAAAACATTTACGAGACCTGGAAGGCCTTCTTGGAGGACTCGCAATTTCTACACAGCAATCGTTTGCCAGTGCCACGAAAAATGGGTCAAAAATAATTATTTTATTTATTCCAATCACCTATATGACTGCCAACTGCAATAAATCATTTAAAATTGATGTAAGCTTGAGTTTGAATAATACGAATAAAAGATTATTTTTTAAAAAACAAATTTGTCCGCTCTATCAAAACATAATTCTATAAAAACATACACACAGTTTTAGCTAATCTTTCCTTTAGTTGATTGCAATTTCCGTTAATACACTTGACTTCTGAATTGTAATATTCGTTTTCAGCAAGTTATGAAATTCGGTGCGGCGGATCCATACAACAAAGCGAAAAAAAATAAAACTTAAAAAAGGCTTTGCATCATAAATCATTGTAGTTTAAATTGATTTTTATTTAAATTAATGTACAAACTAATTATGTAAAAATTTAAACATGATCATTAATACGCATTACTATGGTTATTTTTGTTTTCTTCTTGATGTATTTGTGTTTTGGGTATTTGCGTTTTAGTTCTATTTTTCACACATTGCATGAACGCTATTCTGGTTATGATGCTGTGTTTATTGATCATCTCCTTATTGTGTTCATCGTCTTAACCGTCGTGTTAATGCTAAATTTATGCAAAACGATTGCATAGAATTTTGTTACCTCTGCTGCTCCTGATCTGTTTAAGTCACTACAATTTATTTTTTATTTTAGTTCCTTTCTCATCTTATTGTTGTTTCTTTTGCTCATTATTTTTTATGTGTGTGGGGTTCTCTGAGAGGTGTGGTTGTGTTTGCTCAAATATCCATTCATACTTGGTATTCTACAGTTACTCATTTAAAAAATTCCAAACAAACATTATTTTATATTATTACGATAAAGTTTGCATCTTTCGCATTGGTTGCTTTAGTATGACGTTTTACAACTATATAATGTGAATAAAGGGCGGGAAATTGGGAACTGGCTGGGTTTCTTATTTATGCTGGTATGTCGAGGACAATGCGCAAAAATATGTTAATCATATTAATGTATGTAATTACGCACGAATAACCATTTACTCATTCACCATTTAACGCAACTATATCTGTATAGGTGTATGTGTATGCATGTGTGGGTTTGTGTGTGTGGGGTCGTGTGTGGGTGTATTTATATATATATAACGTACGTACTTATATGCATTCAATCAAACAAACATTTATACTCTTTCTCGCTCAAGAAACACTCATTCATCAGCATCCTCATGTCATCCTTCTGTAGCATCAACTAAAACATTCTATCTCAGGGACATCGACATTGACATCTATTCGTCCTGCATATCCTCGGGCAGCTCATGCGGATTCAACATGCCTGGAATATTACGTTGCATCTGATGTTTGTTGGACTGCTCTTCGGCCAGAGCCGCCTCGCGCTCCTCCAAATACAGATCGGAATCGTCTTCGCCGGTGGCCTCCTATAATAAAATATTAAATACAGTATTTTGTTTCCCTATAAGGATATGAATTCCTGCAAGTACTCACGCGAATCTGAATGAGGAAATCTCTCAAATGCTCCTTAAATGCTTGCACATTCTCGTCTAAATTGAAAAGGCCAGTGACAAAGACTTTGATCTGATTATCGGACAGGTGATTGAATGCCGATTTCAGCAGGGACGCGACATACTCCTGTATGAATATCATATTATCCGGTATCGGTCCCAGGTCCACGGTAATCTTCCTGTTCTCCACCAGTGAGAACATATACGCCAGAATGGTGGCATGATTGGGCAGTCCAGCCGTGTGGGAGGTGTCGGTAACCACCGAAAAGATTTGCATCAGAATATCTGTGAAATAGGTCTGATAGAAGCTCTGCGCCGCATTCGGATGCTGGTCTAGATTTTGAAGCATCTGCAATTTAGGAAACCACATTATTAAGTCAATTCTGAGATACATTTTTAAATAAGATGTTAACCTTAAAGAGGATATTCAAGCCCATGTCAGCCACATTGCGCATGGTGTGCTTAAAGGCCCACACAACCGAGTCAAATACCAGTTTGAACTGAGCCGGTGGTATGTTGAGGAACGCCTTGAAGCAGTGCGCATTGACCGCCTGCAGCAGCTCGTAGAAGCTAAGCCTATGCTGTGGAAAGTCCTCAAAGTTCTTGTTGATCATGTCCAGCGTGCACTCAAAGACGGCGTCGAATATTTTTGGTACTTCATTTGTGATATGCTGGCGCAACTTATGCACAATCGTCGCCATCGCACTTAAAACCTTTGGCTCGCGTGCAGATGGAACTTTGCAGCGCTAGAAAAACAAAGTTACTTGGTTATTATAGTTGCAATACTTTTTAAAGTCTTAATTTTAATTTGGTTGAAACATAAACTGAACGAGGAAAATAAATTGAATCGAAAACAAGTTAAGTTTTTGTTAAGGTTTGATATATTACCTGATAATCTAGTAAAATAGCGTCCAGCAAAGGCGGTATGAAGTTGTCCATCACCAACTGATTGTCGTTGGAGCGAGACACCCACTCGGATATCAAGTTAAGCGTCTCCTTCTTAACCACATGCATGGTCTTGATCAAAGGCTGATTGTTCACATTGACGCCGTTCACCTCGATGGCCTGGATGATGTTTTCCGATGTTATCTTGTACACATTCAACATGTCCAGATATATCCGACCCAGCTGAATGACGTACGCATGCCCCAGGGCCTTGCAGGCTGCCACATTCGTTTTAAGGATGCTGCCCAGTTGCTTGACAGCGGTCATGTTTTTCAGGAAGTCGACATTTTTCGAGGCTAGCGATATAATGTCATCCCAAACCTGATTAGGCAGTTGCATGTACCGTTCGATGAGCACGTCCTGCTGCACTTGATCCACTTGGGCAGAGATCATGTAGCCGACAGCTTCATAGAAAGTGTGAACCTAAAAAATAAATTTTAAAAAATTATAAATCAGGTGTAAATTTAAGTTAGATTGTTAATCTTTTTTTATCACACAAAAAAAATAGTTTTACCTGCTGCGGCTGCAGATCACAAATGATGCTGCTCATTGTGGTGAGAATCTCGTCAATAAAGGTGCAGGCCTCATTCGGCTGGATGGTGACAAAGTAGCGGCGGCACTTAATGGCAATCTTGATGAATGTGTCGCATGCCATGTCCTGGACACCATCGTGCGTCTCATGCATAAATTCGAATAGTTTGTTCACGACCGTCTTGAGGAATTTCCAGTGGGCGCGCAGGAAGCGCGGATATTGACCAACCACATACATGATATTGGAGGCAATGATGGCTTTGTTATCCTTGCCCTTTTTCTGTTCACACAGGCCTAGGAGGTCCTTGATGACCGTGACCAGGAACCGCTTCTCATCCTCTTCACAAAAAGCACCTAAGGGTTTGAACAGTAATTCATGATTAATGGAATAATACAAAAAAGTAAATGGGATTTCAAAATTAGTTACGAACAGTAATAATTTGATCTAAAGAAAACTTATGAGAAATCCCCGAAAATAGCTCACCGGATATGGAACCAATGGCCCAGCACAGCGTGTTCAGGTTCTTCCACGAGAATTCCGAGCCGTTCACCTGGTTAAGCAGCTTCAGCGTCATGATGCGGTCCGTGTCCACAGAGTCCAAATGGGTGAGAAAGACGAGCGTTTCGCGCATGTTCTTGTACAGGTTAATCGAGTTGGTGTCCTTCATGAACTCACGCACCACCTCCCCGTTTTCGTTTTCCACCACCAGCACCTCCTCCGGCTTGGCCATGCGTGAGATCATAATAAATCGCACTTTTGATAAGATGGGGGCGTAGAAGCGTCGCCGGGGATAAACCTGCTGCCTCTTTGAGGACTCCAGGGTGGGGTGGAAGAACTCCGAGTTGTACAGATCCTCCACCAGGCTGTTCCAGTACTCCAGGCAAATCTTGAACACCTCCACGTCCTCCACCTCGCTGATCATCACCAGATACATAAGCGCCTGGTTCAGATAGTCCACATACTTGGCGTCCTCCACCAGTTTGCCGTGCTCCTTAAGGAAGGTGCACAGGAACATGGCCAGGTTGAGAACCAGTTCCTGCTCCGTGTCGCTGCCATGTTTGAACACGTGGTTCATGTTCATGTTCTGGCCGACGATCTGGTCGAGCTGACCCATCGTGTCCTTGAAGAGCGTCGCGAAATTCTCGTCGTAGTTGGTCGCTGTCAGGCCGGCGATCTCGGACAGGCACTTCAGGGTCACGTTGCGAAACATGGGCACGCTGAGGAACTTGAATATCAGCGTCTCGATCTGCTGCGTTTCAAAGATATAGCCCAGCGGGATCCAGTTGAGGAATCGCAGCAGAGTTTCTAGAGTGACGTGGATAAGGGCGGCGTTCATCGAGCTCTCTAGCACGAAGGAACAGAGCGTGAAGATCTGCGAAAACTCCGAGCACATGGTGTCCTTCAGGTGCTTAGCCTTAGTCTGTGTGATCTGGCCCTGCGAGAAATCGAACACCTCCTCGCTAAGGTTCTTCAGGATGACCATGTTGTTCATGCACAAGCTTTCGTTTGTCTTGGACGCACCGACAATGTCACTGATAAAGGTCTCCCAGTTACGCGGCCACTCGCGCTTTAGGATGTGCACCAGAATCATATTGAGCTTGTTTAAATACACCTTGTTCTGCTCCATGATATTGGGATCGGACGAGGTCTTGATGATCAGGCTAACCACATATTTCTTGATGCCCTCACATTGGTTGCGCGGCAGGACCTTCCAGCGTGTCTTGATTACCTCCTCGAGGATTTGCAGAGCATAGAACTTGGTCCGCTGGTTTTGTGAGTACTCCAAAATGCTGTCGACTCGCGTCCATGCCTCCGGATGCTCCTTCAGCGTGGTCAATATGCTTTGGGCAAGGCGCAACTGCTCGCCCTGCGCTGTGTACACCACTTCGACGATTCGATCCAGCAGATTGATGTCCAGCTTCTGGGAGAAGTCGAGCAGCTTGCTCGCCTCATCCGATGTCAACATTGTCGCCATCGCTTTGTAGTAGAAGCGGCGTTCGCGTCTGCGTCGCTCGGCAGCTGTGTCCGCGTTAATTTTGATAGCTTCTTGGCTTCCTCCTCCGCCGGATGAGCTGGGATTTCACGAGAGCTCTTAAGATCGTTCTATGTTTGTTGAATTGACGGAGGTGTGCGGCTTTTGCTGCCCCTACTTGTTTTGCTTCTTCTTCTGTTTCGGATAATGACGGTGAGGAGCGGCGACTCTCGATCTGGATCGGGATCTGGATCTGGTGCCGGGACTGGACCTGGAGCTGCCAAAACAGAGCGTTAGTTATTGTTGCGTACTTTTTCAGACCGATTGACGGCAGCACAGGCAACCATATTTCTTTTTTATTTTCTTATTTCATTTTTTGGAACACACTTACAACTACAAACACACGCTTGCTGCCTGCGCGCGCTTACACTTTTTCGCACACCAACACACACACACAATCGCTCGGCACACCGCACACACACACATGCAAAAATAGGAGCACACAAGCACAGCCTAACGCATCGCCGCCGCAAATGCGATGAGCGAACTGCGGCGGCATTTCGCAACTTTTAGAGCTTTTCATCCACGCCAGCAACGACGCAATGCGTAGTTAGCCAACATAACGGCTCAATTCACATATCGGGCTTACCTTTTTCCGATTCCAGAAAAGAGCAGCGTGTGAAAACGACGACGACGGACAATGCGAAATGCAATTTGTGTGAGAAGAGTGGCCGTATTGCGGTGTCGTTGGATTGGTGAAAACATACGTCTTCAGCCCTGGTGTGCAGACGTGCAAGCAGAGTAATCGATAGGTTTGTGGAGCTATCGTTAGGGTAACAAATATATATTTGAATTGTTTGATTAATTATTTTGAGCCTGTTATTGATTTAAATGTATGCAAACAAAAAAAACGAAGAGGTATTTTATTTTTTTTTTATTTCAATTTCAATATTACGTTAGCATCAATACAAATTAATTTTGTCAACTTTATATAATTTAAGCAACAATTGTAAAATTTCCTTTTTTTACATGTAACCACACAGATTTTTTCAAAGATTTTTCGCTGTCTTAACCTCATATTTATTAAGTAATCATTTTTCTGTTTTTTGGAAAAAAATACAATATCAAACTATTTGATTTTTGTGGAAAGCAATGTTAATAAATTAAATATTACAACTGAAAAATTGCCAATACTGATCCAAAAATACAATGTATTTTTAAAAATCTCCTTACTTCACTTTTTGTTCAACTCTCTACGATTTTTGATTTTGTTAAAAATTGTTTATATATTGTAAAGGCGAGTACATTAATAGCAATGGTTAGAAATTAATTATTTTTCGAAGCCGGTTGGTATAATTTAGCGATCGAGAAACTGTCACACTGCATACGTTGCAAGTTTGGTAAAGAAGAAGAGCTTGCAATGTCTATTTATTTGCTATGTTTGACAACAAATGGCGGTCTTCCAGTGTTTACCAGAAAGAAGGGAGAATGCGAGAATGTAAGTGCAATTTAGAGTGACTTAAGCCGGCTACTAAAATGATTAACCCTTTCAGCTACCATTTTCCACGGTGGCTTCCCTTAACGGTTTTCACATGTTCTTTAAATCGCTGGGGATTCAACTTGAGGCCACTACAACTAGCAAGCAGCAGCCCATCCAGAACAACCAGGCTTCGGCGGATGCAGAGGAGTGGACATACATATGGCGCGACAGTAACGCTATCACCCTGATCGTTTGCGGCTGCGGCGTGGGATCGGAGCAACTGCTTCAGACGCTGGCGGATCTGGTCTATGGAGCGATTGGCATGTTTATAACTCGTGCGGCGGAAATGGCTCATGCCACGCTACTGGAGCGATTGAAGAAAGATGCCAAGAAATATGTGCCCATTGTGGACGCTATTCTGGAGGCTGCTTGCGCCGGCACGCAGCTCCTTGGCTATACCGATTGTCTGTTGGCAGCAGAAAATGCCCAATTGCTGCAGTGCCTAAACGAGTTTAGTGGCCATTGCGGATCGCTTTTCTGCTGCCTGGTAGTCGGTCATCGCATCGCCGTGGCTACCGAAGGCTGGTGGGATCTAGACACTCGCGATCGGGAACTTCTGCTGTTCCTTCTAAACTCCTCCAGCACGCTGCAGCATGATGTGCCTGTCTATCTGCCAGTGAAGAGTCCTAATATAGCCTATCGATTCGTTAGCATTCCCGTGGCCTCCAATAGTGCTCTATGTGTTCTTTGTGGCGCTGAAAATGCCTCCTTTCGGGAACTGCATGCTCATGCTATGAGTGCCTATCGGAATGAGGGTAATCTTCTGGCGGCCGCAGAGCGCTGCGTACCGCGCAGTTTGCCTGAGCACCTGGAAATTGATGGCAATGTGCTGGCCATCATTTTAATCAACCGGCCTATGCGGAAAAGTTTGTTCACCAGGAATCTCAACCAGTCGGCGAGTGCCAAGCGCATCATTGTGGGCGACCTGCAACGACTGGACATTCTCAAGAAGTTTTTTGATCAGACTATGGATGCAGTGCATCAATTTGAGGTCGAGTCTTCGGGAAATAAAACTTTGTTGCTGGATCAATATAGCTGTTCAGATTACCACAAGTGCTATGCCCACACTGATGAGATCGGGAATATTTTGTTTTTGTTGTTTGTAGCAGCAGTCCCCTCGCACGCACTGAGGTTTGAAACGAAACATCGACTTTGTGGTTTGCATGCTAAAATATTTTTTTATTTACAGATTTCTCGCTCAACGCATTCATGCTAACATCCTACAGGAAAAATCGGTTTGCTGGTGACCTGTTTTTCACCCACAAATACCAAGACTGATATTTTTTATTATTTTACCTAGTGTACGAAAATACTTCACTTTTTTAAGTGGGTTTAAACATAAAATTTATTTAAATAATGTAGATGTAATTTACATATTAGAAAAATGTGACTTATAACATATATCCATATATATATGTGCGTGGCTTAACAAAGTGTGCCTCTATTGGCTTTAACGACCGTCCTTATAAATACTATTGATATACAGAAATATATATATATATAATATACGTATATTTAAACTGCTTTTTACATTAAGCTTCACATTAAATATGTGCTTATAACTATAACACACTTACATTGTAAGGGCGACAATAGACCAATTGTTGGTTTTTTAATTGCAACGGCCTAATGTTTGGATCCAAATAGAACTTAAGTCTAGACCCCACTTCAATAAGAGATTTCTGGTCTCTTTGAAGTAAAATATTAAAGTTGGGCCCTGTTTCCGGTGCCACTAATGCAATGGAAAGATTACTTTCTTCTGATATAGCTAAAACTTGACCAGTATGGGTGGCTTTCATGATATTGAGATGGCGCTGATCCATGCGCTCATTTGCAAGGATTTGTCGAAGCTCATTGGCATATCCTCCTCGAACGAAGCGAAGGCTTTGCTTTGGATTGGCCTTTTTATGGCTGCTCGACAAGTACTGCCTTGGACTTTCATCTGGCACAAGTTGGGTAACTGGCGAGGACTCAATATAACTATCCTCAGACAAATCCGTGCTGCTAAATTTGTTAGGCGGAGACTGGCTTACTAACGCATTCCAAGTGGCCTGGAATGAAGAAATTGGCCTGATTTGTTTATTCGGGATTAAGGGCGGAGTCCTTGGGGAATTATGGATCGCGATGGATAAGGCTTTAGCGCTTCGTCGCTTCGTTCCAGGCCAACTGGTGTTCAGGAGCTGAGAGCATGTAGAGAAACTTGTGTCCGTGGAAGGATTTGGTTGACTACTGCAAGTTCCAGACTTTTTTAACTCCTGCCAAGTCTTTTCGAACTTCGAGAAAATATTTCTGCGATAAGGCAACTTGGAATCCTTCAAAATACTCCTTTCGTTATCTTTTGGTGCGTTAATATCCTTTAAAATAAGGGGCTGTTTGATCCTTTGAGCAGCACATTCTGGACTGTTCTCCAGCTGATCGTCGTTCTCCAATGAAAAATTTAATTTACGTTTCGAGCACATATTATGTATATTTTTTAAGCAGTAATCATTTTATTTTTTTTTGTATAAATGTGACAGTGTGACCTTTCGGGAGCGCGAAAATGTTTACCTCTAATTGGGATCGATTAATCGATAATCGCTGTTGGTGCCAAAAACACCTTTGATACAACCCGATCGGTTTTTTTTAAATGTGATTTGACCAACGAATTTAAATTAAAACCCCCCAACAATAGATTTTTTTATGGGGGAATAAACTGATATGTGACTAAAATTGTCGAAGATAAGGATTGCATGACAAGCAATTTTTCATTGTTTAAATACGGCGAAAGTTTGATACGTTCAAACTTCTTTACATTTTTAAATAAAGCCTTATCACGAATTCATATTGTCAAAACAAATTCATTAAAGACAATTGTTTGTTTACGTTTCGTTTGCGTTATGAATGGCATATTTATATAGTGTATTTATGAGCTTTCTTTGATAGCAGGTTTCGAGTGGTTGCACGTCGTTTGCGTTTGCCGACAATGGTTCCCAGTCCGGAAACAGTACCCAACTGGAGGAGCAGGGGATTACTGACCAAGGCGGCAGCGATACCCAGAACCGCAGCACTGGCCAGCGGGATTAGAAAGCTCTTGGCCAGCAGCGCCTTGGATGACAATTCGCCGTGACCGGGACCCTTGTGCGCTGCGATTTCGTGGGGATCCAGGGGATACGGATACGCATACTCTGGCGGGGAATAGTGACCATGGCCAACACCGTGACCAGGTCGCGATCCATAAACGTCGAATGGAATACCCGCCTCGACACTGGAGCTACCGAAATAGGCACCTCCACCTCCAAGATTGGCACCTCCTCCACTGGCGTGCGAGTACTCGTAGGGATAAGGATGAGAATTGCTTTCGAAGCTGCCCACGGTCGGTGAATGCGATGCTACTCCAGAAGCAACTCCTCCGGCAGCTCCATAATGACCTTTTTTGGGTAAGTAATTAAAAAAGAAATTTATTAAAAGAGTAATAGAAAATTATAGACCAACCAACCAATCACTGATTTATAAATTTTTAAACGCTGTTTAAAGCTTGTTAGCCTTAGAAATACTAGGAACTCACCCACACTAATTCGGTCTTGAAAATTCCCACTTCCAGCTCTCCAATTGTTGTAGGTTTCGCTCAGACTTTCGCCAACACTTCCAAGCGAAGGATGACTGCTGGAACCACTTGAAGAACTCGATCCTGAGCCCGGACCCCTGTAAAATTCAGGAGGTGGTTCAAAACTTTTGGCAGTAGCGGAACCGGCCAGATCAAGTTGGTTTTCTGTTCGGTCGGAGACCCCTTCAACGGTGGCATTTTGGCCAACGACAAGATTCGTCCAGAAGAAAAGGCTTAATGCGATCCGAAGCTTCAGTTTACTGGCGAACATGATGACTAAAGTCGGCGGCGCCATGTCATCGACTTTTTAATACTGTCTGAGGAATTGCAGGCAACTGGCGACAAATTGTGCTTTGCAATTTGGGACTTGAAGTGTCCGCTTCGCTGCGTTCATCAGTTGCGCCACTCGCGTGGGGAATTTCACTTTCCTCAGCAGGTTGCGTCTAAACGGGTGCCCCTCGGAGATTTGGTAATGCTAAACCTAACTAAACTTGGTTTTCACTGAAAATATGCTAGTTCAAATTCTCGAGAAACTATAAATTCATTTAATTCTTAAAAAATATATATTTTATAACTATGTTTTTTAGTTTTATAACATCTACATTAACATTTTTTAAGTTATCATTGTTATACTACCTATTACCTTTTAAATAACAAGTAATCTTTCTGTATTTACTTCAATGCATAATTTTGTATCCACAATTTGTACATTAAACATTTTTTTAGTGCACTTTGCAATGGTAAAAGTTTAATTTAGGGTTTCTAATGGTAGTGGCAAACTTGAGAGAAACTGCTGAAACCACCCACATCACTTATTCGAAGTAATAATAGATCGCAACGCAGCTAAGAATCGTTAAGAAATTATCACTGTTCCCGTTGGCTGCAACTGACAAAACGGCAGCAACATTACTCGAAAAAAACATGACCAATTCATTAGATATATGTCCAATTTGAAAAGAGAGATGCAAAACGATTTGAAATGTGACTGATGTCTTGTGTTTCCGGCGAGCGCTAACCGATTGCAAAAAATGGAGGTCTGTGAAAACGTGTCGCCTTATCAACTTTTGAAGAATTGCGCTGGAATTTCGCTTACTATTCTTATCTCCACAAAACTGCGAAATTAAATATGAAACATTGCGCCCATTATCAGAACATGCCACCTAATCTAAGCCAATAGGAGCTACCGGTTTAAAACAATGAATACCATGCACTGCAGCGTTGTTATCTTAAGCCCTTAGTTATTGAATCTAATCAGGATGTTTAGCGCTCGGTAACCTTGTTAAAAGTATTGAACAATAATTAAATACTTATAGATATATAACTAATAAATAGTGCAAGGCCATTAAAGGGAACTGATTTGATAACTGTGGCAAACACAAAGTGCAAAACTCATAACCAATCAGCTTAAATGGATTTTAATTGCACTCGGCTAAAAAATTTGAGTATTACAAATTTCGTAATGAATGACGGTGCAAACGCGGCTCACTTTTGATTTATAGTGAAAAAGTTATTTTTCAGGATAGTTAATAATCTTATAGTTATTAGTATTCAACTAATAATACCGAAGTTAATTATGCCATTCGATTCGTAACACCGTATGTTACTCATATATTTTTTTATCTTTTTGTAAAAAATAATTGAATGACGCTGATTTATGATTCAGCTCGGTGATAATATATTAATTAATGAGTTAGTGCATACTATTTTTTTAGAATTACGTGATTTTGAAATTTTATTAAATACTTTATTATGTTGGCAAAACTTATTTGACTTAATTTGATCACAGAATTATTGGCATTAATAATAGTCACAGAAATTACAGAAATGAACGTTTTCGGATAGATTTGGGGGACTTGCTAATAGGGGAGGATTTAAATGTTGAAAAGATTTAGGGTGTTTCGTTGGGGGACGTTGGACCAGGTGCTTTTTTGTTTTTAGGTGGGGGTGGTTCCTCCGTGGGAAACCTTCTCCGGATCAAGGAACTTCTTAAAGCTTGAAGTGGAGGTTTGCGGTTTGAGAATGTACGCTTTCTTTGGCTTAAATTGCTTTCCCTATCTTGAATCTCCTCATTGTGTAAAGAACCGGACTGAATTCGGAAAGAATCGGAAATCTCTGGTGAGATATCGTATTGACCTGATAAATTTTCCGGAGTTAGTCTGGGTGTTTTCGGGTATTTTAGATTAAACTCCCGATCAATTAAAAGGGAAGGCTCGGAACGTCTAGGGCGAGATTCTTCTGTTGGTGATCCATCAGTCATTGCCATGAGGACCGTTTCCGAAAAGCTGGCTTTGTGCCTGGATCTCACATGTTCCGGGGTTCTCCGGTCTTCTGAAGACGAAGATTCTTCAGCCGGGAAGCTTGTTGCATATTTCTGTTTGGTGTGCATGGCCGATTGTAGCTGCTCTTGTGGTTTCGACGGATGTATTGCTTGTGGTGAACTATTTGTTGAGTCTTTAGTTTCGGGGGTACTAATTACACTCTCCTTAAGGGACCCTGATAATTGGGATCTATGGGCTACTTCCACTGCCGCTGTTGCTGCTGCCATCATTGCGCGACCCAAAGTGTCGCAAATCATCTTAAGGTCCAAGACATCCGCTTGGTCATTGGTGTTGGTTCCTTGATCCTGAGTTTCTGTCCAGAGTTTCTCTTTTGTAGGTTCCTCTGGCACCTGCACTTCCTGGGTCTTCTTTTCCGTTATCAATGTCCTGCCACGACCACAGCAAGGACACTTCCCTTCCATCCTTTTAACTCCCTTATTACAGATACAATTACTAGCGGTTCGAGGCGGTGGTATGTAAATGGGAAGAATTCGATCTTCTGGTCGAAGGACGAAGTAAACTGGTTTTTGAATGCCACTGGAGGATTGGCGATTTGTAGTGCACCTTAAGTGGCTCTGGCAAAATTTCCGTTTGGGAGGAGCACACATCTCAGGTCGAACCCGGGAATGCATTCGAGGAGGATCCTCTGCATGAGATCTTGTATTGGGATTGTTGGTCTCTGCTCGTCGAGGTCGTTCGTTATTATTTCGGGAGTCGGGAAAAAGAGGTATCGCTTGCACCGAAATGGGAACCGCCTGCATTTGACTGCTGGAGCCTGGCTGCTGGGAGACCAGCTGGATCATAATGGTATTCGGCGGAACCGTGCTACTGGCGGCCTTCGACTCCATCTCTAAGGATCAATTACACAGAATTTAGAAACATTACAGTTTAGATCAAAAAGCTGTGGCGTCTAAGCCTACTGAAAGGTTGACCAAAATAGTTAAAACTCTTTTGTCATCTGTAAAAAAAGATTTCTATAAATTCACGGATACCTAAAATTGCGCACAATTTGTAACTCATTTTTCTAGCGATAAGATTTGGTATTCCCCATTGAAAGACAATGTGTTAGTAAGGGCAAAGACTATCGTTATAAATTCCAATCCTTTGTGGACTGCAGACTGCATGACCTCTTAAAGAGCCCCAACCTTATCGAGATATTGCGTCAACTTAGGGGCTCGAGCAAGGCGTTGAGATACAGATACGGTCGGTGATACACGACATGATTATTTTTGAAACGATTTCATGTCGCTGCCAAAATAGAATTTCGCACAGGCTTCCCGGCGACGGAGATAGCTGTTATTGATGAAAGCTAGTACACTGATACCAGAACGTCTGGGGTATATAAACTTGCCAATTCGCCCAGTCAAAGCACATTCACGGTAGCAGTCCCAACCAACCAACTCAACCATGAAAGCCGGTAAGTCAGTTGAGAATCATTCGGCGATGGATTTCAATTCTACAGGATCTTTCTTCCAACCGTAGCTCTAGTTCTGGTTTGCATTGCTCTCTTCGTGGGCATCTACAACGCCGCCTACGTCTGCGATCCCGATACCAACAACGCGCCCGACTGCACCAACGCCACCAACCTGAATCAAAAGATCCGCAACTTCTTCGATCCCACTCGCTACTGGAAGTGCGAGGCCGTCGGTACTCAGGCGCCCGTGGCTGTCTTGTGCGAAAAAGAGTTGAACGGCACCACCGGCGGATTCGATCCCACACTGAAGAACTGCACCGTGTGGTCAAATTGGCAATGGACTCCATACTGTTAAATTGACAACGTTTTTATCAAATAATAAAAACCAATGGCAAAATAATTGAATAGATTTTTGGGCATCCGTTTAAATAAAAGTAAGGGGAGTTAAATGTTGGGTTACCACTTTGATAAAACGAATACTGATATGCAAAAAAAGAGAGAATTTTTGTGTGTTGTTTTTTTAACTTAATCAAAAGTTACCTGGCTGTCAAAAATCATATTAAGTTCATACATGAAAACAAAATCTCCTCGTTTCTAAAATTTGTCGTTTATCCCTCTTTTTTTGATAGAACAATGGGTAAGAAGTCAACAGAGGATTTGGAGCTGCCCGTCGCTGGTTGGCTTCGCGGTTTGTCGCTCGATCAAATGCAGGCGGCTGAGGATCTGGGATCCACTTTGAACTTCGAGCTCGGTGGCATTCAGGACTGTTTGGTTCGCCTGGGTCTGCGTCCTGTGATCAAAAAGCGACAGATTCATAGGATCGTGCAGCTGAGTCGTGGCCAGAAACTGGCCTTTCTCTTCTTCCTGTTTGAGGAATACTACAAATCCAGCGGTCCTTGTGGAAGTTACACAGATAATGGACAAATTTTGCTTTCGGCCATCGCCTATCTGGATTTACCGGCCACTTTTCGAGCTCTGGATAAAATTCTTCCGTTAAGCAAAGGCATAGTTAGTAGCTCAAATACATCGCAGGACTTGCAAAAGGTTAGTTAAAAAAGCTAACTTTAAATTCCTCGTTTAAGCAAAAATACTTTTTGTGTTGTTCGGCAAACATTTTCCTTTAAACTTGCTTTTAGGAAATAAACTTTTAATTTCCCATTCAGTCGTTTGCTAAACCTATAACTACAATTTTTTCGACTATTATCCTAAGTTTGCTGTTTTTCTTTCAGAAAAATTTTAATCGTCTCTCCAATCCAACTCCTAATCCTTCCATGGTTGCGGGGGTTGCGCAAAATGGCATTGAAGATAAGGTTTCGAAATTGGATTTGGGAGCTACCTTTCGAGCTCTGGACAGAGCTCTGTCCAAACAAGCTACCCAATCTACGTCCCGGCGTTCGTGTCAAAAATGTAAGAGAGCAAAACCTTACTTTCAGAAACAACCCCGTCCGAGATCCACTAGAGAGATCACTAATTTCACGGCGAATCCTCCGTTGTTTGGGGTGCAGATCCCCAACGAGGTGGGAGATGAAAAGGAGGACGACGATCGCTGGTTCGCCGACTACCAGTTCCATCCGATCCAGCGAACGGTCAAGGCATTTATTAATCACGAGCTCTGTCACCTCTTTGACCGGATAGATGAGGCACCCACAGATCTTGAACAGGACCCAAAAGATCTGTGTGAATTTCACGAGGAAACCAGATCGCAGGAACGACAAGCTTTCATCGTTGGACAACGTCAACGATATCTGGAGATGATTGACGTAGAAGGGAAAAAAAAGCGGGTGAGTTTTTTTTTATTTATTTCCCATAAAAATGGTTATTTTTTAGACTGGATTTCATAGACACTATTAATATTAACATTAAATTAGGGCCTTTTTAAATGTTAGATTGTTAAATTGTAATCAAATTTAAAATTCTATGATATGTGTTATTTATAAACATTTAAATTATAAAATATTTGTGAGCCGCTATTTGTCTAAAAAAAAGATATCAATTTAAAATCCTTTCGACTAATAAGTTAATATATTTTCCTAAAAGCTAACACGAGAGCGGATTATCCATCACTTGAACAGGGATGTGGATGAGTACCTCCGCAAGTTTGGGGTCCAGGGCTGGAGTCCCGGAGTTCCCACTTCTCGGAGTCCTAAATGCGTAGCCTGCAATGAACTGGTTGACGTCACCTTGGAGGCTCCTCCTCAGGTGCTGCTGCTCGAGGGAGAATGGGGTCGGCTGTACGATAGAAGTGGTCCCTTGATGCGGCTCGTAGGTGGTGACGATGTCCAAGAAAACTTTCCAAAGAAAGAGATTCTAAAAAAAAGAAGCCCGAATATTTCACTGCACCCACAAATCACAGTCCTTATATCTTCGATTACGAGCACATTTTCGAAAAGGGCAGTAAGGAACCTTTGGACATCAAAGAGACTTATAGAAGTTTCTTGATAAAAGAACTTGATGAGGAGACAAATGGCAGTGTACCGAGGACAATTCGCAGAAGCCACATTGACGAAGCTGTCTCCCGTTGTGTGCGGAGAATCTTCGAGAAGAGTCTTCTGGCAGCACCTTGTATGAATTCTCCCAGTAAGCCGAAGGAACGTCTCGTTTACAACTGCCAGCAAATCGATCCCGATGACGAAGAGTTCTTGGATCAAATGCTTGGTGATGCCTTTCAGATTTTAAAAAAGGATAAAAAACTTGTGCTGGCCAGCTTGCCCGATGGCCATCGAGTTCCAGAGTTACGCGAATGGATTCGGAGGCGATATGGCAAACGATATGGTCCACAAACGGAATTAGAAGAAGAAAGGCTTAAGTACAAGACGCTGAAACTGGCGGAGATGGAAAAGGAGTTAATTCCACTGAGGGCTTACATCGATCCCCGAATAACTGGAGAAAACCCTTTACCCTTTGCCCAGTATGACGAGATTATGGAGGTGGCCAAAAAATGCAAGAAATTGTACCGGGAGGGTGTTTTACAGATAGTTCTAGACCGAACCCGACTCATCTGGAACACTCAGCACAACCTGCGAATGTATAGTAGTTCTGGACTTCGTCGCACCTTCTTCACATATCTACCGAGCAGTGCCAGGAATACAGATCCCACCATTAGTAATTTCTTGGCGAAAAAAAATGGCATTCTTTAGCAGGTGTTTCTGATCTTCTGTTGGTCAATGAAATTAAGAGATAAGATTATAAGATCATTCGATGATATTATCTAAGATTAACATAATCTTAATAATCGTAGCCAGATTAAAGGTTAGTTATTGATCTTAGATGGTCATTATTATGTTCTTTGATCAATTAGAATGTTCAAAATTGAAACATCATAAATTGGATCAGATTGCCATATAATTGCGTTTTTACGGTGTGACGATTAGTGAAAGCTAAAAAATCTTAGTAAAAGCTAAAATATGTAATTTAATTTTACTACTTGACAAGTGAGGGTTTGCTTAAAAACTCTGAGTAAGGCTCTTAAATTTGGTGTAAAACGGAAAAATTTCAAATGTAAAATTGTAACAGTTTTAAAAACTCTTTTGATTAAATAAATGATTATATGTGCAACAATTTTTATTTGACTTTCATTAAAGAGAAACATATTTCTCACAATACGCTTGCATTTATTTTTTGATTTTCAACTACATACTATTAAATAGTAGTTTATTTATAAAAAAAGACAAATTAGTTAATATGGGCTAGTAAAAAAATTGTGGACGGCTTTGTCTTGTGCCTAGCCGACCGTTTATGTGTTCCATCCTTGTCTAGGGGAGTGCTAACTTGCTCTCCTTCCAAACAACACAGTTGGTTTGAATATTTGCCACCTTTTATACGTACGCTTTGCGGAATAAGCACTTGGGAATTTTAAGACTGCCGTTTTCAAAGGTAAGAGCAAAAATGGGTTCAAATTTAGTGCAAACAAATTTTTGAAATATTGTTTCTTTAAAAATTGATGTATTTGTGCCCTGCTAACATTGACACTGAAATTAATGGTTTTGAATGATTTCCCGTTTTGGGGCCCTGCAACGTGTCATTGACGACAACTCCAAATGCCCACAAGGGCCGTGGGTGACACAGTCATTAACCATATGACCACGTTTTACGAACTAAAATTTATTAACCCAACCACGTAGTCCAAGAGAAACATATAAAAAGACAGGTTACGCACAGCAAGTTATCAATTATCAACGATTCCATCATCAGTTCGGTTATCTTTATTGACGAATACAAAATGTGCAACTACGTCAAGACTTCCTGTTTATTTATGTTGCTGATCCTGGCACTTGGAGTGGTTTCAGCTCAGCCAGCCAGGTTGGGAAAGCAGCTACAGAGGCAACAGGCAGCACCTTACCCATCCGCCGAGGAACTTAAACCCGAGGTGCCGTTCGAGGAAGGGGTTCCTGATCAGACGTATGGACCTCCGGATCTGACCTATGGACCTCCCCCTGCCGATGCAGTGGAGCAGCTGCCCAGCGACGAGGAGCCGCAGGATTTCACACCCGATCAGGATGCAGAGGAGGTGCAACCCAGCCAGCAGGGTCCCGCCCGCCTCACGAAACAGACCAGAAGTCGTCAACAGGGATTGATTCTGCTCTCCTCGAGTCCTTTCCGAGTTCTGAGCTCCAATGCAATCCCCGTTCCCGTGGCCATTCAATCCCTGTGGTAGAAGCACTAAAGAAGAGACTTGATACTGATTTTTATAAACATTATTATATATTAATTATTGTCTTTTGTTATTCGTTAAACCATTAAAGAACTTTTGTCGATACACCGAATTGATGTACTTTTAAGATTGTATCGGAGGTCGACATTTCGGGGACCCAGTACGGTATGTTGAGTATATATAATTACAAATATAAGAACGATAAAGTATGCAAATAACTTTAGCTAATTTCGGTTTTGGAATGGATCTGCACCGACCTAGACTACATAGTAAAAGCTAAATAATAATTTATTTATGAATACTACGCAAAATCACTTTTGGCATTGTGCGGTCCTCGAGTTAACACAGAGTTATTCTTCAACCTACAAATTGAACAAACATATACGTAAAACATTCTACTTAAAATGCTAGTTATTGTCTGGTACGATTGCAGCTAAAAGATAACAAAAAAATGCAACTAATTCGCGATAAAAATAAATTAAACACACTTGAGCACCGCCACTGGATCAATACCAGTTTCGAACAGGCCAACAACTAATTGTAAACATATTCGTAGTCTGAGTGATACTACATAAAGCCTTCGTCATAAATTCGCACACATTTGTAGGCAGAACTAGCCAGTTCCTGTTTTGATTTGCTTTCTTTCTTTAAAAACTCAATGGGTCTTGTCGTTTAAGATTTGAGCTAAGCTGGCCCAGGTACCGAAGACAAAGCCGCACAGTCCAAAGATCAGAATGAGAAAGTCCTTCCACAGCATCCAGTTATAGCGGCCATAGCCTACGTTATAGAAGGTGATAATTTCGATTATAGGCGGCGCAATGAGCGCCAAAGCTGAGCTGCTGACGGCTCCCACCAGCGAAATAATGGAGCCCAGATTGGGAATACAGGTGGCCAGTAAAACTGTGGAGAAAAATAACTTTGTAAGCTGAAAGTCTTGGTTGTTGATTTGGACACTTACAGGTAAAGGTGACTAGAACGATTCGCAGGACAGTCGCTGAAAGATCCTTGGCCCTCGTGGTATCAAAGTGGCTTCGCACAAAGGGCTCCACAATGTTTACGGGTACATAGAATTGAAGAGTGTACGAGAGGAAGATGGCCACCGCCATGGAGATTCGCACCAACTGAGAAAGACTAAAGAAATATTGTGTTAAAATAATTTTCATAAAACTTAATACTGTACTATAATTATAGAAAATGCAGGAGCAAATAGATTTTAAGATTATGAACCAACGAAAAAGGTTTCCACTTAAATTAGAGGATTAAGAATGGAAAGTTTTTGGTCTTACGTGTCGCCCTGAGGCAGATTTAGGGTAATGCTGCCCTCCACATGATCGCCGTACTTCAGGTAGCCGAAAAATCCGACAGCTGTGTAAAGGCAGGCCACGATGACCATGCCCGTATTCAGGACACCTGTGGTGCCGCCAAAGTCCTCTGGTGTGCGCATATTATTCTCCAGGGGCAGGACCACGCCAATTCCCTCGAATGCGTAGATGGCGGTTCCGAAATAGAGCGGCAAGGTGGCCCAGGTGGCCACCGGTTTGACCGTATGCACATCCGGAAGATCCTGCAGCATGTACGAGAAGGTGATGGCCAGTCCTGCCACAGTGAGAAGAGCGGCGACCAGCGAAACAGGAGTCAAATACTTGAGGTTCCGCACCAAATTCAACAGGATCATGGGCCCCAGCATTATAAGCAGGTAAATCTGCACGGGCATCTTGTAGTAGTGATCCATCACATCCTTGATATTCAGCGCCACAAACAGGAAGTATACGCAACAGAAACCGATTTGTGTGATGAACAGGAAAGTGGTAATTATCCTTCTGGCCAACATGGAGTACCTCCTCAGTCCCAGAGGTCCTGATTCAAAACTGCAGTATGCCACCTCCGAGAAGTCCAATGCGGGTTGCTGGAATCGCCGACAGAGCTCGTGGGAGCAGTTGACCAGCATGTGCATGCAGTGGGTGCAGATGGTACCCATTATCATGGTGCCAAAGAGACCCACATAGAGGCCGGCATTCTTGAAGGCATCCGGCATGGCCAGAATTCCCGTGCCAATATTGCCCTTCAGCAAATGCACCAGGGTGTCGAAGTTGGATGTCGGATGCTCCAGGGTGCGATGGTGGGTGGGGTTGTAGTTGGACTTATCCATCGATCCATGCTCCTCATCTCCCGATCCCGAAGCTGCTGCGTGCACTCACAGAGGAATAGCGATAAAGATACAAGTTTTATATCGAAATTCAACTTTAAATATGATTTTTAAACTTTTAAAATAATGTAAATTCTATCAGAAATAAAAAAAACACAATTTGTAAGCCCTATTTAATTTCAAGCTGTGATACATTTTTTAAACTAGGAAAAGCATAGTGCTTATCTGTGGCAAATATAATTTCTATATTTATACAGTTATTCAAGAATAATTACTAAGAAAACCACATGAAAAATTGAATAACCGGGAAATTTAATTATTGTGCACTGGACTTTGAGTTAATCATAATATATGTGGTTTTATATATTAATGTTTATAGTAGGTAAAAAATGAACTGGTTCTTTAATGTATTAATAAAATTTTTAATTAAGAAAATTTGAAATGATTTATAAATATCATTTAAATCCTGATTTTCTGTTCAATGTATTTATAATAACTTTTAAAAATAAACATTCGGTCACCACAAAATATAATATTTTAAGATAATAATACCAATATATGTACATATTATAATTATTATTATAATAATCTTTTCTGTTTTCTTAAAAATTGTTATATTTCTTGTAATGACCATTTAATAACCATTTTAGGAACACAAATGTAGATCAGGTCAGAAACTCACCTGCTAGGCTGTCCTCGCTGTGCACGTTGACCAGCGTGTTATCCGGCGGAGAGCTTCGCACGGGACGCGCCGCCGATGCCCGATTCGCTGATCCCTCGTAGTCGGAGGCGTCGCTCTGGAGGAGCAGCGGTTGACGTTCCGTCATCTTCTTCTTGCGCGGCGCACCCTCGGGAAACTGGAACAAGTGACGGTGGGTAAATTAGTTCAGAGCTATGTACTGAATAAGATGCGCCCTCTTTGGCTGCACGAAACGCACTGAAATTCAGACTTGCGTAGCCCGCTTTTCGCCTCGGAAATTTTCCGTTGACTCAGTTTTTCACGCTTATTACAATAGGAGGTGCAGATAGTGCGACGGATAGTGGACAGCAAACGCGTGCCAGACAAATGCAGTGGAAATTTTCGACCAAGCTGATAGTCGGGCTCAGCCTTGGACTTGACTCAGAGTACGATTAATTTGATCTTTACATTACTTTGCATATGGGTCTGATTACGCTCGCTTGGGAAGTCAATATCGTATTCGCGAGTCCAGACAGTCAACTAGAGTATAGCTTTAAGTCCGAAAACACTGACAAGTCGCAAAAACAAGCTATACGAGGCGATAAGACCCGCATATCGCCTGAAAAGCCAGTCAGCAAACCATAATTCACGATTATATAATATGTATCCGGACGGTGTATCAAATATCCACCCATAATTTTTTGTTTATTGCCTTATTGACTCAGCAGCGAGGCAAATCAAATTGATTCTCTGGCGTTTTAAAATATTTCTTACTTTCCATTATATGGAACGCTTTTAATTTTAGTGATTTTTTAAAAGCTTTATAGGCTGAGATAAATGTTTGAAGACCAAAAATTATTAAAATTAAATTAACCGAACAAGACTTAAACTAAAATAGAGGATCCTAATAACATCATTAAGAACTGAATATAAGTTTTAAATTTAAGTTTTATCAACCGATTATTATAGTCATATTATTTGGGTCGAATTCATTAAAAAAAAAACATCTAAATATACTTTTTAATACAAAAAAGAATTATTACGTTTTATACGCATTATTTTTTGGGTGAGCTACATTTTTCAGGCAGGTGCATAAAGGGATTATAAAGTAGAGTCTGGCTAGATCCAGACAAATAGTAAACTTATGTCAAGAAATCTTTATTTGAGTGCAATAAAGAAATCTAACAAAGCATCAAGAATTCTAACTTATTTTTGTTTTATCTTGCATCACAGACTTGCACAACAAAGTGCGACCTCACAGAGATACGAATGTATCTGTATCTTGTATTTACTCACAGAAAATATCGCAAATTAGATGTATCCCAACTTGATAGTGTGGGTGGGGTCGAATGTTGTTGGTTGATAGTCGGAGAACTCGGCAGTTGAACAAATAATAATATTCGAACTAAAACTGAAAGAAATCATAATTAATAGAGGGACTGTAAATAAAAGTAAACCCATTCAGCATGCGCGTTGGATAGACAGATGTGTGGGTGTTCTACCTGTTGAAGGTTGGTTAATGGCGTCAGGTCCTCCATCGATTTTTTCCCGCTTGACACTGACAATGAAAGAAGTGATTCGTCGAAGGTCACCACGTTGTGGCGCGATTGCGATTTATCAGTGTGAAAAGCAAAATCAAATTAAAGTTGAAGTTCTCCTAAATTCCATTGGTTACAGAATTTTGAGGGTCTGGGGGACTGGAGGAGACTGATGCCAATTATCTTTTTCCAAGTCTGCGAATCGAAAAGAGAAAACATCAACAATGAATCATCTTGTAATCATCCAATTCAGTAGTTTGATAAGACGGATGCATCATTGACACCCGAATGATATCAAACATTTATTCATGTGTTACAACGCACGACATCCTTATGTTGACATTGTGGTTTTGAAATACATACGTTACAATTTTCTTCGAATTTAGCTCGCAATAACAATTGCCTCTCACCCCGAAAACAGCACTGAGACAGCAGAGCAAAACACCAACAGTCGACGTTTCCCCTACCTATCGATTATTTTGGCGATTTGAAGATACAGTAATAATCAAATAAAAAACTCCTGGGGATATGCTATAACTATTTATTATTATCCTAATAATCTTTATTTTAATAATCATTTTTATCCAATAATTGTTCATTGCAGTCCCACTTGTCCCGTTTCTCTAATATTTAAACTGCTTTATAAATTATTTATGGTAATTGTTAAAAATATTAATATACTTGTTTTATTATTTTCTTGTGCTACATTGAAGCCCTGTAATAGCACTTGAATGTTGAAAATTTTTCCAAGGTCTCTTATTTTTTAAAACAAGTCCAGTTACCAAGCATTGACTGTACCAAGGCTGTCATCGCTATAATTTTTGGAGTTATTTTCACATTCCAGCTACGGTCCCACTTTCGTGTTCTCTCCCAGTTTGTGACGTGTCTGCGGTGAATATTTTAAAAATCGCTATTATCCTTAAGTTACCCGACAAATAACACGAGAAAGAGCAACATGGTGGAGCTGTCAAGCGTAATATCCAAGTTCTACAACGACTACGTGCAGAACACGCCCAAAAAACTGAAGCTGGTGGACATCTACCTGGGCTACATTCTGCTGACCGGCATCATCCAGTTTGTTTACTGCTGCCTTGTGGGCACCTTTCCGTTCAACTCCTTCCTGTCGGGCTTTATCAGTACCGTCAGTTGCTTCGTCTTGGCTGTCTGCCTACGCCTGCAGGCCAATCCTCAGAACAAGACTGTGTTCGCCGGTATCTCTCCGGAACGCGGTTTCGCCGATTTTATCTTCGCCCATGTAATCCTACATTTGGTTGTAATGAACTTCATCGGTTAACCATGCTATGTATAATGCGACTCGGATATATTAATAATAAAATGTATTTCTAATAGTAGACCCTTTTGTAGGCGCCAAGAAAATCGAAAGGTTCCTGTACAAAATCCATTCGAATCTGTGGTTCTGGAATGGCAATGGTAATGGGATCGACATTATCAGCATAGTCAGCCAGTTGGGGTTCAATATTGGCCTTGTTAAGATCAGTATCCTTTGTGCGCTTCTCCTTTGAAGAGGAACCCTTAAAGTTGCTCGGAATCAGCATAGAATCGTTGACATTCAGGGGCACCAAGTCCTTGAAAACAGTTTTGCTCGGCGGAAAGTTCATCTTTTGGGTTACCTATTGGAAATTAACCTGGTTGTAATAAGGGCTTCAACGTTTCCGAAGTTTTTTTTTTAAGAATTACCCTTGGTGCTATGACTGCTTTGGCTCCCGGCGAAAGGCTCGGGTCCACCTGAATTTGGGAAAGGAGGTTTATTTCATCCTGTTTGCGAACGCTGGTGTTGTATTGCGGTACGGCGAACTTGTGTAGCGTTAGGGGTCTACTGGTCGAGGTCAAAACGGCACCTTTGCTGGTCTTGGGTCTTTCCGGCGTTGCGTTGTCCGCTGCCTGGCCATTGCAGGATTCAACGAGGGCATGTGGCGGGGCTGATGGCTGGTTGACCAATTGGACCCTGCGCGAAGCCGAGTTTTTTTGGTTTCCATTCAGTCGAGTCTTGCGTTTGTGGGGCATTTTTAACAGACGACTAGTAATATATTTTTAATCCGAATTTAAACAGCACGCCACACTGGTTTAAGCGCTATACAGCACTGAAAGAACAACAGCTGTGATGCGAAAGGACTTTAACTTAACAGTTGCATTGGCTTGATTATACTATTTTAATATGCGATAAACGCATTGGATTTGGTTTTATTGTAGCCAATCACTTAGTTGAAAATTATTTCATATTGTTTTTTAATTGTAATCAGAACGGAATTTCTCTTTAATTCGAATAACTACTGTAATCAACTCCTCCATGCCGGTTTTGACGTTTTACAACACTTCAACACCTGCAGCTGTGGGCTGAACAAAAATATTAGGATTTGTCAAACAAAAATGGCATTATCCCGCGCCAAGCCGAACGAACTGCCCAAGGATGCTGTTATGATAACAGAGGATCAGGCCCTAAAATACCAATGGAAGATCATTACCGCCTGGGACAAAATGGGCGATGTGTGAGTCAAAGAGATCTCCAAGCGAACCACTTACCTAACAACCTAATCAAAACAAATTGTTTCTAGCTGGTCACTGCGATACACGCCCGGAATTCTAAGTGCCCTAGCGGCCGGAACGGGTGCCTACATAAATAACCATTACAGGACCAAGTTGCGACTCGGAGGACACGGTCGGTTTTCCAGCTACCTCCCAATTGTCGCCGTTCCCGCAATTTTCACCATGCTGGCGCACAAGTTCTTCATCCAGCGACCTATTTTACTGAATCCGCTGGGCGAGTGCCCGGCGTGCATCCAGATCCGCAGTGCCATCTTTCAGACGAGTTTAGGTATTGTTTACCCCTCGATCCTGGCCCCATTTGCCGCATTCATGTTCGCCACCCGCTGTTATACGTATCGGATTCCGTCGATCACGGAAAATCCCCGCGAGGTGTTCCAGTTGTGGCGGAAGATAACCCGGCCTATTGTTCCGGCTCTGGGAACCATTATCTGCCTGCAGGCTTTGCTCACCATGTTCCTAACCGGCCAGGAAGACAAGCAGAACTTTAACATGATGCTGCGCATGAAGGAGATCGAACACCGACTGGAGGAGGAGCATTTGTCGCAGCGAATCGACTTTTAATTATTGTTTTGTTATATACTTGAAATAGAGAATCAATTGGAGTTCTGCCCAACTCCATTTTGTACTTTCTAAATATATTAGATTTTATTGAATGACAGTGATAAATCCCTCCATTCATCTTTCTTTAGAAAGAAAATGTTTGTTGTCTGTTGTAAAAACAGGCAAAAATTTCAAAATATTAAAAACGGTTATGTGAATTTATTTTGACCATCCCTGAGCTTATCGATATACCGAAAAGTTTGCCGCATTGCCTATCGGAAAGGTGCGAATCTCTCACACGTTGCTGCAGTCCAGTCCGGCTGACGAAATTGTTTGCATTTGCATTTACTGTTGAAACGTGAGTAATACATAACTTGTTTTGGGTGGACTCCAGTGCGGATGAACTTTCAGACAACAAAATAAACAAACTGATGCTTTTCTGATTCAATTTGTCCGGTAATTGTGTAATTCAGTCACGCATTTTGCAGTGTGCACTTTCACTGCTCTGATTTGAGGGCCATTTTGAGGGGTTAGGGAGCGCCAATTGTCGCGTGGCAAGTTACCAAATAACTCATTTACCCACAACATTGCATTGCAGAACCAGCAAGATGAAGTTCCTGTCCGCCAAGGAGGTTCGCGATGCCTATCTGGGCTTCTTTAAGGAGCAGAAGCACATTTACGTTCATTCGTCGAGCACGATTCCACTGGACGATCCCACCCTGCTGTTTGCCAACGCCGGCATGAACCAGTTCAAGCCCATCTTTCTGGGTACCGCGGATCCCAACAGCGAAATGTCCAAGTGGGTGCGCGTAGCCAACACACAAAAGTGCATCCGTGCCGGTGGCAAGCATAACGATTTGGACGACGTCGGAAAAGATGTCTACCACCACACCTTCTTCGAGATGTTGGGAAACTGGTCCTTCGGCGACTATTTCAAGAAGGAGATCTGCTCCTGGGCCTGGGAGTTTCTTACCGTGCGTCTTGGTCTGCCCAAGGAGCGCCTGTATGTGACATACTTCGGTGGAGATGAAGCCAGCGGTCTGGAGCCCGACCTAGAGTGCAAGCAGTTGTGGCTGGACTTGGGCCTGAAGCCAGAGCACATCCTTCCTGGCAGCATGAAGGACAACTTCTGGGAGATGGGCGAGACTGGACCTTGTGGACCTTGCTCTGAGTTGCACTTTGACCGTATCGGCGGGCGCAGTGTCCCGGAGCTGGTCAACATGGATGACCCCGATGTCCTAGAGATCTGGAATCTCGTGTTCATCCAGTACAACAGGGAGTCCGATGGCAGTCTGAAGCCACTACCCAAGAAGCACATCGATTGCGGCATGGGCTTTGAACGGCTGGTGTCCGTCATCCAGAACAAGCGTTCCAACTATGATACTGATTTGTTTGTACCGCTCTTTGAGGCAATCCAGGCAGGCACTGGCGCCCCAGCTTATCAGGGTCGCGTAGGTGCCGACGATGTGGACGGCATCGACATGGCATACCGGGTGCTCGCCGACCACGCCCGCACCATCACAATTGCCCTGGCTGATGGTGGCACTCCGGACAACACTGGCCGTGGTTATGTCCTTCGCCGCATCCTCCGCCGCGCTGTTCGGTAAGATTGATGAGAAAACTTTTTAAAACTTTTGAATAATCGCAAGAATGTTTTGAATGCAATAATCAAAATCACATCTTATCTGTTTTCAGTTATGCCACTGAGAAGCTGAATGCCAAGCCCGGTTTCTTTGGCACCCTGGTGAACACTGTGGTGGATCTGCTTGGCGATGCCTTCCCAGAGGTGAAGAAGGATCCGCAGCACATCATTGATATCATTAACGAAGAGGAGTTGCAATTCCTAAAGACTCTTACGCGCGGACGCAATTTGCTCAACCGCACCATCGAAAAGCTTGGCAATCAGACCACTATTCCCGGCGATGTAGCTTGGCGACTGTATGACACTTACGGCTTCCCAGTGGATCTCACCCAGCTGATGGCTGAGGAAAAATCCCTGCAAATTGATATGGATGGCTACGAGGCTGCCAAGCAGAATTCATACATCTTATCACAGGGCAAAGGTGCCAGCAAAATCGAAGAGATCAATTTAGATGTGCATGCTATTTCCCAGTTGCAGGAGCAGGGCGTGCCTCCGACCAACGACTCATTCAAGTACAAATACGAGGCTGTGTCGGATGAGCGCGATTCTGCCTACAACTATGGTGTGTGCAACAGCAAGATCGTCGCTCTGCGTTTTGAAAACCAGTTTGTGAACGAGATCAGCAGCGGACAGAAGGCAGGTATTGTCCTGGACAACACTAACTTCTATGCCGAAAGCGGTGGTCAAATCTACGATCAGGGTGCTCTGGTGAAAGTGAACGACGAGGCAAACGAATTCCTGGTGGATCGTGTCTACAACCGCGGAGGCTACATTCTCCACATCGGTGTAGTCGAGGGCACACTAAAAGTTGGAGATGAACTGGAGCTGCACATTGATGTGGAGCGTCGCTGGCTGACCATGAAGAACCACTCGGCCACTCACGCCCTCAACCACTGTTTGCTGCAAGTTTTGGGTAAGGACACCGAGCAGAAGGGTTCGTTGGTGGTGCCAGAGAAGCTGCGCTTCGATTTCAACAGCAAAGCAGCTATGACCATTGAGCAGGTGTCCAAAACGGAGCAGTTGACCAAGGAAATGGTGTACAAGAACGTGCCCATCTACGCCAAGGAGTCAAAATTGGCTCTAGCCAAGAAGATCCGTGGCTTGCGCTCTGTCTTCGACGAAGTTTACCCCGATCCCGTGAGAGTTATTTCTTTTGGCGTGTCCGTAGACGAACTGGAGCAGAATCCCGATTCTGAGGCTGGTGAACAAACCTCCGTGGAGTTCTGCGGCGGTACCCATCTCAGACGCTCGGGGCACATCATGGATTTCGTCATCAGCAGCGAAGAGGCCATTGCCAAGGGAATTCGTCGCATTGTGGCACTTACAGGACCCGAAGCCCTTAAAGCACTAAAGAAGTCGGAGGGTTTCGAACAAGAAATCGTACGACTCAAGGCTACCATCGATGCCGATCAGTCTGGCAAGGACTCTAAGTCGCATGTCAAGGAGATCGTCGAGCTGACTGAACAGATATCGCATGCCACGATTCCGTACGTGAAAAAGGATGAAATGCGCAATCTGCTGAAAGGCCTAAAGAAAACTTTGGATGATAAGGAGCGCGCTCTGCGAGCCGCCGTCTCGGTTACCGTGGTTGAGCGCGCCAAGGCTCTGTGCGAGGCCAATCCCAAGGCTACCGTTCTCGTCGAACAGCTTGAGGCCTTCAACAACACCAAGGCGCTGGATGCCGCTCTCAAACAGGTGCGCAGTCAGCTGCCCGATGCCGCTGCCATGTTCTTGTCGGTTGATGTGGACTCGAAGAAGATCTTCTGCCTGAGCTCGGTACCCAAGAGCGCCGTGGAAAAGGGTCTGAAGGCAAACGAGTGGGTGCAGCACGTATCCGCCACGCTGGGTGGCAAGGGAGGTGGCAAACCGGAATCCGCTCAGGCTTCGGGCACAAATTACGAAAAGGTGGACGAGATTGTCCAGTTGGCCAGCAAGTTCGCCCAGTCGAAGTTGTCCTAAATCCAACAAAAAAGGCAAACGCTTAAATTACTCAAAATTTTGATACACACTTATGCTTAATCTTAATCCGTTGATCTGTTTCAAACAGCATTTCAGATGAATTTTTACGGCTATTTATAAAATAAAAGCATTTATACACTTATCATAAATATTTTTATTTGGCTTGAACGGAAGGAAAGCTTAAACAAGAATACGCTGGCTTATAGTTCTTGTTTTTGTTTTTGAAAAACAACTATTATGCACATTTTTTTGTTTGACAAACACTACTAATTCCTTAATGAATAATACAAAAAATCATCGATTACTACTATTGTAGTATTTTGAGTTTAAGATTTGTTTTTTTGTATTATCCAATCTACTGCCTCGGCAAAGTTTTCCACCAAAGCTGTTGGTGGAGGCGATGGCTGTACATCTGGCAAATATTTGCCGGTCTTGACCAGAATTCCCTGCATGCCTACGCTCATAGCGCCTACAATGTCATCATTGGCGTCCTGGAAAAAAGAAATTAAATCACAGTCCACCTGCTTAAAATGAGATCACTTACATCTCCTATCATAACGCAGGAGGAGGGATCTCGCCCAGCCAGAGCACCTTCGAAAAAGTACGGATTAGGCTTGCCAATCACCTTGGCTGTACGTCCAGTGGCAAACTCCAGACCCTTGACAAAGCATCCTGGACCCAAAGCCAAGCCTTCGGCACGCTTGTAGTATTTACCCTGGTGCACAGCTACTAGTTTGTGATTCTTGTTCTCCAGAAGAACACTGTTGAGATAATTATTTTAAATTAAAAAGGCTTGGTGTTTTTGGACAAGATGCGTACTTAAAAGCCTCGTTTAGCTTATCATAGTTAAAAGCCTTGGGTGCAAGGCCAATTAAAACTGAATCCTGATAGCGTTTGGTATCCTCCGGAGGAAAATCCGTTCGTGCATCGTCGGATAAGATATAATAAGGATTTAGTTTCTCATTCTCCACATATGAGACTGCTGCGCTCAATGAACTGTATATTTCCGAGCGATCCAGCTCGAAACCTATCTTGCAGAGCCTTTCGTGAAGAGCTGCCTTTGAGTCCTTAGTGGTATTCGTTACAAATTTCACAGCAACTCCAGAACCACGCAACCTGCAGGAATCAGGAGTATATTATTTATAATTTAATTGTCTTCAATATATCTCACCTTTTTAAAGACTCAACAGCATTGGGAGTAGGCTCATCTTCCACGTGCAAGGTGCCACTGAGATCAATGAGAGCTGCTTTGATGGACATCCTTCTCAACTGTGAAAAGCTTTGACTTCCTCTCAAGAACAAAAACATTTAATAACTTCCAGCTGGTTCGATAACTTTTCGGGAGACTTCTCGATATGTTACATATCAGCAGGTTTTTTCATTGGCGTAGGTAGTCATTTAATTAAATGAGCAGCGTTTTTGTCATTTAATATGGCTTGAAACTTAAATTTTTTTATAAGGTTTGTAGCTGGTTGCCTTAACTTATTCTCAATATAAATGAAATATTATTCATTTGCTCAAACCCCTTTTCAACACATGTTTTTTATGACTGCGCCCCTGTTTCATAACTATTCGCAATGTTGTTTATAACCGGCAGATCTTTCTTAGCGCGGTTTTCGTTAAATATATCGAAAAATGTTAAACCAATTGGACTTATAGTCAACTATTGTCAGGCGGCAACAGCCCTGCGTCCAAAAAAGGCGAAATCTACACGCAAAGAGGTGCCGTGTTTAGTCGAATATTAAATTTACATAACTTTATCAACATTTGTGTTTTCCCTAAACAGGAGCAATACTTTTCCGATGCCAAGAGGATTCGTGCAATCGGGGGAAAGGCGGCGATGGTTGTGTGTCCTTCCTGCAGCTGTGGTGCAATGAGAGAGCGGGTCCAGATGGGGGAGACGGTGGCCATGGCGGCCATGTGGTGTTCCAGGCCTCCAACGATGTGCGCAACTTCAACCATGTGGGAAGCGTACTGAAAGCGGAAGAGGGAGAGCGAGGTAGCTCTAAGGACTGCCATGGCAAGAACGCCAAGCACACAGTGATCAAAGTGCCCATTGGGACGGTCATCAGGAATGCCCAGGGTCTCATTGTCGGCGATCTTGGCCAGGCGGACCTCATGTTTGTGGCCGCTCGAGGAGGAGCTGGTGGTAAGGGCAACCGCTTTTTCACCACGGACAAGGAAACTAGCCCCAAAGTCTGCGAGTACGGACCCAGTGGCGAGGATCTATCGTACACTTTAGAACTTCGGAGCATGGCGGATGTGGGCTTGATTGGTTATCCAAACGCGGGAAAGAGCACTTTGCTAAATGCACTGACCCGAGCGAAACCCAAAGTAGCTCCTTATGCCTTTACAACGCTGCGTCCACATCTGGGAACCGTTCAGTACGATGATCATGTGCAGCTTACCATTGCTGATCTTCCAGGACTCGTTCCCGATGCCCATCTCAATAAGGGCTTGGGTATACAGTTCCTAAAGCATGCCGAACGCTGTACCTTGCTGCTGTTTGTTCTGGATGCCAGTGCACCTGAGCCCTGGACGCACTACGAGCAGCTCATGCACGAGCTGCGACAGTTCGGCGGACGCCTAGCAAGTCGGCCGCAGTTGGTTGTGGCTAACAAACTGGATGTGGAGGAGAGCCAAGATAACTTTGAGGAACTGCAGCGCCGACTACAAAATCCTGTGCTCGGCATCAGTGCCAAGATGGGCCACAATCTGGGTCAGCTTTTAGCTAGCGTTCGTAGAGGATATGACCGCCACAAGGAACCACCCACGGAGTCCAGTTAAACACTAATATAAAAGTTGTTTTAGATTGTTATTTATAAATTAAACATTATTCTTATAAGCTACACAAGCGGGAAACATCGATTACAATCCCTCCTCGGATGTGGGCAGCCAGAAGGCCATGTTGGTGCATGCGGAGGCCAGCATCATGTACTTGGGATTGAACTGGACGCACTGCACCGGCCCCGGATGATCGCCATTTAGCACTGACACTTTGTTGCCCGTGTCTGCGTTCCAAATGTGCACACGTCCATCTGTGCTGCCCGAGAAGATGAACTGCGAGTCCGGGCTAAAGCTCGCCTCGATGGCAATGCCCTTGTTGTTCGGATAGCCAGTAAACGTTTGCAACGGAGTACCGTGGAAGGCGTCGACCAGTCGGATAACTGAACCATTCGTGCTGATCAGAATGGTTTTGCCATCTCGTGAGAACTTAAGGCCCGTCCAGTCGCATTCTTTTTCCTGGTTGAGTTTGAAGGTGACAAAGGGCCCCTTGTCGAAAGAACGTAGATCGTACAGCTTGATACTCTCTGAGTTGACGCCAGCCGCAAAGATCAGGCCCTCTGGATCGTAGGCAGCAATGGGGCGGCCGGACAGGTGCATCAATCCCTGGCAGTTGGGTGAACGGAGGTCCCAGAGGCGGAGCGTTTTGTCCAGCGAGCCGGAGAGGAAGGTGTCTTCCACTGGCGATATGCACAGTGAGATGACTTTCTTGGTGTGGCCGGGAAAGTAACGTAGATATTTGTTGTCGTGCAGGCTCAGATATCGAATAGTGTCGTCCACCTTGGTGGAACTGTGGATAGCTGTGTTGTTGGCATGCGTAAAATGGATCAGATCCACGCCGTACTTCTTGGAGTTCACCGTGCGAGACTGCGTTCCCTTTTCGCAGTCGTAGATTACAATCTGGTCATCCTCGCTGCACGAGATCAGGTGCTCACCGTTTGGGGCGAAATCAATGGCGTTGATCTTGTCAGTGTTCTCCCGAAAGATCTTTGCCACCTTGAAGCTACGCACCACTGAATCTATTAGTTTTATCTTCATTTTGATTCGCTGTATTCTGTTTTGTTGTCAACTTAGCAAGGCTCTGTTAGCAATGACAAATGATTGATAAATAAGTAGCCGATTTATCGATGTCAAAACATTGGAACTGGTTCCGACTTGAACTGCAAACGAAACTTTTTCAAATATTTAAAACGCAACGGCAGATTTAACAAATAAGTTAACAAGAAAAACAAAAAATTATCGAAAAATAAATTTTAAAAATCGTCAATACTTCGATGTTGTTAGCCTTTATGCATTTGTGAGGACCTTTCTTGTTTCTAATTAATATTGACCTGATTTTCCACTTGATTTGTTGTTTATAATTTTTTTTAAAACTTCTTGAATATATTATATAAATAGCTCTCCCAAAACTTAAATTTATACTTCTACGTAAGAGAACAATAAAAAACTTGTTTTAGTCAACAACAAATTTAAGTATATTTTTATTAATGTGATGTAAAGCATTACAGAGGCAATATTAATTTAGCTACACTTCAAAATGTACAGGGTGAAATTGTTAATGGTCTATTTAGTTAGTGTGCTGTGGAGGACAGTCACAGATGTTACTGTGAGTATTTCCCAGCAGCTCCTTTGGGTCAACGTACACAGTGCCCTCTTTGCCTCGAGCAAAAGGTGTTTGTCCGTTGGTTTGTAAGTAAAAATCGCCATGTATTCTAAAAGTTTTAAATTCAAATAATTAGTGCCTGTTATAGATGTATGTCTAAGATATTGTCTTACGTCGTGGGACAATGGTGACCCATCACCACCGGGGGGCATGTCTCCACAGTTTTGTTTTGCTTAAAGTCTGACCATTTCTTTGCGGGCACCGCATCGAACCCGATGGGATACCGATCCGAAACACTCTCTGCCCAGAACCACCAACTTCGCCGGTGACTTGACAAGTCGTTGTCGCTGAGCATCTTGTAGTTCCTCTTGGGACATCCCGGTTGCAGGCTGCCTCCCCCGTTGGGCCAGAAGTCCGCTGTTCCCGTGCTCGTTGGAGCTCCGTACAGCCAGGCATCCGTGTGTATCACATCCACAAACTCCGCATCATTGGCGGACAGGTGAGAGCCGGGGTAGAACAGTGGAAAAGCAGGATCTAAAGCCGAAATTCTGGAATATTTTGGGTGGATTTGTGAGAACAGAAGAACATACGTGTTAGCTATAAATCAATAAAAATATAATTTAAATCATATCTCACCTTTTCAACTTTCTAACGCCTTTGGTGCGCTTGAATATCTCGCGGCCAAGAAGTCCCGCCAATTGGCCGCCCATCGAGTGTCCCACAATGTGAAACTTCTCAATGTCCAGGCCGTGATCAAACATCTTAAGCAGGACCTTGGCCAACTCCGGACCCAATTGTTTGAGGTTGGGAAAGGCATCAAACATATAGTTGCCATCGGCCAGTTCTCCCCAATCCAGGACGATAAGATTAGTATCCTTACGCTCCAGATAGGCCTCTGCTATGACATGTATACTCTCCACATCCGGATCCTCGAGGTAACCATGCAAATAGAGCACGGTATTCTTGCTTAAGTCCAAGTTCTCGTCCTCCAAAAGACTTTGGTAATCTGTTAGGTCATAGATATCGCTATCTGCTACCGTGGGTCTGTTGATAAAATTAAAAGAAAAACTTTAGCTAAATTCTGTGATAGCAATAAAAATTACATATTCAATATTGAAAATTTATTTATTATTAATAGTTTCTGAGTCTAATGTTTAATAGTTTTCTTGTAAGTTAACTTACCCATAGTAAAGTATAAATTTAGCCGTTGTAAGATCTGCCTTGGAGTTCTTGAGACCGCAGAGCAACCCTGAACAATAATTATTCCAATTGTATTAGCGGAATTTTCCTTTTCGCTTACTCACTTACTGGATTTGTTTTTAATGGCCTTGTGCATTTTACTGGTGGGTTGTCGGCTATTAGTCCATAAAATGATTGATTACGTGGCCAGTGGGTTGCCCGGATATCCTCTGCTCCCATGCGCTGATTGGCAAAGACTGCTGGGCCGGACACTCGGTTAGTCGGATTAGCGTGGCGTGGCCTGAAACCCATCGAAATTGATAACTCTAATTAAATTTCAATCTTTCGCGGATAAGATAGACATAGTGAGCTCGGCCAAAAAAGCCTTGCGACATGAGCATCGTGAATCACACGAATGTGGCACTAACAAAAGCGGCAAAGTCCGGCTGGAGGTCCAAACTTTTGCCTGCCCATGCATCATTCATGTGTACTTACAGTGGAACATACGATTTTCGGCCACTTGAATATATTTTAAAGTTCTTATTATTCACCCAATTTTACCGATTAGACCCACTTAATCGAACGTTAATCCTATTATGCACTTGAGGCTAATACTCAGGTGATTGCCCGAAAGCAATAAATGAAAGCTATGAAAGCACTGTCGCCAGTTAGTCTACTACTTTCAATGGCCAATTAACTAACCCACATTCATCGCACAATCACACAATATTGCAACATTACTGACTTTCCCAGAAAACGCAGGATGGTAATTACAAAGTTATCCAGTTTAAAACTACAAACTTAAAACCTATTAGACTGTAATAGCATTTAATCGGGGGTTTTGAACTGAAACATTATCTTACTACATATTACACAACAATTATGATTTCTTTTAATAAGCTAGACAATTTAAAAAAAGTTTAGGTAGCTAAATGAAGTAAATGTAATGAGTTTAAGTAGATAAATAATGAGCTCTGAATTAATGGTGATTTTTTTATAATAATGGGTCTTTTTTTTAACTAGCCAGATTGGTTGTCATTAATTTTATTTTCTAGTTTACGCACTTTTAGTTTTATACCTTTCATTATATATTTTAAATGACTCACGGTAAATAAAATTGACACTTAAAAACACACTTATCACTTAAAGCAATAAACCTTGATCATAGGCAGTTTAAAAAGCAAAAGGTTAAGCCTACTAAGTTACTACGAAAATGCGAAGTGTGTGTCACGTTTTAGTTCAACAACCTGGAGGCCCACTGTCTATTACCACAGATTGCCTTAACCTGGGTCTAAATGAACAAACTACCAGTGCTTTAATATGCAAACTTGAAATTACAGCAATGCCAAAGAAGCACACGTGTAGTCTACAGTACAAAGTACTTAAATTGAATCTCGTTATTTATAAGTGTATATTTAAGTGTCGTTACTGAGATTAGACTTTTAAAAACTTTAAATTTTAAAGCTTTGCTCGTTTTATTTCTGTTATATATATTGTTATTTATGTACATATGTATTTATATTTATAGTGATCTCATCGAAATTGTTTATAAAAAGCAGAATATCAAAAAGAAAAGAAGACCACGTCTTAACCATTTAAAGGCAAGAAATGGCTCATAAAAGAACATGAATATACAATGATGATTCCAACTTTTATTTTCAGTAAATTAAAATAATTATATCTATGTCTTTCGGATGTTTATTATGACACTTGAGTTAAAATAACGTTTGACTTTTGAAGTTCGACTGTGATTTGGATGTAGTTATGTATGTGTGGAAATCTCAGCCGGCTGACCCCCAATGACTGCCCAAGGCAATCGTAATTTAAGTACCGGCCTTTTTTTGCCTCGATTTCACCGTTATACTACGGACGTAAATAAAGAGCACTTCAATTTATATTCCGGCTTATCGGTGGAAAATTAGCCGCCAGATAATGTCGTTGGGGAAATGGAATGGGGATCGGGTCGAGGGGTTCGGCGCCAAGCACTTGTCGGAAGGCAAAAAATAGCGCTTAGTGAAACGCGCCACTTGGGGACACAACAGGAAAAACGTAAAGATAAAATAATGCCACAATAATTGTAATAACAGCTCAGCATTTTTGACATGTTCGGGTAATTAAGGCGAACTCTACACAGTACATTTATGGTAGACACTAGTTGCGTCGCTTGGGGGCAGGTGGATCATAGGTCAGTGGTCGGAAAACAGACGCAAAGATTGCGACACCAGTGTGGAAATTGATAATATTCCCCATTTGCCTGTATTTAGGCGCACAAACACCAGAGTTTCCGTGTATATGCACATAATTGATTGGTTCCACCTATTTGCCCAATCAAATTTGCATCTGATTCCCCCTATTGACTCGTCATTCCGCGGTGATTTGGTGCCCGAGCGCCAGCCGGAATAATTCAGTGGCACTTACGAGTGGAATCGGAATCGTGAGTTGGGCAAATATTTATCAACGCGCAGCGAAACGACTGAAGACACGCGCGTCGCCCCGTCGCAAAAGTCCAACTGATCTCTCGCTCAAAACTGCTCGCCACAGCCAACCAAACAAAACAACAAATCAGCCCCAACTATCGTCAGGTGTCTGTTTGGGGACTATCGATATAAAACTAAACTGAACATTTAAAAACTGTTTTTTCAAAGCTTTAATATAAACTTTAAAGCCCTGGGAAAATTATTATTTACGTTTTTACAAATAAAATGCAAATATAATTATTAATTTTTTTTAAGCACAATACAGTGATCTCTCAAAACAATAAAATCTATAATTAAATAATACATTTTATAGATAATTATGGATCCGAAATATTATAGTTACATTCGTATTACCTGCCCTTAAAAAAACACTAATCCATTGTTTTCACTACAATTTTATTTTGCATTCAGATGCGATCAAATTTTCCAAACTCTACACATGTTTTTAATATTGATCTTTATGCCTATGTGGTAATTAATGTATAATATAAGTATGTAAGTAGTAATGTTTAGCTGTGTCGCGTTTAGTGGGTCTTCCTCCCATACAGGCCTTGGTGGCACTCTTCTGGTCTCCGCCTCCTTTGACTCCCGACTTCTCCAACTTCATCCATTATCCAACTTCGGCTGCAGCGTTAAACACCTCCCGGGATCCACTACAAATTTCCGTTCTTAAGTGTTGTTGCTACATAATATGTGTTTGTTGCCGGCGTTAAATACATACAGTTTTAAAAATAGAATAAAAAAGATGCAAGAAGGTTGATTACGCTGTAAACAATTATACAAATATATTATTGCAAACGAACACACAGTGTGGGAAATATACACGGCCACGTGGTGGAGATGATACCGGGAAAGAGACAGAAAAGTATGGTACAAAATTAGTATAGGTAATGGCTTAGTCCACACTGCATTCGCACTTTAGTCAGACATCTAGCTATGTTATCTTGAGCAAACAAACAGATGTAAATATGTTTCATGGCGAGGGGGATTAAACACATTTCGCAGCGGAACTGGCTGGAGACAGCGGGAGGCACATCACACTTCTTTTGGTTGGCTACTCATCCTCTAACATTCCGATTCAACCTTCGGCGACTCCGCCACTGCCGCCGCCGCTGCCTTTCCGTTCATCTCCTCTAGGATGTCATCATCAGCCGACGGCTGTGAAGGCGGCTCCACGATCAGCTTCGAGTCCATTGCTGCCTCAATTTTTGCACCCAAGCAAGGCGGCACTGCCGTTCTAAAGACACTCAGTTCCAATTCTACAGCAGATTATCAATTTCGATTAACACTATACCTCAGAGAGACATTTGTATGTTAATAATTTGTGTAACTCTCCATTCTGGTTAACTTTAACTGTGGCTACTAATTTTTCTATACTTTACTTAAATTAAAATACAAATTTTAAAGTTTCTTATTGCCTTTCAGTAAATGCAAAAATCAACAAGGATTCCTCAAACTATACACTCTAAATTGAAAGCAACTGATATTTTAGCCCACTCTCTAAAGTTTAAGTTTAATAGCAAGTCAAAACCCTGTTAAACCACACTCATTTCATAAAGATCAACGCTTACCTGCTGCTATACCGGCAATGGCTTGTGCAGCAAAATGCTTAACGTCCACATCTGTGTCCGCGTTCAGTTTGTCGAGTGTGGGCTTAACTTGGGCATCGATAACGCTGGCCTCAAGGAAGGGGGAGATCTTCTGCAGGGTCTTAGCCACGTTGAAGCGAACATTGGCGACGGGATCGGCGGCGAGCAGGAGGACTGTGGGAAGCAGCAGTTTGGTGGTGATATCTGTGCCGCAGACCTCTGCCAAAACGTTCAGGCAGAACAAGCAGGTCATTCCTATAATATTAAAACACCATGAGCTACATCGTCTTTCGATTCCTTGCAGCAAAAACTCACTGTGCAAATAGTTCTTGTTCCTCGACATAACCAGAATCATGGGAATGATAGCCTGCTCGGCCCAGGATGCTCCAAATTGTTCGACCAGCTTCTTCATGTTGAGAGTGGCTGCCTCACGAATGGCGTAAACGTGATCGTTGAGCCATCCCATGCAGAGACCGCGCAGCTTCTGGTCAAAGAACTCCTGACCCAGCTGACCGGCCAAAGCGGGCATGTACTCAATGATGGCAAGACGTACGCGCCACTTGGAGTCCTCGGCCAACTCAACAATAGCGGGCAGAAGCGACTGCGAAAGCTGCTGGATTCCGATGACATCGTTCACGCAGTCTAGGTTCGAGATGATGTTCAGACGCACTTCGGGGCATTCGTCCTTCAGTTGGATAAGGAACAAGGGCAGCAACTGCTCCACAGTTTGGTAGGCGCCCAGCATCGGACTTAAGCCCATGATCACAGAGGCCAAAGCGGACTTGACATGTGGATTGGGATCTGTGACCAGATCGCGCACGTACGGCAGAATGGAACTAAGGATGATTTGCACCTGGTTTACTTTGTCCAGGTTGGCACAGAAGTCCTTAACTTTGGTGGCCACGGCAGCACGAACCTCCGCCTCAGCGTCCTTGAGCAAGTACTGGAAGGCGGGCACCAAATCCACGCGAGTGATCTCCGGTCCCACGGCCTTTTGCAGGTCGACAAACTTTTCGGCCACCATGTAGCGCACTCTCCAAGAAGAGTCACTGGCACACTGACGCAACGTGGGCAGAACCAACTAGAAAAGCACATTGTGTAAGCCAAGATATTGCAAATTTACATGCTAATATACTTACGTGCTCCACATCGTCTTGGGGCAGCAACTGGGCAATGCTCACACAAGCTTCCACAGCCAGCAGGCGAACGGAGTCCTAGATAGAAAATAATAAGTACTTCAGATTAGTAAAAGCCAGATAAAAATGTATGCAAATTTTAACTACAGAAAGTTTATTGTGGACACATCACATGCAATTTAAGAAAATGCCTAGACACATTTTTATTTGAATATAGCGATGCAACTCAGGACCATGAATTATATTTTAGCTATATTTACGCACCTGATCATCCTGAGCCAGCTGCACAAAGTTGGGAATCAAGTCAGACTTGAGATACTCGGTCTCCACGACCTTGGCGAACTCGCCCAGCTTGTTGGCAGCAGCGCGGCGCACCATGGGCGTCTCGTCTTGGCAAAGCTTGCGGAAGTTGGCGCGCAACTCGGCCTTCACCGGCTGTGTGACCCTTGGATAGCAGACCGAAAAGAGTCCGCATGCGGAGGTGCGCGAGGTGAACCAGTCACCGGAGACCAGACGTTGCAAAGTTGGTACAACGTGAATCTCCAGATCCTTTGCACTGTGCTCAGCGGCCACTGTGCGCAGAGATTCTACGGCCTTGTCCCGCACCACAGTCTCCTCCACTGTGGCTAAACTCTCGAGGGGCGGTATCAAGTACATGGCGAACTCGGGTCCGCCAACAAGACCTTTAAAAAAGAGGCAGGCAAGGGTTTAGAAAACTTTATAAAACTGTTTACTATTTCTTTACTTACTTGTAAAATTGCCCAATTGATCGGCCAAGGCCAGCAGCACCTCATCCTCATCGTAGATGGTCTCGGTGAGGAAGGGAATCAACTCGGACCGTGTGCGCTCCTCGCCCAGAGCCAAAGCAATGGTGGACAGCTTCTTGATGGAGTTAAGTCGAAGCTGTTGGTAAACAATGTAATTGTTAAAATGCGCCATTCCCAATAATCATAGGGGCAAATGTCATTCGATTTCTTAATCAAACCCCAGTTTACATTTTTATTTAAAATGACAAACATAAATTTAAGGCGTGGTCGAATCAAAATTGTTTATTCACATTTCTTCTAATGACGGTGTTAAATAAACCAATGAAGCTACGGTCAGAAAATCAAATTATTTAAAGAAAATGAATTAAAGCTGCGTTTACGAAATGTACACAATTTTAAAAGCAAATAATTTACTTTTAAGATAAAATGAGAAGGAGTCCAATTTAAAAAAAATTTTTTTTTTTTTTTTATAGATAAGATTGAGCTTTAGATAAGAGAGTTTGTTTTTTAAGAAGATAAATGAATAATTTTTACGTACGCAGACTTTAGTAAATCTCAAACAAATTTAATTAATAAAACCTTGCTTCTATTTTTTTTAAAGTCTGAAGTTGCAAATTGTATTTGCACACAATCTCGTGAGTATAAACAAATCAAATATCATTAGTGTGAGATAGAAAAGAGTCGAACTCGTAGTGAGCTATGAGCAGATAAAAGCCAATAAATACAATTGATAAAAATAGGTTAGGCTTGTTGTTCCTACGGAAGATACTCAGCTTGTGTATATCAAAATCTGGTAAAACTTTTTTTATTTTTTTGATGCACACACGCTCTTAACCTACACAAATACCTATGCACACACAGTGACGCATTTTTGCACAGATACACTGACAATTTAGGAGTGAGGGCACGCTTCCTTATTTTGGCACTAGAACATTTCGCAATTTCGGGAAAGCCCAAAAGTTTTCGATTTGGCTAACAACTGATACAGACCTGCACATCTTCGTTCTTGAGTTCGTCAATTAAAACCGCAATGGGGTATAGAGAATCGTCGACCGATTTATCGCTCGCTGCCATTTTTTCCGCTGTTGCTGCTCACACACACACGCACTGAAAATCGGTTTTTCTATTCTGCAGGCAACCAATTCGTTTCGATTTTGGGCTCTGGCACTTAGCAATTTGCTTCTCTTGCTTTAATAAAAATAATTCCACAATCCCCTCCGTTCCGTCTGCTACAATTTGCAAGTTTTTAAGAAAATGTTCTTTGATTGCTTTTTCAATAAAAATCGTACGTCGCCGTTCGGTGCAAATAATTTTTTTTCCCAAGTGACACAACGATAGAGCTGGAACAAAAATCGATTTACGATTCTATCGATGTCTTATCGATGTGGCAACATCAATAGTTTTTGCACCCGCGGGATTTTATTAAAAATAAAATAAATAAGAACAGCTTAAAAAAAATTGTTTACAATTAAAATTAAAAAAAGTTCTATATTAATAATTATTCTTTCTACCAATCAGATACTGGTAATTATCGACTGATTTTTAAAACAAGTTTTGTATAAAAAATACTTCTATAAATCGACTCAAATTTATTGTTGCTTAATTCTCTAGGAAAGTTACAAACTCGGTTAGCTTAAGCAACTGATCATCGTTGCCACGGCTCGGCGCCGGTTCCTGGACCTTTGGTTTTAAAATCACTCGGTCGCCATCGAGTTCCTCAGTCCAGTTCAGAGCAGCACAGGTGTTCATCAGTTCTTCCTCCGACATAAGGGACAAATTCAAGAGATTGTTCTGATAGATCGACACATAGGCGCTGCTTATAAGTTTGAACAGCTCCTCGCGCTGTCTCACTAAACGGATACATTATTTTAACCAATATTTGTTAAATAAATAGAAATTCTCATACCCAGAAGATCATCGACGGGCGCCTTCACCCTTTCGGACCAATCGTACTTGATGTTTTTAAAGAAATCGGTATAGTTATTGTTCTGTAGGGCCACATTGAGCAGGTTCAACTGAATTAGTTCCTTGTCATCCTTAAACTTTGGTGGAATTCGCATCCACAGCAATTTAGCATTAGCTCTAAATGATGCAAGAGTAGAATATATAGTTTCTGAAACTGTTAGTATTCAGCACTTACAGTTTGTTTTGGTATAGATAAATCGCAAGTAATTGCTGGTAGAGCTCAGCTCCCAATTCAATGTGCTGCGGAAGTAGGGGAATTTGAAATTTTAATTCGGTCAAAACATTTCACACCCACTCACCTCCAATTCCTCGTTCTCAAGCCGTTCCACCAGCTCACTGTATTTGTTTAAATGCATTTTGCAATGGTTAATTCTTAACCCGACAACAATAATGTGACCGTTGAGCCGGGATTGTCGATAAAAACATCTCACTAACGTAACCCTGTTATTTTGGAGAATTTTTCTATCCATATCGATACTTGGGTAATCTAATTATTACAATATTGGTATTTAACAGAGCATAAAAAAAGTCCAAGTTATCCAGTTAAATCGTATATTTATTAATCCTAATAAATATTGTATTGTTTCCTTCAAAATATCGTTTGGGTGCCTTTTATCGATAGTCTCTTTGACAGGTCTCCACAATCGCAGAGCTGTCAACGTGCAAAAAGTCTCCACCTTCTTTTCGGTGTCAAAAACTAGACTATCAAGATGGGTCGTATGCACGCTCCTGGGTAAAAATGCGATTTTTATTGTTTTTGGTGCAACTACGCAACGCGGAGTGTTTGCAAAATGTGTCTGCCGTGCGGAATAATCGAAATGAATGTGACATATGTGATTTTTAGGGGTTTAGGGGGTTAGATATGGACCGCAAAGGCAAGCACATGGTGCAGACGTAGACCCCGTTGACAGTCGCCGTCATGAACGCTTACTAACAACCGCTGTTTTTCTTCACAGCAAGGGTATTTCCCAATCAGCCCTCCCCTACAGACGTACTGTCCCATCCTGGCTGAAACTGAACGCTGAGGATGTCAAGGACCAGATCAAGAAGCTGGGAAAGAAGGGCCTGACCCCCTCCAAAATCGGTAAATGCGCCCCTGGATAATGTTGTTGTTTGAGGTTATGTTAACCGGGCTCGGTATTTGTTTGCAGGCATCATCCTGCGTGACTCGCACGGAGTTGCCCAGGTGCGTTTCGTCAATGGAAACAAGATCCTGCGCATCATGAAGTCGGTGGGTTTGAAGCCCGACATTCCCGAGGATCTGTACCACATGATCAAGAAGGCCGTCGCTATCCGCAAGCATTTGGAGCGTAACCGCAAGGACAAGGACGGCAAGTTCCGTCTGATTCTGGTCGAGTCCAGGATCCACCGCCTGGCCCGCTACTACAAGACCAAGAGCGTCCTGCCGCCCAACTGGAAGTACGAGTCGAGCACCGCCTCCGCCTTGGTTGCCTAAATCATCGTCCTCGATTCGCCTAGTTGGTAGTTTGTTTTCAAGTCTTGTCGGGGCCTACATTTCCACCAATGTACAACCAATAAACCCAATAAAACTGGAAATCTGAACTATTTTATAGACTAAGCAATTGTCGTGCCAATTAATTCATTTCGAGGAAGAATCTGTGTATAAACAGAAACATCGCAGTTCTGGGTTAAAGTTGATTATTGCTACCAAAATAATTTTGATGCAATCAAAGAAAATTAATGAACTGCTTAAGTTCCATTTTTTAACTATTGACTAATGGGTTTTATTGATAAAATATGAAGCCTTAAAAAATTACTACAAAACCAAATCAAAAATTATTCTAAATTAGGTAAAAACTTATTACTGACTATACGATCTTTTTTAAGCATCCTAATTTTTTTGAGAGCTTTAATTTTTTGTAGTTTTTAGATTACCATTTTTTTTAAATTTGATTTCCATTCTCTTAAATTCACTTGTTGCTTAGTTTTTAGCAAAAAATGGCAATGAAAGTACATTCACACATTTACGATCTCAAGTTCTCACTGGCACCGAATGCACAGTATTACTTTGTTAAGTGAATTCAAGAAAAAGTAATGCTAAAGTTTTAGTTTATTGAGGATATTTTGACATAGTGGTAAGAAAGTCGTATGTATGTTTGTACATGCGTCTTAATTTATTCTGTATGCCAAGATTATGCAAATAATGCCGCATATAATTTATTCACTTCGAAGCTCTTTCTACAAACTCGTTTCTCTTGATTTTAAATTGTAAGTTTTCCTCCCTTAAAGGCTTAATATGTACCGTTTTAATTTAATTTGAAAATGTATTTGAAGGTAGTGTACTAAAACAAAAATTTAAAAAAGTTTTTTGGGACTCTATAAAAAGGTTTCGGGTTTAAACTTTTTTTTTGTTACCTACAAATCTACATATAGCAAAAAATCCGCCAGAAACATTATCAGGTTTTTTATTATACCACCTGTAAATGTTTACAATTGGGATTTGTTCGAAAAACATTTACATGTGTACATATGTGTATTGTATATTAAAGTAGTTGACATTGCTAATGGCTTGATATAAATGCATGTACATGTGTATATTGATTTTTTGTTTTTGTTTAGTTCGGATTTGTTATATTTTCTGAAAATATACATTACATTCAACATTATGTCAACCAGTTTACAAATTTAAAAAAAAAAGTGATCGATTTGCAAATGTTTACAACAAATGATTTTCTTTCATCCTTTAAAATTTAACAAATTTGGTTTCTATATTTTTAAAATTTTATAAGATATTTGGACATACAGTCGTTTATGGTAGGAAAGCTCTACCGTAGCCTGGGGTTGGGGGCCAATTTCGTATTAAGAGCCGATAGCCGCCGAAAGCGAACCGCCAGTGTTCAGAATTCAGAATCGAGCATTCAGTTTCAGTAGCCTGCTGCCCTTTCCGGCTCTCGGACCGAAGTTTGTTTTATTATTTACAGCACCGTCTTATTTATTTTTGCCTTGTCGCCGGGTCTTCTATCGCGATTTTCTCACGTTCGCCAGCTTGGTTATTGTTGAATGTAAACAATATTGAAACAAATGTACGTACATGTGATTCGCAACCAGTGGCAATTATTTTAATTGTGGTTGCAGATTGCTTGGTAATTTAGTGCCTGAAAAAATCCATGTGATTAGATAATTTACAGACAAACGAAAAATCATCGATGCGGAGGCCTTTATCTTTGCGCAATTATTGTTTGTTTGGCTGATAAATGTAATGTATTTGCATATGTTTGTATGTACATTTGGATAAAAGTTTCCCTTTTGCTAGCAACAACGTGGTACGTTTCGCACACCCGCGCATAAATATATGTATATGTACAAATGTATATACTGAATAAGCAAACGGTAAATGCCCGAAGTGCTTATTTTATTTCATCAGGAGTGAGTGAAACCGGCAGACAAGAAGAAACAGACAAGTACAGTGAATAATAGTTATGGATTTTCCTAATGATAAGGAATACAATTAGACAAATTTACAAAAGTGGTGAACTATTTAATAAAAAATGTAATTGGAAAAAAAGGAATTCTATGTGCCCCAAATCGTTGCCTATAAAAAGCCGATTAACCCATACATATAGTCTGTACAGAATTGCTTTTACAACCGATTAACACTGTATTAGCCAAATGCCAACCGGGGTTTTTGGGGAAATAAACTATTTCTCGAATGCTCATTTTCTGGGCTTGTCGTTAAACCGAACCCCGTAATTCCGAATTACAAACCTATGAGCAGTGACACAAGTACCACCCAAACGTCCCTACCCAAGTTCCTTCTAAAAAAACATCAACTTCGCCCAGTCGTCAAGCCAACGTCAATATGAATCGTAGATAAATAAAACAGCAATGTTTGTTTGATTAAGATGTGCCGTGTTTGTGCTCATATCGACTATTGTTTTCTTAAACCACTCAGCACAATTACATATTTCAGTTAACGTTATTGCTAAACTTATCAACTTTAGCTTGTTTCGCCGTTTCTTTCAGTTTCTTTAACGGGAGTAGAAAATGCAGTCGGTACAGACGGCAGATTTGCCGGAAAATCCCCGTGAACGTTCAAATTTTATTTCGGCAGCATGCTTCTGGTGAGTATTATGTTTTAAAAGTAAAAGATTAAATTATAATAACAATTTAAAATTGTTTATAGGTATACCATGCCCACTTTTATCAAGGGTCGGAAGGACACACTGGATACCAAGGATCTGTACAGGGCTCTGAAGGAACACAAGTCGGGTATGATGAAATTATGATACTGATTCACCTAAATAATGATATGCAAAAACTTAAAAACGATTGAAGCATAAGTATGTACATACATCACATTAATGTTTGTCAATTGAAGGTTTTTGTAATCAGTGCAAGTCATAGTTTTGTATCAATTATAGATAAAGAAATGATCATTCCAACCTTAATTTCAAAAAGTCTTATAATTACCAAACGCACTGTATGTAGTTATCACGAGAACAATTCATTTGACTGATCGATGCAAGTACACAGTATGTTCGTTGACCGTCTTAATTGATTTGCTTTATTTCTTCAATTGCGCCCATGATTCTGTGTTTTTATTTTCCCAAATTGATAACTGTGTCTCTGGGTAAACGTTGTTTTCGTAATCCGAATTAATTAAGTACCGTATCTGCGATTAAATTATGTTAATTTGTACATTTTTCCAGAGACTCTGGGAAATAAATTGTGCGCCTCCTGGGAGCTGGAACTTGAGAAGACAAAAGGAAAACCTAATCTTCTAAGGGCTCTCCTGCGGGTTTTTGGCTGGTACTTTGCCCTACTTGGTCTGGTGCTCTTTCTCCTGGAATTGGGTCTTCGAACGCTACAGCCAATCTTCCTGCTGAAACTCATCGCCTACTATTCACATGGCTCGGGATCTTTAAACGATGCCTATTACTATGCTGCCGGAGTGATCGTGTGCAGTGCCCTCAACGTCATCATCATGCATCCCTATATGCTGGGCACAATGCATGTGGGTGAGTCATAGAATCGTGGAAAATGATATGTCTGTTATCTAGTTTTGTTTACTTACTTATTGCATATCTTTTTACAGGCCTAAAGATGCGTGTGGGTATGTGCAGTATGATCTACCGAAAGGCTTTAAGATTGAGCAAATCGGCGCTGGGTGATACGACGGCTGGGCATGTGGTCAATCTTATGTCCAATGATGTGGGTCGCTTGGACCTGGCCACCATTTTTGTGCACTACCTGTGGGTGGGACCGCTGGAGACCCTCTTTATCACATACCTAATGTACCGTGAGGTGAGCAGTTTGAAAATATAGAGAACTAAATAAATCTTGATTAACGAAATAAACTCTTTCTACAGATTGGAATCGCTGCCGTGTTTGGTGTGGCCTTCATGCTGCTTTTTATTCCCCTGCAAGCGTATTTGGGAAAGAAAACCTCGGTTCTGCGACTGAAAACCGCTTTGAGGACGGACGAGAGAGTTCGAATGATGAATGAGATTATCTCGGGCATTCAGGTGATCAAAATGTACGCCTGGGAGCTGCCCTTCGAACATATGGTGGCCTATGCGCGCAAGAAGGAGATTAATGCCATCAGGCATGTGTCCTACATCAGAGGAATCCTACTCTCCTTTATAATCTTTTTGACGCGTGTGTCCATTTTCCTGAGTTTGGTGGGCTATGTGCTACTTGGAACGTTCCTCACGCCGGAGGTGGCCTTCTTGATCACCGCTTACTACAACATCCTGCGTACCACCATGACCGTATTCTTTCCCCAAGGCATCTCTCAAATGGCTGAGACCCTGGTTTCCATCAAGCGTGTCCAGAAATACATGCTGTCGGATGAAACCAATGTGTCGGATAAGAGTGTTTACCTGCCGGATGATTCTCCAAGCAGCAATCAGGCAACGGTCCATGCAGATGGAGAGGAGGATCGTGACGAAGACGAGGATCGCGATGAAGCCGAGGATAAGCTTCTGGGTCCACCGCTCTCCACCATTAATGAGAACGCCAAGTTGTCGGAGGCGGGCATCTCCATAAGCGGACTCATGGCGAAATGGGACGTTAACTCACCAGAATACACACTCAATGGAGTTAACCTTCGAGTTCAACCGGGCACTATGTTGGGTATTGTGGGACGCACAGGATCCGGTAAATCCAGTCTAATTCAAGCCATTTTGGGAGAGCTGCCCGCCGAGTCGGGCGAGATAAAGGTGAATGGAAGCATGTCATACGCTTCCCAGGAGCCATGGCTCTTCTCTGGCACCGTGCGCCAGAACATCCTCTTCGGCCAGCCAATGGATCGCAGGCGATACGCCAAGGTGGTAAAGAAATGTGCCTTGCAACGAGATTTCGAGCTGCTTCCGTTCAAAGACAAAACCATTGTCGGAGAGCGTGGAGCATCGCTTTCGGGTGGCCAGAAGGCAAGGATCAGCCTGGCAAGAGCTGTTTACCGCGAGACCTCAATCTACTTGCTCGACGATCCCCTCAGTGCGGTGGACACCCATGTGGCCCGTCATCTTTTCGAGCAGTGCATGCGTGGCTATCTGCGCGAACGTATCGTTATCTTGGCCACCCATCAGCTGCAGTTCCTGCAGCACGCCGATCAGATTGTGATTATGGACAAGGGTCATGTGAGCGCGGTGGGCACGTATGAATCGCTGCGTGAGTCCGGATTGGATTTTGCCACCATGCTGGCCGATCCGGAGCGAGATGAGCATGCCGATGAGCAATCGCGGTCGCGATCCGGCAGCTACAGTCACAGCCATTCCGATGGGCGACGCAACAGCGAGCAATCCCTGCTATCCATGGCCGACTCTTGTCTGGATGAGATCGATGAAAACCAGGCCATCAACCAGGAGCGCCAGGTGGTGGGTCAAATTGGACTCGGTCTGTACGGCAAGTACTTCAAGGCGGGAGGCGGTTTCTTTGCATTCTTCGTGATGATGGCATTCTGTGTGATGTCCCAAGGATTGGCATCTTTGGGTGACTACTTTTTGTCTTACTGGTAAGGAAAAACATTTTTTGATTGATTGTAAATGATGGATTTCTTTCGATTATTATAATTTTTGGTGTCTGTTTAGTTTAAAGCTTATTTAAAGATTATTTCATTCCATTTTAGGGTAACCAAAAACGGACAAGTGGCCAACCGAGCGAACAATAATGACACAATCAGCTCCGAAGAACTGGAGCCGCGCCTCTCGATATGGTTGCATGACTTGGGATGGCCCGTGGACGCCAAAATGATGGACACATACATATTTACAGTTATTACAGTGTTGACTATTGTAGTAACCGTCGCGCGATCGTTTCTGTTTTTCAATCTGGCCATGAAAGCCTCCATTAGTTTGCACAACTCCATGTTCCGTGGCATCACAAGAGCCGCCATGTACTTCTTCAACACGAATCCCTCGGGACGCATCCTGAACCGATTCTCCAAAGACATGGGCCAAGTTGACGAAATACTGCCCGCTGTAATGATGGATGTCATCCAGATCTTCCTCTCCCTGGCTGGCATAGTGATCGTCATTGCCATTGTCAACCCATTGTTTCTCATCCCAACTGTAGCTTTGGGCATCATTTTCTACCAACTACGTACTTTCTATCTTAAAACGTCAAGGGATGTTAAGCGTTTGGAAGCAATAAGTAAGTGTTTATCCACTTAAGTATTGTAAAACTCAACCTTGCTGATAATTGAATATCCCTTTCATTATTGTGTAAAGCTCGATCTCCAGTTTATTCACACTTGGCTGCCTCGTTAACCGGGTTGTCCACCATCCGTGCCTTTGGAGCTCAGCGTGTTTTGGCCTCCGAATTTGACAACTACCAGGACATGCACAGCTCCGCATTCTACATGTTCATTAGCACCTCGCGTGCCTTTGGTTATTGGTTGGACTGTTTTTGTGTAATCTACATAGCAATCATCACACTAAGTTTCTTCATCTTTCCTCCGGCCAATGGAGGCGATGTGGGTCTGGCCATAACACAGGTGAGTCATTACAAAATAGAATTCCATTTTGAAGCGCTTATCTTTTTTTTTTATAATCTTCAGGCCATGGGAATGACCGGCATGGTGCAGTGGGGAATGCGTCAGTCTGCCGAGCTGGAAAACACAATGACTGCCGTCGAGCGAGTGGTTGAGTACGAGGACATTGAGCCGGAGGGAGAACTGGAAGCGACGGCTGATAAGAAGCCACCCAAGTCCTGGCCAGAGCAAGGAAAAATCGTGTTCGATGAGCTGAGCCTGCGCTACACACCCGATCCGAAAGCAGAAAATGTGCTTAAATCACTGAGTTTTGTGATATTGCCAAAGGAAAAGGTCGGCATCGTGGGAAGAACGGGGGCGGGCAAGTCCTCGTTGATCAACGCCCTTTTCCGGCTGTCTTACAATGATGGAACCATCTTGTTAGACAAGAGGGATACAAGTGAGATGGGTCTGCATGATCTGCGCAGCAAGATCTCCATCATTCCCCAGGAACCTGTGCTCTTCTCCGGCACAATGCGTTACAACTTGGATCCCTTCGACGAGTATAGCGATGAGAAGCTGTGGCGCTCCCTGGAGGAGGTGAAGCTGAAGGAAGTGGTGGCCGATCTGCCCAGTGGCCTGCAGAGTAAGATCACCGAAGGTGGCACCAACTTCAGCGTGGGTCAGCGCCAGTTGGTCTGCTTGGCACGGGCCATTCTGCGCGAGAATCGTATCTTGGTGATGGACGAGGCCACGGCCAATGTGGATCCGCAAACGGATGGACTCATCCAGGCCACCATTCGCAACAAGTTCAAGGAGTGCACTGTCCTGACGATAGCCCATCGTCTGCACACCATCATGGACTCCGACAAGGTGCTCGTCATGGATGCAGGACGAGCTGTGGAGTTTGGAACGCCCTACGAACTTTTGACGGCGGCGGATTCCAAGGTGTTCCACGGCATGGTCAAGCAGACGGGTCATGCCACCTACGAGGGTCTGCTAAAAGTCGCACAAAAGGTGGGTTCTTATTTTGTCTGAATTAATAGATGAAATTTATTTACTCGTTTCTTTTTCTCTATTTTTGGGTTCAGGCATTTGAAACCGCCCAGAATCACAGTCTTTCCTCATGAGACTCAGCTGCTACTTAAATGATGTCCTACTAATTAAGCCGAGGTGCTTGTCGCCGAATCTTTAGCTGTTTGTAACTAGTTTAACTAATGTATATGGTTTTGAATGTGTTATCTCGTGTGAATGTAAATATGTTTGTTCGTGTGTATGTTTAATACTTTATATAACTCGTAATCTGTATAGAAACACGTTGTCTAGTGTATTGTTTGTATTTATTTAACTTTCACAAAGTGCAAAGAAGTGCCTTTAAAAATAAATGAAATATATAATCTGTTTCTTTGTAAAAACTATATTTTACAATCAGGTGTAGAAGAAATAGAAACCGCTGTATTAAGGATCTACCCATATTCACATATACTGAACTTTGGCTTTAAATGTCCCTAAAATCGAACTTGTTTAAATCACAGAATAGGATAAGCTTTTTAGCCAGCAAAGAAAATATTTTGTAATATATTGTATAAAGCTAACTTTTTTAAATTAAAGAATTCTTTAACGAGAGTATGGATTAATGATTTCTCGACTAATAATTTTTACAAATTCGCAGGTTTGAAATTTATATTTATACATATTATATATTATTTATCAAAACGTTTCGAAGTGGGTGTAGTTTTCACCACACATTATACGGTTCGAAACTCGGGTATATTCATCATCGCTGCGTAGAACCATGGTTGAGGTGTTGAGTGCTACTGGTTCGTCGGATTGTGCACCTTCTAGGCATATCTGTTTGCCTGACCCTTGGTTCACAGAATCCTGCAATTTTTGCTGTCCAAACGAATGAATGAATGAATTTATGACTCACTTGTTTTCGATCAAGTTATCACATCATCGATCCGAATTTCGCCCACCCAACCGTCGAAGGATGTACGAAAAGTCGGATGAACGGATTAACTAATGTGTTATGTTTGCATATTCCGGCTGCCAACACAGTTGATAAGGAGCTGAAGTTATCTATATTTCACAGAAGTAAAGTTTAACATTTTAATAAAATTCCATTCGTGCAAATGCCGCACGCTCAAGCAATCAATCAAATTACAACGCAAAATAAGAAGCTTTATGATAACGGTTAAAAAACCGGTTGACTCATGTTTTATTTGCTTCATATATATGTACTCAGGGGCGGATACAGGTATCTGCCTGGGGGGGGCGATCAAAATTTTTTTTAAATAATGCAAGTAGCAGGTGGCAAATAATCAAAAATTATACGCAGTTTTATTCAAAACACACTGTACAAATAAATTAATTAATTTTAATCTAAATTGCGAATTCCATTTTTCTTTTCCCTCTTTTTTAAAAACTTTTCTATAACTCTCTCGATGTCAATACTGATTTCGGAATGCGTATGTAGCAATGCTAGGCCAGTTAGTCTTAGGAGGAGGGATAGAAGTAGGGCAAGGAAGGACTGGCGACACGCTGTAACACGCAGGTTTCCGAATTTCACACCAGTTCACTCGGTTCACGCGTTTTCTGAGGAGTCGGACGCATTCAAGTGAAGCACCTTTTTTCAGAAGCTGAGGGGGGGCGATCGCCCCTATCGCCCCCCCTGTATCCGCCACTGTATGTACTATCGGGAATCACCATAGAAACCAGCCACTTAAATAATAGGTAGACGTACGATATATTGGCAGATTGGCAGAATAGATAAATGGTCATAACTTTTTATTACTTTAACTTGGATACAAATTACTAACAATTATAAATATATACATGTTTATATATATGGAAATATCCCTCAGAGCATGTTTTTCAAGCCTAGGGCCAAAAGCAGGATCATAACGCCAACTGAGACCTTTAAACTAGTGCTTCCATTGCACCGATCTGTCAAACAAATGTCACACTGATCTGCAGAATCCGCGGTTATATTGAGTTCGCTTCTCACAGCCTGGCATCCAGACTCTTCGTCGGGCACCTTAACACAACCACGGTTTAGCACTGTTTGAATTAAACGGAATTAAAAGTAGTTGTCAGTCAGTTCAATTAATATCTTATTTTAAAGAATGAACTTGTGACTGATTTCAGTTCTTAACAAGTACAGGTATATTTTTCTTACCTCCATCCTTGTAGATGCTGTAGCAGGCGGCAAGTTTATAATTTGTGGGTGGAACAGTGGTTGGTGGAGATGTGGTGCTGGAATCGGTCGAGGAATCTGTTGAGGAACTGGTGGTAGATTCACTGCTAGAGTCCGTGCTAGAACTCGTAGTAGAATCTGTGGTAGAGGCTGTGGAAGAATCTGTGGTGGAGTCTGTTGTAGAATCTGTTGTGGAATCTGTGCTAGAATCCGTGGTGGAATCGGTGGTCGAATCAGTGGTGGAATCGGTGGTGGAATCAGTCGTGGAGTCAGTTGTGGAATCAGTGGTGGAATCCGTCGAGGAATCTGTTGAGGAAGTTGTCGAAGAATCTGTCGAAGAATCTGTCGAAGAATCTGTTGAGGAATCTGTTGAGGAATCTGTTGAGGAATCTGTTGAGGAATCTGTTGACGAAACTGTCGAAGAATCGGTCGATGAATCTGTGGAGGAATCCGTTGACGAAACTGTCGAGGAATCGGTTGACGAATCGGTCGACGAATCTGTCGACGAATCTGTCGAGGAATCAGTCGAAGAATCTGTTGAGGAAACCGTCGACGAATCTGTAGATGAATCTGTCGAAGAATCTGTCGAAGAATCAGTGCTACTATCCGTGGAAGAAGAAGAGTCGGCGGTAGTTGCCGTAGAATCTGAAGAGTCTACAGTGGTTGCTGTAGAAGCCGAAGATTCTGTGTTGGCTGTTGTAGAATCGGTAGAATCTGAGTTGGTTTCTGCAGCCTGCGAAATATGCATGTTTAAATACAAGATTTTAAATAAAGCGTTTTATGTAAACTTTAGATCCTACCACAGTGGATTCATCAAAAGCATCCCGTGCTGCTAATACTCGAGCATTTCTTCTAAATCGATTCAACACTCCAATTGTGTCCAGGGAAAATGCGGCGGCGGCAGCTGCGGTGTCATCAAGACTGCACGAGACCTCTGGAACCGTTTCCACATGGCATTCGTCTCCAACACATTGGTAGCATTGCAGAGCACTCGCTGAAAAAAAATATGTGGATGGCTGGTGAGTCAGCGGGATGGGGAGAATTGGCCCGAAGGCCGAGCGAGATAAAATTCGTCGGTGGAGAGCAGGCAATAACTCTGATTGATAAATCAAATACGAGATAACATCGGCGGGGTTGCAACACCAGGAAATCTGACATCGAAATCTTTTTAGGTTAACGTACTTGAATTCTCCTTTTTTGGATAACCTTTCAACCTGGAGTCTGCTTACTTTCTTATTTTATATAGATCTGAGCTCTTTATAGAAATTTTAAAAGCAATTAAAGATTGCACATACGAATGATATATGGCTTTGATAATATTATCTTGGAATGCTCTACGTCCTGATTGTAAGAATGGGAAATCCCCATATACATTTAATTCAGAAAGTTACTTTGAACTTAAACTGGAAAAATAAGGAGTAGTTTAATGGAAATTATTAATGTTTTTTTATGGGAAATATTGGCACAGTGCAACTTAAATATGTAAGCTTTAAGGTTTTCATTTATAAATAGAGGTTTTTAGTATCCTAAAATTGTGCATTATCCTTTTGTATATGTTCAAAATGATTTTCAAGTATTTTTTTGTTTGCACTTTGTCAATGCAGAACATTGAGTTTGAAAACTGTTGGCGGCAACAAAACTAATTTTAATAATGGAACTAGCCATGGCTCTATTCCTGACTGGAATTCGCTGTCGACACAGCTGATAAGAAACCAAAGTTATTTTTCTTTCACCAAACTAAAAAAGTTAATACATTTCAGGTAAATTCAATTTGAACAGCTGACGCGCGATTAATCAATCAGTAAATTTAAACTCTGCATTATTCAATCAGGTATTCTGACTGCTGCACTTTCAGATAATGAAACAAATTTTTCCAACCTGGCCAAATGTTTGATGAGAGGGAAAATGCCATCAGCAAAAAGGTAACTGTGATCACACGCATTTTTTATTTTTTTTTTTTTTTCGAGCGAAAGGGTTTTAACCGAAAAGGAATTTCGCGAGGATATTAGCGTGTGAAAGACAAGAAACGCACCGCACGACGGTTGGAAGGTAACTACCAATTAAATATAAAGTTAACATGGCTTTTTTATCATTTTCAGTCACTGATAAGCGACGGCAGAGCAGGAAAGCAGCGAAAAGCAGAGCAATACAACGGTACCGTTTGGGCCAGCAGTTCGTCTTCCTGCCAATATGCATGATCCATAAAAGTTTATAGCCACGATTGTTGCCGATAAGGAATGGGAAGAATGGGATACACTTCCTCAGGATACCCGAAAATATCGGCTATTTGCTTTTATAGACCCGATTATATGGTCAATAGCAATGTGGATCTACCCGATTCCGAGAAATGCCTGCTATTGATATGGTATCAGTTGAGTTTTTGATCACCTTTGGCACAGGTCTTAAATCCCTACATGTTTGGCAATAGCCAATGGGAGAATCCCATGATACACTCCTTAAAAGAGCCATTGTTCGAATTACTATAAATTTTTAATTATCCAGAACACTTGGAAACATCTGGGCGGGGAACCTACGCTCTTGGATCTTCATAAAGTCATTGCTTGCTTTGCAATTTATGCCCGGCTGCAGAAATCTAATCAGCGGATCCATTTCTAATCAGTGCGATCCATCTAAGACTTTTCCTGTCTTAATTATGACTTTGCCTCACTAAAAAGCCTAAACGTTCACAGAAATATGTATATGTACTTGGCAAATATATACACTTAAAATATTCAAGCCTGCAATTTAATTTAATTTTTTATTTGCGTTAGAATTTTTTACAATCATTAAAGATTTATCAAACTATGACGTCAAAAACTTCTATTAAGGAGTTATAAATTTTAAAGTTTTATTATACACAATTATTTCTGGATCGACATTCTTAATTTTTATTAGTGTATAATTAATAAACTTTTTGCACTTTGCGTGGTCTGTTTAGGTAACCAACCAAATTCCGATAAATAATCTGGCAATATCAGTGCAGCCAAATACCATTTAATACAAATATTTAGCATGATTCATACTGTTTTAGTTTCGTTAAATAATAGGTTCCATGTACATATATCTACCATGATTCATATTATTTTGGACAGGTGCCTAATAGATGAGCACTAATATCATTGTACCTTGGTGTACTTTGGAACTTTAGAAACCTGTGACCTGCGCAATAATAACACAAGTGATTTATTAAGGCGCCCATAAAAACTACCCTTGTAGTAAAAATAATTACATATGATAATCTTTAAGAACAACCTTGCATTATCGAGGTGAGCTGTAATTCACAATCTAGTGAATAGTTATAGTATATCTGTTGGTTAGGACTTCAGGTTTATCAATGAGTTAAACAAGCAGGTCAGTTTTTTGCTTGATACAACTTCTTGAATACCAAGATAAGCTGATAAGGTGGTATTATCGAATTTGTAGTTTCAAAGATTCCTTATGTTAAATATTAGTAACTTTTAATAGTAAGCTTATCACTTTATGGTAGTATTTATTTGGCGCTATAAAATCGAACTAACAATCAACGCGTGGCCACATAATTATTTCCTTTGGTGTTTTCAAAAGTCCCTAATTCAAAAAGTAAAATCTTATCTAATCAATAGGAAATTGTTGTTAGTGTGTGTTTGATTTTCTTTTTTTTAATTTGCTTTGGGTTGGTCTTGAGCAAATTTGTTTAGCATAAATGGCCTAAAAGTATACCTCCGCCTGGTTTTGAACGTGGAATGTTTGTTAAACAAACGAAATCGTACCACTAGGCGTATACGTGACATTGGGATTGGTAGTGCAAAGTGATTTACCCGTCTATATTTGTTTTTTGCATTTCTGGTTCAGTATTCTGGAATCTGATAAGATTATTGTCATTAAGACAATTTCTTTTAACTTTTCCTCAAGATATCCATTGTGTGTATTGTTTCGAAGATTAGATTTATTGGTTTGTTCATTAATAGATTTTATAGTTTCCTCTTTTGCAGCTCAATGATATCGCGGTTTATTACTCAAGCTGTTACTAAGTAATTAAAATAGATAAAAAGCCAGGTGGTTACAGGATATTTTCGATTTAGTAATAAACGTTTTGGCTTCTTGGTTTAAAAATTACATATTATTTATTAAGTCGCCTGAAGCTTTACATTTGGTTAGATTAAGTTTGTATACAAATACAGTTGTATATATTTCGATATTCGGGTTTTTGTGCGTATGCGTTTGTGTATATCTTAAAAATTACATAAATTTTCGAATCACTTAACAATGAGCGCGGACTGATGAGTGTGTGTTCGCCTTAAAGAAACGAGGAATACTAGATTTAAGCACCGGGTGATGGACGATATTCTGGCCCTTAGTTGCGCTGCAGGGCGAATGCCACAAAGGCCAAAAGCAGCGTGGCCAGAAGGGATGTCTGGACCGCCGAACTTCCGTTGCAGGCGTTCATACTGCAGGGATTGCAGTTGGCCAACTCTGTGTTGTTGTTCTGCATCTTCAGCAGCTCGCAAACTCCCTCAAAGGTGCTCACTCGGGAACAGCCGCGATCCGTGGACATTGAGCCGTTCACTAGGAGGAAGAACAGGAAAGTTCGTTAGTTATGTTTGATATTTGCTTAAAAATAACAGAAGTTTGTCCTAAAATATTTCTGCTTTTATAAAAAATGTAGTTCTTTTTTCACATTAACAGCTTTTTTAGGTAATGTTTTACAATATTTTTTAAAAACAATAAATTGCATTTTTAATCGGAGCGGCACAAGATTAAGATAAGATTTTTTATAATTTAATTTAAGGAGTAGTATAATTATTTTTTTATAACATATTATAAGTATTTTCAATGTGTTAGTTAAGTATTTTGGTATATGGTAATCATAATTTAGGACATTTAAAGTGTAAATATAAAAAATTTAGACAGACTAACCTGTGACTTGGACGGAATAGCAGTGATAGGTGTACTCGGTGTCGATCACCGACCGCCTCTGCCTGATGGCCAGCGAGGGGGTGGTGGTCTCCGGCTCCACAGCAACCAGACGAGTGGTGTTCAAGGTCACCGAAAGGGCAGCCAGATCCTCAGCGGGCGGCGTTGGCACTCCGGTGGTTGTCTGCACGGGTCCAGCGGTGGGTGGAGTTGGAATAGGTGCCTCGGTGCTCACAGTGGTCTGGGTGCTCTGCGTGGTCTCGGTGGTCAGTTCAGTCGTAGTGGTTTCCACTGTGGTGGTCGAGGACTCCGTGGTCGGTGGATCCGTCTCAGTACTCGTGATCGCAGTGGTTGTTTCCACTGGAGCCGCTGTGGTTTCCTGCTCGGTGGTGGTGGCCGCTTCGGTGGTTGAGGTGGTGGTCACCGTGGATGCCTCGGTGCTTCCGCCAGGATTGAAGAAGTCCTCATTGCAAGCCAACAGGGGTGCATCCTTCGGCAGCTGCGCACAATCATCGCACACATAGCACATGAGATCGGCGCGAATTACTAGAAGTTAATATATCAATCAAGGAAATAATTAGTTAACTACAATATTTATAATTTTCTTGTCTTTATAAATAACCTGAAAACCATATAAATCGACCTGAATATGAAGTACCAAAGGCTTGTTCATGATTTGATATGGGCAATACTTTTTATTGTCTTATTTTTATAATGCCTAAATATAAATTTAAGTGAATTCAATAGATAGGTGTTTTTTGAGTTCAAGGTACTTGGATACACCTATAAATTACGTTAGGTTTATAAATAACCTTTCTGCTATACAAAAGAATCCTTGAACATTAAATGATAATAATAACCCTTTAAGGGAGAGTCTATTATATGCAATATATAATTTGAAATCATTAGATCTTACTCATTTATTGATCACAATTTGCATACCCTACTTCCGCGCACCTTTTTTCTTTGTCGCATTTCATTTCTGGTATTTTACTACCATCGACTTGCCCTTTTCATATGTACATAATTTTTTTAACTCAAAGATATTTATCAGTGAAAAGTGCTCAATTTACAGCTTTGGCAAACAGTAAAACCACGATATGACAATAGGAACAAAGAACATGTGAGCACCATAAATCAATTGAAATCCAAAGTATTTGGCGTATTATTTGCCGATTCTTTAGTATTAGTTTGTAAATGCTTTCGCGTAGCCTTTGATCTAGCGCAAGTAGCCAGTTTTTATCTGATTTTATTTGGGCGCACTCCACCAGTAAATTGATTCCATTTGCATGTTATCGTCACTAGTCAATATTTGCCAGCTGCAAACAGGTAAATAGAAGAACGTATCGGCATACATGGGTACACCGGCATAATTACGTTAATTGTCTTATCAGTGGATGCGGATACCCTCAACGAACACAATTATCGACGGAGTTCCAGGCGGTGAGTCATATCTGTGGACAGTTACGATTATCCGATCGAGTACTTAATCTCCAATTGACGGGTTTTCATATGATAGCAAAGATAACAAAACTGGTTAACTGATTCCAAATTTTTTGTAATAATTGTTATTATGTTTAACCACCTTTTTTTTATTGTGCAAAATGACTAAACGATCTTCTGGCACGTGGAGGAGGACTTAAAATGTTGCAATAATATTTAGGAGGGCTCTATATGGTCGTCACCATCCTATATAACAATCAAACGGTTCAATACATCTCTGCCTAACTTTTGTTGATTTATTTATTTTAAATTTACCATTAATCATTGTGATTGATGGGGAGTTTTGGGGCTGTGAAGGCAGGTCTTAAATTCTCCCGGGGGAATGACAGTATTGTGGGGTTTATTGGCACGTGATAAGCGCCACCTTACTTGCCATTTAGAGTTTTTGCACTTGCGACTTTCTCATTAATAACAAACATTCATTTTTTAGTGTTATTATTATTTTCACATTAAAACAAATGTGCAACTCAGAGACCTTTTGTTATTATTGCAAAAACAAAGGTGCATCTGGAAGGGTTAATATTTGCTTGGGTAATTCCATAAAACCCTCTGTGATGCAAATGCTGTTTGTATAAGGGGTAATTGAAAAATCATTTAAAACGTCGAAGTCAAAGTTCGTTCTAGACGATTTCCAGCCTTTTAATCTTTCTTTTTTCTTCTTAAATATTAAAAACAAGTTTAACTGAATTCTAATCACTTGGTGTGCTTGCAAGTGCCTTTCAATGTGTACGTAACTCTTCGCGATTCATTTAAATCTTTTCAATTGCGTCAAGAGATCGTGAAAAAATATCTGAAATTCAGGTTTTGTGCGGTTATTTTCTGAGTGGTGCTAATGGGCAGACAAGTTTTTCCATTTCGGGCTGTTGCTGCAAAATGTGTTAAGTGTAACTATAACATTTCCAATTAGCAGTCGCCAGCTCGCTTCAATGTCAACCAATATTTGCTCATTATTCTCAATTTCTCCGGCTGACTTTTCCTTTTCATCTAAGGCATAAATTAGAGAGGGCCTAATGATAATCGGAGTTCTATATATATATAAAATCGAAGGGTGGGAGCTGTCTGGTTGGATGACATTTCCGCATCACATAGCGATAAAAAAACCCCGCAAATTGGCAACAATCTTTGCATTATTTATGACAGTTAAATAATAACAAATAAATTGACCATATTAAATGTCGCCGTTGTCACCGCTGCTTGATATGCAAAATGTTATGGCGAAATGTTCACGATCTTGAATTCTGAATTAATTTGACTGGCTTTTTTTCGGCAACTGCATATAACAACAGCACTTGAGAGTCGAATGTTTATTTTTAGCGGCAGCCAAAAATATAAAAATCCTCAAGATATGTTTATCGGATCGTATGATTCCATCGGTTGCTATCTGATACACCTATGATTTAGACCTTTTTGGTCGAAATAAGACACATCAAAGTTATCACGACACTTTTCACGATATTCTAATAGCCTCAAATACCCAAATGCTTTTTACCTGGCAGGGCGATTAGCAACAGCGAACAGCTGGCCAAAACGATGTGACTTCTGCTGAACATGGTTTTTTTGTCTTTTTGTGTTTATTTCGAAATATATGCTTTAAATATATATATTTTTTAAATAATTGTCGAGCGTATATTATTTATACTAAACGAGTGAGCTATTCGTTTTGTTTGTTTTTTTTCGCGATCTTGGTATTTATTGGGGCGACCGCTGTTTGCGAATTCTAAAATTTAACTGAAAATCTTGTGATTTGTTTGAGACTTTTTATAGAGTGTTATAAAGCGGACTGCGCTGCGACTGCGACGTCAGCGGCTTCGATGCGTAAGAGAGTAAGTGGCAGAGAGGGACGGCACGAGCCAAAAAAGAGAGAGAGGAGTAACCGTAAAACAAGTTTAACTTTTCCTTAGGTGATAACAAATTAATTTATAATGCAGACTAAACGGGTACAAGTTCAATTGATCGAAGAGAGCGAACACTCTTAATTTCATTGGGGGTTGTTCTCTTTGTATGTTAATTCGAGAAAATGGGTTCTTCCGGATTGGGGATCTTTGGTAGCTTGGCTTTTTCCCCAAGCCAATGATTCAGTTCTGGGGATTCATTTCACTTTTTGCTCGACTTTTCTCACCCTTAATGTTCTATATATTCCCCCCAGAATTTCTTTGTTGCCTGTTAATTAAGCAGCTGATTGTTAGTCAGCGACTGAAATCCAGAAATTACCCAACCCAATCCGAAAACGGGTATTAACTTTATAGCCTTACCTGCTCGGCTGCCATTTACATAATATTCGTCACTTTTATATCGCCGCGGATGTCCCATGATTATTATCCAATATCAGAGCACGAAGAGCAAATAAATGCGGATTAGACAGAGCCAAACAATTAACAGAGATTTCGTTGTGGCCGTATTGGCTCACCCCATTTGCACCTGCCCCTTTTGTGCGGGCTTAGAACTCTGGATTCGCTGGATTCGCAATAGCCTAACGAAATTTTCCAGTCGAGTGAGCCTCAAGGTCGTTTTTACCCGAACGCTAATGTTATTCGAAAGCTGACCTAGAAAGCCGGCTGAAGACTCGGGGCAAGGTCAACTGATATGATAAGCCGCACTTTTGTAGAGTGCAAGTGGTTTTTGTTTTGTTTATTTACAAAAAATAAAAATCTGCTCTTATTTAAACAATATTAACCCAAAACAAATTTAAAGTCTTCAAAACATGTGTTTGTTTGATAAGTTCTACATCGCAGTTAAACCAGTTTAAACTTGAACGTAATAAAAACAAGAAAGGAAGCTAGCTTCGGCAAGCCGAAGCTTATATACCCTTGCAGTCATCAAATATGTCGAACAAAATGCATAAAGGATAAACAACATCGAAGCTAAGACGATTTTTCTATTCATTTTCCATATTTTTGACTATAGATCATATGGGAGCTATATGATATAGTTGTCCGATTTTGATCAAATTTAGTTCGTAATTCAAGAGTCGTAAGAAAACTCTATACTCCAAAAATCATACTTGTCTGATGAAAAACAACGATGTTATCATTTTATTTATAAACAAATCTATATAGTTTTTTCGATCTTTCCTATGGCAGCTATAAGATATAGTCGTCCGATTTTTATGAAACTTTTTTCTCAATATAAGGGTTGTTAAAAAACTTGATGTTCAAAAAATCAAGCTCGTGGGATAGAAAACAACGATGCTATCAATTTATTTCCATTAATTCTATATATATTTTTCGATCTCTCCTATGGCAGCTATATGATAGAGTTATCCGATTTTGTTCAAATTTAATCCGAAATTCAATAACAGTTAGAAAACGCCATCTTGAAGAATTCAAGTCGATCTGATCAAAAACAACAGAGTGAGAATTTTTTATTTCATTCTCTTGTATTGGAGCTATCCGATATAGTCGGCCGATCCGGCCCGTTCCGACTTATATACTGCGTGCAAACACTACACAACTTTTGGGAAAGTTTCAGCACGATAGCTTTAAAACTGAGAGACTAGTTTGCGCGGAAACGGACAGACGGACAGACGGACAGACGGACAGACGGACAGACGGACAGACGGACAGACGTACAGACGGATTTCGATTCTGCTCGTGATGCTGATCAAGAATATATATACTTTATGGGGTCTGAGGTGTCTCCTTCACTGCGTTGCAAACTTCTGACTGAAATTATAATACCCTTTTGCTCTGCAAGGGTATAAAAATGTATTTGCCAAAAATTTTAACTTAGTAAACACTTAATACAATTTAAGTAATAAAGAAAATTTTGCGTTATTTATCTCTCAAAAAGCACTAATATAGAATATACACAGATAGCATAAAATTGTCAAATAGTAAAATATAGTATGGTGAGTGTGAAGATCATTCATTATTTGTATTACCAAACCAACCCCAATAACCAGAACATAATTTAGTGAAATTGGCTATCTATTTTTTTATATTATAATATATGGCCCTGAAACTCTACTAGTGCATTTTGAAGATCGTGCGGGTCTCCCATAAGCGTATAATTCATCACCTAAATCGGTGGATCGTGCCAAATGTCGAGTAAGTCTGGTTAGTGCCAATTGGATTAACTGACGCATCGTCTGAAAAGCGCAGACGGGAGATAAAAAACTGTAACTTCCCCAGAGACAAAAAGACCGGGGAAAAAGTTGCATATTGATATGTTTATTATAAATATATATATACATATATTCAAAGTGTCGACGACATCACGTAAAGTGCTAAGTGCCGATGACGATTCTCTTTCTCTGGGGTTTTCACTTATTCTCATTGAGATTCTCTTCGTATTCTCTTTTAACGTCAACGGAAAGCCGCGTTTTGAAAGGCTTTTTGGGAATGCTCGTCATAACAAGCTTCTTTACAGCCCCGGAAACCGACGAAAATAAAACGGGGAAGCGTTTAAAAAATCCCCAAAGCGAGCCCACAAATGCGAGGAGTTGAAAAGTACGCACTTACGAGCATTCTGTATCAGCCTTTCAAATTTGGCAGTTGCGTTTACAGTTTAGAGCAAGTTTCCTTAAAGTGATACCTTGTTTTCGGTCGCGTTTCCTCATCGCTTTATTAAGAAGCCTCCTCAATTCCGGACCCCTGAAATAAATACCATAAATCTCGGCTAAGTTATAAGCAGCAATTGCCACTCGGCTTGCCAGTGCTTATCGGCCTAAACGCTTTGGCCATTTGATCAGTATAGCAGTATAGCAATATAGCATTTTATCAGTTTACAGGTCGCATGAAGTCATGAAATCGTATTTGAATCCGAGTACTCCTCGTCACCACTTATCGCCGCCGACTAATTGATTTTGCTTCGATACGGTTGCATGTGAATGAACGGACCCAATGAGCGAGCACTTTCCCCAGAGCGGCGTGAATAAAAAAAGGGACAATCCTTATCGATGCCAATTAAACAATTATGCGAAAATAGCTCAGGTGCGCTCATTGCCTCCGAACTTTGGCGGTGGTAAGCGAGCCATAAATAGATACATCAGGCGGCCCATAAATTGGCAAACCCTCCCAAAAAGTAATGAACTCAGACACCAAAGTGGAAATCGAACTCCATGGGCCATATATATATATATTGTATTTCTATATTAAATCGATTGCCCACAGTTAAGGTTGTGACATCAGTTGGTGGGCAATAAATGCCATTAGCGTGAGCACCACGATTGTCCCCGATTGTCCGATATTTCGACTGGATGATCCGTAAATGGGTTTGTTGCATCCGTCGTTCTGGCACAGGGAACATCCTGCCACGGACCAGTTCTCGAGAAGTCCATCACAGGCACCTGTTTGATTGCCCATCCTGGCGGTGGTGCATCCCCGCTTGGTGATCACCGTGTCGTTAACTGCGGAAAAGGCGTGATTAGTAAACAAAAAAATTTAAAGCGTTGTAATTATATAGCTCTGTTTTTGTTTTTACAGCCAGAAATCTGTTCTAACTTCGATTTGAATGACAATGCATTACAGACAATATTACGCAGCACTTAAAAGGTAGGTATACTTTAATTTGTTTATGTACTAATTTTGTGGTTTAAGTTTGAATACTTTAAGGGTTGTTTTCCATAAAAAAAACAAGAACATTTAAAGAACTCTATGTACATCATATTGTAAATTCTTCCTTTTCAAAATTTGCCACCAAAATTAAGTTAGTTTAAACAAAACTTACTTAAAACAAATATTTTTATAATACCTAGTTTTTATTCATTATATTAATTTTTTCCATTTCAGGTTTAATGTGTGAATTACTATAATTATAATAAAATATTAAATTTCTTCGATAGATAAAATACGAAACAAATAATAATTTTAATTAATGTTAATAGATATTTAAAAAAATTTTAAATATTATATTTTAACTAGCTTTAATGGCTTTTAATTTATTCTCCCTAGAACAGCTGGCAATTCCTCGCAGTGCAATCCATTCTGCACTTTGTGCTATCAATTCATGCATGACTCAAACAAAGATAACTTATCGCTGTGGGTGGAAAGCATCGCACCCGTCGGCTTTTTATGATTTTGTTTTATGTGCAGACGTGGAAATCTGTGGACGATGGCAGATGGCAGATGCTTACGTTTCAGCCTCACTGTGTAGCAGGAGGCGATGGGCACATCGAGGTCGACCTGTCGGGCATTCGATCTCCGCCTGCGCCGCTCCTCCTCCTCCTCCTCGTCCTCTTCCTCCTCCTCTTCGCTGACAACCTCCCCGGTCGCACCACCAGCTGCTCCACCACTTCCGTTTCCGTTTCCGGTTGCAGCGGCTGCTGGCTCCTCGCTTTCGTAGTCCTCCTCCTCTTCGCTGACGTCAGAGGAAGCGGGCGAGGAGGGGGCGGGGGCAGCGGAGGAAGGCGATGCCGCTGGAGCAGGAGCGGCAGGATCAGGACTCGGACTCGGACTGGAACTGGAAGTGGCAGGTGTGCCCGGTCCATTGACACTCATAGTTGGGCCATCGCACACTTCCATTTCACTCAGTTGGGTGTTCTCATCGCAGTCCTCACATTGGTAGCAACGCAAAGCTGTGAAAACATTTAAATGTAATAAGTGTTTCAATAATTGTATGCTTGTTAAATGATGTTCATGTTACCCACAAAAAAATAAACTTAATCCACGTACCCTTGTGAAATATTAAAGAGATAGCAAAAATGTAAAATAAGATTACATTATTAAATGTTTGTAATTTTATAACCGTTTAAATCTTGGAAAAGTAACATTTTAAAGAATATAAAGCTTAGCTTTTTATTTGAGACATAAACACATTTTGTAATATTTATTTCAATGGTTAATTCAGTTACAAAAAAAATGTTTATTCCCCATTTTCCACTGACAAGTTAAAATTATTACTATTATTATTATTTATGTTTTGCATGGTTTTAATTCAATCATAAAATTAGTAAAACTAAAACTTATTTTCGTTGCGAGTATTCTATATGCAAATTGAAGTTTCCAGAAGGGAAAAGCGCGCCCATGACCTTGGGTCAGTCCGCTCCCAGGTGTAAAAGTGTGCGTGAGGGTGGACCTTATCAGCTCAACCTTATCAGTCGGATTACTCAGGCAACAAGCGCACCCTCCTGCGGAGTTCAACGTTGCGTATGCGCAACTTTCGCAACTCGGTTCGGGGTCAATCAATTAGCATGTGGAAGGCTTACAACGCCCTATGATTTATGACATACCTGAAACACCTGGGCCACAGCCGACGAAAGTCAACGAAAGCAGCAGCAGAAACCACAACGAACGCATTCCGGGCACGAATGCAAATGGGTTGGAAAACTAGAAGAGGGTCGAAAAACTTTCAATTTGCAAAACGTCAAGGTGTCAGAGTGAGCAAGTTTCCTCGATTGGAAAGCCCTTAGTCTTTAATGTGTATTAGTCGAAATTCTTGTAGGCGACTCCTTATTTGGGTTATTTTCCAATTTTCTCCCGCTCTGCTTTTTTTGTCAGCAGTTGCTACCGAAAATTCAAATTGAACTGCCGCACAGAACTTTATGGAGGCTGTTGTTTCCTCTATCAAAACAGAACTTCTTCGTTTTGCAGAGAAAAACATGTAGTTTGACGGGGGAAAAAAAATACAACCGACAAACGATAGCATCGGGGCAGGCTTTCAAATTAAATGCGCCAAAAAGAGACGGACTGAGGGAGCGACAGAGGTAGAGATATTGATAAGCGGGCCGGGGGCGAAGAACTGAAGCATCTTACATGAGTAATGGGAAAATTATCTTTGATTGCCGAAATCAAGTCGAAAAAGGAGAAAAACATATCAAAAGGAAACGTGAGTCGAATTTAATAACCGAAGAGCACAATACCTTTGAAAATATAAATTGTATAGTTAGTTAGTTAGTTAGAATAAAATGAAAAGAAGGAGTATGAAGTTTTAAGATATAAAATTACTCAAACGCGAAGGTAACTATTTTTCTCATATGTTAAACTGATTATGTTTAGGTTGTTTTTTCGATCTATTTAGTTCACAAATTTAAAATTTTTCCACACGTACACCAATCATAAAAAAAGGTTTCTCCCGAAAATTACAAAACACAGATAAAATCATACATACCCTTTTTACGGTAAAAAAAACTGTCATACAGCTTCTGCCTTTTTTATCTGAAAGCAATAAATTAGTACGCAGAACTCTGTTATACTGTCATACAGCATTTATTCGTGTGCTTTGAAGGTTCAATTTTTGTTTTCATTTCAAAACTCGCTTATGAGCTAAGCAGAACTTATTGCTTGAATCGGCGCAAACAAAATATATGGTACTATAGTGTGTGGCTTTCGAGCGATTTTAAGCTCACGTAATATTTATTGCATTGCTTTCCGTTAACATTTCTTCTAATTGCACATTCATTAAATATTTATTGCATTTGTTTTATTTATTTCTTAAATTCGCGTTTGCATTAAGTTGATTGTTATTGCTTGCGGCTTTTTAATTTCGTACAACATGTTTAATTTCTAAATTCCGGCACGAATTGTAAGCACTTTTGAATTAACCTAAGAATATACACATCATACGCCGATATTGATTCGCATCAGTATTGCTTGCTATAAAACATGAAAATCAAAGGCAATTGGTGAATTACTTTACTCATCGCTCCTATTAATCGTACATAACAATTCGAATGGTAACATAATAAAGCTATTAAGAGCTAATGACACATAACGCCAAACATTGATGCATATAGGATGCAGCACCTTGCAAGCATGGATACCTATGTATATCCCGACTTATATTTTTTTCTGGTATTTATTTTGGAAATTGAAATGTCCATATTTGCTTTGAATCAAAGCGACTTTGTGTGTGTGTATTGTATTGGTGTGTTCGGGGTCGGTGTGTGCGAGTGTGTGTGTGTGCTTACGTTTCTAGGGTTAAGGAGAGAGGTTAAGGGGGTCACCGGGGGGTTAAGGGTGTTTCAGGGGGTTACAGGGGGGTTAACTGAATGCCTTTAACGCATTTGTACGAATCAGCGACACTGCACTCAAATATTTACAAAGTAAACGGCCAGGGTAACGCTAACGGTAACTCAACCTAAATGCAACCAACGCAGCCATCATCACGCCACCACTCAATCCATATACCATCGGTATATATGGTATATATATCCCTTATGTGTTAGCCACTTTAGCATCCCAATGGGATCATGATCAGGGCCAAAATCGAGGCTAGAGAGAGCGTTATGGCCGCCGCTCCATTGCAGCGATCCGTTTTGCAAATGTCGCAGAAGAAGGCTTCCTCCGCCGAGGGCTCCTCTTCGCCCGCATCCTGGCCAAGCACCTGGTTCTTCCGCCGCTTGTTCTGCTCGCGAACGCGCTGTTCCCGCTCCTCATCGCTGGGCAGTCGCAGCTTGTTCCTCAGGATCTCGCAGGCATCCGAGTCCCCGGTGTCCAGCTGACAGAACCGGGCAGTCACCACTTTCCTGGTATCAGCTGCGATATTAATAAAATAAAAGATAAAGTAGTAATAGACACTCAAAATATAAAAATATTTGTATTGCTCTAAAGAACTATTTTTAAAATAATTATTCGAAATCAAATGGCTATAGGTATTTAAGTATTTGATTTAATTTTAAGATCTTGTTTTAAAAAATAAAGATTTTAAATTATATTTTCAATAAAATGTTCTTAGAATGCAATACAGAAAATAAAAAAGTAAGATAAATAAAAATTATCTAGTTCCTGTAATTTATTAATCTATTAAAGTATTAACTGAATAAAACCAAGCCTACGAGTGCAATTTTAAACAATTCCTGGAAATCACTAATCTAGCTTATATATGTCACACTGAGGAAACTGCCTATCTTAGAACAAATAAGCATTGTTTGCAAATGGATATTAAAAGATAACTATTTCCTATGATAGGTATAAGAATGAATCACAGAAAAGTCATATAAAACTTATTTTTATTGGTTAGGTTAGGTGCAGTTGGGTGCAATTCTAATGCAACTTGCAGTGAGGCATTTATTGATCTAAAATAAAACCTATGGTTACCTAACTATTTAAAGGAATCAAATTATAAGTGAATCATATTTAAATTTTATTTTTGTCGTAAAAATGCGTGTTAATACTCACGGTCTTTGGCCACAACCTTTTGGCAATTCATCAACGGACTTTTGTTGGCCCCGTTATCAAAATATGAGAACTTGTTCAAGTCGAAAAGCCAAGTGTCCAGCGATTTCATTTTGTCCAATGTGCACTCCTAACAAATCACAAAAAGAATTATAAGTTTGTGTTTTGTTCACATATTTCTTCAAATAAATTCACACAATGAATGGGCATTGATCCACAATCTAGTCACAGGTGTAATTGAAGTATTAATTGCTGTTGCAGTTTATGCGTAACCATTTATCTTATCACCAGAAACATTTCACGATATCAGTATCGATGCGTTTTCCTCACGGCCTTGGTTATCAGACGCAAAGCACTTGAACTCCATTTATTTAACCCAGATAAGTTAAGAAGTAATACGATTTCTCGGAAAGGCGTAAAACCTTTATTGAATGTATAAAAGTCATTCATCTAAAATGGGGAATACCCATTTCAAGTGTTTGAAAGATATCAGGCAATTAGAAGTGCTTATGAAATCGCAGAAAAAAGGTGATTAACCTGTATGACAAAACATTCTTTTAAAGATATAAAGATACTTCCAGTTTGTGATAATATATTTACAAGACAAATTTTTCTGCTTTAACTTGTATACTTAAAAACCCAAACAACTTGCGAATACTTGCACTTGATTAATCAGAAAGTATAACCATAAATTAGTATGACGTTTTTAAATTTCTATTTGCGCATATGTCAATAGATAAGATTCAATTTCATAATAGTCACTTGACCATTTTTGTTGTCAATTTGCCGAATTCAAATCTTAAATTTGACAAACTACATAAATTAATGAGATTAATTTGGCACAGCTAATTTGATTTTGAATTATTTATTTTGACATGAACATAGAGTTTCGCTTGCAATATAAGATAAGAATCTAATGATTAGTAACGCGGAGAATAATTAGAACTCTTTATGCTCTTTTTAGTCGAACTATTGGGAATTCAAATCTTTGGCTTGACAAGTGAACTAATTATGATTTCATAAGATTTGGCTATCGCATTTAATAATGATAAGACAGTCTGGCAGGGTTTTGAGCAACTTACTCATCTATTTTGAGGTTGTGAGGATTCTTTTTATTAAAAAGGGTAAATTGTATTATGGTGTTAAATCCTTCCTTTATATTAGACTTTACTATTCGTATAAATCTAAAACTTCAAAGAGCTGCAAAAAACCTTTTACCACTGCTGAGTGTGTTCTCACCTTAAATCAAATTAATTTAGCTAACGGGAAACTGGATTTCTACAAGAACCTGTCAGGTTAAAATTTACGTTGTTGGACTTTTGTGAAAGTATTTCAACTGTTTGGCATGTGGCCGGGTTAAGTTGCCCTCCTTCCTTCCGCAGTCCCCTTTCAACAAAAAAAAAGGCAAAAGATGCCAGTGGCTGAAAATTCAGTTGGTATTGGGGGAAAGTGGAAATCGGGGCCTCCACAAGAGGACGACGACGTAGCACATTTCCGTTTCCGCTTTTGGTGGGCTCTATTTCGAACACTCTTTCTTCCACTTTAGATTCCTTTTTTTTTGGGTGAGAAATTTATGTGCCATGCAGTTTTAATTTGTGGCCGTCTGGGCCTTTGATTAAGGTCAACCCGATACCGATTAGGCCGGTTGAAAAGGTTGAGACAACTTGACCTGGCTGCCTAGTGCCTCCAACCAACAGGTCGTGGGCGAGTCATCAATCAATCCGTTGATGAATGACGCCTTCTTGGCAATCTGCTTTCCACTCACCTCCGGCACTATGCTGGAATTGGAGCCCAGATCGGCGCAGCTGGGATTATCGCTCGAATCGCACACATAGCACTTGATGGCAGCGCCTGTAGGATATGCAATATAAATTTTTATTTCGAAATTTATAAGCTCAGAAACCGCAGATACACAGCTACACACACTAAAACACACACACTCTCACACACAATCACACACACCATTTGAAATGAGGGCCAACAGGGCGAGAAGCAATAAAATTCCCGACATCATTCGCACAGTTATTTCCCTTCTTTGATTTATATTCCTTTCGGTTGGAGAGATTTTTTCAAATATTTTCAGGCACTCGCGGTTAGAGTTCTTCTCGGATTTTCCGCTGCAAGATGGTCGAGAGGTTCCGCCACTGCCGTTGGCCAAAGGCAAACTGAAATTGGAAGCCAGCTAGGCGATGGCAATTGCCTGCGAAAAGGACGTCATCGTTTTTTTGGGCCCGAACAGAAAACGAGCCAACGAAGCTGCCTCGTCCTTCGTCCTTTCTCCATTCGTCCTGCGTCCTGCGGATCCTTTGCTGCGTGGGTGCGTCGCTCGAGTGGCTCCCGATTCCGACAGTAATAACGTCTTGGCCGCCCCACATGGCAGCCAAAGGGAAAAATTATTTAAATTGCAAAATGCACCAGCCAAAAAAGATGGCAAGTGCTCGTCAAAGGAGTCGCAGCACCGCGACCCCAAAAAATGCAATTTCCCTGCGGCCAAACACTTTTGGCGACTCTGCCGTGGCTCAACACCAAATCCAATAAGATATCGTGGGGTAAAATGACAAAATTTGAATAATTCGGTTTGCAACAGAAATAACGAAATAAAATAGAGTGAAAGCTAAACTACACGGAAACTAGTTTAATAGGAATTTTTGTCTTAAAATATTATTCTGAGCTTAAAATATAAATTAAGAAAATACACTAAATTATATATTTTTAAAAACTATAAAAATTGCTAGTTATTAAATATTAAACATATAAGTCATAACTTTAACCATTGTTTTAAAGCTTCTTAAGTTAGAAAATTACATAAAACTTATGTTAAATAAATGCAATAAGCAGTCTAAATAGTTTTGACCATTTTTATTTTTATTTTGGACAGAAGTTATTTTGACCAAAGAATAAACTTCGAGAACTTTCAAGAAATGAAACAATTAAAAAACTATTTTTCCTCTATAGAATTTAGTAGGCAAGTTTGCCAACAAAGCCAGCCAGCTTGTTTAATTTTCTTCTGCGTATTTGAATCTATTAAACTTTTTTGGCTCATTCCCAGCTTACAAAAATTGTTTTGCCACAAAACTCCATCCCGTTTGACCCGTCAGCTAAACCAGATAAGCTCGGCATTGAAGCTCAAATGAAATTATGTATTCATAAAATAAGCGCAAAATGAAGAGACACGCAGCTCCTGCGAGAGTCTGTTAAAATATGAGTGCCTGGGGAGCCTGGGGTGAAAACCGGGGGAAAAAACCGGGGGACAGAAAGGATATGGAGGTGGAGGTGGCCAAAGGACTGGATGGTGGCAACAAAGCAGAGCAATTAGTGGCGCCCAAGAGCGAAAAACTCATCCGCATTTCTGTATTGTGGCTTTTTCCTTTTCCCCCTTTTTTTTTTTTTTTTTGTTTTTTGTGTCCTGACCTCGTCGCACGGCCACCGACACGAGATCCTGGGCGTGGGCGCTCATTTATCGCCATCCAGCGGTTGTCCTCACATTCAGGAAATCCCCATGCCCACTCCCCCAATCCCCACTCCCCATCCAAATCCCCGCCAGAACTGCCTGACCGAATCCTATCGTATCTCCCGCGGGGCAGAGCAGCTGGCAAGCGTTTCCATTTATCATAAACAATGCGGGGCGTGATTGGTGTAGGTCGCGGCCCTGGCCCCAAAAATCCGCCAAAGAGGTTGGCTAATGTGGCCGCTTGTTTCTGTTGGATAATGGAGAAGAAGGCGGCTTGTGGGTGGAGCCAGGTGTTAAGTGCAAAAGCCCCAGGCACTTACTTAGCGGTAGTTTAAAGCGTTGTTTGCCTAATCTCCTAACAAGAAAGAGTGGAAAGAAACTAATAGCTTTTCCAATTTAATAAGATTTCTGTGGGATTTTAAACCACATAAAAAGGTTTTTAAAAGTATGCTTTAAATATGGTAAGCTACATTTTGATAAAATGAATTTTAAGAACCTTTTTTATGGTAAATATTTGTATTGCTTTAAAAAATCTATGACTAAACCTATTTATTGTTATTAAATGTAAAACTAATAAGCTATTTGAGACTAATTGGGGAACTTAAAAAGCTAACTCCTATTTCAATATAATCATTTTATTTTTTAATCAACCATTTCACGCTTTCACAAATAAACTTTTAACTTTCCACCTTCGAAAGTTCCCTTAAGTTTATCAGACGCTTGGACCAACTGACCTTAAAAGTTAAAACAAAACAACTTATTGAATTCCCTTCGAGCAAACAATGCCGAATCGCAAAGCAAAACTTCCGGGAGATTTCAAAGTTTTAATTTGAACAACTTTAATGAAGCAGCGGGGTGAGGCAATGGCAATGTAATCCCTTTCAACGACTCCCTGTGGAATTGCGAATCAGCGCCAATTTCAATTACCCTTTAGCGCCGGCCATTTCCACCATTTCCACCATTTCCACAATTTCCACTGTTTTTCCTGGCGTCGGGCCATAAAACTGCAGCCTGTTGCCCAAAGCGAAAGCGACGCGAAATCTGAGACTTACAAATATGGCTGCCGCGTGACAAGGACACATTTTTCTGCTGTCTGGACAATGGCGATGATGACGTCGACGGGTTGATGTCATAATTCCTTGGGTGTCCAGTGCTCCTCCAGTGGTACTCCAAATCGCATGACGCGACTTCATTTGCTAATAGCGACAGGACATAATTAAAAATGTTTACGCACGTTTCCGTTTCCGGTTGGCATTTATTCTTCGTGTGATTATTATTCCCTGAAAGGTCAGCCACGAAATACGCTATGCTTTCGATTTTTACAACTTGACACATTTTCGTAGGTGCTCGACTTTGGTTTACTACCTTTTTATCTTCCCATCGAACCGTGCAAATCGTAAACCGTGTTTCTCGTTTGCTTTTTTTTTTCGGTTTTACCATGGTAATAAATTTGGTTGTGCCAAAAAAAAAAAAATCAGAGGGAGACAAGAACTCTAACAACATTTTATGGGTCAAAAGTTTTTCTGCTGTTGTGGATCTCCGCCCACAAAATGGCCTTTAATTAGTTGAAATTCTCGCTTGGCATGCTAATTGAAAAACTTTTTTCTTCTGCAACCGCAGCAGCGATGAAACATTTACGGTCGCCTCACAAAAAGTGTGTCAGACAATCCCATCCAGGGGAACTCGACTAAAACCACAGTCACAAAGGAGCTCGAGTCGGTAAACGGTAGACTCTTCTGTTGACTGTGCTTTAATTGAGTTTTATTACGTATACGCACCGTGCCGCACATATTGCCACCGGCTGGCGGTGCCAATTAACTTGCCAGTGGCAGCTGCCAAGGACACTGGAAAAGGCACTGGCAATCCCAGGCAGCTCCTCCTCGATGTCGGCAATAAACATAAAACTTTATCGTCGGCTATATCTGCAGCTTCTGGGCAAATCAATCGCAACAAATGCGCTTGCAAATGCCACAGAACCTCGAGTTGCAAGGAGTCGGTACATAAAAACTGCGTGTACAATGCCAAACTGAAACCCACACACAGTTCGAGGGGATTATTCTTTGCTTTACGAGTATGTGCTGTGCCAGCAAAGGTATTTCACGGCTACACATAATGGCTGATTGGGGATTCGACTGGCTGAAATTGGAATTCGAATAAATTTCAATCGACTTGTTAAACTACTTTTCTGCGGCAATAAATTTAGCAAAATGTTAGTGAGATAAGAAACTAATGTTACTAACTAATGAAACTAATGCTTTACTTTAAGGTTTTTTTTTTTATGATTGGTAAATTACCTTTTACAAAATAACTTTATTGTTCAACGATAAGAATTGTTGGCCACTTAAAGTAATGTTTATATAACAATTTAGTTAAGTGTATATAAATACTGTCTTATTTTTTTATATTTTCCATTAAAATCTTGCTATTAATGCAGTACCATTTCCCCGTAACGAAGTCACAATAGAAGCCAACTCTAGAATTGCCAGGCTGATCATCTCTGGAATGCTAAGCACATGAAATCAATTTGGCAGGCAAACAATGCCAAAGTACGTAATTTTTTCCAGCAATCACTTGCACTTGACTGCAATCGCCGCTCAAGCAGCCTCAGGTGGGCCGAAGGCTAAAGGAGAAGAAATCTATGAAGAAAAGCCAGGCATTTCCTGCTATTTTGGCCCCCCTTGGCCTTTATGCGATTCAGGTTCAATGAGCTGGCTGACTAGAGGAGAAGAAAAGAGAGCCGAGGATTCCGAGGAACTCGAAGAGCAATGGCAGCAATTTGTGGGTGTCTCTCGTGCCGTGCTGCACGTGCCACAGGAATGCAGGGGCATCATCTTCATCACCATCGCTATCAACAGCAATCAGCTTCTGAGAGGGCGGGACAGAGACAAAATAGCATAGCCAACTTCTGGGCAGCAAGTAAGAAAATACTTACTCCGCATTGCGTATACGCCACGTTGGCTGCGGAACGTGACTCAACGCGGATTATGAACAATAAAAATATTTATGTTCTCTTGGCGAAAGCAAAGCCAAATATAAATCATGCAACTGATTAACATGCGAAATCTGCGCCTCGCTCTAAAATGCTAACGAATTCCGAAGACAAATGTTTGCTTGTGCTCAAGGAAAACTTTGTTGAGATTTTCAGCAAGCAAAACAACGAAAGACCTTCTTAGTTGGGGTAACTAAGATAATCGGCTTACATGCGCTTCGTTTAAAATAATGCAAAGGAGGGAAAACCAATATCTTATATATCAGTATACATTTCTTTTATTCAATTCATAAGGAACCACACTTTTATTTCATTTAAATTCACACTAAAATTCCATTAAATTTAAAGGACATCATCTCTGGTTTAAACAGCCGAGAATTGTTGTGTTGATAGAAATTCCAACCACGAAATTATGGTTATAGCATTGCACAAATATTTGCGCGATGGCATGGAAAGGAAAACAAAATACCAGACAATGACAAGTTTATCCCCAAATGGGGTTTTGTTTTCGAACAACCCAACCCACACTGCGTATGCGCAATTTGGCGCGTAATGACATTTATGTGAACTTACTTTTATGATGCATATTTTGAAGTGCCTCTTGAAGTGTTGAAGTTTTCATTGAATGTTATAGCCTGGGCAAGCTCCAAGGTAATTTAATTAAGGTAACTCTGTGATTGGATATATAAGATACAATTAATTAAGGTAATACAACTTTTTAAACCTAGTATTTTCTGGGTAAGCATTTAAGGTTTTTAGTCTTAAAGAAATCGCTTGGCCAATTAAGTTTCCCAAATCAAGCAATTAGAGAAAATACGGAAACATCGCAAGCCAATAACAAATGACAGCGTTTTTGGCGATGCCGCTCAGTGAATTCGAAATCAATGTTTTTTATGTTGGCGCCAGGATGTCCACGAAAATAAAAGGAAGCCAACAACTAAGCAGACTGAGCAGACTGAGCTGACTGAGACAAGGCTGCCAATGAGTCTGAGGAAGGGGGCGTGTCCACGCCAGTGGGTGAAATGCGGCGGAAGGGGCGGAGGCGGGGCAGCAAACGTTCAACGCTGGCGGATGCTGTTGCTGTGGCAAGGAGGCGCCACTCGGTCGACGGAACGCACCCATAGACAAAAGCTGCAGAGCCATTTGAGCTGGCGACGACAGAACACAAATGCTAACGCATGTAGGTCGACCCAGAGGTTCGAGTCCTATTTGTATCTGTATCTGTGTATCTATGTATCTGGCTTCCGCATCTGTGTGTGTGCAGAAGACAAACAGCAACTGGCTGCGCATTAAAGTCGCTGGTCATGACCAAAAAAATACACCACACAAAGAGAAATCATTCTTAATGATCAAAATAATACAAATCATAAAGTTTTTATTAAAAATATATATATATTTTTTTGGTGTTTTTTTAAAAAAGCGGCTTTCATAGAAAATCTTTGCTCTTTGCGAATATTTAAAAGTCAAAACATCAAACAAGAAACACTTCAAATTAAAAATGTTAGCTTCAAAACAATTTAGGGTAACTATTTATTTTTGATACACTTATTTCATGATAATAATGTTTTTAGTTTTTATTTATTATACATTTTGTTTTTGTTTATATTCGATTATTTTTGGGAAATCGTTTCCATTTTTAAAACAATTTTGAAAGTGATACTCTGCTAATATAATACTAGTTAATATTTATTATAAATTTGGTTTTCCATTTAATATTCTTAAATTTTTTAGGGAACCTTTCCTTTGGTATAATAAATTTGAAAGTGATACTTTGTGAGTGTATGCGTGCGGCTCTGTGCTTGACTTAATGGGCCAACATGTCGTCAGGGTTCTCGTGCTCATCCTCAACAATAAAACTAACAAAGTTGCCCTATTATTTTTGGCCTGCGTAGACAGTGACTTTGACTCTGGGCCACAAAACAATTTGTGCAGACATTTTGGCAGCAACTATCAAAACGATGGACTGGGCAGGGAAGCCGGAAAATAAGCGAGACGGAGCGTGTGGGCGAGTCCTTGGTCAACTGAAGCGTTCGTCCTCCGCTTTCGGATATGAAAATATTCGATTTTATATAATTGCCGAAACATGCTGCATGTTTGCCCGCTTTGACGCATAAATTTTACACCCTCCTCGAATGTTGACCAAAGTGATTTAAATGATCAACATGACTAATTGAATTACAGCAGGTCGATGGGTTTGTTTATCGACAATTTGGTTATCATATATAATTCTTAACGAAAGCCAGAGATTAATGTATGTTATTTTGCTCAATGCTGTAGGTTATTCAATTTGTAAAACTTTAAGTGCTTAGGGCAGGCCAATGCATATAAACATTTTGGTTGGGGAAATTTAAACGATGACATTAACTTATTATGATTTTTGAAAAGCAAGAGTTTGTCTTAGATTACCATATACTTACCTTTAATAACAGTGATAATCTTATCTCAATGATATCTTTGGCAAAAAAGGTTTCTAAGTTTCAAGTAAAACCCTTTTCACATAATTTAAATATTACGCTTATATTTTCATAAACATTAAATACAAATACAAAGTAAGAGGCTTAACGCGTAACAGATGTCAGGATAGATGGGATGTGTACATAGCTAGATATGGCGAACATCGGAGAACTTAGTGCAGAACATTTAAGACCTATTTTAACCAGTTACGATAAGGTACTTCTTGGATGTGGGATACGGTTTGCAGGCATTAAAGTATATTAAACCAATTGGTAAGCTAATGCCTGAGCACACCGGCCAGTGCCAGACTGACCACGGATCCGATCAGGGAGTAGCCCACCTGGCGGACTCCCAGCAGGGAGCTGGCTCCATTGCAGCCCTCCTCGTGGCAGGTGCACACTACCTGCTTGTAGCCCTCGTTGTCGGCGGAGAAGCAGGCGTTCTGGATCTTCTCCTCGATGTGGCCGCAGCTCCTCTCGATCCGGCGCTCCTTGTTCTGATCGAACATGATCACCGTCTTGCGGCAGAAGGCCGCCGTTCCGTTGGGCGGAGAGCAGTCCTTCAGGTACTGGTTGTCCCTCTGGGCACGAGGGGTGTTCACCACCAGGCCACCGCAGTCCTCGTTGTCGTGCGAGTTGCACTGATGACACCGAATGGCACTCACTGTAATGGGAAGCGAACAAGGGAAGGACTCGTTAATTACACAGAACAACACGCGTTATCTCATATAATTATTTAAACATAGATTAAGTATATAACATATTATGTATATATTAAAAAGTATTTAAAAAAAGGATTAAAACCTTAAATATATATTATTCAATATATATATAATTTGCCACTGCATATTTTGTCAAAAGTAAAGTAAAAGGAAATTTAAGAAAAATAATTCTAAGTACATCACTTTTTAATATAATATTATTCATATCATTTCTATTCAGTCCAAATTATTTCCTTTCACATGCAAAAATTTATCAACTACAGATACTGTATAATTATGCATTTATTTAAGGTAATCTATCTATCTATTCAAGTTCATCAAAGTTAATTATTTAATGGGCAATAAACGAAATGCTCTATTGTTTTAGAGGATGGGAAAACCTAACGATTTTTAATGAATGGGAAAGCGGATAAAGTGTTAGAGTGATCACTAAGTTTTGCTTCTAAAATCTCAAATTTTAAAAATAAATAATTGGACCCAAAATGCCGAATATAAGTGTCGTTAATTGCGTCATAAAAAAGATTTTTGGCTTATCAGCCTAGAAATAAGGAAAACCCTTTGATATTGCTTACAACCTTTGTTTTAATTAAACCACTTTTTTCCCTTTCGACGGTAATTGGATATGTGCAACCTCTAATGGCATTCAAATGCCTCGCGATTCGCCCTTTTCAAAGTCGCCGACAAACTGACAGTAAATTGTTTTATTAGCCACCCAGCAAACCCCCAGATAATGTCGGCGAGTGAGGCCTCTGACTGACAAACTGACTGCGATCCGACTGCAGTAACCTGAATAATTGCATGTCAACTGCCTGGGGCCAAGGAATAAATGCCGAAACATCCAGAGTTTGGCACGCGAACCGTCGAGGACCTCACAAAAACGCGGCTTGAAATTGGTTACAAGCATTTATGGCGAAGTGTGGTGGCCCTCACTAAAGTAATTATTTAATAATAATTTAAAATTGTTTATGCTTTCCTTAATTTATATTGCGTACGTTCAAGAAATTTCTATTTTATTCCGACCTTTTTAAAATTTCTATGGTAAGTACTTTAATATTTTTAGTAAATGATGTTTATAGTTTCAATCTTTAAATACTTTTAAAATATTCTAATTTTCCATGTAAATAAAGTAGAGTAGTGTTTTTGAAGAAATCATTATTTTTTGTTTCCTTTTCTATTACCATATCCACTATCCCTTAAGCTTATTTGACATTTTCAATCCAATTCGGTTTACATTTGACAGAAACTAAAGGGAATTGGAAGACTTCTAGCCATCACTCAAAAGGGAATTGCAGCATTGAACCTGCTTAGAAAAAAAGGATTGCCAAAGGGCAAGGACATGCCAAGTGGAGTAACAGTAACCCAAAACTCGTTCTGGTAAATTCGAAATATGTCTGGGGCTGTCAGGATTATAAATGTGTAACGTTTTACGGGGCGTATGCATAATGTTCTAACACTTTGGTAGCTACTCACGTAGCCCCGTTTGGCAATTAAGCCAATTCCAGGCAGGCCAAACAAACATTGAGTAAGTAATAAAAAGTCACCTGCCATAAAGATCCACAGTGGCAGTTGGGATTCGGAATTTGCATTTCTACCATTTCCCATTTGCATTTTACATTTGCTGCATATTCATGCGGTTTCTCTCGATAGCTTGGAGGAAAAGCGGAAAAGCTTGGGGGAAATCGGGGAAGTCGAGTGTAGTGTCACTCAACTGTTGCCATTGTTGCAACTTTTCGCCCGACAATTGTTCGCTAATGAAACGCGCTTTCAAGTTCGTCGGAGTAAAGTCAGAAGTACTATTCACTCGCCACTGGAATGCCCATAAACGTGCATATTTGCCTAACAGATTATTGGGTAGAAAAAGCGTATACACTTGTTTGCGTGCAAATACTTTCAATATTATTTAACGCCATTTAATGTTTCCCTAACGAGTGAGTGCGAGACTCCGAATTGCTTGGACAATCAATTTACCAGCGGCGGTGCTCTACAAAGGATTGTGTGTGCGTGTGTGTGTCCAGCGGCTAATTAGAATAACCTCTCGGATTTTTTAAACAATTAATAATTAACGAAATGGTAGGCCAGTGAGTGAGATGCAGTGGAGATGGGTAATAAAATTTTAATAAAATTTAAATTCTAAAAACCATCTTCTCTTCTTTGTTAAATAAAAACAATAATTTAAGTCAAAGCGTCATTATTATTAAAAAAACGAATGATCATTCATCCGTATATTTTAATTTAATTATGATTTCTACTCTATTTAATCAGCAAATTTATCTTTGGAAAAAAGGTAATGCTTCTCCGCCTAATGCAGATAAATTGAATTGAATTTGGCACATGGCAGCGTCAGTTTTCCTAAGATGATTGCTGAGTCACAAAAGAGTTTGGCTTGGGTTTCCACCTCAGTGATTTTATGGCTTGATAAGGTGCGGTGTGTTTTGTACAAAATAAACCAAAACCATCCAATTGGCAAAACAAAATCTAAACAACCCCAAAGTGTTGGCCAATCAATCGGTCATTGTTTTGGGCTAAATGGCAAGTGGCTTTCAATTGATTAGCAAAACAAGAGGCATCATACCCGTAGTAAGCTTATTCTGTGTCCGTAAATGGTAAATTAATTAATTATAGTATTGAAATTCACCTGATGAGAAATTGGCAACCAACGCAAGGCACACGGCATAGATGAAAATAGTTGTTGACATTTTTGCGGTTTTTCGTTTGGTTTATTTGATCTCCGATATCGAACTTATCCAACGCTGATGCTGTAAGAATAGAATTCCATATTTTATTTATCAGATTTTTCCCTGTTTTTCATTTTGGTTTTGTTTGTTATTTGATTAGCGCTGAATGCAGCAGTCTGTTCATTAGCATTGCTTTAGTAATAATTATAATCTATAATTCATTGTATACGATTCTTATTTACACTAGTAAACCGGTATAAGAACGTGGCTGTTAAACGTGACAAGTGCTAACACTTTACTATTGCAAATTTTATTTCGCATTTTAATACTTTATGAATCAGATTACATTAGCAGTGGTATTCAAATCAATTCAGTGTATATATTTCAAATATATGCTGTGTTTGTTCTCCTTTTAAATAAATTGAGTATGTGATTAAAGTTTGTACTCCTTTTAAATAAAATGAGTATGTGATTAAAGTCAGAGTTCAGTACGCAGGAATTTCTTAGAATTTTATAATAAAAACATTCTTTAAAATTAAAATTGATTAATGAGGATTTTTTATGTTGAGACAATCCGAAACAATTTTTATCAAAATGAAAAGATAAACTTAAATAAGAACTAGAAATCAACCACTTTTTTCAAAGGAAATAATTTAAATGTAATTAGCTCATTCTGGCTCATTTTGTTTAAAGTTTTTTCAACTTAAATGTTTTAAGTTTTTTGAATATTATTTGGATTCTTAAGCCTTTTGTAGTTGAAGGCCACACAACTCTTTATGGTCATATAGTAAGACGTTACAACACACAATTATTCTCACACAATCGGATTATTGTTGCTTAATGCGGGCGGACAACTTGACGCGAGCACCGTCGGGATGAATCTGAAAACTCGTATTTAGGTTTTTGAAAAATGTTGATTTTTCAAAAGGCCAGCTCAGCTGGAAATGAGAGCCGAAGAGAGTCGCTGTGGGAGAGCGGAGAAGAGCGACTCCAACAACAAGATCGGCCCTAAAGTCAGCAAACGGGAAAAATTAAAAAACTTCCGACACTCGATCGTCTTTACGGGGTCGTGTTATACGAATATATATATTCTATATAGAGGGGGATGCTCTACAAGGTAATTCACTTGCTGCATTGATAAGCTCTGGCTTCGGTTGGTTTCAGCTTGGTTCTTAACCCAAAAACAAAACGCGATCCAAATGGAATCCACCGGCTTGAACCGGTTAATTCCACTGTGACGTCACTAGCAGATTGAAATAAAAGTAAACAAGCTCTTAACAAATTGTGTCTCATTAGCTGACATTGGCCTTTCAATTAAACAGAAAGTGTTTTTTTGTTAATTTCACCACTAACGAAATACTTGTTGTCGGTTCTATGAAAGGGAAAGTTAAATTTTAAACTTAAATTAATAATATAAAATCAAAGCAGCATAAATTTACAAGCCCAGAAAATATTTCTGATTAATTAAATATGCAGTTTTTAAGTATTAACACCAAACAAAATGGATAAGATAAGAAAGAGTTATAAAACAAATTTAAATTTAATAATTAAATTTGGTTTTTTTGGTAAAAAAACATTCTAAATAATAATCAAAGTGATACCAAAAATTTTAAAAAATTACTATTACACAATAAATTAATAACAAACTAATCTGAGTAGTAAAAGTTAGCATGTGATCGGAAGTCCTAAATCAAATCTTTGGTTTGGACGGAGATGTCATTGCCTCTACTGTTTTTTCTATCAAGTGATCAGTTTGGTTCCGGTGAGCTGGACTTAGCGATAGGAGCACGTTCTGACGGACATACTATAACATGGACTGTACCGGCTCTATATAATGGCATTCCCTTATCAACGGCGCTGATTAGTTAAAACTGGTTCGCACCTCCAAAAACTCAGCTGTGTTGGTTTGGTCTAGTCCGCATCGGTGACGAAGTCAGACTTTCAGACTCATCTTAATTGAGGAAAACACAGTGGTATTGATAAGTGGCGAGGATGGAGCTTATCTGTCCTAGTTCAAGGCAGTTTGGACAGCAGCTCGGCTTTTTTTGACTCATCATTACGAGTGAGATTCTCATTCTGCCGCATTATTAAGGTGTCCGATTCTGCAAGCAATGCAACTAAGTTGACATTTTCACGCTGGTTTGTTTGGATAGCCAAGCCAAACCGAATAAATTCAGCTTTCAACCGTTCGGTCGCCGGTTTTAGCCAGTTTGAAGTGGTTGCTGGGCCAAGTCAGCTCTTGTGTTTAAGTGGTGCTTGGTTTTAAGGCGGTGGAACATTTTTGGAAAATTATTAACCAAGAAAAGATAAACGAAGACTAATATAACAGAAACCACCAATTTTGGTTGAGTGCAAAAAATGGAATGTTTGGTCTACCAATACTCGTTAATTATTTTTAACTAACAAAGTTTAATAAATGGGATGGATTGTTTACTAAGAAAAGTGGCAAAAATGTAAATAAATTATTTTTATAAATGCATCAGAAAAAAATGCCCTCATGCTCACAGCTTTAATTCGTTTTGTTTCTATTTAAAATGTTTGAAAAAAATATTTAGTGTTTAAAAATATTAAAATTTAAAATACAATAAATTGTGTTAGGTCCGCTTTAAAATTTAGCAAAACTCACTTTATTTGAATATTTACAAATATTAGATTTTTAAAATGGAAACTCCGAAATCCATAGACGGTAGAACCAATCTGCTGCAAATGAAATGTGTAACTGAGGTTTGTGGAAATCTTGGCTTTGTCTTTAGGCAAATGGCATTGGGCCCGTATTGAAGTAAGAAATCAGCTGATCAGCGATCATTATTGGGAGGTCAGGCTTGGATTCGATTATACAAGGCAAATTCAAGCAAATGAACAGATTCTTGTTTGCCGGAACCGGTTTTCTGATCTTTTTTTTTTGTTCTAACAAGTGATTTCTGGGAACGTTGCTCCTCTGCCCACCATTTCAACTGTCTGGCTTTAAGATTGATTGCGCATAAAAATACGATTTGAAAGTATACCCAGACCAAACAAAATAAGCTAAATAAATGGAGCGAATTTTGGGGGGTTAATGCTCTAATCAAAACAGAGGGAAATTTGCCAAAGAAATAACCCATATTTTGTTAGAGAAAGCTTTTAGTCAGTTTCTCAACTTATTAGAATCAGGCTTCAAAGCTTAAAACTTAAAAGCTTCGGCTTTAGTTATTCTCAATGTTATTTAGATTTAAACAATTTGTTGCTTAATATGTTAGTCAACATTTTGATTACTCGTACTTTAACCCCAAAACCAAAGCCAAAACTCTTTTCCCACTATCGCTATTTATAGTCACAAATATAATTTAAAGCGATCAATTGAGGGACACCACACTGCAATAAAAAGAAACCTTTTATTATAAAGATGTAGGACCCTAAACGAAATTTGTTTGGTTTTTGTTTAAATTAATAAAAAATTTAATTTGTAATTATTATAAATCGTTTTTATTTGAAAACTTTTTTGTTTGTGATTACAATAATTAGAGTTTGATTAGAGTTTTTAGGTTAAATATTGCTGAAAATAAATACAAATTCAGTAATCATCAGAAAGATAGAAAAATCTATTTTTCTCTGTAAGTACAAACGAGTCTGGGAGACCAAGTAAGAGTAATCGCCCCAAAGGGCAATCTTCCCCATGGGTTCTTCAATTTTGCGCACTGATTGAGGCATAAAAGCAAGCCAAACGATCTGCAAAAATATATATGTATATATATAGAGTGAGCGAAGGAGAGATTTAATTCAATTGACAAGCGTCTTGGGGCAGTAATTTGTGCGACTTTGTGATAAGCTCCAAGAGGAAGCCTGCGATTAAGCTTAATTAATGCACCGGGCAGATTTATGCTTAGGCTATGCGACTTCTCTAGCAGTTCACGTGTGCGACTTGGTCTCCAGATTAAGTGTCTGGACGCCTAGTTGAAATGGCGCTCAGGGTTATAAATGGATCGTCCAGTGCACCGCCTTCGCCTAATTGCGCTCGCTAATTGCGAGTACTTAAATATGCATAAATAAAAAGTAAACAGACAAATTTGGGACAAATGGGAAAGCAAAAAAAATACTTCGAGTTCTTGGATGCTGAAATTTTTATATTTTTTTCGTACCTTTGTAAATATACAAAACATTTAAGCATTATGTGACCTATTTATATTTAAGCGTGAAGTAATATTTTTACATTTCCTTTTCTGATAAGCTTTTAGAACTCTGAACTCATATAATTCAAAATTTTATTCATTGATCACCACATTTAAATTATTATCAAATTATTATTACAACAATATATTAACGGGTGCTTTATAAACCTTGATTTATTATTACAATTGTCAAAAATACTTAGTAAAAAATTATGGGTACGAAAATTTAAAACATGTTATCACGAATGTATGATTTTTAAATAATTACTTTATTTGTAACTCAAACTGCACTAATAAACATGTTTAAAGAATCCCGATCCTTGTTGACTAGTGTTGATTGAGACACTTTTTTGCAGCTCTACTTACGAATCTCCTGACTGCAAAAATACACATACCGTTAAAATCGCAAAGAGGACGCACACTCGAAAGCTTCCCGGCCAAAAGCTCAGCGGCTGCAAGCTAAAAACTGTAAACTGAATCTGAACCTCTACACCACCCACCCGACCAACCGACTAACCGACCAACCGCCCACCCATCATCCGCCCCATTTTACCAGCTTGCCAGCCGATCCGAACCGAATCATCCGCCCCGTTGGCTGGCCGTCCGCAATTCGTGTTCGTGGTACATTTGTCGAGTGCGGCTGCTGCTTTTCCCAGTCGTTTGCCGTTTGTCAACCGTTTGCCAGCGTTTGCCGAGAGCGCTAGTTTCTTGCAAGGAATATATTGAAACCAGTCCACGTTGAAACGGGAATCTGTGAATATAGTCCGCTGTGAACGCTCCACAAAAATCCGAAAATACCCATTTTTAATACAAATTAAATTACTTAGTGTTCAACTAACGAGTGTTTCAAGTCTAAAAAACAAAAAAATAAAAAATAAAAATGCAGTACATCTATGTGATAAGTGCGCTGATTTTGGCCATCGCCGTGCAGCAAGGTAAAAGGATTTGCGAAGGAGTCACGGTTTAGTCGCTGAACGGAAGTGCGACATCGCGATTACGATTACATAATACGCGTTGTGGAAGGGGCAGGTCCTGGGGCGCTGTCAAGTGGGAGAGCTTGTGGCGACGTCCTGACGCCACAGAAAGCCAGAGTATCTAGAGTAGAAAGTATCTAAGCCGGCCGCCGTGGCGCCTTTTTGTCCACCCCGCTGAGTAATATTTGCATTCAATAGATATAAATGGGGTTCCTTGAGCTCTCTGAGAAAAGGAACTTTTTTCTCTACTTCATTTGCGTTGGCTCTCTGCCACACACAGCTTTTTTCTGGGCTGCAAAAATAAGGAGGATGGGTTGTACACACACACGGTCCTTGCCAGTTGACACCTTGATTAAGTCAGATAATAATTAGCCCACACTAACCTATCCTTCCGCAAAGGATAATCCCCGGGAACTTAGGTTACATCAAGTTCTTCCTTCCTCTGTTTTTGAAAATCCCTATATAACTTTCTTCACATATGTGTGTATGTGCAGGAATAGCGTAGGACATGCGCACTTTATTTGGCTAAAGGTCCTGGGGGCCAGTTGCAGTTATCCGATACCCGAATCTTAAATCCGCTCAGAGACTTACATAAAAACATGTTCCCACAAGGCGAGATAAAATGATTTCCTTTGTTTTGTTAATAAATCAAGAAGTCGAAAGTCTTCTTCATTTTAATTGTGGGAATTTCTATAAATATGTATGTACCCCTTTTGTTTTGCGATCTAAGCAATTCAATCAATTCAATTTATGACTATTTATAGGCCGTAACAAACCTAAATTGGCCATGACTAACTATAAACAGTGGGAAACATTCGTGTCAAAATTGTATAAAATAAAAGGAAAATTTTAATGATAAGAAATATTTGCTATAAAACTTGCGGCTCTTAATTCAGAAATATCATAATACAAGTATTTGATTTAATAAAAGTTATATTTCTATATAAATGAGTTAAATTACAAACAGCTTAAATCTTAAATAACAAAAACTTCTATTTTTTTATATAATTATTAAAAAGATAAGAAAAAAGTAATCTGATTTGCTGAGTACTTTTTTTCCATATGCTTTTAAACACATACAAATATTAATGCATATCCTTTCAACTCATTCCAAAAATCCCTTTTGTTCAGAACTCCCTTATGGTTTATTGCCTCCTTTGTCATGATGATGAGCTTCTAGCTCTCAGAGTATCTGGACTACCGCGTAGAGTGGCTCATCTTACAGGCGGCCTTTTCCATTGTTCTCAAGTGTCTTTGCCCAGAAGCAGGCAACGGACTTTTCCGCCCCGCTTATGTAACCCAAATTGACTGAGAATGGGCAGTGGGCAGTGGGCAGTGGGAGTATAATGAACAGAGTGAAGTGAGGCAAAGTTATTCGAGTCCATTAGCAATGTCGATGTCTCAATTAGCGAGACACTCTTAGGAGCCTCACAGTCTCTCACTAATGGAGGCGTCAATGGAATCGCTGGAGCTGGAACCGCTGACACATCCGTGCCATTGTGCCATTTTTGGCACAGCTTGAGGCAAAAGCGCATCGCATCGCTAGTTGCACCATTTGGCGGCGGGGCAGGTGATATGTATTCCGCCGGACAGGCGGTACACAACATTTCCAGTCCGTACATTCGGAAGATTAAATAATGCGAATCTCGTGTCGCGCACGACCTTAAATTCAATTTAGCTAAGGCAGCGACAGCAATCACAAGTACCAGAGATCTCCTTATGGCTGTGCTATTTGTTTACACGCTTGTTTCTCCATCTTCGGTTGTTTTGTGAAACTATTAAGGTTAAGAATATGCTGCAAATGGAAAATTTCCAAATGCCATTAACTATAGCTTTGTGGTCAATTAAGTGGAAGATTGCAAGCGGTGCAAAAGATGAGTGGCAGTTAAAAGGAATCTAGTGGGAAGATAGTTGCACTTAGGATGCAAAAATTGAGGAAAAGGGAAGCAAATAACAAACATACGGAGAGATGACAAAAAAAAAAAAGATAAATCATTTTGCTTTGTTAAAAATAATATAGAAAAAGTTTCCTAATTTGTGTAAATCAAACAGATTATCAGACTTCCACTTGAAGTGTTATTTTCAAATAGAGATTTAGGAATATTTTTTGTAAACTAACCTTTACTATATTTTTTTTAGGATATGCCATCAAGTGCTTTGTCTGCAACAGCCACAAAGATGCCAACTGTGCGTTGGACATACCGCCCGATAACTTGCAGAAGGACTGCGATGCAGAGTACTCCACCCGCGGCAAGGGGATTCCCACATACTGCCGCAAGATCACGCAGATCATCGAGTTCTCTGTGAACAGCCGTGAGTGGAATCATTAAATATGAGGAGAGTGAACTGAAGTTAAATGTATATATATGGACTATCTATTGCAGTGCCCCCGGATAGCCGTGTGATAAGGACCTGTGCCTACCAGAACCAGACATCCACCAACTACTGCTATCAGCGTGCCGGCTTCGGAGGGCGCCAGGTCGTCTGCTCCTGTGATACGGATAACTGCAACGGCGCCGGGACGATGGGCGCCTCCGCGGTGGGCGTGGCAGCAATGGCGGGACTCCTGCTGAGCGCCCGTCAATATCTGCAGCGTTAAGGACGGAATCGAGGGAATCCCTCAGTTGTTTTTGTTTGTTTTATCGATGCATCCACCCAGTTTTCTTTTCGTATTGCTGCTGACTCTTTGACTTCTGTGACACTTTCACCGCTTTCTCCTCCCCCATCATCAACAAGGTCCACTCGCAGAGCTGCTCCAGAGTCTGGTAATAATCACAATCACTATCCCATTGAACATATTAATAAGTGAAAACATTTTCAGCTCTGGCCCAGCCTGGTTTTGTAACATTTTTTGAATGGAGAACCGTAAAAGCTTTATACAAAGTATTAAATAAAAACATAATTCCCTAACTAGAAGTGTATATAAAAACCAAAGAGGGCAAGTCACAATTGGCCAATATAATCGTTCAAATATATTTACATTAACAGGAATTTTGAAACTAACGTCTTAAACGAAAGCAAGGAAAATAACGATATAAAACTAAAACCTACCGCAGTTGAAAGTATTTAACAAATCGAAATAAACGAATGAGTCAAAGATGGCCACAAAGCTAACGATGTTAAAAATTAAGGCTACCAAACGGAAATGTAGTACATAAAACTATAAATGTTAACACTCTTCGCCTAAGTTTTTCTTTTTTATTTTATTTCGTAAGACTTAAACCAAAATTTTGAAAATGCAAGCTAAATGTCAGCAATAGCGAACGTAAAAAGTAAAGTATTTAAAAATAAAGCTCAACGAGGAAAACACTTCATAGAATAATTAGCAAGCAATTGGGAGGAAAGTCGTCAGAGGATTTCCCAAAGATAGTTGTGACACGCTTAGAGGCGACGACCACGCCCATATCTACCGCACTCCCAAGGGGAAAAACACTCGTTGTTGTAACCAACTGCCAAAAACGGAAAACTTTGAAGTCGTTTCATCTACCGCATAGGCACAACCCAGCAAAGAGACACCAAGTTTATGGGATATCCAAGTAGAGGAACATCAGTAAAACCTTTTGTCCAACTTAGCAATAAATGCAGGTGCAGAAACCAAGTAAAAATTAAAATGTTACAGAAACCAAAGCAACAAATACATCACCTTTAGTTCGTATAGCAAAATAACAGTTTATAGTAAAAATTTTTTTAGTTAAGAATCTCCTTTAAAATGCAATATTTATAATGCAATAAAATTGTAAAATGTTTAAAGTGAAAAACAATAAATATGAATACAAAAGTCGAATGCTTTTATTATCCACAGATGAATGTGTAGGACAACAAAATTAAACAGTATTATAGTAAACCTTTTCATTGAAAATTAAAAATTTCATTAGCTTCATTTTCAAACCACTTTATTACATTGATTAACTGTATTTGAATACATTTTATTAAATACAATGCGAAAATTAATACAAATAATTTGATTTACTACCATTGCTAATTTTAATAAAGTAAAAAAATGTTAACTTATTGAACCTCGCAAAGTTACTTGCATTATTTTGCTTGAATATAAAATCGACAAAATCTAAATATAAGAAGCATGTGTCGTTTTCCTTCTTCATCTTATGCAAAAAAAATAATATTTGAGGTATTTAATGCAAGACTTTGCTAAATTAAACTAAAGTTGTGGAAATGGTAAATCGTTAAATGCAACCCATCCATTTCCACCATGGACATAAATTACAATACAATCAATTAGATGGCAAAAGTTATGGATTTGGAAGCTATGAGTCCTTGTGGACCACCCTTTTAAGGGCCAGGAAACAGTGGCGGGTGCTCAGATCATGATACCCCACTGGTCCTCTTTCGCAATCCGCACAAACCAAAAACTTCCTGCCATCCACCGTGTTTGAGAACCCAATATTTTCGAACATCATCATGTCCTTGACCAGCCAGAAGTCCTTTAGTGGCTCGCTGTTTAAATTGTCAGCCGTCTTGTCCTGTTTCTGCATCATCAGAGGCACATCCACCTGTCAGCAAAAAATGTAAACAATAAGGGCCACACAGTAAGAATGGAAAGATAAACCCGGCACTTACTTCCTCCTGGCTGTGGGTGCCCTCCTGCGCCTTAAGCATCAAACTATTGCAAAACTGACAGCGCACATTGGTCTTGTTCTTTCCATCAGCTATTTGGTCGCTGAAATCAGCTTCATCTGTCATTTTTGAAGGATTTATCTTTTAATTATTGTAGTCGAAAGAAATGCATATACACCAGTATTGAACAGCACATTGAAACAGACTTGAGCAACACTAGTCAATAAAGGGGTCACACTGATCGATATTCGATAGTAAAAGCGACCGTTAACAGAAATTTGAAAAAAATACAAGATGGTCTGGTCTAATTTTTCAAATATATATTTTTTTATATCCTAAAAACTTAAAATACTCGTAAAATAATGGTTTGATTGTTCTCATCTGGTGTATTTCAATATTTTCCTTTCTATATAAAAAACTAAGCTTTTCAAATTACGTTTTCAATTCATTTACCAAAGCTAAGGTCCTATTAAAAGCACACGATAGTGGAACGAAGAAGAAGAAAAATTCAGAGATTGCTTGGCAACTCTGGAAGCCGTTTTTGAAAAAAATTCCTTTTTGTCTTCTGACTTTCTAGGGATCAGACAGCTCTTTTGACTTAAACTACGGAACCTGCCACTGGACAAACAGGAGATACAAACACTTTAGTCACTGTAAGTTTTTGGTGGCGATATAGCAATCCATATGCGTTTTGTCCCTGAAAGCTAACCTCAAAATGGCAGTGATTACTTAAATCGTTTCTGTTGGTTTCCGGCATATTTTTTTTTTGTTTCGGCTTTAAAAATCGGCTTGTGGCAGGGAAATGAACGTTCCCATTTACCAACTGCCTTCGGTGACCATGCAATCAATGCATCAGCAATCAATGTACCAGCAAACCTATTTGGATCGCAATCGCATGGTTACCGACGTCTTCGTGCAAGAACGTTTTTCGCAAAGCTCCTGGTCTATGGCACCGCCGACTCCGTTGGCTGTGTTTATACCCGGTACTGCCAATTGCCCTTATATACCAGGAAGTGCACATGGCCATTATAGCGCTCCGGCTCATCCGCCACCTCCTCCGGCCTCAAATCCTCCGCATATGACCTATATGCCCATGCCGGGTAGCCAGTACCATGCAGCCAGTTCTGGTGGGTTTAAGTGTCCCCATTATGATTTTTTATAATTTATTATCATTGTTTTCCAGCCTCCATGAACGCCTATGGCCAGGGTCAGATGTATTCCGCTCGAGCTTCGGTGTCGGCCAGCTGCAACACGGCTGGATATTATATGCCACAGTACTACACAAGCGGAAATCAGGCTCCGCGGCCGAAGACGTTCAGCGCCACGCACACCCAAACCGAGCCTCCTGTGAAGCGCTCCTGTGATGTGGGCACCCAGGTGGATCTGACCCTGGATTGGTTGCCCTTGGAGGCGAAGAAGCCCGAAGCAGCTCTCCTACAAGATGTGTAAGTCCAATTTGATATCATCAATTTTTTTTTCATAGTATAGTGTCTAAAATTTAAGTCAAAGTTTTCAAAGATTTTTAGCCAGCTCTTGAATGCAACTAGGTGACAACCTTCAAATAGATTTAAACAAAAAGCACTGTTATTGCATTTTAACATTAAAAATACGAAATTTAAAAAAAAATGTATAAACATTTAAGAAGATTAAGACAAGTTTATTTTACAAACTACTACTACTACAAACTACTAGTCCATTCTATTGCTCACTATTAAAAGAGCAAAGTTCAATTGTTTCAGTTTTGGCCCAGACGAATCCAGCATCAGCTCTTTGGAAAGCGGTGGCGGCGATAGCCTGCGGGTTCAAAACATGTTACGCAACTCGGAGGTGACGTTGCACCAACAGCGCCTCTACGACATCACCAGGATTGCGCTGCAGGGCAGCGAGATGGCCGAGCGTCTAGCTAATGCCCATCGCAATCGTCCGTGCTTCAAGAAGATCGATACTCTTTGTGCTCGCTTGAAGCAGGATCTCTTGCGTCCAGATGGCGTGCTGCCCAACATAAACTCCCAAGGAATCGCCTGGGCCGTTAAGGATTTCATATTTGTCTTTACCCGCATTGTAAATGCTTGGGTAATACTTAAGGGATATGTTTATAACACCCCCGAGGGTTTGAACAAGATCAAGGATGAGTTACCGACAGGTTTTATGGCCACCTTTGACTCGTGGCAAGTATCGACCTTGTCGCTCGTGCAAATGATTATAAAGTCATTTGTGAGTCTGGACAAACTGCTACAGAAGCAGAAGAATAGCTTTTCTGGAAAAGATGGCGGTCTTCTTGTAAACCTAAACAACAGCTCATTGAGAAGCATGATTGACAGCAATGATAGCAGCAGTTCGGGACAGAAGCACCAGGGAGCTGTAACCAATAGCCCATCCATTTGCCATGGACAAGGTCCCACTGCCTATAGCACTCCCAGAAGTTCAGAGGTTCAGGATACACAAGGCGTCACTTCAACTCTCTACAAACCGAAAAGCGGATTGAATCTTAGCTATCTTTACACTATGATTGAGGATTCCGAGGAAACCCAACGCAATGTGGATGCTAACGGTACTTATCTGAAAACTGGAACTTATCAACCACTGCAGAAGGAGTCCAAACAACTGGACATGCCTTCTTCCGGCATACGGCCCAAGGAGCCGTATGTAGAGTCCCAGTGGCAGTGGAAGACCCCGTCAAAGGCTTTACCAGCACAGGAGAACCGCCAATTTTCAGCTTCTATAACGCGCTCAGAACCAGAACCGGAGCCTGAGAAAGATGTAAGGGCCTTTACCAATCCGTTTAGCCCGATCGGAAAGGAGGTGACTCGCCAGTTGTGTGAGTTCAGCGACCGTGTTTTAGAGCTAAAGCACCTGGAGCTCTTTTTTCGAAAGCAGTTCACTCGCAACTATGTCTGTAACCTTTGTTAATCCCTTATAGTTCCATGTCTTATTTGCTACCCATTCCAGTTCCCAGATTTCTTCGATCTGTATCACGGCGAATTCATCGATGTGCGAGCTATTATCATGCAATGTGAAAGGGCTTCGTACCATCATCTTTACCAGGCAATTCACGACTTACGCCGGATTGTCTTCGCGGTGCGCTGTTACCTTAAGGTATTAGTGTGATTTCGAGCAGCTATCTGCCAAACTCTACACAAATGTTTGCTTTTGAATATTCCCCGATGCTGCTTTTTAGGTTCAAGGAAACGATAGAGAGAATTCAAGGTATCAGTATGAGTGAGCCATTTAATGGACTAATGTACTAATTGCTGGTCTCATTGGGCACTAATCTCATATAAAACTCATTAACATGCGCACGTCATTTAACATTTAGAAGAACTGCCAATACGATTTACTGATTCCTCTTTTAATAAAACCCTAGGTGTACTCAGATGAGAACCTCCAGTACTACATCGATCTTTATGAGAGCTCTGTGAATGAAATGCTGTCCAAACCACCGCATTTTCCCAACCAATATGACCACATCGTGGGTAGACCAGGCGAGAAGCTTTTCAATTATGAAATCTAAACGGAAAATCCCCTGTCATTATTATAGTGGTTTTCAATAAGCAGTTGGACCACTTAATTTGTTAATTAATTATAACCAATTTGGAGATCGGACGACCAGTTGTGCCTTAACTAAATTGAAAAATTACCTACAATGTTTAAATTATCTAATTACTTATTAATTTGTTTGTTGGCAACATGATTTAGTCAAGCATGTGATTAAAACAAAACATATTTAACAGTATATTATATATAATTTGTATAACATACCTCTGTACACATTCCACTTTGTTAAAGTCACTACAAAATATTTTGACAATAAAATTAAAATTTTGTACAATTTAAATTAAATAAAGCTAGAACAGAGATGTTAGTTTTCATGTTGTTAATTGTTAAAGAAACTCGAATGGAATCATAAGTTAGGAACACAAAGGAAATACAAATTAAAAAGATAATAAATAAAATCGTACAACAATTAACCTATATACATCGGTTCGTTACTTAGTGCTAATTCGGTCTGGCGAATTCATCTGGGTTAATGTTCTGGGCGAGAAGCATTCCATGGAAAATAGTTGAGCTATTGGAGGCCAGTTCTTTGGGTTTACCCTCCTCACAAATTCGTCCATCGTCCAGTATGATTATACGATCCATGGCATGGAGTCCGCGAAGGCGATGAGCAATGAAAAGAAGTGTGCAACTCTTAAAGGCATTTCTCAAGGCCTGCTGAATGCTCAGATCCGACTCATCGTCCAGGTTGGAAGTACCCTCATCGATGGCCACCACCTTGGCGTTTTTGAGCAGTGCCCTTGCCAAACAAAGGAGTTGCCTTTGACCAGCGGAAAGATTGTTTCCACATGCCTCTACTTTTCCATCCAAACCACCCAGTTGTTGGACGAGAAGAGTGGCAGCCGCAGAGTTCTTAATCGCATGCCAGATCTCCGAATCGTGGAAACCATGACGCGGATCCAGATTTTCACGCACAGTTCCTGAGGGAAGTTTAAAAATATTTATTACGTTTATTATAAGCAAAATCAAATAAAATTGATACTTACCTTCGAAGAGGAATGGCTCCTGGGTGATAACCCCTATTCGTTCCCTAAGCACATTCAGCGCAAGGGTTTTCAGATTCACCTGATCCAATCGAATTTCACCGTGTGACAAAGGTGCCACTCGCAGGAGGGCAGCTAACACCGACGTTTTACCAGCTCCCGTGCGACCCACGATGCCAATTCGTTCGAAGGCCTCGGTTTGAAAGGTGACACTTTTTAAAGCTGGTGCCAAGTGTTCTCTGTAACTTAGTTGCACTTCCCGGAAACTCAAAACTCCTTGGGTGGGCCATCCAAATGGAGGCTCAGCGCTTCCAGAGGCATTCTGCTCTTCCTCCAATTGCAAATACTGATCTATCCGCTCGACTGCCACCAATTCCTGCTCTGTTTCAGCCACGGCATGGAGGAGATCTCCCAATTGACCAGTTATGGAGAGAGCGTAGGAGATGCACAGACCCACCAAACCGGGATTGGTTGTATGAGAAGCTGTGATGGCGGCCAAGAGACCCGCTCCTCCCACTAAAAGGGTTCCCAGCAACTGTAACCGAAGAGCTAGCCACTGTTGGGCGGCCGATTGTGTCAACTGGGCCTTAATGCTTTCCTCGAGCTTCACCTGGAAATCCCTTTGAAATCTCGGGCTAGCTCGCATACTCCTGATAGTGGTCAAACCCTGAAGGGTCTCCGTAAAATGCGTGTAGAGCGGTGACATTGCGTTGCTGGATAGCCGTTTTATGTCCCGGGAAGCGTGGCGATAGCGCTGCTGAAGATTCAGGTAAATAGGAACCATGGGAATGATCACCAGACCCAACCAAGGCATCGCATAAAGGCTGACGCAGAGAGCTCCTACTAATCCCGCAAGTTGGGCTAACAAAATGTTCAAAATGAAAGGCAGGGAGTCGTCCACGGTGTTAGTATCGGAGGAAAAGCGGTTCAGAATGCGTCCCACGGAGGTGATGTCAAAGAAATTAAATTTCGCCTGGAATAATACGTTGTTTAAAAAAAGTTTCTTCAGTTTTACAACTATAAGTTACTTACAAACATGACTTTCTTTAGGAGTTTTTCGTGCATAAAGATGGCCGCTTTAATTCCAGCATAAGCAAAGAGAAACGCCCTGGCCAAAGTCACCACGGAATTGCTTAAGGCAATTGCTGTGAATATGCTCAGATAGAATTTTGTCGTATGTCCGGAACCCGTTTCATTTCCCATCCCAGCTGGCAATATTTCGTGCTCCAGAGAAGTGTCATTTGGATGGGGATCCAAGGTGGTTTCAGTAACCCAATAAGCCAGCCAAGCATCGCTCAGATTTCTTGTGAGCTGCATAAGTAACACAGAGAGCAAAACGGTTAAGGCCAGTGGAGTTGTCACAGCCTTCCAATAGCAGGTGAAAACGTCGCCCGAGAGATGACCATACTCTCTAGATTCCTCCAAAAGTAGACTATCCACACTCTTCTTGTCATCCTGGTTGGAAAGCTCCACTGATCGTCGCCTAACTGGCTCCTCCTGCTCATCATCTAGGTCTTCGTCGAGACTTAAATCAATGCTCTGAGTCATGTACTCACTGGGAAGGAGTTGACCATCCTTCACCTGAAGAATTTGGTTAGCGTGGAAGAATAACTGAATGCTTCGTGTGACTATAATGCGGGTTTTGTGCTTAAGTAGGCGCAAAATGCAGTGCTTAATAATATGGCGGGCCACATGGGCGTCTAGAGAGGAAAGTACATCGTCCAGAAGGTAAACTGTCGCAAGAAAGGAGTAGTTAGATAGATATAATAAAATAACAAGATACAACTTACCTTTCTTATCCTGATAAACAGCCCGAGCCAGTGCGACTCTCGCTCTCTGCCCACCGGAAAGGGTTCTGCCGTTCTCACCCACGCCAACGAGATCACCGCCAAGAATTTGAAGATCTTCTTCCAAAGCACACGCATACAGGACAGTTTTATACCACTGTTCGTCAAACTGCGCGCCCCATACGATGTTATCCCTGATCGTTCCTCTTTGGAGCCACGGCGACTGGGGAACATAACCAAATCCAGTGGTCAGTTCCTGGACACAGACCTCGCCGTCGGTGCACTGGAGATTCGCAACGATAGCAGATAGAAAGCTACTTTTACCACCTCCGACCGGTCCTTCGATGCACACAAGCTGACCAGCTTTTATATCCACGTTAATGTTCTTTAACCGAAAACTACCAGGTATTGTGTTCTCATCAATATCGTGACAGAAACTAGCGCACTTCATTTGCAGAACACTGGCTTTTGGAGCATCCAACGGAGCATCGTCTCCCAATCCAATTCCTCCGCTTCCCCTCATTATGGGGTTGTAATAGGAGGAGTAATCCAAGTTGGGCACATCCATCAGTTGTTGGACTCTCTTAATAGAAACCCATGCTTCGATTAAGCCATTCAGGACCCATGGAAAGGCATTCAATGGTCCAATGAGCATGTAGAGCAAGGCCACACTGGTGTAGGTAGTTGAAGCTATCAACTGGTTTCCCATTAGCACGGATACTCCAAAAGTAAGCAGGCACATAAGCACTGGAGTGGTGGCCCAGAAATAAACGCACATGGCATCCAGGTATTTCCTCTTCGATAAGAATCGCAGCTCCTCCTGGCGAAGTCCTCGAATCTTGGTGATGAATATATCCTCCCAGGCATTGATCTTGACCTGTTTGGCTCCTTGCATTGTTTCCGTAGTGGCTGACAGCCTAGCATCTTTGGCTGTCATCAAACCACTGGAGTAAACGCCAATTCTTTTGGCCAACCATCTATTAATTGGAATCAGCAGAGCAGCAAATATTACTCCCGCCAAAAAGGCAGCTCCCAATTGAAGATACAGCAGGTACAATGTGGTAAACAGCTTAAAGGGAATGCTCCAGAAGAAGTGGAAACTAATGCACGAGTTCACAATCCTATCCGTGTCTGTTGACATGAGATTAAGCATATCTGGTTTGGATTCTTTTAGGCCTCTTGCCTCCAGAGCTTTTCGGTATATGGAGTTCACAACTCCCACTCGCATTTTCATGGAAACCATGGCCATGCGCCAGTCAAAGTGAGTGGCACATAAAGCCGACAGCAATGTGCTGCCAAAAAGACCGAGGGCGTAATAATACACCTGATTTGGGTCCGAGTGATCCTGTCTGAGAAGACCTCCGAGCAGTAAGGGTCCTGCAAAGCCACTCAAATCGGCAATCAATCTTAGGATTCCTATAAGATAAAACTCCACTCCAAAGCATCTGTGCAGTGCTCTCCATAAGCTCTGCGATTGTGACAAAGCCAAGTGCAGTCTCTCGCTCAGTCGTGTGATGTTCAAGGCGTCCGGGAGATCAAACAGATCTTCAATCTTTCTTAGCTTCCCAGCCACGCCTTTCATAATTAGGGGCTGCACCCAATGGAACAGGAAACGCGATCCGAAATTCGCTTCATCCTGGGCATGGCCCAAGTGGCTTTCATTGAAATCGAAATGAAAGTAGGTGTATTGCTGGGATAGCAGTGCTTCATCTTCTCTGCTGGAAGCTCCTCCTCGTGGCAAACTGGAGTAGACAGCACTTCCTTTGGGTATCAGTGTGGCTCCGAATAAGAGATCACAGATCAGCGTAGCCAGGCTCCAGGGCCACCAGATGAAGTGCCTACTCGTTCGCAGCCATACCGCATCCAGAACCACCACTGTCAGCCAAACGACATTGATTAGCAGCGATCCCCGATGACTAAGCTCTCCATATTGACGGGCCGTCAATAGAAAACCTTTTGATGGGAAGGGAAAGGAGAGCTGATTAAAAGAGTAGTCGTAAATCATAAAAATAATCTTTTTGTTGCTAAATATGTGCTATAAAAAAGAAAGCATATACATATATGTATGTTTATATATATGTATATATTTTTCCTGGAAAAGCTCGGAGTGTTTTTTTTTTGTTAAACAGACAGTAGGGTAAAAAGTTCAGTTGCATTTGTTCAGTTAAACAAATACAATGTCCAGACATTAAACATTATTTTTTGGATTTTTTGTTCATAATTCTGATTAAGAACTTATTAAGGGATTGTCTTTTATCATAGTTTTAAGTTTTAAAACAAATAAATCTATACTAATATTATAAAGAGGTAAAATTTGTTTGTTTGTTTGTTTGTTTGTTTGTTTGTTTGTTTGTTTGTTTGCAGGGAATAGGTTCCTGAACTACTGGTCCGATTTAAAAAATTCTTTCACCGATAGAAAGCTATATTATCGTGGAGTTAAATAGGCTATAATTTATTTTGAAAAAAATTAGGGATCCGTAAGAAAATTGCAATATTGTCGCATATAAAGTGAGTTGCTACCTCATCACACTGACAAACACGCTCCCATAGCATTTTAACTCAATTTTTGTGTTCACTGTGAAATTGTGAAAAAAAGAATTTTTATTCAATTTAAGTTGAACTGTGAAAATTATGTGGATCGTGCATTTGAGGATAAATTCACCACTCTGTCCATAGTCCAAAATGCTTAGAGGACGACGTGCAAACATTGGCCGCAGACATTCAAGTCAGCAGCCAGTATATTCACAAAACTTAAGCGAAGGAAGACAAATGAGCACATGGAGATCATTGGCATCATTCAATCGCTTGGCATTCCAATATGACCCCACTGCGAACTACAGTGATAATGAAAATTTAGATATTGGACCAATGGCGACTATATACCGATATTGCAGTGCGTTAAAGTTTAAAAGAGAAACGGCTGGATTGTGCTGCGCAAGTGGAGAAGTCAAACTGGAAAAGTGTTAAATAACCATCTTTCTATACTTCCATATATTTGAAAAATGTTGCAACATTGACTTTTATGTTGTTAAATTGTGTTGACCAGCGAAGCGGACACAGGCCCTCTAGTTAAAAATAAAAAGATACTAAAAAAAAAGTTATTGAGATCAAAGGAGAAATCTTTTATTTACGTAAGTTATTGTATCTGTGTAAACCCCCGAGAAAGCAAAACCGCACACTCACCGCTGTGAACCACCCACATAATGCACTCGGCACTAACCACCAGCAGATCCACCGCGTATAGTTCAATGCCCTGCTGGTGGAAGGCGAATACCTTGGCCACCGGAAGCAGGGCCAGTACGATGGCCAGGAATGCCCGGAGCCATAACATCCGCAGTTGCAATCCATTCCGGACGACGGGGCGCGACTGATTACCGAAATTGTAGGCGGATATGGCTGCGAAGATCGTGTAGACGGGCAGCTGAAGCAGGATTTTCTGGAAGCAGGGCAGCAGATCGTTCGTTTCGTTGGCGAAGGGCGTCAGTCCCGTGGGACAAAACTGTGTCCAGTTCCAGGCAAAGTCGCCCCAATCAATAGGCGACATCTTGATCGATCTATTCGTGCGGTGGTTTCCTACTCAGCCTTCTGATTAAGTTTTAATGATTAATTAGTCATCGCTCGTTGCACATTTGCACCACCGTACCACCAAGTGGCGTTAAACAAAGCGATAAATACAGCAGTTCGACTTTTGATAAAAATCGTAACAATAACACAGCCGCTATGTGGAGCCGCAGGGTTGCCAGCGGTCGAAAAGAATGATAAAATAAGTCGAGCAGGACTCCCTTTCTTGATTTTTCCAAAAATTCAATGGGAGATAAATTTTTTAAGCTCCACTCAAAGATTTAATAATTTTTGTTGATTTTAAAATTAAATTAATTGAATTAAAAATATCCCAACAATTCGCAATAAACTAGAATAGCCCTAATGAAAGCTAGTGAATGACAGCTAAAGCAAGCAAGAAGAAGCATTTGTTTACATTTTATTTCACACTGTGCAATTTGCGTAAATAATTATGACGACTGGCTCCGAAGTTGATGGAGATGATGAGAACCAGGACAGTGTTAGCACCTCTTCCAAACCGGAACTTCCTCCGGAGCTAATTGACATATTTAAATCCCTGGCCGAAAACAAGAAAATCGTCTTTAAATCGCAGCAAATTGATGATCCAGAAATTCCTTTCGAGGAAAAACAAAAAATTGCTCAGGAAGCCTTCGAAAAGAATCGCGAGAACTTCCTCATCCGTTTTGGAGGCTATCTAGATGTTCGACAACTAGTTTCCTTCCAGGATCTGGCTGTTAAAGAACCCATCAAACCAGATGAGAATCTAGAGGAGATGTGCCTTTTGCTGGAGGATTTTAAAAGAAAACTAAGCACGCGTTCGGTATCCATTAAAAACCGAAGATACCACGCGATGCAGCAGCTCTTGGAGAAGGGAGAATACTTTAGCGAGCATGAGATGATGCAAAGGGCACCTGATCTTTATCAGGAATTAGTGGGTCAATACCTCACGGAGGCGGAAAAAAAAATTCGGGATAGTTATGATGTTAAAAACACCAGTTTTTCTGGAATTCTCATGCACACGTTGGAAAAAAAGCAAAGAGATGAATTGCTGGAGGAAATGCAACAGGAAAAAGGAGAAGAAATGGAGGCAGCTCCTCCGCCCGCTGATTTTGAAGTCCCTATAGCTTGCCGAAAGCAATGGGGTGGGTTCGACGAGGATGAGCCTATTGCCTGTTCCACAAGTCGTAATGCAGAAGCTCGAGTTCCAGCAAACATAGCTAGTATCTCAACACCAGAGTTCTATAATCCCGGAGAGCGCGAACTGCTGCGCAATGAGTTCTTCAGCATGATGAAGGAACGTTTTCTAAGCGGGGACGATAAGGACTTTGATTATACAGCCGTAGATGATAACACTCAGCTGGATGATCTTAAACAAATTGAGCAGGATGAGGAGGATGCCTACTTCGAAGACAGCGATGATGAAGAGGAATTGGGAGACCAAAAAACTGAAGAGAAGGAAGCATCAAGCGAGGATGAACTGGACATCTACATGAGGCATCTGAGCAATCATCACAGTCTGCAACATTAGTCAAAGATAAAGACTAAGACGACAAAAATCCACAACAGTCTGCAGCATTAGTCTTTAATCTTAGTCATAGTTTTAGCCTTAAAAAGTTTTGATCTTAGACACTAGAATACATGCAGTTGCTGAGTGAAAATCTGGTTATCTGGGCCTTCCACGACCACGTGGAAAACCGCGTCCTCTTCCTCTTAATACCTTGCTATTCGGTGGAGGACTCTTGGGCCTTAGGAGTTCAATTCTACTGGTGCATCCCGTGGCAGGGGCTTCAGCAAAGTACGTTTGATACAGCTCCGAATTGAAATTCGAGTTTGTCAGTTCCGGACCCACAGTTAGCCAACCTGGCCGGATGCTCGAGTCCCTGCCGAAAAGATGCAAGCGTCGTCGACCCAAACAAAAGTGCTCAATAATGTGGAAGATCTCGATGGGCTTCTCGAAGCTACCGAACTCCTCTTCCTCCGAGATGATCAAATCAATATCCACGTTGGCATGAATAAAATCGCCGTCTGTGGAACGGCGAACAGTTCCTTTGATTCCCATCAGGCAGTGCTCCTTGGTGCGCTGAAAAACTGCCTTGGGTTCCAGCTGCTTGGAGTGTCCAGGTTTGTTAATGTTAGTGCGAATCCAACAGATGTCCTCGCACCTGCGGAATCCCCATTTCTTCAAGCAGTTGCGACCCATGTCCAAGCCCTCCGAGGAGCCACACCACAGGAACACAAACGAACGATGGGCGGCAATCTCACCCACATCCAAATCTAGCAAGGAGAGAAAAGGTTAAGTTGAAGTTAAGGGGTATTGATGGAAACCTTACTAAGTATATCATCCCAGTTCCAGAAGACTCGAGGAGCTCCACCCACAGTGGCCACCGACGGAGCAGCCCTGGCATATTCCTCCAGCGGCGGCTCAATTAATATAACGTCGAACTTAGCGCCCAGGGTTTTAACATCAAGTGATTTAAGATCCGCTTTCAAGTACATAGGTGCAGATGCCGTATCCTGGATAAGTTTATCCTTTAATTTGATCAGTTCCCTCAGTTTGGGATACTCCTCGAAGCGATCAGCCAACCCCACATCGCGAATGAAGTTCTGGGGACGCTGACCTGTGTCCACAAAGTGCTGGCAGTAGTCATTGTGCGGATTGGAAGACTGTGTTCCCTTGAGGAATGTGGACGAGTCTCTATATATGATTTCATTGGGGGTTTTTTTGGAGGAGGAGGCTCCACCATCCTCCTCCTCGCGCTGCCCACCAGAATTTAGTTGACGGCTGCTGTTAATGTCCTCTGCATTGCCCAGGACCTTTTTCAGCTCATCTACACTAGACAAACCAAGCTATTTTGACGAATGCATAATTTATGAGTTCGATTAGACAAGCATTGTCTATGTTGGAGAAAAACTTACAGTTTGCGCTAAAAGTAATCGCCGCTTGCGAGATCGCTCCTGGGAGCTCTTCAGCACATCGCTCATTTCAGTAAATGCAGTAATAACTCACTTAAATATGTTTAAATAGCGTAATTCTAAGAAGACCTAAGAAAAGACAACATTTGCCGTATAGAGACGGCACACTGATGATGATATCGATGTTACTATCGGTAGAACCCTATTAAGTTAAACAATACATATTCATATTGGAGAAATAATTTTTAAGTGTATTTTTAATTATTAAAATATTTTGTATTTTAATAACAGCCAAAAAAAAAAAAAAAAAAAGAGTTCTAGGAAAAAATCATACAAAATAATTAATACCTAAAAAATTATATGTTGTTCGTATACCACAATATGTTTTTCTAGCTTAAGGCGTAAATTTAATTTATTGTTCTCTTGAAATATTTTTAAATTTTTAAATAGTAAAAGTGTGTATATCGATAAAGTGATGTTTTTCATCTCTAGGCATTTGACAAAGTGACATTCACAGCAAAAAAAAAAAACGCAGGTGCCGCTTGCCATTCACAATCAGCTGCATGCGCCGGAAGAAATATTTTGGATTAAACGTTTTTTCTGTGATTTTTGCGTTAAAGTAGTGAAATTGTTAATTAAATCGCCTGCAGGATGAAGCTGGTGCACAAAACGCTGCTCAGCGCTCTGATGGTGGTGGCGATATTCGCCATTTACACGGCGGCGCAGGGAAGAACCAAGGTTTGTTTGTGGCCACGTCACTTTTCTGCCGGAGATTCTGGATCCACATAGCCAGAATGCCGGGTAAAGATAACACAAATATGTATGTGATTAATGGGCTTGAAATGTCTTTCAGACGGGGCTCTCGCTGTCGGAGAAAGTACAAAACCTGGTGGACATGAACATGAAGAAACCCTTGCTCCGTTTCAATGGTCCCAAATTCCGGGAGTACGTAAAGAGTGCTCCCCGAAACTACTCGATGATCGTTATGCTTACGGCTCTGGCGCCATCGCGACAATGTCAGATCTGTCGGCACGCCCACGATGAGTTCGCCATCGTGGCCAATTCATACCGCTTCTCCTCGACTTACTCCAACAAACTTTTCTTCGCTATGGTGGATTTCGATGATGGATCAGAGGTTTTCCAACTTCTGCGCTTGAACACCGCCCCAGTATTTATGCATTTCCCGGCTAAGGGCAAGCCAAAGGGTGCCGATACCATGGACATCCATCGCGTGGGTTTCGCTGCTGATTCCATTGCGAAATTTGTGGCCGAGCGAACGGACATCACCATCCGCATTTTCCGTCCGCCCAACTATTCGGGTACCGTAGCCATGATCACGCTGGTAGCTTTGGTGGGCAGTTTCCTGTACATCCGGCGGAATAACCTGGAGTTCCTGTACAATAAGAACTTGTGGGGCGCCATCGCCGTGGTCTTCTGCTTCGCCATGATCTCAGGTCAGATGTGGAACCACATCCGTGGACCGCCGCTGGTGCACAAATCGCAGAATGGTGGCGTGGCCTACATCCACGGCTCCTCGCAGGGCCAGTTGGTCGTGGAGACCTACATCGTCATGTTCCTGAGTAAGTGGGAGACTTAAAACATCCAATCTCCTTAACAAGATGCTTCAATGTAAAACTTAAATTATAAAATCGTTCCGTCCTTTCAGATGCCATGATTGTATTGGGCATGATTCTACTAATCGAATCGGGAACTCCAAAGAGCCACAACAAGAACAGAATAATGGCGATGACAGGTTTAGTGCTCCTAACCGTCTTCTTCTCCTTTTTGCTATCCGTTTTTCGTTCGAAGGCGCAGGGCTATCCCTATAGGTAAGCTTTTTCAACCCTACAACTAATTCAAACCTTCTCTAACTTTCTTTTTCATCTTTTCCCCACAGTTTCTTGTTCAAATAGAATCGACTGCAGTCCTGTTCCAGTTCAAGTTCTCCCTATATCGTTTTGTAGTTAAAATCACCAGCGAGCACACATTTTTCGTGCGTGTAAAACGACTTTAATAAATTCCACTACTAAATTATTTGTACAAAAATGCGAAATATTTCCAGTCTTCGGACTCAGAGCAGGAACGGAATGATGGCGCGTCGGTTTTTCGGATATTCCCTGAATGTCTCCCTGTACCATTTGTGGGTCAGCAGGGCATTAATCGTTTGATTGCTGGCCACCCAAAGAAAGATGAGGCGCCAAATCTTGACGGGCATGTAGAGATCGGCGATGCAGAAGTACATAACCACCTCGAGGAACATGTGTGGCGACGAAAGTAGGTTGAACAATCCTCCTTTGGGCATGAGATGCTTCTCCGTACGAACGTTGCCTGTCTGCGGATCTTTCCTAAGGTTAACCAGTATTATGTTGCTGGCATACTGCTGTTGCCAGGCGACGAAGAACACAACGAGGTAGAGTATTTGCTGGCCGGTCAGCTTGTCCAGGCTGAACTCCATGGGCTTGGAGCCGCGTACAAAGCCGGAGGTATTGGATAATAAAGCTATAATGGCGCCAAAGTAGTGGACATAGCCCACGACATAGTGCGATAGGTTAATCTTGCTCTTTCTGGAAAAGATCTGCACAAAGTTGGTTTCGTAAAAACGCCGGGTGCACTGCAAAGTGAGCATCAGTGAGCCGACAACGGCTGTAGTAGAGTCGATTTCCACTTTTCGGTGACTCCGTCCGCCGCCAAAGAAGTCCAGGAATCGAAGGACATACTCGGGCGCCTCTTTTTGTTCCCGAACAGTGGATACTAGCAGATAAAACCACAGCCAGCTCCAAAACAAGGCGAAGACGTAGAAGTGCTTGAACCAGGATTTCGGCACTTCTAGCCAGGCAACCAAAGGATCCGTTTCGCCCTTGAAACTGTGCTTTCCATACCGGAAGGACTGACGTATGCTATTGGGCAGGTACTTCTCCACGAAAGTCATTAAACCGCCAAAGAACACGATCGTGGCGATGAAGGTGCCAAACATCATCTTAAGCAGGTTGACTTTGTATCGGTCGAAGAGGTTTTCGAGGACCTCGAGGATCCCAATGTTGGCGGGCGCCATTGCGAATTACTCTGGCACGATGCAGCGCGCAAAAACTGTAAAAACTTTCTCCGAAAACCGAAAACTTGCGGACATTCATTCTAGAGCTGGAAATAAAATCGATTTACCATTCGATACATCGATATTTCAGCATACTTTTATAAATCGATTTCCAGTACGAAAAGATTTAAATTCAAACTACCCAGCCAATATTTTGTCGTCACTGAAAAATAAATATGTAGAAATATTTGCCTTGTTTTTACTTATACGAATTAGATGTATTTTAAAAAACGATCCTTTATTTGATTGCCTTTCTTTTTGAACGGCAAACTAAATTGGCTATAGTTTCATGTACGCATATGCATATAAATTGATAAGTACGATATGGCTTGTCTAGTTCGGCAGGTGTGAGTATTTATGCAAATGGTATAACGCTCCTTGATATTGCTTATTGAGATTCCACTTCAACTTCAGATCCAATGCCTTTCAGCAGTAGAGCACTCGTGGAGATGTTTGTCAAATATCCACTCCATTCCTTCCCAAAGTGCCTCCCTTGTACGGCGGTGGCTTGGGTCTGGCGTAAATGCTGGAGTTTGCACAGTCCAATTGGTAAAAACTATTGTTAGGACTGAAATAAACAAAAAAATATTTAATACTTCAATTAAAAGAGCACTGAGTAATTTCTGGCTAACCTTTGCGATCGCAAACTAGTATTATCTAGAAGGAAATTTGGGTCCTTAAGGCTCTTCAAGGTGGTAATGGGTTGATTGGACTTGCTATCCGAACACTGGACCATCTGAACGGTGGAGGACATGTGATAATCCGACTCTGATGAGCTATAAATGGAATGGAATTTTATCGGATTTGTTTCAAATTAGGAAGGGCAAAAATAAAACTCAAAAGATCCATTGGAAAATCACCTCTCAGAACCATCATCCGAACTAGAATCGCTTGACGCGCTTGGCGCACAGGACTCTTCGCAGATGTGGAAAATGTTGGCAAAGAAAAATTCAGAATGCGGATCGTAACTGAAGAGCAAAGAAACAAAAGGTTACAAAAATTTTTAAAATTAAAGTGAATAAAAATTAATTCAGTCTCTTCCCGAGAAGGGAACTCACAACTTCTCGTGCTGAAAGCACAAAACAGCGGATAACATCCCGATTAAAATGGCGAAAATCACTCCCGGAATGGCGAAGGCAAAGGCGAATTCATCGATGTAATTGCGCTCCGGCACTTCTTCTTTGGAGATGCCCATCCAACGATCCTGGTGCCTCTGATCCTCGGCCATCTGCTGCTCATTCTGCTTGCCGCTGTGGTAAAGTATTTCCGTGGGCGATTCTATGCCCACCATGCGAAAGGCACACCAATCTAGCTTAAAGCCCGCATTTTCAAAGATTTTTTGGACGGATGTGCGCTTGTAGGTGCAAGATGGCAGTTTATATAAGGGACGCACTTCTTCCTGCAGCTCCATAAGTCGGGGAGAGAACTGGGCAAAGCTTCCCACATGGACAATGACTCTGTAATTAGAAACTTTTTTTTTAAGTATCTAAAGGTTTAAAAGTTCTTAGTGAGGTGCCTTAAAGTGTGCTACAAACATATTTTTTTATTGAATTTGTACCTTTTTTTTTTACAAAAATAATCAAAATCATCTCAGAATTTTTATAGCACTACCTATACCAACTTACCCCTCACGTTGCTGAGGTCGCAGTGGAAGACGTCCTCCCATATTCACAGCCGACTCCATGAACACGACACTTAAGTCCTCCCTACTATTTTGCCATAGATCGTTACGGAATATATTGCGTAAATTCTCAACCCTTCCAGGGTCCATCAAGTGCACCCAATTTAAGTTGTTTATTTTCATCTGCACCACATTGGGTGTGGGAAACTTGTAGGCCACGAACATGGAAATTACGACATGCCGGGTTTCGTAATTCTGGCGATTCAGGGCCACCACATCCAGACTGAGATCCTTCCCAGCCGCAGATTCCGGCGGAGTTCCGTAGAGAAATCCGGCATGGTACTCATGACTATACATATAACGCATCCAACTGGGCAGATCGGGATAGCTTTTCAAGGAGGGTCTATAGCGAAACTGCTGACTGATGACCTGGTGTGTCCAATTGAACAGTTGCGGTTCGATTTTATAGGTGAACAGCTCTCCCACATTCGCCTGAAGTTTAAGGCTCTCTACTCCATGGCAGATTAAAGCTAATACAATCACTATAAGGTTTAAAAACTTCATTTTGCTTTTTCCCGATTTTAAGATTTACAAGCACATTTTAATTGACTATAAACAAGTTGTTATTCCGCCCAAAGGCAATGAAAAATTCCTATGGTGTGTATCTGAATGGGAGAGGAACAATTTTCTCAAAAACTGTTTGTTTCCTATTTATAAAGAGAGCGCCTGCGCGATTTGGCTTTAAAAACCTGTGACTAAGGTCAGTTTTGAGTTAAAAAAACCGTTTCAATTCCTATATAAGAGAAGTTTATTCCAATGTTTTTTGCTCTTATTTTACACAAACATTTAAATTTAAAAAATTAAATTAAATGTTTAAGCGTTCAAATTAAAATGTTGTTCTTGGTGGTAGATATGTATTTAAAATTCAGAGTCAGTTGCGACAGGCCAGTTATCGATATAAGCAACACGGTGAAAAAGTCACTGTTTGTATTAAAGTACCATCTCTAATGAAAGTTGACAACCCTAATCAGCTGCCTGGCAATTCGGGCTAAAATTCTTGGAATTCAATACGTGGCTCCGTTTTATCTCGCACAAATTGGAGAAGTAATGTCTGCTGATCGGTAGCCGTCGAACCTGTTCAGATACACAACCCAATAAATAGCCATAAGATGTTCACCTGTCTGTGCCAGATTTTTTTCTATCTGGTTTCCACTGTTGCAGTCGCCGCGCTGTCGGTAAGTTTTATAAACACCGCATATCATTATCAAATTGTTGATAACCCATCCCCTTTAGATCGTAGCTGTGGTGCTCTACAAGACCAAACCCTACCCCAACATCAGGCGGCTCAAGGATGAGGAGACCTTCCTCGATCCAAACAGCATCGAAACAGTCACTTTTCCCAGTCTCGAGGATTCTCCAAGTTTGGATCTCAGTGTCATTGTACCAGCTTACAATGAGGAGCAGCGATGTATGTTTGCTTTATTAATGAGTCACACTCATGATACTATCAATCATTCCATTTACGACCAACTATCTGTATTGGAACACCCATATTTGAACTTAGACTCATATCTTGGCAAATAACTTATTATTACCAAAGCCTTTTAAAAACTGCTTTTGCAAATTTAAATTCATATCGACTCATTAATGACCGCAAGTAGTAACCACAGTTCTTTTTTTTTTAGTACCGGCAATGCTTGACGAGTGTTTGGCCTTCTTGGAACAGAAATCTGGAGGCAGTCCCACCTTTTCGTACGAGGTGATCGTGGTGAGTGACGGCAGTCAGGATGCCACAGTCAAAGTGGCCTTGGGCTACTCGAAGAAGCACGGAGCTGAAAAGGTTCGGGTCCTGGAACTCATCGAAAATCGGGGGAAAGGAGGAGCTGTTCGGATGGGCATGCTCAGTGCGCGGGGTCGTTATCTGCTGTTCGCCGATGCTGATGGAGCTACAAAGTTCCCCGACTATGATAAGCTGGAAGTGGCCTTAAAGCAACTAGCTGCGGAGTGGCGAGACGATGGCATTGCGATTGGATCGAGGGCACATCTGGAAAACGATGCGATTGCCACGAGAAGTTTGTTTAGGTAAGATATAAAATGAAATCGAGAATATACCCTAGGAATATTAATTTCTTCAAAATAAAGTTAGTTTGGTTCTTTTATATTTTGTCATGCAAGGGTATATTATCGGGTAGTAAGTTAGTGCTTTTTTAACCAAAACTTATTTTCCCACAGAACCATTTTGATGCACGGCTTCCATTTCCTTGTCTGGCTTTTTGCCGTGCGATCTATTCGCGACACCCAGTGTGGCTTTAAGTTATTTACTCGAACTACGGCCAGAAAACTCTTCACTAGTCTTCATGTCGAGCGGTGGGCCTTCGATGTGGAGCTGCTTTACCTTGCCGAGAAATTGAAGCTGCCCATGTCCGAGGTTGCCGTTCGCTGGACGGAGATCGATGGCTCGAAATTGACACCGTTTTGGTCATGGCTGCAGATGGGCAGGGATTTGTTCATGATCTGGCTGCGTTATCTGGTCGGTGCCTGGCGTATTGCGTCCATACAGAAAAAAGAAAACTGAATTGGACGTGGAAGGGCTCTTATTCCCAATACTAACTAGCATTTTGTGTCGAAACTGCTTCGCTGTCCTGCATTACCAAAACACTTTTAACTTTAAACTATATTTTTGTAGGTCTCTTAAAGTGTAAAGAATACTAACTAGTTAAGTACTTAAGTACAGTATTTTTCAAATAAAAAGAAAATTTGGAAAACAAAGCGTTGAATAAAATGGCACACCAA